ACGCGTCGAGGGGAGGTCTTCGGACCAAGATGCAACCCCGCCCCCGTGGCCGGGCGATTCCCGGGGCCCGGGCCTGACACCACACTGCAGTGGGATTTAATCCTCTTCCGGATTAGGACGGGCTCTGCCCAGGGATTTGAGTGGGCGCGGGATTCGCACGCGAGCAGTAAAGAAGGGAAAAGTCTGAAAATTCCCCGGGGATTTGTCATGGAGGCTTCGCCCGGGGCGTGACGAATTGTCATCCAAGAGGTGGATGACGCTCAACGGCGAAACGGGTCCGAGTGACCGTAAATCCGGCCCATCGGCCAGGGGAAGAGGGAGAGGCTGGCTTATTAGTGTCGACCCATCGGAGAAAAGTCTCCGACTCGGATTGGGGGTCTGCACTCAGTGCTCCGGACGAACTCGAAATCCCGAGGTCCCGCGGAATTTGTGTCCCGAGGGTGGCTTACCAGATCGAGATGCGGTTTGCTCTACAATTGGTCATGGTACGGCTGACTTTGGACAAAGGACGTATTTGTACGGGGCGTTCAAGGTCAGCATCCAGGAACAGTACGAGTCATAATGGGCAAAGAGAGAGTGTGTGGACGCACAGTACTAACGGGGACAAGGCGCGGCGTCAAGACTCCTGAGACAATTGCTTGAAGTACATTCCTGCGGTGTCTCGCTCGGATACGCCTCAGCCAGTGGAAAGTGGCTCATTCTCTCTGTACGCACGAGAACCACGGTGCGAGCGAGGCTGGAGCTGGGCATCATGTCACGCAGTAAATAAGCGCCATGCAGCACTCTTGGCCAGTCCTGCGCCGCCCAGCGAACGCCCGAGACAAGAGGACAAAGTGATCAATCCCATGTGTGTGCGTGTGGCCCCCACGGCGATGCCCGACCCAGAACGGGAAACAGAGGGCCGGTAGAGTTGAGCAGAGGCACCGACAGGGACCGGGACGAGTGCCCAGCTCCGGCCCTCCGCCCCGCCGTTCGTTCGGAGCAGCACCGCGGACCCCGCGCACGCGGGAAGGGGCAGGGGTATGGATCGGCAAGCCGCGCCCGAATCCGTCTGCTCGTCCCGCGGGGCCAGAAATAGATGGGATGCATAGATGTCTGGTAGACAAGGCGTCCCTTCACATTTTACCTACCGCCACCACACAGTTCGGCATTGACGAGGCGTGCAAGGAGTTTCCCGTCCCCCGAAAAACCGACTCGCCAGGCACAGACAAGCTTGTTCACCCAGGCACCGCGTAAGAGGTGACACGGTGGCTTGAGGCTCGGGGGGGGGGGGGGATCGTAGGATCCTGAGGAGGCCCAGATGTCTGGAGGGGCTATCGTCAGCCTGGCCCCCTTTCTCCATGTCTATCGATGTCTAATGCTGCAGGGTTGGCCTGCCTGTTCCTGGCCGTGCCATTTTCCTTGGATCGCCAATCCTGTTGCTGCCGCATCGGGACTCATCTGGCGGGGGAGGGGGGGGGGGGACACACACGCCTTCGTTGCCCAGGCAAAGTGCATCGAATCTTATCGAAGCACACGTGTGTTCCAGGTGACGTGACTGCTACTTCGCCATCGTGTCTGCCTGGCATATTGACCACACACACAGTACGCACGCCCTCGTGACTTGACAAGAGCTCGTTCGGGGAGGGATGAGAATAGGGATCGGCGACCCCCCTTCCAGTTGGACTGTCACGGGAGCTACCGTCCCAAGTAAACAGGCAACTCTATTTCGCACGGGGCAGGAAAAGGGAAACCACCACCTCTGTCCAAGCAAGTGTTTCGTCGCTGCTCGTCGACCCCCCCCCAGGGGGGTGGCGATTGGTAGGAACAGAGTTTAGTCTCTGCAGTAGCTCCCGTCACGAGCAGCGAGAATGGCCAAAACGGGGGGCGGGGTCCGCAGGGCGGGCTGGGGGGAGGATAGGAACATTTGAAGAAGAATACGCTACTGCTTCATCAGCCTGCCTGACATCACCGCACTGTATGGAGTTGGGGGATGTTTCGGCGTTTGGGCGCCCACTCATCACCCGCAGGCGCGTGCGACTCTACAGAGGTAGGTAGCCCATTGCTCCTCGCCGTCGCAGTCTTTTTGTACTGGCTCACGGCCGATCATTGTCTTTGGCTCGGGAGACATAGGGATCGTCGCCTTTTAACTCACTCAGCAACAGGCATGCCACATGCCCGCCCAGGATACCAGCATTGGAAAATGAGAGCACACCCAAGTCAGTCAGCCCGGAATGGGTTTCACCCGACCCATCTGGACTGCCACGGGGCCATCAGGGTCGCCTCCCCTTAGGTTCCTAACAGCGTGGCAGACAGGCTATAAACCACAACAGCAGTGGAGCTTAGTTCTTTCGGTGTGACTGATGTGACATTTGCTACCTTGTAATACTAGCGCCCCAGCTCCGCATTGCTACTGCCGGCACCTAACGCGACGAAACTCGGGACCATTGGCCGGGGGGGGGGAGGAGGATGAGGAGAAGGGTGGTGTGGTGAAGCCTAGACAAAACAAAACGGGCCATGTTCACCGGCGATCCGTCATTCAGAGGTCCCCGAGCCCCAGGAGTCTGGGTGCGGTGCAGCCCAGTAGGGACCAGCCTACCTAGGTACCGCGCGGCCCAGCCCCCAACAAGCCCCCCACCCCCAGCCCTAGCGGGCACACGTTTAACGGGGTACGGATACGTGCGTAGCGGAGCGTATTTGCGCAAAGGCTGTCCGACCCCTCATCCTTACCTCGAGACGACCTTGCCCGAGTCAACGAGTCTCCTTTTGCGAAATAAGGCCCTTGGGTTTGAACTACTGCTGTTAGACAGGTGTCCCTTGGCAGTCTCGTAGCCCGTCCGCCCTGCAATCCAGGCTAAGCATTCACCCATTTTTGTCCACAAGGGTCCCCAAGGGGTCGCCGAGTAGCGAGCGGGGAGGGGAGGGGAGGAGAGGAGAGGAGGGTCTTTCTGCGAGCACTTGTTGTTAGTGTACCAAGGTACAGCGCAGTATCTCGCGAACACGCCCGCCATGGTGTTGATGGATTCCCGCCACGTCAGACCGGCGTGTCTACACAGCACTGGCACAGCACAAGACCCTACTGTACACTACCGTGCTAGATCAGCGCTGCCAAAGATCCTTCTTGCCCCAAGAGCCGTGGCCATGCTGTAAACGGCCCAGCCTCACGCGATGGAGGGTTAGCCTAGCAGGCGGGGATGGGCGGCTATGTACGACGGTCGTGGATTCCATCCATGGTCTCTCCACCCTCGCATGCATGTCCTGCCCAGGCTCAATCAGACACAACATACACTCACACAACGCACGCACAGGTCTGCAACGCATACACCATCGGCCCTGCGTCACACACTACCGCTGCCGCATGCAGTAGGCCGGCCTGGGCTGAGGAGGGATGGACAGCTCAACAAACGTGTGAAGACGAGTTTGGGGGACCAAGAGCGCCCGCCAAGCCGTCTCGGTATCGCATCTGATTGCGGCTGCCGCGCGGGAGAACGACGGGATGCAAGCACACACACACAGGTTCAGTATAGGACAGGGGTCTGCCCGTCCAGGGCGGACGAGGCGGCTTCAGCTCCAGCTTAAGCACACACACGCGCACACAGACACACACACACACCCAGCACCGCGTACTATTGCACGCTTGGTGGCAGTAGTAGGGCGACGACTCAAGCTTTCAAGGTCGCCGGCGCTGTGGGGGAGGGACCCTGGGGGGGGCCCTGTCCAGCCGGGTGTATGGATGGGACGGGCAGGCGAGGCACGCCTCGCCCTCGCCCTCTCTGCCCGCAGAAAGTACCCGCCATAAAGTGACAACGTGTGATTGATTAATCAGCCCCCCCCCCTCGTCCAGGTCAATGCAGGCAAAGGGAAAAAACGACGCTGGCAGGGAGAGTGACAACCGAGTTGGACCCCGAAGAATCCCCACCGTGACATTGGGTGCACACTAGGCAGTAAAACAAAACACACACAGCATATACATGCGTACGCAGCATACTCGGTTAAGTTAGGCAGTACAGTAAGACAAAGAAGTTTCCGAGTGGATAAGCAAAAAAGCGAGAAATACGGAGCCACGCCTCGACAAAAGAAGGGATAGGATGGGACGCCGTTGGTTTTGCCGGCGGGGGTCTCCTTGGATCCTGGCAAATCCCGCGAGCAAAGGAGACCGAAAAAAAAAAAAAAAAAAAAAAAAAGGATACAGGAAAAAACGGTCAGGAAAAGTGAGAGACGGATCCTCCGACCGCTCGGGCGAGCAAGATCGTCTCCATGCTAACGCGCAGCCCCCTGCCCTGGGCTGCCTGTTAGCGAGCGGCCTTCGGCGCCGATGCAAACGCCGTTGGGTACGTAGGTACGTACCGAGTTACTGGGTGGCCGTTTGGTACGCTATGAGCCACCATGATTCGGCCGTCGCCAACGACATGTCAGACCGGCATGGACACAAGTCGAACCTGCGCCCTTTCTGTTGTGGAACCCCTGCCGAGGATGCTGGGGGAGGGGTGGTCATGAAAATAATTCCGACCCGCTTTTTTCCTTTTGCTCTTCACGTCGGACACGCGAGTTTGGTGCGAGCTTGCTGTGGGACTGTGGTTCCTTCTGGGGGAATCATTAAATTCATTCTCTCGAGCAAACGACGTGCTTCAGCGAGCGCGCACCGGTGACGGTTTTGCCCTCTCCTTCTTCAGAGTTGAGAAGTGATAGATCGTACAGTCAATGCACCCTGACCAAATTAATATGAAAACCCGGCTCCCCTGCCATAAACAACATCAAGTGAACACGTTGGTTTTGGCAGAGAACAAAATCCCACCCCAGCGCCCAGAAAACCGGTCCCAGAATGAACGCCGTGCCGTGAAGCCCGAGAGAAAACGAGGGACACCTCACCCCAGCTCTTGTGACGCCTTCTATGTCAATAGCAGACAGCCAGCCTGGTCATCCTCGTAGTGCCGTCCGTCCCAAACGTCGTGTTTCCCTGCCTAGCCATTGTTCCCGTTGTTGCATCGTGGATATCGTGCAGGGTCGCCCTCCGTTCCTAATCATAGTCGCATGCCTTCGGGATCGAATCCAGAGTAGATCATGGGGTCGCCGATACCCAGCATTACTTCTGGGTTGGGACATGACAAGACATGTGGTTTGATGGTACCGAATTCCGACTCCAGTAGCCCCTGGTTCAGCATGTCCATGCCTGCGAATGCCCCTGTCGGCTGTATGAACTGCTGATCGTATCCCATCGATGGCGCCCGCATCCATGGCGCAAAGGACGCAGGCACATGCTGCGCCGGTGATGTCGTGCTTGGGAGGCTGTCTGTGGATTGTGCCGAGTAGCCGTCAAAGGAATCGTAGGTCAGACTCGCCGGCGAAAGGGTCATGGTGCTGCTTGCCTGGCGGCCACCGCCACCAAACGCTACCTTGCGGTAATCCTCAAAGTCAGAATGGTCCAAGTCGGAGGAGCTTGCGCGGTCCGTCCTTGCGTCGTGCTCGCCGCCGTGCGCCGCCTTCTCGTGCTGTTGTTGCTCCTCGAGTTGGCGCGCGAGCTCGGAGAGGCCTTGCTCGTCCTCTGGGAAGACGGAGTGGACAGGTAGGTCAATGTCGCTGTTGGGTCGTATGCAGCCGAGCTTCTGGGCGATGTTGTGGATTACGGGTTGGCCACGGTCGTTCAGGTCAGGCTCGCCAAGATCCCATTGTTGGCCATTGCGGACCATCGAGTACAGCTTGTGCACGGTGGCGATGAGGGCAAATTGAGTGTTCTCCAGAACCTCGGCATATCTGCGAAACAATATGTAAGACGATGCGACTCCCAAGCGCGCGTTGGAGTGCAGGTGGCCTACCCTCGAGGTAATTGCTTAAATTCCGTCTTTTTTCTTGTGCCTGCTGTGCACACGAGGCCATCATCCTTGCACCTCTTACATGGGAATTCTCCGTCACACTGATTGCTGTTAGTGGGCCGGCATTGATGTGACATGCGGATCAGTGCCGCAGGTTTGCGTCTAATTACCTTTGTTTTCTTCATTCTGCACCTCTCACACGCCTTCCATACCCTCTTGTGCCTCGCATCAGCCATTGAGTGTGTGGACTGGCTGTCTGATGGAATTGGCGAGTGGATATGTGAGTGGGACGTGGTAGTGCTTGAGCGCTTGGTGACACGGTGCGCAGGCTTGGTGGGCTTCGCGCCTGAACTATGTCTCTTTGTCGTTGTTGGATGTGGCTTGTGTTGTCCATCCAGTGGAGGACTAGGTAGACTATGCTCCATTTTTGCGTACGGTATCACGAGGGCTACTATAGCCGGGGACGGGGTGAAATGTGACAGCTGGATTTAATGTCGCTGTCGAGATGAGACGACGTGACGCTTGAGTGAGCGAGCCGTGTAAGTCAAGCCAGCCTGCCAAGTGTGTCTCAAAAACGGAGCTTCACAAGGAACGGTCCTGGGTTTGTCTGTGTGTGATATGTAACAATGGACTGGTGTCGAGGTTGGGTGGGATGTATGGGGAGAAAAGTAGTGCAAGATGTGGACAGATGGGGGTGACTTAAAGTAGGATTAATAATGGTGAGAGAACAGACTGCGAGGTTCGAGGTAGTCCAAAAGCGTTGGATGGGGATGGAGATGGAGATTATGTGATATGTAATGGATTTCAGGCGAGGGAGCTGTGGTAATGATGCTGTCAGAACAGAGGTACAGCGGTACAGCGGCACAGCGTAGGTTCGGCGCCGTTCGAGGGCCCACACCAACCTTAACAGAGATACCCCTGCTACGAGATGGGTCACAAACGTTGCTGGGCTGAGCGAAGGTGCTGGGGTGCGATAATTAGACTCATTCGGGGTTTGCGCATGTTTGCGCAGCGCAGCGCTGAACACACAGGCGGGCTTTAACGGTCGGCGAGTTGTTTATGTCCGAGAGCGGACAGATTGAAGCGGCCTGCGGCCGTCTGCTGATAAGTCGAATAAAGTAGTCGCGAGGTCACCCTGAGAATCAATCGCCCTCCTGAGAAGCTCCATGGTGAGCAGAGGTGATCCTGGGATCTTGTTCTCCGAGTACCCTTCTGTCCCCCATTTACAACAGAACCCTCTCCATTGTGTCCTTCCCCTCGGGGAACTGATCTGCGGAATTACGGAATTGCTGCGGGCGACGGCCAGACTGCACGCCAGTTGACAATCGCAAGCTCTTGGCATCGACCCCGAAAGACAGTTGTGATTTGAAATTCGTAGATGCGTATAACGTGCTCAGATCCTACCGCAGCGCCTGAATACCACAGTGTCAAACACGTACGTGGCCCAAGCAGGGCGATGGATGGGTCACAAGTGGTGCCATCGTACTTGGACGAGGCCTTCGCCAACTCCAAGCTCCTGGAAAGGCTTGGACGCCAAGATGAGCGGTGGATCGTTGTCGTGCCCAGATGCTGGCGGACACAAGACGAAATGACGCTCTCCCAATCAGGCAGTCAATGGGCAGGTTACGATTCTGCTTTGGCGGATCAGGCAAGCTCAGCACGATTATGCTCCAGCGGTGGCCAAGGCCTCCCGATGGTCGATGTGGTGTGGCTTGTCTTCTTGTCTCCATTTAGTGGATGCGGTCTGGGCCTGGCTGGCTAAGGCTGTCAAATCTGCCATGATGATGAAGATTCCATGCGTTCCTGTCGTCGAACCTTGCGAGGCCGATCAGTGGTGGGTGGGAAGCGTGGATCCCCTGCCCTTGACCGTCAGGTACTCGAGGGTACGGATCGGTACATCGGGCTGCAGGACGGAGCGGAGCCCGAGGCGGTATCCTGAGTAAGCCCTGCTGCAGCCGCCAAGGGCAGGAGTCAAAATGCATCCCATGCCATGCGACATTTGCGGCACTGCAAATCGAAACCAGCCCTTGGCCCTGACTAGGGGAACTTGGGGATAAATACAGTCCCATCCCACTCCCCGCAGCAGCATCGTGGGCTGCTGTGGGCTGCGGTGGATCTGCGCTTGACTGTGTGTTGGCCGTGAATGTTGACAGCCGTGTAGATAGTGTTGCCAGCGTACGGAAACGAGCACGGTAGCGATATCCCTGTCCTCCCGGCGTTAGCCTTCACCTCTGACATTGTCTCTGGCTGAGCTCTCCTCGCAAGGTTGCCCGAGCTCAGGGATGTGGCCTTGTCAGGCCGCGTCTCGGACAGGGCATGACATCAATATTATTAAGGTTTAGCGGAGCATCTCGACCTTCAGCGCCGTTGACTCTGGTCTACTGCTTGACTGCGCAGAGGATAGACGCCGATCGCGATGACGAGCGAGATCTCGTGGCCGCCAAGCGCGGCGAGACGGGCATCAGAACAGCAGCGAGCCGCGATGACTGACAAGGTGCAAAGACGAACACGAAAAGGCTCCTGGGTTGTTTTGTCTCCGGAGGCAGCTCCGGCGGCGCGGTGAACCTTGAAGGGCCGGTGCACGCACATGGCCAACGGGTGGTGATCAAGGCCCGTGTGACCGACGATGGGGGTCGATGAAGCAGTCGCGCATCGGTGGTTTGCATCCGATCCAATCCCACCCACGGCATGCACGTGTGTGCACATTATGGATGCGGTTGCTGGCCTTGTTGAGAGTTGGAGCTCTACCTGGCAGCCTGGGCGTCGAGGTCCAGCGTGCTCGGTCGCGCGGTTCGGACAGACTCGCAAATCAACGACCCGACCATGTGGTCCGCAAAGCTTGATCACGGGAGCAAGTATTTGAGCCGAGGCTCCTGTTGTAGGAGAGGGACAGCCGCCATCGAGGGAGACATCTCGACTAGGTTGTAGGCTGCGGTGGCATGCCCACTGGTGGACTGCATGCTGCCTCTATGGCCTCTTGGTGAACATATCAAAACACAGCAGACAACTACGGGGTTGGCTCCTTCCCCGCGTCCAGGCACGGCAGCGCCATGGCGGCAGCAGCAGCATGTGCACATGTCTTCTTGGTTGCCCGGATTTGGCAGCCACGCAGTGTGCGTGGTTGCCCTCTCCGTCACGCCCGTCTCAAATCGGCCGTGAGGCTCCGGCGTCCAAACAGATGCAGGTGCCAAGGCTGGTCCTGGTCCGCCTCCTACCCCCCCCCCTCTCCCCAAGCGCATTTGAAATCCAAGACGTGGGTTTCAACGTTTGCTTACGGATCGCAACAGTCTGCAGATACACGTCCTGCCTCTCCCCCGACTGCCGACCGTGTGCACACGCACTCTCTTTCTGATGCCCTTGTCCATGTTCATGCCTTGTTTATTTACCAGGTGTAGTCTAATAGTAATCACCCTCACGACCACATCCACCACATTCATCGCCACCCGGTGTGCCATCTTCACTCAAGGTTCCCCGAATTTGTTGTCGTTCGATCCGCTCTGCCGGCGACCGTGCTCTCGGGTATCACAGCACCCCGGGCCTTCGATCTCGTGGGCGGATGGGATGGACTCTGGGGAACCCAAGCCGTCAATCAGGTCAGGTGAGCTCAGCCCAGCTCAGCCAAGCCAGGCCCGGCCGGGCCTGAGTTGCTGCATGCTCTGCCACGCCGTAGATGCCGCAGCCATTGGGTTTGGCACGATGCCGCTTTCTCATGGGGTGTGTAGATACTCACCCACAAGTAGGACGCTAAATTGCGTGGGGAGAGCTTGTGGATACACAATCGACTTTGTTGTCTGAAATTTTCTAGAACCTTTCCGGGTCAGGCTAGCTGGAGACCGGAGGCCGACTCGGTCCCGCGGCGCCCAAATTGCCTCGGCCCAGGATTTGTTTTGGTTTGTTGTTTCACAGTCTGACAACCCCCCTCTCACATGGATCATGACATCTTCACCATCGGCCAGGCCGGCTCCGGCGCCGAGGTCGGTACCGGGAGCGGAGTCGGAGTCGGACTTGGAGCTCCAGTTGGAGTTGGAGTTTGGAGAGAATGCAGGAGTCGGGCTCGCGCCTTTCCAACGACCGCGAGCTTTAGCTGCTTGCAGCAAGGTCGCGGTGTCACGGGCTGCTCCATAATCCCCTTCGCGTCCACGGGGACCACACCATCGTTCGACCCCCCCCCTCCCCTGACCTTGACACCATGTCCACGAGGCTGAATTAGGGTTGCAGCTCCCCTCCCACCCGGCTTGTTGTCGTCGAGAAGCGGGCTCCATCCACCCGGTCAACCGTCAAAGCCCTCGGGTTACTTCCTACTCGCCAGTCTGCCCTCCTTCGCAAGACCCTGCATGGGATCCATGGCAAAATCGACCAGTCCTCACGGCCGTTGCGACGAGTGTCCCTCGGCCTCCGTGAAACAACCACCGGGGCTGCCCAGATCGGCCCCGGCAGTCATCCTGCAGCACGGCGCTCCTTGACCGCCTTCGGCTCCGAGACGTGTCCAAGACCTACGACGGGACCTCACAGGGCCGTCACTTCTGCCGCATCACACCTTTACGGAAGACGAACAAGTCAACATGAGCAACTTGACTTCATCATTATTGTCGATGATCCAGAAATGATCTTCTTTCGTGTTGCATCCTCCGCGAGACTGGAAAGAATCCGCAAGAGAACAATCAGTTAGGCACGATGCTCCGATCTGTCGGTGCGCTCACGCATGGGAAATCAAATCAAGCTGCGACGAGATGTACAACACAACCTTCAATGCCCGATCCAATTGCCGTTGAAGCTGGAGACGGCCGGTGAACCAATCAGCCCAGCTGCCGGCAGCCAAGCCTTGAGGCTCTTTGTGCTCACGCATGCTCTGCCATTAAATGATCTGAATCTGACATCAACGAGGCAATTGACTGGGTTCGTTTCCTGCTACTGGTACCTGAATCACCCGATGCCAAATCCGGATCCAATGACGGGTAGATATCGGTCTAGGCCCGATCGTACTTGCCGGGGAGAGCAAGCCGTTGCAGTAGGTGCATACACATCTGTACCGCTTCCTTGGAAGCGAAGATGTGACTGTATCGGATGGTGCTGGCGCACCGGGTGCATCGATGCTCTGATGATCTTGGTAAGTCCCACCTCACCAGACCACGCCAGATCATTGCAACGATCGGTATGTGGTCAAGATATCAGGGTGCTCCACAGAATACGGTCAGAGGTGCAATCATGCCCATGAAACAGGATAGTTCAAGTTGGTCCTCTGCGGCGGTCTATGAGAGTGTTTAAGACGCACAAGTCCAAGACATTTGAGGGTCTCGCCAAGCGACGACAAGCCCGTTCTTTGCCTGCCTCTGCACCAGCAGACTTGGATCTGCTATGGTAGCCGTGGGCCCACTGGTCATAGTGTAGTAAGCGGGTGCGAAGTGGAACTGATATCGCGATCACGGCTCGCAAGCGCGAACAGTCACTACCCAATCCTGATTCTGGATGAAATACTCGCACGCGTCACGTACGGCAGAGCTCAGTCCCCACGAGTCCAGACATGTACCGCTCGTCACATTGAGGTACAAGATTTTTCTCTCTGTGTCTCTTTTTTTTTTTTCTGGACTTCGGGTGGGTCCATTCCAAATCCCTCCCTGTCGTCTGACAGTGAACGGGCTCCACTCGTTCGTGACTAAACTTGTGAAAGATCCTCTTTTTCAGTAGGGGATAATCCCCATCACCGAAAATTCACCTCAAAATTCGCACCTGGATGACAGACCTGCCAAGTCTATTTTCTTCCATACGGGGAAACAATCCACCTGGGCTGGGCTACTGGGACGCTGAGCATTTCTGAATCAGTTGGAAAGTCTTCAGCAGGTAGACATGGCCAAAGTGGCAGAAAATTCCACGAAGAAATTCCGTCGGGCTGGCAAGACGCGACCATCAGCGCGAAGCCGACGTATGAGATTTGTCGCGAATAACCGCGTGCACGCTGTGGGGACCTCCAGGGCTGCCACCTATTCTCAGAATGCGAATGCCACCGAATTCTGGGAGATAACTCGGCAATCTACTCGCAAATCTCACGCATTCTCGTCTTGTGTGCCCTGCTCTGCCTGCTTCTGGTGGTCTCTAGCCTTCCCTGTTGCACGTGTGGTGTGCGTTTCTAGCCCTTTTTGCAGCTCTAATTACTTTGACGCGATTGATGGCCCCATACGACCGCATGGATCTTAACAATTAGCCTCTGATCGACTCAGAGTGGGACCATTTCCGTAGGGCAGAACTCGGCAGGATGACTTCACGTGGGACGACGTATCGAATTATTCTGGATTATCATCGGTAAGGGTCCGCAAACAAGATTCAACACTGTAGACTTACTTGATGCTGTCTTTTACCTGGTTTTCACCGTGCAGCCCCTGAAGTTTTTTACTGTCCCTCGGAATCTCCGTAGTCCCGGCTGCGGCTGATGCCAGTACCCAGCACACGCTCGGCGCGACGGGTTCACAGTTACAGTTGACGAGGAGGAAACAAACAACGAATCAGAATCTCTCTTGTTGGCTTTGTGTGTTCCAGCCACATAGATCATGTGGCGACGGTAGCTCCGCGCGCGTGTGGACGGGTCACGAAGCAAGGATCCGGGGAAGAAAGACCTACCGGACTGGGGACATATATTCAGTAATAAACAATAGTACCGTGACCGTGGCGCACAAAGAAGTGGAGCAATATATAGGTACCTGATTGTTCAACCTGGGAGCCTGCATTACCTCCATGACATTCTCGGACTTCTCTGACCACGGTGATCTCTCCCCAGTTACGGTGCGGTAAGACACCCTCACGACTGACGGTGCTCATGACATAGGCCAGGCTGACCTTGGGACAATGTCAACTAACCACTAAGCTGCAACACACTCACGATATTTGCATAAGTGGCAAACGATAAGTACCTGTGGCTGAACACTTCTGATATTCACATTTCCCGTTGTTTCAGGCTCCGCAAGGATGCAGCCTGGCGTAAGCCGTATATCTATGTAGCTTACCAGGAGCCGCAACGATTGGCCAGGAACTCGAGACTGCCAGGCACCCGGAGAAGAATAGCGGGACAGGCCAGACAGAAGGTAAATAAACCATGCCGCAGGTTTCTGTGTTTGAAAGATAATGATATCAGAAGCCACCCTGCAGTAAAATGTCCCCAGGGAGGATATCACGCGGACATTATCCTAGGCAGATTATAGGATCTTGTCTTATGGGATACAGTACATAACATTTGAGAAACGCCAACCATTCTAAGTTTCCTGAAAATGTAGACATAGAGTACGCTTACATGCGAGTTCCGAATCTAATGACCACGGGTGGGTCATGACCATAGCCATGTCCAGCATAGAGCTCGAAGACCATGGATAGTGTGGGCTTTCAAGTCCTCAGGACAGCAGGGCCGAACTTCTAGATTATATTGGAAACTTCCAAAGTGTCAGGATTCCATCGTAACTTCTAGATTATATTGGAAACTTCCAAAGTGTCAGGATTCCATCGTCATAGGTAAGAACAAACTTGGCACGCCACAAAGTAGTGACTTATACATGTCACGTCCGGATTTATAGGTTGTGCCGGCGATGTGCTCCAAATAGCTCCTGCGGCTTACATCAGCGCCTACCAGTGAACTGGTGCTCAGGTGCAGAGACCAGGTGGTCATCCCCACAGTCATCCGGGCCTCAAAAATCGCCAAAAGTGTGAATCTTCAACACCATGGCATCGTAGTTGAAGAAGGAGCAAAAGAATGAACCGTGCAGGGATCGAACCTGCAATCTCCTGATTCGTAGTCAGACGCCTTGCCATTGGGCCAACGGTCCTGCGATGGTTTTGCTCGAAAATTTGAAATTAATGTCGCCGGTTTTGACCCGAGCGAGCCGACAAAGCGGTTTGTGCCGCTTACATCCACTCAATTTGCCGCGCCGGGGAACAAGCCAGCGGGTTGTCCCGCAAACAACTACGGCAAAGACTCTAACTCATTGTCTTATATTTGCAGACGGTGGGCGGGTACTGTCTTGACCGTCGATCACAAGGGGCTCGGACGCCACTAAGGAGTTTCCATGATGCAGCACGAGGCGTCATATTTCTCAGTGCGAGTTCTCAAATGCGAGGCACTAACTTCCTAGGTACCCTAAGCCATTTCGAAGACCCGAATCCCACGCCAGCCTTGAAAAGCCCCCCGGTGGCCGAGGGCCGGTCTCACATCAAGTACGGCCCTCGGCCTTTTACTACAGTGGCTGTAAGACCACTCGGCTCTGAGAGACACTGCAATACATAGTAGTTGCCTATATTCAGATACAGGGTGCAATTATATCACGCAAGTTCAACCAATAAACAAAGGCCCGGGGGTTTCCTGTACCCCATCATCGGCTGGCCCCGACACCCTCGCGTCGGGCTCGGACACTCAGGGATGCGACGTCGGCTGCGCAACTTACGATCATCGACCCCGAACTGTCGCACTCCTCGGCACTCACAGGACGCGAGTCCGAGTTTCCTCCCACGCATCTGGGGCGCACATCTGGGGCACGCATGGGATTCACGTGGGCTTGCATAGACAGTATCGGTCTGGCTCGGTAGGCGAAGCGATTATTTCCCTCATGGCGGGACCCTGATGAGGAAACTGGTCGTGACCTCACCTAGTAGGCTTGTCTTGACCTGTTCTAGATTGGCTTGGCCCCATTGTAAAACTGAATCTCTTCGTGGGGTCGCCAGACTCTGATAATATGCTTCCAGAATTCTGGACTCGGCCCTAGGTGGGAATCTGTCCGCGGACGCCACCGTCAGTGTGGGCAGCCACGTCACAGATAGCACTTAAAAAAAGACGAAGACGGTGGTAATGCCAACTTTCATGCAAGCACACAGTTCAATTATGTAATTTTTGGGTATTTCATTGTTAGGATATTATGTGCCTCGTAGACCATTCTCATGGGATAATTGCAGACAGAATGACATACCTTTGGGATGACCTACCTTCGGGATAATCTACCGTGGGATAATCTACCGTGGGATAACCTACTGTGGTGAGCCTATGCATAGACGACCTGCCCAGGGATAACCTGCTGAAGGAATTCTCCACTGTGCACGTTGCATCAGATAAGATACTGTAGGGCAACCTTCTGTAGAATGATCTGCTGAAGAACGTCGGCCCTGTGTGTACGTCTCCTGACAATGCTTCGGAGGCTGTCGCCAGTAGACACATGCAGCCAGGTAGAATGTCTTCAGTATCTTGCCTCCATATTCCTGACCAGGTACACAAATCTAGGTTGTCCTGCAAGCTGCAGCTCACAATTGAACAGGTGTAGGTGTAGGAGTACTGAATCGAGCCATTTCGAATAGAATGGAAATCTTCGCCCAGCCTATATTATATCATGCTCGCCGGGCTCTCTGACGACCTCCTTCCCCTTCCCCTTCCCAGCCATGTGATCTATGCTCTCGAGGGACTGTAAGCTGCTGAAGTAACCCGAGTCCGCGTGACTACTCCCCTCCTCAGCCTGTCCGAGCCATGCAGCGTACTCGTCGCGAAAGTCGTCAAAGTTGAACAAGTCACTCAGGCTAGAAGCTTCGACGACATTGTCCCCTGGTGCTGGTGGGAGATGAGTGAGTCGTTCCGCCGGAAGAAAGTCGGAGGGCCCTGGCTCTACCCCGGTTGGACCTTCACATCCCACTTGCCACTTGAGAGACTCGTTGTCGATGCGCTGACCTTCTTGTTGGCAAATCTCTACCCGTTCAGTTCCTGCATGATGGGAAGATACCCAAGCCACTGATGCGTTTGACTCGATATCAAAGGTTGATACGTTGTGGAACGCGAGGCTATTACTTCCGGGCAGTGCAAGCTGCGGAAACATTTCTGTTGGCTGGGATGCTTCACCCTTGCGGTTCTCACCGAACATGGCCGCTGGGGTTTCTAATTTCTGCTGAGGAAATGTGCTGAGAACTTGCGAGAAAATGTCTCGCACTAATCCTTCAAGCATATCAGGTCCCAGCGCCTCACGGATGGTGGCGTCAACGGATTCTTCGAGTCGAGGTCGTATCAGTCGCGGCAATTCCCTGCTTACATGCTCTCTCAAGGCTGTCAGGAGTGACTCTTGGCCCTTTCCTGAGTTACCACGCTGAAAGTCTACGCAAAACCATAGGTCAGTATACCGCCCGCGCAACATCGAATTGCAAGATACTTACACGGTGACGGGATTAGATAGTCGTCAGGAAACAAGATCTTGTACACGTGTATCCATCTGTCATGTTCAGAACTCGCCTCTCTACTTCTCTTCCTCGATTTCAGTTTCATGAGTTGCTCATTGCTGATCCCTTCCTGGGTAGAATCATCTCGCACGACATTGCACGCTATGTCTGCTTGACTGTGCTGCAAGAGCTTCTCGGAAGATTTGAAGATCATGCGGCATCGGATGCATTGAAACGATGGTAAACGATGGCATCGATACAAATGTTCCCTAACACACGCATTAGCCATCGCCGATGAGATATCACTAGTGAGCGAACGGGGCACTGACTTGAGGCGGAATATTGCTTTCCAACCAGAAGCTGAGCAGCTTCGTATTTGACCATATTTCCGTGGGTTGTGCTTCAGGAACGGGCATGCGAATTCCACGATCTCGTTGTCTACAGCATCGTACCCCTGTGACGGAGGCGGCACACGCTCCTCGCCGTCACTATCTTCGTCATCCGGACCACGTCGACCTTTGTAGCATCCCTTTCTTCTTTTCTGATTCGGTCCATCAGTCGTCCCGCAAGTCTGAGTCTGCGGCAAACAAAATCGCCGAGGGCTCTCCTCGCAGGTACCGTGTGTCTGAAAGGCGAGCACACTGAGCCTCAAATCTATCCACGTGATCATCCACGAAATTGTCCTGTCAATCAAGGCATCTCTGCGTGATGCTGCGAGACAAGGTGGTGAGTTGGGACCTTCAGATCCTGAGGAAGTCTCGAAACTTTCTCCGTCGGACATATCTGACCTGTCGTACGGCATCTCCTCTGGGACCAGACCACATTTGCCAACCGGAACGAGTGCTACCCGCCCTCTCGGGGTTTGTTCCACTGTAAGACCACCAGTTGATGTCGAGTCAGGACTGAGGACTAGTAATGGAGGAGCCGTGGACCTCAAAGAATATCGGGTCTGCTTAATCGTTGCATTACTTGGTTCAGAATCGATGGGCTGGCCTCGGATTTCAATCTCAGCGATTGGTTTTGCGCGCTTCTTGCGGCACTTTTGAAGTAGCAGGTGGCCGTTCCGTGCTGTCGTGCTGGCGAAATCGGCGCCACAGTCCGGGCAGGTCGCCTTGGTGGTCTCGGGCATCTCCAAGTCTTCGACCGATTCCATGAAGGGGGACTCATTAATATACTGAACAGGAGGAATGCCGAGCCGGAGGCTGTCTGTGGGGTTCCAGTGACGTTCGTAGTCATCAGCTATGGTCTGAGGGGAAGCTATGTAGGGCGGTGGCTGTTCCAGCGCGTTTGCAACCTTTGCATCCCTGTATGCTACCAAGTTCTGCGAGTCCTCATTCCAGGAGTGGTTTCTCGATGAAGGCGGTGTTGGGAGGGGGTGCATGAGCCGGCTCGCATGAGAATCCCTGAGGCCCAAGGCCAACGGGATGTTCGTCCTTGCTGGGCGATCCGCATCACTGCTTTGTTGGCCAGGTTGATAGACTGTCCCAGGAGTGGAGCGATCCGACGCTTTTTTGAACAAGTCCCTCAGCGTCTCGAGGTCAACTGATGCCATCTTCGTGAGACGAGTGAGAATTCAATGTGGACAGTCGAGTCCTGAGGTTCAACAATACAATATAATCTGTCGTGTGGTACGTTTTCATGACTTTCTCAAGATGATATCAAGGCATTGCCATGTTGTTCGGTTAAGGAGACAGTACATAAAATAGCTGACAAGGCTCTGAAGTAAGCGCAGGCGACTTGTGCGCTGCTGCGCGTAACCAAGTCAGCACTTCAGCCAGTTCGGGCACACTGCATACCTGGACCACCAATGATCAGGGGGCGCATGCAGCATCGTCGCCAGGATCCTGTTCTACCCCGTAGAGATTTGAGGCCGCTTAAAAGAGAGAGAAAAAAGCTGCTTTTGAAAAGCGTAATAACGCCAAAGAGTGACATGGTATAAGCAAGTCTGATTCATTAATACTTTAAAGGTTATTCTTCTATCCAGTCCACACACCACGCACCATTACACACAGAACATGCCATCTATCCCCTGAGATACACAGGCGGAGATCAGCTTCGAGCGATGCCCATCCTCCTCGCCTGCGCGATCATCTCGTCGACGAGCCCCTTCTCGGCCGGCGTCAGGAAGCCGTATAGGTGGTTGTCGGTGGTGAGGCAGCACATGTTGCCCTCGCCGAGGATCCAGGCCCCCGGCTCGCGCACGTCGCGCGGCTCGATGAGGTAGCTCTCGAACGTGCCAAACTTCCACTGCCGCCGCTCGAGGAACTTGTTCATGACCAGCCCGCCGTTGAACCAGAACGGCTTGCCCTCCAGGTCAAGGTGCAGCAGCTGCGGCGCGCACATCCGCCGGCTCGGCAGCGGGCCCGGCGGCGGGGCGGAGGGGGCCGGGGTGAGGTCGGCCTCCGGGTCGAATTCGGGGTCGAGCTCCGGGTCGAACTCCGGGTCGGTGGCGTTGTCGGGGATCGCCCATTGTGGGAGTTGGGACTTTTCGGCTTCCATCTCCTCGCGTGTCTTCATTACGCCCAAGGTCCCCGTGTCGCCCTGGTGGAAGACATAGTCCGTGTCGCCGACCAGTTCGAAACCCAGCCAGAATGTCTCCTTGTCGCCTGAGGGGTGTGGTCAGAGTCAAATTTCATGAAAGAAAGAACCGCTGGCCTCGGATGAACTCACCATACACCATGTCGTATACACCGACTTTCTTATCATCTCGGTTGCCATCCCGGTCGGGCCCGTTCATCCTGGTGACGAGAAGCATTGCCATGAAGTGCCTGTAAGTGTCAACGACCAGCACACCGCTCTCCTGCTGGTGGCCGCTGTCGCCTGTCCACAGCCTGCTTTGCTTTACGTTCCGCGAAACGGGCTGAGGGAGGATTGTTTGCAGCCAGCTCCTCCTGAGTTCTGGCATGATGAGACGGTCCCGGAAGAACAAGGCCCCCGTCTTGACATACCCAGGATCATCGAACATCACCTCAGGGTTTCGGAAGAAGAAACTGTCTGAATCGATGACTATTGTTTTGGTAGCGTGTTAGTACGTCTTGTACAACTCAAGCTGACGAGATCTAGGGACGCGGCACCGCATCAGGCTTAATATTGTACTTACAGATGACCTCCCGGAAGCTGGACAGCAGGATGGCGAAGGGCTTGATAGCCCATCCCGCGAGCGTCCAGCCCTTGTCGCGGACCATGGACCCAATGTCCCTCGTCACCACGCCCTCGAGGTCCTCGAGGTCCTGCCTGGAGTCGCGGTTCAGGTCGGCGTCGCTGCCGTACATGACCTCGATGGGGAGGTCGCACCCGAGCCTGCGCAGGATCGGGATCTGCGTGAGCAGGTACGCGACCTGGTCGTTGCCCGCAGTGAGCGCGATGCCCCGGCCGCCCTTCTGGATGTGCGAGCGGAGGGTCATGTGGTCCGGGAAGTACGGCGCCGTGAAGGGGAACAGCAGCTCGCTGAGCTGGACCAGCAGCTGGCGGTACGACTCGTACGCGTGGATGGTCTCGGCCAGGTCGTTGCTGCCGTCTTCCTCGCTGGAGCTGCGGTGCTTCTCGTGGATGTACTGGATTATGTCGTCGCGGATGTAGGTGCCGCCCTCGGAGTCGGGCACCAGGTGCAGGTCCTCCCATGCCTCCAAGTATTTCTTGTACCTTCGTGTGCGGATCCCGAGTTCCCGGAGGCGTGCCTCACCGGTCATTCCGTCTAGCGGTTGTAAAAGACCGCGAACCTCCAGCTCCCCGGGCAGAAGGTTGATGACCCGTGTGAAAGCCTCGTCAAAGTCTTTGCTAGGTACAACCTGATGAATCTTCTTTGCTTGTCCTCCGCCCGGACGCTTGCCATAATTCCTGCGCCCTTCGCGGTCCTGTCCGGAGAAAGGAACCTGATCCACCGGCTCGGACAGAGTGCTAGGATCAAGTCCATCGACATCTTCCCCCAAGCCTGCATCAGCTGGTCCCACCGCCTCTGATGTTATGTTCTCCTCGACGCGAGGGGGGGCATTCTCTGGTGGCAGAACTATTGTTTGCTCTTCAGAATGTGGAAAGTACTCGTAGATGAAGACTAAGATCAAAAGTAGCCATATTGTGAACAGTATCCGCCGCGTCTTGTGAGCCGCTCTCGAGTTCCCGCCCAGGGGCAGCAGGATCCGGCCTTCTTTCAGAGGCGAGTCGGGAGGTGAGAATAATGCGCCCATGTTCAGGGGGATGTGCATAGGAGGTGCTATCATGCGCCGGACGACGATGCCAGGTGGCTAAAAAAGGCAACATGAAGAGCTGACAGTGGGCAGCTCTTTTCTGAAAATCCGCGGTTCTGCGGAGGGAGGACGAGACGGCGCGGGAATCCATCATGCTGGGACGCGCAGGGGAAAGTAGTAATCTACTGAAGAAAGGGATGATCGAACACGCGCAGGTATTTCAATAGATTCCAGTCCGATCCAGTCCAGTCCAGTCCAGTCGAGCCCACCAAGGGAGGTGTCGGGTGTCAGCTGGGAAACGTTGTGGGTGTTAGCTATCACGCCGCCCATGCCGAAAGGGATCCTCTCGGGACGGCATTCCGAGCGGGATAGGCTTCCATCTCGCATGTGGGCTGCTGCAGCTGCATGTGAGGGGAATTTGGTCACCCGCTGTATCAACTCATCAAGAAGCTGTCCGCCCTGGATGAGCATGTCAAAGAAAGGAAGGCAGGAGACATGATTAGCCTGTTGACTATTCTGGGAGAGCATCGTGTTGTTAGCTTGTCGGCGCCACATTCCTTGGACTCGAGAAAGCTTTGGGAAACAACGGAGGACCCTGGTCCGCGCTTAAGTGCTGTAACTGAGCTAAGCTGCCTTGGGTACTGTGACCTCTTGATTTCAATGTGTGTCTTGGCTTTAAGTCACCGCAGCGGGTGCCTCAAGCTTGTGCCAAAAAGGGAAATCTCTCTTCCTCACATGCCAATCTTCCTCGCCAGCACCTCAAGGGCATCCTCTTCCTCCTCATAACCAGCGTCATCAACCTCTTCAAATTCAATAGTCTCCTCCTCCTCCGATCTACGTTCGGACCGGGGCGAGGCTGGACAAGAACTGCCCGTGCTGTCGTCCGCGATCAGCGAATTATTGTAGGTGCTGTCAGCGCTCCGCAAGCCCTGTGTGCCAGCCGGCGAGGTCCTCTGCTGGCCCTGTACCTCCTCGCCAGTCTCCGTGAACAAGGTCAGCATTTGGCCGCGATGGACGACCTGGCCGCTCGATGTACGGACGTAGTCGTCACCAATCTCGCCGTCTTCAGCGCCGTCTCCTCTTTCAGTTGCGTAGCCTTCTTCCTTGGAACTGACATCTTCGAGAGCCTGTTGTGTCTCCACCTCCAGATTAATGGCATCGGGTAAGGCTGTATCGCTCGGTATCTCAAATTCCACATCTTCAACTGCCACATCTCTGTCCCGGGCCTGTTGGCTTTCATCTCGGTTCAGCCAGACAGACTTCTGCAGTGGACGCACGTCGCCCCCTCGCCCCAATGCCACACGCGCCAGCTCTCGATGGAAGAGCCACGGGAAGCTGATGAGCGGCATCTGGATCTCCTCCGATCCGCCCTCACCATTCGGCTTTGGCATCGATCGCTCCCTCAGCGCGGCCCTCACATCGTTGTGGGTGACTGTGTACATTGCCGCCACGAATCGATCGAGCTTCTCGACGTTGACAACTGAGCTGGCGGGCGCAAATCCTTCCGTCTGGATATTCCCAGTCACAGCCTCCATGCACTCCGCTTTGAAACGTGCTTTCAATGCGGCCATATCACGGCCAACATTCTCTTGAAGCTTATAGTCGCTTCCCACACGCGGCCTGGACAGAATGAATGTGGACCAAATTTCGAATTCGGTGACAGGTGCCTCGTGTTGTCCCATGAGACGGCGCATGGCGATGTCATATGCGGCTTTGATTTTGCTGGCCTTGGCCAGGGTATCTTCCTCCAGCTGGTAGCGCGAGAGGATGCGCGCGTCGAAGGGCATTTCGTATGCGGCGTGGAACTCTTCGATCTTGATCCGGTCATAGATCTGACCGAGCGCCGAGCGAGAAGGATAGTTACGCTTCTTATCCTTCTCTTCCTTATACTTCTCCATCCAATGCGGCCATTTTCGAGGCTGGAGGTGTCTCTTCATGACCGCAGGTCTGCCAGACTTAATATAGTCGACAGCAATGGAGTGGAGCTTGGCGAGTTCGATGCCTGCTCGAGCTGTCAGATAGTTCCGTCAAGAATAAGGTGACTGCGGTCTACTTACATTTCGGGTTCTTGACGCCCCCTGGCAATTGGTCTGCCTGGGCAAAGTGCGCAGTGGCGATTCGGCCCAGGGAATCGTTCTTCATATATTGGGCAAAGAAGCTGGTGACATCCTCAATTGTCACATCTGCCGACTTATCAAGTCCAGGAGTGGAGGAGTCCGCATCGTGGTCCAGGGGCGGATGGTCCCACTCAGGTGGGATGAGTCGCTCATCCCAATAGACAAAGTAATCATCTCCGTCCATATCACCTCCAGAACACATGCTGGGAATGTCCCTGTCCCCAGTCTTCGGGAAAACGACGACGTTCTTCAAGTGTCGAAGCTCAGGCACGTCTACTGCCTCAACAACTCGCACATCTCCAGGATGGAGTGATGGGTTGCGGCCAACGACGCAAATCCCAGTGATAACTTCGTAGTTGGTGGTACTTCTACCATCGTTGCCCTCAATAGGCACTTGAAGGAAGATTTGTGGGAGCGACTCGATACTATTGTATCCCCTGCCTTCAGTGGCTTGCGAGTGACCCCTCAGCACACCAATCTCGTCGACAACGCCGAAGACCATGGCGCTGTTCTTGACACTTATAGCGAATTTGTGCTTCAACCTCTTCAATACCCAGCACTTCCACAAGCGAAGCAGGGTCCAGAGGAATGGCTCTTCGGAATCCATGAACGTGTCGACCATCTCTGCCATGGTCAATGTCGTCTGGTTTTCATCGACTTGAGATCGAAGGAGTTCACCAGCCTTTATGGAATCTGCCAAAGCTTCGTCGTACTCTTTGAGCTCATCATAGAGCATGCTGACGAAGACGGACTTGTCCACACCAAGGGCGACTAGGACAGGAATGACCTGCTTGTTGAGAGTGGCATGGGAGAATGCGGAGGTCTTGATGATCTCGAGGCCGTTGTATACAGCCTTGAACTTCTCTTGAGAAGGTCGGACGTGGACTTCGCTCGGCGGGACGTCAGGCCAGACCACGACCACGCCCTTGCAGCCGCCCATTCTCATCTGGAAGCATGAAGGCGTCTCTGGCAAGTCGCGCTCGCTTGCGATCAGTTTTGCAAAGAAGTCGGATATCTTGCCCACTCCATCAGTGAAGTTCCAGGTGTGGTCATCAGTTTGTCGCCGTATGTCGTCAATCTGGCGAATCTTTGGTATGCTGATGCCATTGACTTGACGTGTTGTGGTAAAACACTGACCCATTCTCGCAGCAAATTTGCCGACAGAGCGTATATGCCGGAAGTCTCCCATCCATTCGCGTATGGAGTCACAAGTAACATGATCGGTTTCACAAAAGAAGAATGCGCCGTTCTCCCTGAATTGTGAGTTGCTGAACGCCAAGAATTTGTAATGACGGTCGCCTATGATAATGCCGTTTTGCATGACCCTGTGAACACGAGTGTACACGTTGTCATCTTTGTTGGAACCTTGAGAAGAGAATATCTTGCCAAAGGTAATCTCATCCGTAAACTGGACTCGGAGGAATCTGTCGTTCAGGTCAGAGTACTTGCGAAGGATCCTGTTGGTCAATTCGACGCAAGGAGTTTTGAAATAGATTGTGGTTGGAGTGATGACGGCCCTGCGGACCAGAGTTGCGTAGGGAGGAATTCTAGCATTTGGCCAGTAGTGCAGGACCTTCGGATCGTCAAACATCTTCATGGGTTCGTAGAACTGCCTGCTGGCTTCGGCGACACCTTCGAGCATCATCCTGGCTCTATCGGCATCGAAGCTATTGAGTTTGTCGAGAAACTGGGAATCGACGCTGTATTCATCGAGGAGACCATGAGAGATGCAGACTTCCAACTGATACCGCACTGGGAAGTCGAGGTGATAAGTATTTGTCGAACTAAGAAGCTCGAGTGTCATCTCAACCGAATTATCAAGCAGTTTCCAGACATTGGATGGACCGGGACTAACGAGCTCAAAACGGTTGACTTGTACAATCTGGACGTTGTAATCTGCCAAGTATTTTCTGACAACTTCCCACTCACTCAAAGAGGAGTCAATGTCGAGATAGTAAGTTGTCCAGCGGCCACATTCGACGTATTGCCCAACTGGCTTCACGAGACTGGCGGGAAGGCGTTTCAACTTGTGTAACTCGCTGGATATGTCCGTCTTCCGGGCCCACAAGTCCCATTCCTGCCACAGCGACTGGTCATCATCATGAGAAACGGGTAAGCGACCATAGATTTTGGGAGGGCTGGGAAGCAGCATGGCCAAACCCCAGGCGCCGTTTTTGCGGGTGCCCCAGATGAACTTTGTGGGGTGGCTGAAATCAATTTGCAATTTGAAGGCTTTCAAGCCGTAACGGCCAAGTTTGACCTTGAACTGAATCTCGAACAGTCGCTTGGAGAAATTCGTCAACAGCACAACGTCCTCATAGCTGAACTGTGGCAGGTTCCACATGGTTGATTCGCTGGCCATCATTCCAAACACCAACTTTGAGGGCAGGAACTTCTTCTGACAGAACTGTGGGGGGATGGTCCTGTTGCAAGGCGTCCGAGTGCGGTCCGGGAAGAATGGTCTTGCTTCGAATGACACTGTCACTTTCGGGGAGTCTGCTCTAGTGATGGTAAGGAGGTTGTCAGGGCCGCTCCATGTCGGCCATCTGCTCGGAGGCGGCTCAACGATGACTCGCGCCTTTCCGGTTCTTGATCCGTCGTCGTTCTCATATATCTCGACCCTGCCGATGCTGAGATGGATGGCGGTCAGGGACTCCCAGATTTCTCGGATTTTGATGTTTTTCGGAAGTCCGAACAGGTCGATGGTTAAGCTCTGAGCGGAGCTCAGGCCCGCACCTGTCAACGGAGCGGGCATTCTATGCTTTTGCAGACGCTGCTGTGCATGTTGCTGTTGTTGCGCAGGCACATATTCATTCTGCTGTGAAGGTGGGAGACCCCGTGGGCCATTTGTCCAAATTGGGGCATTGTTATGGACCGAGCGGCTTGAGTGGGATCCCGAAGGGCTGCTTCTTTGGCGTGATGCATTGGCATTGGAAGTGTTTGGAGTTCCCAGAGGTGACGGTAGTTTTTGGGGGGCGGGAGCTTGGGTGTCGGAACGAAAGGAGCCAGCCGTGTGATCCGCCACAGGAGGGCCACTGGGGGTAGAAGTTCTGGAGCTGTCATCAATACCTTTTTGGTGTGGCATTGAGGCAGTCTGGGTGTCGGAAGGCTGAGTGAAGGTACTAGATTGGGCCAGAGGACCTCTGTCAGGTAAGGTAGGAGATCTGTCCTGAGAAGACATGCTGGTTTTGTTCGGGATGAGTGAGTGAAATGGATCCCACTTCTTCTTGTGATTTGTGTGGTGACTCTAAAGCCTTGAAAGACCCAGAAGGTATCAAAGTATTGAAGTGTTGTGGCCAATGTGGCCAATTCCACCCGTTAGAAGGTTCCTCAACGCATGGAAACGGGCTGGGGCAGAGGTTGAGGGTCGCGTTTGATGACCGATAATGGAGGGACGGTATTGAACAGAAGATTTCTAATGATCAAGTCACCTCAACTGGTGACGTTGTGAAGTCTGCGAGCAGTGAAATGCCCATGTGTTTGGAGCTGATCTCTGTTGTCTGTTGGCGCCTGAGACCAGAAGCCAGAGAGCGAACGAGGGCTCGAGGAACGGCGAGGCGGTGGCTTTTATCTGTGTCAAGCAAGCAGAAGCCGTCCCAGAACCACAATCAAGGACAATGAACAATGAAAAGTGGTGACGACCTGGATTTGTGGTCAGACGAAGAATGGAAAACAATAGGAAGCTTGGTTGTGGGGTGGTTGGGGACGAGGAGGAGAGAAGGAGCTCTGGGCGTTTGTTGAAGCTTCCCTGAGGAGGACCACCAGCAAACATTGGCTGTCAGTCAGCCAATTGATAGGATGCACCTGCACCTGGGCGATGTGCAAACTTCTCGGCAACCGCGTAAAGACGACAGCGAGGGAGGCACGTCCTGACATACGCGTGTGTGTGCGGAAGTCTGTCGGAGAGACCCTTCCCATCCTGTCAACATGCCACCACCCGCAAGTACGTCAATCTCCGTCTGATCTTTTGGCCAGGAGCAGAGTAAACAATGTGCTTTTCGATATGTGCTGACTTCCAAGGTTGTATGCACCTGCCCGCTCAAGATAGGAGAACAGGGGACAATGCTCCCTTGGGACTTGAGTCCATGCTGTCCCACTCATGCACTGCCAAATTCACTTCAGTACAATGCAATGTAATGCAATAAGAACCGGCCATTTGATCCATCCGACCTCGCTTTTCTGATACCAGATACCGCTCATGCAGCCTTCAATCTGATGTCGCCTGGCCAAATCGTGCTCCACTTGTTCGCTCCATCCAAAATTCTACCCGCTATCTGGTACTACCAGAGGTCCCTGATGCCGTCACGATTGGCGATCAAAGATCTTGCCAGGGTTCCTTTGCAAGCAGTCAGCCACAGGGCCTCATTCACCGCACGAGGGTATTGTCACGGCACACTCACATAATCCAGCGTGGATCCAGGGACGCCTTGATGTCCCGCATGACATCCAAGGTCTCGGGCCCGACCTCCAGCAAGAGACTCTCCTTCTTGCCCCACCCGATCGAGTGCTCACCAGTACACGTGCCCTCCATGTCAATCGCACGCTTCACCATCCTTTTCACACACCCCTCGACCTTCTCCCGCTCGCCGTTGACGGGGTTGTACAGGATACTCTCGTGAAAGTTGCCATCGCCGATGTGCCCCAGGATAGAGGCAAACAGTCCAAGCTCATCCATCTCCTTCTTGCTGACCTCGATGATGTCAGCCAGTCTACTGAAGGGGACGGCCACATCGGTGCTCCCTATCATCAAAATTCAGCAAATGCTCTGCACACATAAAGATACATGCGATTGATAAGAAGGAAGGGGGCAAACTCACAGACTTCCTCTCCGCCCTTCCGCAGCGCAAGCATGCTCCACAGGCTCTCCTTCCGAGCGCTCCAAAGCAGCTTCTGCTCCCTGGAGTCCTTGGCAAACTCAAAGTTAGACCCGCTGTTGCGCTTCGCGATCCGCTGCACGCTGCCAATGTTCTCCTTTACGGACGCCTTCGTGCCTGAGAACTTGAAGAACAGCGTCGGGACCTCGTCCCACACGCGAGGCGCAGTCGCCCCGCCAAGGTTGACCACGCGCATCTGCACCTCGTCCATGATCTCCATCGCCGCGACGGGGATCCCTGTCTGCATGACCTCGGCGGCGGCCGCGGCCGCATCGCGGATCGTGGGGAACGTCACCACCGCCACCGAGAGGTCCTCCGGGACGACGGCGAGCTTGAGGGTTGCTGTGATGGCATGTCAGAGAGGCACAAGTGATGGCTCCGTGTATAGAATCTTTACCTTCCGTCACCAAGCCCAAAGTACCCTCGGATCCGACGAATAGACCATTAAGATTATATCCTGCCGAGGACTTTCTCGGCCGCCGGCGCGTCTTGACGATCCTCCCATCAGAAAGCACGACAGTCAAGTTGATGACCCAGTCTTTCATCGTGCCGTACTTAACGGCGTTGGTGCCAGAACAGTTCGTCCCAATCATGCCTCCTATCTTCGCACTCGGGCCTACCTCGCTTGGTCAGTCTTCACGTTGACGTGGCGTGCGTAGCTTCGCCGGGCACAGTTGACTCAGGGTTATGTCCAATTTGTGCCAGTCAAGTTGGCGATCTCAGGGCAGACTCACCAGGGTCAACCGGGAAAAACAGCCCACTGCCCATCTTGTTCAACTGCTCATTCAGGTCCTGCCACCCGATGGAGGGCTGCACGACGATGTCCATATCCTCTTGGTTGAACTGGATAATCTGGTCCATATAGGCGAAGTCGACGCTGATGCCGCCAAACGGGGCCGAAAAGTTACTAGCTCTTGTCAGACAAATTACATGTTCTAACCCAATATGATACTTGATTTAATTTAGAAAAAAGAACCTACCCCTCCAGTGACGTCCCGCCCGAATAAGGGATAATGGGAACGTGGTACTTGTAGCAGACCTGGGCGATGGTGCTCACGTCCGCCGTGGATCGCGGGTAAGCCACAGCCACCGGCAGGCTTTCTGTGTTCACGGTGGACCACTCGGAGTATCCATGCGCGTGGAGGTCGTCCGGGTCCGTGGAGATTATGTCCTCATCGGGACCGATCGCGTCGCGGATCTCTTGGATGGCCTGTGTTGCTCTGTCAGTCCTACGACCCAGTTTAACTTCTGCGCTCGGCCTCCTGCATTTCGCCGCAACAGAGTGGGTTCCTTACAATCTCCATCTCCCTCATGCTGGCATACCGCAGCAGCGGCTTCTTGCTGTCCAGCAACGTGGACCCCTTCCCCTTCCCGCCAGTCGCCAGCGTCGCAAGCCCCCAGCCCAGGACGCCGGCAAGGAGCGCGACTCCGAAGACGCCATTCCCGGTCCACGCCGGGGCCGAGTCACCCCCGGCAGCCGGGCTGGGCGCAGCCTTGGCCGCCGTTGCCGCGTTGTTGGTGCTGGCGAATCTCCGGTTTGGTTTCGCGGTGATCGGCAATGCAGGCGAAGCACGCAGGTTGATTCCCCTGCAGGCGACAGTGGCGCGCCGCCCGAGGGCACAGGCAGGCGGCAAGGCCCTCCAGGCCGATCTGACCGACATGCAGGCGACGGGGTTGGGTGCAGGTGCCGAGTATCACAAGCTTGGCCTCTGATTGGGAGTCAGGCAGCTATTATGCAGTCTATTGAGCTCAGGGCTGGGAGATGCCACGGCAGTTGCTGCAGATCCGAGACAACCCTTGAGAATATTCCTGGTGCTAGCCGGTGAGGCGTTGTTCTCTAGCAGCTGAGGTCGATGACAGAGCCCGCGAGCGAGAAATCAGTTTGGGAGAAAGGGTGATGACTGATGTAGAGAGCCGGGGCCAAGACAGCAAGACAAATCGAGCGGCATGAACCGATATGTCGTGCCAGGCGCCAAAAAGTTTATGTAGGTGGGTGTGCGAAGTGGTGTGGTCAACTCAAGAAAGTAGGCTAGATATCTACTAAGCAGGACTAGGTAGGGCAGCAAAGGATGACGGCAAAATTGACTCGTAGGTGAAAGGAGCAGAGTCTCCTGTACCGAGCAGCCTGAGCTGGATACGGAGTGTGTGAGGGATCAAGGCAATGCCTTGAGTAGGTAGGTGGTAGTGTGTTGCCAAGGAGTGTCCGGTTCTAGATCGGATCGATGAGAAGAGTGAGTGACAGCGGGAGAACTTGAGGGCATCCACACGAACAGGTGTGCTTGGGTGTGTGTGTGTGTGTGTGTGTGTCCTACAGGAGAGTCGAGATATGGGTAGGCCAACAGACACGAGGATGGGGGTGTACATGAGCCCATTTATATCACATCTATGAAGCCCGCTATACTGCCAGCCGAGCCGGGGTGCAGTCAATGGCGACCGACCTTGGGTCTCGTGAGTGGAGTCGATGCTCCAAGACCCAATCGGTGACATGAGGGGGGTTTTGACCAGTCTGACCAAAATCATATGGAATACAAAGGAAGAAGGGGGCGGAGCCCGGCAGCTAGGTTCGCAGACAGGGAAGTTGTCTGTTGGTGCTGGCAGAGAAGGGCTACGACGAGCTAGATGTGACAAACGTTGTCGTCCAAGACATTAGGAGAATGAAGGAGTCTCGTGGTGCGGAGGCGAGGCGGCTACTGGCCATTGAGTGAGTGATGGGCCGACACAACCCTGCCGAAAAAGCGATGGAAGGATCTGGGTTACAAGGCAGTGTCTAGTTCAGGGCATACCCACGGCTGTCCACGCTAGGTGCCACATTGACGGATTAGTCTACCTTGTGCGAAGAGGCCCGGGCTAGAGGAAGAGGGCCGAAACAGAGTGACCACGCAAGCTTTGGGATACTTCGGTATCCCGCGTGTCTCGCCGGCTCGAGCAAGGGTTCGTGCCGGTCGAAGCCTCTTAGCCCCGTGGGGTGGATCGGATGTATTGGGGCTAGGAAGCCGGTCCAGCGCTTGCCAGTCCTCTTTGAGCCTGAATTCCGACCTCGCTCACCAGTCCTCCTGATGCCGTTGACTTGCACGAGAGGAAGACAACTTGGGTCTTCCCACAAAAGTCGGCTGGGTGTCATCGTGGAGCTTGCCTGCTGCTCGAAGAAGGCTGAAGCCAAGGTTGACTAATGTGCCCATGTTCTATCACTGTCAGACAGTGTCGCCCAAGCCCTTGCCGGCGAATAGTCAGCCGCAAGTGATGTCTCAGTGCCTAAACTCTGTCTGGAGAGAATCACCCCCAAGCCCAGTCACTCGGAATTCGCTAAGGAAGTCCAATAGCCTTGGGCAGATCGAACCCATTCCGTCCTACCACGCGCGCAGCTGGTGTAAAATCTCCAGGAGTTGCGGTGACGGTCCAGACAGTGGAAGGGGAACGTGGAGGAGGCCCTCCTCCGTCTTGGGCTGTCAACCTCTCTTGCTGTGCTGTTCCGGTTCGGATAAAGAGAGCCCAGCGAATGACGTACGCAGTCCAATTGATGTTCGAACCGCGAGGCACGAGACTGTGAGACCATGCGCTCAACCCTACTTCTGAACACCCAGCAGAGCTGGAGGGGCGTGACGGAACCTTACAGTCATCCTCGGGGTCGACAGCCACCCCCTCGGCAGGGCTAGGCCTGCGAGTGTAGTCAACTCGCATGCGAGCTACTGCAAGAGAGCCAAAACGACCATCAAGTGCCAGCTGATCGTCCGGCCGGCAGACAGACAAGGCAGGGTACCGGACCAGAAAATGCATCCCATTACGAGATATTCTGCGTCGAAGTCAGAAGGCCCGGAGATGCGGCGGTGACACAGCCGTGATGCGTGGCGACGAGGCGCTGTCTGGGGGCGGGCGGGTACATGCTTCTTCTTCCCCCAGACTTTTGAAAGCGCGGGGAAAGGTGTCAAAACGCCTGTGGTGGAACCTAACGGAACGAAACCGGTCCCACACTGTGGCGGCTGAGGTCTTGTTAATGTGCTGCTTCGGGGCAATCTTTGGCGACAGCTGAACAGCGAAGGAAGAGGTCATGCTAGGATTTGCCTAGGTCGATCTGATGTGTTCGTTCAGCCCCACCGCCTGGCGATTAGACCAGATGGTGATCATTGCGCCCCTTCCAGATTAGGTATTCCGAGCTTTCCTCCCACGCGGTCCCAGCTTTTCTTTTAACCCGGGGTTTCGAGGACCCCGTCAATAGAAGTCTGCGACGACTACTTCGGTTTTGCATTACGGTCACCAACCTCGAAGGATCATATCTAGCTTGCATGAGGCCAGAGACCAGGCCAGCCGTCTGCAGGTACCCAGGTGCATACAAGAATCACAGAAATCGTGCATTCGCACACTGTCCAGGCACGTGCGAACCATACCGCGCATTGGCGGGCCGGCATATATAACGCCCTTCTTAACATCTGTTGTGCGACCGGGACAACGTATAAAGGACTGCGCCGTAATAAGGCACCAAGGCTGAGCCCGACCGTCGGCGCCTAACGTAGCCATACGCCGGTGGTCAAAGGGCGTACACACCAAAGCCCCCGTGGCAACTCTTGTGCGACGGCAAAGTCGGTGTGCTCTCCGGAACCAACATGCTTCCTACGCCCTTGTCCTGCTTCACATGGCCTGTGGCACTGAGGAAAACTCGGTCGACAGCCCCGGCAGACACAAGACGTCGGGGTAAACGTAGAACACCCTCCCACCAGTCCCGCGAGAATCAACCGTACATGGGGCGAATTCCAAAGCTTACACGACCTCCGCCTCCCTGTTCTAGGCCTCACACCTGCAACCTCACACGGTCACGAGAGGGCGTCCCATCTACCCCTGAGTGGCTGGAAGAACGGTGCGTAACACGGCAGCCAGGCTGACCGTGAACTTGAGGGGTAAGTAATCAATGTGGGAGTGAGGTAAGCTGAGGCGGCAACCCTTTCGTCCACCCACAGAGGCGGCCTTCTTTTTTTCTTCTTGTTTTCCCCCCTCATCCTCCCTGTAAGGTGTACCGGGGGAGTACGTATCGCGACCTCGCCTCTCTGGTACGGGACGAGATTCCCTCAGTGTACCTGGCACATTGTTTGCAAGGTGCCATCTGTGCGGCCTGCTTTGTAATATCGAGGTAGGACCACTAAGGTAGAAAAAAAATTTAAAAATGGGTTGACGTGAGACGAGAAGTATCACATATCCTCAAGCTTGGAACCCCGTCGTTGATCACTTCGCCATTATCCAACTACAATGCGAGAGCTGGCGCCTTGCTCATGGGGAGCAACCCAAGGATCCCGAGGGGCACGATGAGGCTGGTCGAGAGGCAGCTAAAGACTGGTCGCTACTTGCCTGTAATCACACATGTGATGGGGCGTTGTCGGCTTGCTTGAGAGTTGCTTGGCAAGCATCGCGGCCTGGAGCAAGGGGAGGTTGAGACTCGCTTTAGTCATACATACTCTGAAGGGGTCAATTCTCTGGTGGCGAGCATGCTGGATGGCGCTTGTGCGAGTACTGACAAGGCCTATTGGCCGAGGGGCACAGGTGCTCGCATGTCGTGGGTTCTCTCGAGCCGGCTTATTAGAGCAAGTGAGACACTGAATCTTTGCTGGGCCATTGGTCCGTTCGGAACCCCGAGCGAGAGCGCGCAGTCGGGGACAAGAACGGTGCATATCACGGCAGAGCATAGTTTTCGGAAGAGAAGATAGGACGTTTGCAAGAATTGATTGACCCGTCGACATCATTTGGTCGACTATCGGGTATTTGCTATCTACCATAGCGGAATTCAAAGCCGTAACGTCCGTAACTCCTTGTCCATGCTGTCACTTTTTGTGAAACCCTTTTGCCTTTGACCATTTGACCCAGAAATTTCATCAAGCATTTACTGACCAGCGATGGCGTGAGCACGGCGGCGATCACGCTCCTCAGCGATGGTAAGCTTGACACCCTTGCCCTTGGGCAGGGAGATCCAGGGCTTCTCAGCACCAATGACGAAGACGTTGGACTCCCGGGTAGCGAAGGTGTTGTCAATGGCATCCTTAACGTGGACAATGTTGAAACCACCATCGTGACGCTCACGGTGGGTGATGACACCAACACGACCCATGTTACGACCACCAGTGACCATGGCCAGGTTACCAATCTCGAACTTGACAAAGTCGTCAATCTTGCCAGTGGACAGGCTGCGGTGCACGGATTAGCGGTCGTCCTTGGAAGTTGTAGTTTACAGCGGTAACTAGACTTACTTGACCTTGACAGTGTCGTTGACCTTGATGAGAGGGTCAGGGTAGCGGATGCTGTGGCGGAGCAGGTTAGCTATCATGGGGGAATCTCGAAACATACCAACCGCGGATGATCTCGCTTCGATCATGAATCGCTCTTCCATCGACGAGGGCCGACGTGGGAGGATTCAACCAAAGCTTGGTCCAACGGCTGACAGATGTCGGAAGAACTCACGTTCTCGCATCATGCGTAACCAAGAATGGGATACCGCCACGGCCCAGCTGGACACGCTTGACCTTGCCGAGCTTGTACTCGGCCTCCTCGGCCTGGATGCGGTGGACCGTGAAGCGGCCCTTGGTGTCGTAGACGAGGCGGAAGTTCTCGCCGGTCTTCTCGATGGTGATGACGTCCATGAAGCCGGAAGGGTAGGTCACGTCGGTGCGGACCTTGCCGTCGACCTTGACCAGGCGCTGCATCAGGATCGACTTGACCTCACGGCCATTGAGGGCGTACTTGAGGCGGTTGCGGATGAAGACGATGAGGGGCAGGCAGTCGCGAGCCTTGTGAGGACCAGCGGAGGCCTTGGGGGCGTAGGTGCCGGACAGCTTGTCCAACAGCCAGTGCTTGGGCGCACTGAGGCGCTTCTGGTGCTTCTTAGCTGTTCATCAGGCCGCAGTCAGCATCGTCGTCGTGTGATGTTGCAAATTTAGCCTCGAGGCCGAGAGACCGCTTGATTCACAGGAGTGCAAACGAAGGGGTGCGGTTGCACCAGGCCGTAGCATTTCCGTGGAGCATCAAGCAGAGCTTCGACACCGAGACGGTGAAGGAGGTTTGAGAGATTCCATGACTTACGTCCTCTACCCATCTTGGCGGTCTGTTGGTGGGTGGCTGTCGAATGTGGTCGTCTTACACGGGCTGGCGGGAGGAAGGAGTTCGCAGAAACTCAGGCTCGATTGAAAAGTTGCTTTGCACCCTCGAGAATTTGCAGCTTGTGGGTTTCGTCCGGAGATGCGCTAGTGGATTTTAGCGCCAAATACACGTGACGAGGATGGCCCGTGCTCCTGCCGGCATCCCCTCAATTGAGACCAGCCAGGGGGTGATGCAGGTTCGACTTACCACAAGTACACCCCAACATCACCTTCTCTTGCCCCATGTCGGAAGCCATGGAATATCCACTTGCACAATCATGTAAATGTAAATTTAGATTCAACACGGAGGATGCAAATTGACATACCAAAAGGTGTAAGCCCCCTTCAGATGCGCCCTTGCAAAACCGAACCTGTCGAGCTCTTGCACTCGCGGGCAGGTTAAATCACACGAAGAAGCGCTCTTGACAATGAGACCGGGCAAGACTGGGCAGCCAAATTGCTTCGCTGGATTCTAAGATTGCTCTAGACTCTAGAATGACAGACCTACCGACAATTTTGCAACAGCATGTTGTGGGCTGTCTCGACGCCCTGTCCCAATTACTCCGTGCTGGGCTCCTGCGTCCGCAGCATCTTACTATGACACGCTCCATTGTAACGACAGAATTCCACCATCTCTCATCCCACAGAAAATCCTATGGCAGGTCCCTTGCCACGCCGGACTCCCATCGCAATGTCCAAAGAAATAAAAACATGAAATAATAGTAGGAGTAGAAGTAGAAGAGAAGATTGTTGTTGCCGTTGTTGCAGGAGGTAAAACCTCGACGTTGTCGAGTCATCCCGTCGCCGCGGCCGAGCGGCCGTCCTCACACAGTGGCCTGCAACTTGCTGCCTATACGGATTAATCGAGTAACAGCCTCGATATATCCATGGCAACCAAAGGCCCGTCACCGTCCAGTGTTGAATCCCTTGTATATGAGTCTAGCCCAGGCAACTCATTCGGGTTGTTGTTCGCCGCCGAGCTGTGCAGGGGCAACGTGGCCGTCCCAGACCACTTGTGCGCCATCGTATCCTCCCTAGACCCAGATCTGTTCAGATGTGGCTCCAGGGTCATCAACGAGTTCTCATTGACCATCGTGTTCACGGAAGGCTCCATAATATTACTCCTCGCCCTCGAGGGCGTTGGTGCACTTTCTTTGGCTTGGATCTGCCGCTCCTCAATCTGCTTGTACGTGTCAGGGTACTTGTTGCGCACCCGATCCCTCAGGTCGGTGGGCTGTCTGCTGGACAGGTCGAACCTCGGGTCGCGCTGGATCTTCGTCCAGGCCGGACCGTAGAGCTGAAGTCCCTCGAGAATCTGGTCGTCGTCTTGCTGTGTGAATGGCCGTCTCTCACGACGGTGTGATTTCTTAAAAGGGCCATGAATGCCCATCTTCTGGAGGTCCTCCAGTTTCTTGCGGTGTGCTCGGCTCTTCTTCGGCTTCGTCGTTGAGTCCGAGTCTTGTTGGGCTGATTGTGCTTGGCCCGACGATGCACCTTGGTCGATATCCTTCTCCCAGGACGACACCTGCGGCTCATCCGGATCTGCGAGTATGTCCTCCAGCAGCAGCGCCGTCTTCGTCTTGCTTTTCAGCTTGGGCTCGGCGGGCGGAGCGCTGGCGGAGGCCTCCTGGTTTAGGCTCTCCTTGCTCTTGCTATGCGAGACGCGCAGCTCATCGGGGCAGCACGTGCGGAACCGATCTTTCAGGTCGCCGGCTGTCCGTCCGTTGAAGTTGTACACAGGATCGTCCAAGATGCTCGTCCATTTTCCGACTCCGTATTTGTTCACACCAAGCAGTAGGTCCCTGGTCTCTTCCTCTGACCATTTCCGTCGCGGTTTCGCGGCCTTCCTCTTCACCTTGGCCGAGCCCTTATCCGCCTCGGGCGTCGCAGTCTGATCCTGCTGCGGTGGTAGCGCTGCCTTCTCGCTTGCATCCTGCTCAACATTAGGCGTCACATTGGTGGTGAATTCTTTCAGTGGGTGTATGTTCGAGGGGTTCTCATTGTCCTCGAGCGCGATCGGAGGGAAGACGGCCGCATTGGGTGGGGGTTCGTACAAGCCGTTGATGATCGGTGGGACTATGTTCTGGGCAGACTTCTGCTTCTTCAATGGCTGCGGCAGGTGCATGATATCGTCTTTGATAGTCACGGCCCTCTGGCGCTTCTTGTTGGTCGCATCCTCGGTCGAGAGCGACGACTCGGGTGCCTCGTCGAGAATATGGCTTAGGGAAAGCTGCGAGTCGTTGACATCCGGGTTGTCGTAGAGCATGCGCAGAGATATGCCTCCGCCAGTGTGGCGGAGCCCACCGCCGTCAGGATAGCGTCCATTGTACTCCTCTGTGATGGAGGCCAACGGAGGTATGTGCTGAGGTGCTCTGGACGTGGACTTGTCACTCCTCCCATGTTGACTCGCATCTGGCTCCAGAGGCGGCAGCGAGAAATTCGAGGACTTGGCAAAGCTGCTGAAGCTCTGTATCGGGGGGAGATCAGGCGGGGGGTAATTCGAGGTCTCGGGCGAATTCGAATCGTTCAGCAAGTGCATCAAGCGCGGTTCAATTGTCGCCATCGTGACATCCCACAGGAACAGGGGGCAAGGCCCGCTGTGAGGAACCCAGAGGATCGAGAGTGCGGTCGTGGAGGCGAGACTCCGCAGCCATGGAAAGGGGCCCTGAGGTCCTGGTGCGAAGGACACCCTATCTCGAAGCTCGCGTGCGGTTGGAAGTAGCAGAGGCGGGGTCCATAACCCGGAAAGTCAAAGGTTCTCTGCGAAAATCAACATTGGCCCTGGGACAATCGTGCAATGCAACGGGGGTGCTTCATCGCGGAGGAGCCTTGACTGAGCCGGGCACGAGGGTCGAGTCCCATCCAATTTGCCTTTGGGCCGAGGGGTCAGACTCAATCCAGAGACCCGTTTCTGTCGTACAAGGATCATCGCATTACACACTCTTGTCCTTGGCCAGGAGGATAGACTCAAGGAATCTCCTCGAATTGGGAGGCTGTCAAAACACTCGACTGATGTCGTTCTCACAGGGAATCAGGAGTGAGTGAAGTTGTCTTTTGCGCCAGGGGTACTTGTAGCGAGGCGGCCTTTTTATCGTCCCGATCTCAGACGTAGGCGCATAGTCTGCTCGAAGACTGGCGGGTAACTTGAGGCTGAATGAAGTGCAGTTCTTTCAGACAGACCCACTACCCGGAAACTGCTAAGGTCCTCACCCAGGTCCTGCCTTCATGAGCATGGAAGGTGGGGCACACTTATCACCGCCGAAGTACTGCATTTGCCGATGGTCGACTGGTGACGATCAACAATGAGCAAAGACCCGAACCTCAAACGTTCTTTCGTCTCCATTAAACAGCCCCGTTGAGACGCAAAGACGCCATCAATTGACATATTTTTTTCAAGAGGGTATCAGTCAATTTCTCGTCATTAGAATTTTGACTCATCGTAGCCAATCTCGCAGGATTGGTAGAGAACTTCGGAATCAAGACTGTACTCTACAGGTACAGGGTCCAGAGTGCTTCCTCACTTCAAACCGTCACAATGTCTTCTCGTCTTCCGGCCTTTCCTCGCTTCATCTTCACCATCTTCGAGCCTCTCAGCCTGTAAGTCAAGGGAAAATATCATGCACTCCATCCAACTTTACTCTAGAGCTAATACCCATCCCAGCATCGCCGGTTGGGCCGGAGCAACCTTAGATCCGTCGTGGTTCGTTAAAGAGCAGACATCCACGCCCAGCCCCACCGTGGACGACAACTCCCGGCTTGTAGCACTCCAGCTCGGAAACTGCTATGGCTTACTGTTCCTCGCTGCTGTCGCCGTGCTGTACACGACGACTGAGCTCAAGGTCGTGCGGAACTATCTGATCGCGCTATGGATCGCAGACATTGGGCATATTGCAGTGTGCTACCTCGGCCTGGGGTATGAGAGGTTCGTGGATGTAGCATCATGGAACAGCATGACTTGGGGGAACGTAGGTGCTACGGTAGGTGCTCTCTTCTTTGGGAATCAGAGTCCTGGCTGGCTGACCAACTTCGAGGCATTTCTTTGCTTGACGAGGACGGCGTATCTTTTAGGTTTCTTTGGCCCGGATGCTCCTATTTCAAGTGTGAAGAAGATCCAGTGATTGCATTCAATCTACGACGTCTGTTGGTGACTGCCCATAGGTGTCGCTGGCGACCACCTTGAATGTAATATGACTACAATCTCTCGGCGACCTCCGCTATTTGTCACCCTCTACGACTCCATAGATCTACGGTTTAATGTCAGACAACGTGGGCACAGTGTGATTCTTGTTACCACGCTGCGGAACGTGATCATGCTTGCCTGTCCTGTTGCACGAGATTCGGCACAGCTCGGTCTGGACAGTTCGACCACTTTGTTTTACGTCCACAAGAAGATTGCGGCATATGGAAAGCGTACGACATCTCAAAAGATTGCGTACAAAATTCATGGGCTGGCTGACGAGTTACAGGAGAGCGAGCTGGAGGTGGAGCAATAAAGTCGATCTGGGACAGCATTTCACATCGTCGGCAATGATCAAGTGCTGCTCCGTCCGCTGTCGTCTAGACCAGAGACAAAGCCAAGATTCGCATTTCATAACTCGTCTATACTGTATTCCCACCAGCCGCGCTCCTTGCGTACGGTGAAGCCGGCGAGACCTGTCCAACGTGGTTGCCATACCCAGAGTCAGAGACAGTCTCCGCAACGGTGGTCGCCGGCGATGAGACCGTGAACGTCGGCGCCGCACTCTCCCTCCTCCCAGACCCGTCCGTGTTGCTCGTCCTTGTGCTGACGTTCCTGCCAATATCTTCGCCGTCTGCTCCGCTGAACCCCGTGAAGCCGCTGTACCTGGCGCTGTGGTCCGGCACGGCAGCAGGGAGCTCCACAGGTGCGTATGAACACGCGCTGGCCTCCGGGATCTCGTGGATCTGATTACCCGCAGTAGGCAGTTCCGTCGAGTTGGAATAGTGATGGAACTGATGATGGGGGTGCAGCTGCCCCGGGGCTTGTGCGCCGCCCGACTCGGGAGCACTGAGCTCCGCCTTGTCATAAGCCCAGCCCGCAACCCCGTTCCCCTCCCTGGCCTCGCCACTGGGCAGCTCCGAGCTCCCGGGCCCGTTGTCGAACCATGCCCGGCCGGCATCCGGGTTTGTCGACGGCGGTGAGACGGAACCAAGCGGTGGCGAGGAGTCGCTGACTGACTTATGTGCTATGTTATGCGCAGCCATTGACATATTGGGCGGTCTGTTGGGGTCGTAGCCATTGCCATTGTTGTTGTTGTCGTACTTGTTTCGCCGTTGCCATCTCCGCTGCCGTCGATGTCGCCAGTACATAAAGACGGCGCCTCCCAGAAAAATCACGCCCACAATGACTCCAATAGCAATCCCAGCCTTGGACTTGGTGTCTAGTTGTCGAGCCGAACTTGCAGTTTCTGTCGCGGCTGCGGATGTGGTCGCTGTTGCTGGGTCTGTGGTTGTGGGAGCTGGAGCCGGCGTCGCCACAACATCGTCATCGTCGTCTGGCGTATCGATGCCATCGTCGTCCTGCCTCAATTCCAGCTTATTTCTAACGCTGGCGGCTCCGGTCTCCTCCACCAGTAGTAGAATCAGGGCCATTATGTCTAATCCATGTTCCGGCATGACGGGCTCTCGATGCTTTGAACTCTTGGCAATTCTTGTTTCCAGAGTAGGGCAGATGGCATCCAGGTCATGTCAGAAGAAGACAAGGGCATCAGTTATAAGACGGAGGAACCTGACCAAGACATTCTCTCAAACGCTCCTCCATATGCCGACAAAAATAGACTCCACAAGCCAAGCACACGCCGTGGAGACTCAGCGATCGGCTGGTTGCAAGCACTCGTACCATTTCCTTGTCATCGCGATATAACCATGGGGCTCGGCCATATCATAAGAGATTACTAGGCACTCCAGACCGAATGAGAGACCGGCCTGGTGTTCGGGGCATCTTGGCCGCGCGGACTGAGGGAGGACGAGAAACGCGGAGCGAAACGGTTCGTCCCCAAGAGTCTGGGCTGGGGCTCAGCACGGTTCCCCAAAAGCCTGATTACTCGCGCTGCCTCGTCGATCCCGAGCAAACACGGGCGCCGTTACAGGCGACCGAGAGAGGCTGTGTAGGCTGAGTTATATAGAAAAAGGAGGTTAGGAACAGGTTTCTGGTCTGCGCAGGTTCGTCATGATGGTGCCCAAGGACCGCAGCAGGCGGTCGTAGGGCTTGGGGAGCCCCCACATGGCCACCTTCTCTCCGTTTTCGAGATGTGTGTCAGTTGTCTTTAGAGTTCGCGGGGGGTTGCGATCTTATCACATCAAATCCGGATCAATTCCCGGCCGTCATTTGAGGCGATTCAAGTCGTCCCAGCTGTAGATGATAGAGGAAGTTGACCTTTGTGAATTGACCCTCCACCTCACACACCCTTCATTCACCTTGGGAGCTCAGGGCTGAACCCTGACATGCAGCCACTTCAGACTACCACTTCTTGTCCACGTCTTCGCCGGTCCATTAACCCAAGCTCCCAATCCAGACGAGCCTCAGGATTTGGGAAGGCCGTCCGTGATGAAATGATATCAGATTGGAAATGCAGTACTCTTCACTCTCCACACCTAGGCGTCGTTTGGAATCTCCACCCCAGTCCGTAAAATCCGGCGTTAAAGCCGACGACGGTTCCCCGACTCAAGCTTTCGAGCTGTCATCCCGCCATGTCGTCAACGACCCTGAAACTCCATTAGAGTAGAGACGTGCAGTCTACCATGCAGACTCACCTATTCCTTGACACCCGTGCACTTTGACACCCGTTGCATGGTCGACCGTGCCTTTCGCAGTGTTCAAAGCAATTGTCTGGCTGACTGTCACAACCCCCGCAGTGGGCCTTCGTTTACGGTACTCAAGTGTCAGGCCGGGATCCCGTCTGAGTGGCGATAAGAGCTCCGGAGCTGACCTTGTCATATAAGCCAACGCCGGTCCAACCGAACGACACCGTCACTCCTTCTGCGGCCCGGGGAAGTGTCGCTATTGCTGGCCAAGATGAGCTATAGATATCCTCACGAGGATGACTCGGACGAGAACGGCTTCGGCGACAGCCTGCAGCAGTCCTCGGCCGCTCAACCTCACGACTCCTCCGATAGCGACGATGACGTCTTCGAGCCGGCAACAGAGGTCACCGAGGATGATCACGACGAGGACGAGGACGAGGACGATTCTGATTACGAAGATGAGGACGACGAGGACGAGGATGAGGATGACGAGGATGCATTCCACGGTCAGTGGTGACCGCTTAGTTCATGTGCTGATTCACTCAGTCTAACTGATCGTGTTCACACGTGTAGATGCCGAGACCGGCTACACCGTCGAAGTGGTCTATGGAGGATCAGAAGACAACGAGGAAGGTGACGACGAAGACAACGAGGGAACTCAGAGAGAACGAAGGCCGGTGACCATCTCAATCGGCAACCTTTTGGGTGAGTGCCACTGCGTCAAGAAAGCTTAATCTGCTCAGCCAGATCCCGATCGTCTCATCTGAGCACGGCAGCTCATCGCATCTCTTTACAATCCTTGGCACTCTGGATGCTGACTTCACATTAATAGGACGCATAGGGGCCCCTCATCTCTCGGCCCAACAACTGATGGCTCTCTTCCACAGCCGAGATCTCGGCCACGTACTGTTCAACGAAGGCGGCGAGGACTGGCCGGGCCCCCGTCGGAGGCGGCAGCCCCCAGACCCAAACCGCTTCCCCAAGGTCCCTAGCGACAAGGGCACCGAACTCATGAACTCGGGTGCGTTTGGATCGACAGACAGGAGTGCTGCCCGGCATAGGAAGAAACTCGCCCGCCGCATCCTCGACCGGGAACTCGGCGTCGGCAACCCCCGGATCAACCAGGCCGCCATGGCGCAGGAGATGATCCCCACCTCGGAAGCGGACATGATCATCCAATACAACGCTCCCGTATATTGCGGGCAGTTCAGCGAGGACGGCAATTTCTTCTACGCCTGTGTGAAGGACTTTAAAGTGCGCATGTATGACACGAGCAACCCTTACAACTGGCGGTATTACAAGACGGTCAACTACCCCTGGGGCCAGTGGACACTCACGGATGCACACCTGTCACCAGACAACAAGTGGCTGGCCTACACATCTCTGCAGAGCCACGTGTGCTTCGCGCCGACGGACCCAAACGACAAAGGCGACCCCTACACGCTGGACCTTGGCAGCGGCGCGAGGGACACTGGATGGGGAGGATGGAGGGCACGGGGACACTTTGCCATCTGGTCGATCCGGTTCTCGGGCGACGGACGGGAGCTCATTGCGGGCAACAATGTGTCGAGCATCATCGTCTACGACATCGAGTCGCGGCGCGTGCTGCACAACATCCAAGGCCACGACGATGACGTGAACGCTGTTTGCTTCGCGGACCCCAAAGATCCACACATTATCTACTCGGGCTCGGACGACCAGGTCATCAAGGTGTGGGACCGGCGGTCGATGGGCGACGGGAGGGAGGCGGGCGCATTTGTAGGGCACATCGAGGGGCTGACGTACATCGACAGCAAGGGCGACGGGCGCTACATCCTCTCCAACAGCAAGGACCAGACCATGAAGCTATGGGATCTGCGGATGGCAATGTCGACGGAGCGGTACGAGGACCTCAACCCGCGGCAGCACACGCAGCACACGGACTACGACTACCGCATGGAGGACTACGACATGGACAACTGGTTCCAGCACCCGGACGACAACAGTGTGGTCACCTTCCGCGGGCACAAGGTCCAGGGCACGCTCATCCGGTGCCACTTCAGCCCGGCCGGGAGCACCGACTCGCGGTACGTCTACAGCGGCAGCCAGGACGGCAAGGTCTACGTGTGGAACATGGACGCGACGCTCAAGTCCACCATCGACGTGGCCAAGGCGACGGGCCAGGCAACCCGGAGGCACGGCGGCGGCGGCGGGAGGCGTGGCTGTGTGCGTGAGCCGTACTGGCACCCAAACGCGCCTGTCATTGCTGGTAAGTTGATCACACCACTTTCTCAGCAGCACATTTTTCGGCCCGTGAAGAAGTTGTTAGGAGAAAAGACTGACATGGCTACCCGGCAGCGTCCTCGTGGGGTGGATTCGATAGGAGCTACGGGTCGGTGTCGGTGCACTCGTGGAACGAGAACACCGAGGACGATGTGGACGATCCGAGGATGGGCTGGAGTGTGAACGACCACCTAGGAGCTGAGAGTTTCGGGGTGGGATATTGATTCTCTTTTTTTTTTTTTTTTTTTTTTCTTTTCTCTTTTTGAGAGTATTAGTGCTAGCGAGCCAAGTATCTAGGCGCAAGGAGTCGGTGACTCGGTCCTAAAGGCATGGAGTTCATCTGTCCTTCATGTGCCACGAGCTCTGTTCTTGAATAAGTGAAATGGGAAATAGAGAGACGTGCAGCAGTAAGGCTTGCTGCTTCAGTGGCAGTCTGGTTTTGGTCTTGAGGGCCGTTCCCATTCATGGTACTAGACTCTGTAACTGAGCTGCCTCTCATAACAAGCCTCTTTTCTGGACCTTGGTCATACACTTGAATGTTGGGTTGCTCCAGCAGACTTTCACATGCAGACTCTTGGTTGAGGGAATTGTATCTGGGTTTAGAAGACGGCCGGTGGAGCAGATGATACCTGTCAAACGACTATCCTGTGGTAAAGTTGTCAAATCGTAACGCTTTTCGTCTTCAACTGCGTCCCAATACCTAGTGCGAAGTGGTCCCAGAGAGACCCACCTCGCCCGCTTACCGGGATCTTCTAACTCGGAATACGGGTCCCCACCCCTTCCGGCAGGGAGTCGCCGCTTAACTTGAAGAAGCTCCGGGCCCAGACCCCAGACCCAGGTCATCCAGGAGCTCCAAGCTCCGACTTCAGCCCAATCCCTTGCAAGCCTTCTTCATCCATTGACTTCGACAGCCCTTCGTCGATACTTCAACAGGGCGGACTGGTATCGACTACCAACCTCTTGCCGGCGGTTGCAAATCCCAACGTTAACGACCTCAACCAATTTCCCTGCGATTGGAAACCTTGACCGTCAGCGAGCCTTCCCAGTGACCTCCTCGAGACGACCGCCCTTGCGATCACCCCCTTCCAGTCAACGTCTACAGCCTCGCTCGACAGCCCTCTTCGGACGCCGCTTTTTCGAACGATAGTGGCCCGAAATCGTAACAGCGAATTCGCCTACGTCAATTCTATTTGCATAGCAGATTCGCAAGCAGGCATCATCCACACACTGCCCCGTCCCTTGCGATCTTTTGGCTCGACCAAAAAGCACGTCCTCCCAAGCAAGCAGCCTCTTGGTGGACTGCAGCGACGAGACCTGTTTGACCAGCTCAATTAAAATAACCCAGCTTACTCAACATTTTTGCGCTACCACCAAGTCACTCTGTGTGCACTGAACTCTTCTCTAGCATTTGGTATCTGCAGCTTTCCAAGTCCTGAGGTGGCAAGAAATTTCCAGCCAGAACTTGGAGTCGGGACAGGGTCGATAAGACTGCAAAGAATTCAACTGTCAATCGTCTTTTTTGACCCCGCGCGCGTCAAGGCACACTTGTACACATCACATTCCAAGGCTTTTCAAAGTTGGAGACAAGATTGCAAGCACAGAGCTTCATCTTCAGAAAGACAGAACCAGGGATCATTTCAAGGACCATCAGCTGGGAAATTTCGCGTCAAGTTGTCTGGGGGTCAAAGTCTTGTGTCGAAACTTGGAGTGTACGTATCGATGATTCTGTCTTCCATCATGTTTTCCTGTCCCTATGTCACCGTTTCCTTCTCTTTCTCAAGCCTGCTTCCACTTAGCTCAGACGCTGGCGGAAATCGGGCGGGAAATCCAGCTGTCTTCCGAGTTACTGATTGCAAGGTGGCGACAACAGACAACTGGACTCGTGTACTTCTGACCCAGCAAGACAAGACAATCAATACACCTCTTTCAACAAAGAACCTCGAATTCGTCGTTTCCAATTGATCAAAGTTTAGGCTGCCACAATGGCCGAGGAGGACTACGAGATTGACGTCTACGGCGACGCCCAGGATGGCGGTCAAGAGCAGCAGCATACTGGTGCCGAAGACTACGGCGACAATACCCACATGGACGGCGCTCCCGAGTCGGGCGATGCCGACCACGAAGCACAGAATGGCAACGGCAATGACAATGGCCATGGCGAGCAGAGCAATGACCAGTCCGCCTCGAGCCCATCAGCTCCCCAGCAGGGTGTCAAGCGGAAGTCGGAGCCAGACGACCGTCCTGTTGACCCCAGCGCCACTGCAGCACTACTGATCTCCGAGCTGCAGTGGTGGAATACGGAAGACGAAGTGCGGAATTGGGTCTATGACGCTGACTGCGAGGACGAGCTCAAGGAGATTACGTTTAGCGAGCACAAGGTGAATGGAAAGAGCAAAGGGTGCGTCACATCTAATTACTTCGCGGTGCTGGATTTGTTCCGGCTGACTATTCTTTCACAACAGACAAGCCTACGTCGAGCTTGCCTCCAGTCAGGCTGCAACCGCAACGAAGCGGCACATAGAGTCCGTTTTCAGCAGCGACGAAAATGGCTCCGGTCACAACCAGCAGCGTCGCCCGACAGTCTCCTACCACAGCCCAGGCAATAACCCCTTCAAGACCCTTCCCAAGGACGCGCCGCAGCGTGCTCGCGACAACGCTGGTCGCGGTGCGCCTGCCGGCCCTGGCAACTTCAACAATGCCGGACCAGCAAACAACTTCCAGGCCGGTGGAGGAGGAGGCGGTGGCTTCCAGGGAGGCTTCCGGGGCCGAGGCGGATACAACAACCGCGGCGGGATGCGGGGTGGCTTCAATCCCAACTATGGAAACTCAAACATGAACGCCTTCAACAACAACATGGGCGGATTCAACAATCCCATGGGTGGCGGAGGCTTCGGCGGGGCCGGCTTCAACCGCGGTGGCGGCATGAACCGTGGCGCGCCTGGCATGGGAGCCATGCGTGGAGGCCGCGGAGGCATGATGGGAGGTCCTGGTATGAACGGCATGGGCATGGGAGGAATGCCTAACATGGGTATGGGCGGCATGCCTAACATGGGCATGAACATGATGGGTGGAATGGGTAAGTCTCCCTGTGTTGCTGCGGTTTTGTTTTCAATGAGGTTGCGTTTGCATGTTGGTGGAGCTGCTCTCGGATCTTGTGGTGACCTTACTCTTTGCTTTGTTCTTGGGTTTTGTCTTCGTTCGCTTCGAGCTTGTTTCTGTTCAGTTCTTTGCGTGTTTTTGTTTTGCTCTTGTTATTGGATTGTTCTGCACTTTATCTCGTGTTGTGCTGCAACTGACATATATCTGTGTTTTCAGGATTCAACGGCATGCCTAACCAGTTCAACCCAGGCTTCTTTGGCGGTGGAAACCAAGGCGGTTACGGCGGAAACCAAGCCGGCGGCGGTGGCGGCGGCGACTGGGGCAACCCTCACGGAACTAAGAGACCTCGCGGCGAGTAAGCTTGGGGACTTTCAACGGCATTTCGTGAATCCCGAATCGACCGCTGAGGTATGCCATGACTTTGACTCGAGGAAAGCAGTATCGCATAGCAGCCGCCGCCACCTAGTGAGACACCTGGATTGTCATCACCACATTGTATAACCACGAAAACAGGAATAAGCCAGCCAGCCTCACGTTGCAAACAAAGTTGATGGGTCTGTGGCGACCAAGTCGCCTGCCTTTGACGAATTTCACCGCCTAGTTCGCTGAGGCTGCTTGCCAAGGCAGGGGGAAGAACGCGAATAGCACGAGGCTGGACTTGTGCGTTTGGTTTCGAAAACGAGAACTAGACCGCCCATCTCAGCCTTCTGTTCAAATCTCAGGAGGCCACTTCGCAGGGCTCGATCCGTTGGTGTCCTCTTTCAGTCGCCTCAGCCTTGTGGCGCCTGTTGAAGATACTCGAGCACAAGTTCGTGCAGAAATATTAGTGGCCCGAACCACTTATTTCCCGCCAGGAGTTCAGAAGTCGACAGTCGCAATTTGGCGTACTATCTTTTCCCAACGTTTCCAGAGAATCATGCCCCCGGGATTGAGGCAGATATTGCGGATGTTCATCACCGTTGATTTACGTTTTCTATCGGCTGACTTGCCTCAGTCGTACAGTCCCTTCTAGGGCTTTCCAGAGACAAAGGATGGCGTTCACAGGAGGGGTCTTAAAGAGTTTCGTAAACTTCTTGCGGATATTTTCACACTCAATTTGCATTGGAATGGGCGGTCCCGGTAGTTAAGCCTGTGGGCAGGCAATGGAAAATCATTGATTTTGACACAAATGTTGCGTTGCTAGGTTTGTTTGTGGCGTTGTTGGTGAAGCCAGGCGACTTTGTCTTTTCTCTGTACGGTGTCTGCCTATGTGTGTATGACTCCTTTCCCTGGATGATGAAAGGTGTCGTGATGCTTGCCTTCGAGTACCATTTGTTGACAGTGGTGATTGCTGCGGTCCTATTTTGTCTGTGTACGAGTCCAGGGTCGAATGGTGGTTGGAGCTATGTTGGGATGCTCAAGACAGGCTCTGCCCCAGTGGAAGAGTGGGCTTGCTCCTGGCCAAATGCCAGGAGTTGCTTGTTACAGCTGAAGAAGGCTGACCTGAAAGGCTGACCCTCGCTTGGGAGTGAGAGAGGCGAGAGTGGCATGCGGGCTCCAGAACGCAATTCTGTCTTGACGGAAAGCCGCCCCCAGGGAAGCGCATACCGTCAAGCCTGCGTTTTCAAACGAAAGTCGCGATTACAACAGGTATCTGGGACTTGCGAAGAGATACTGTTACTGTGTTAAGCAACGGGTCTTGCATTCCGAAAGGAGAACGTCAGGACAGACGTGTCGAGCAGGGGAATACGATGACAAGCCAAGAGCTTGAACTGTAAGGAGTATACCGCTTCGATACACGAGGAGGGATCTGTAAAGCCACCTAGACTATCGGTCTCGCTTGCAAATCGGCTTGATTTGAAGCTGTAACTACATTGTAGGCATATTATCCTGCGCCTATGGATTTACACGAGGTGATTAGAGAGGCAGGTAGCGCCCTGAGCAACATAGTCAGATGGCTAGGGAAACAAACTCGGGACGAAAATGGAAAGAGAGCAAAGAAAACAAAACTCCAACTGTTTCTATATGAACATGTCCTTTCCATAAGCCACATAGTATCTAGGTATTGAGGAGAAGAACACCTGCGGCATTGAAGTGTATCGCGACTTTCTTGTGCCTGGCTTTCGGAAATGCGACTCCCCATCTCGACTTACACGCACTCCGGGTATCATTCGTTGGATTCAGAGGTGAGGCTACACACTTATTCAACATCATCACTCATCTTCTAGACGCTCGATCGTGGCCTTGACCAAGCCCCGTATTTGGGCCCAGCGCCTCAACAGGATCTCCCTCCGGCTCTCGTTCATGTCCTCATCCCCGTCTTCCTCTTGGAACCTCAATTTCCTCAGCTCCTTTTCCTTGGTCTTGATCGTGGCCTCGTACTTCTCCAACAGGCCCACGGCCAAGGCATCCACTTTCGCCTGGCTCTTCTCCCCATCGTCGAGCCCGCTGACAAACTTCCGCCACTCATCCATGGTCAGCCCACCATATTTCCCCGTGACGGCCATCTGCCTAAGCGCGACCTGCGTCCGGTGGCAGAGCGTGTCGTTGTCCAGGACGTAGTTCCCCAGGAACCCAACATCCTCCAGTTCCTCCCTCTGGCGCCTCGTCAGCGCCGGCAGGACCACGTCGTCGTCGAGGCGCACCTCGTCCCAGTGGTTCCGCGCGAGGACGAAGCCGTACTCGACCAGGAGGAAGTCGTTGCTGTGCGAGCCATAGCTGATGTGCACCTCGTCACCCTTCTCGTAGGCCCGCGTGGTCCGGAAGGTGAACGACTCGGCGTGGTCGAAGGCAACGTGGCACCCGTCCCGGTCGATATGGTTGAAGAGGTCCGCCACTGGCTGCAGCGCCATGTGGTCCTCCTTGGGCAGCCTCTCCGTCTTGGGGGTGACGAAGTAGAAGGTACGCGTGTTGACCAGCAGCCAGGCGTGCATGTACTCGTCCCTCGTGCACTCCTTGCTCACCACTCCGCCCTTAGCCTTGCCCTTGCCCTCGATGGGGAAGGCCGCTGATACGGTGTCCCAGTCCTTGTCGAACTTGACCCGCTGCTTCTCCAGGAGTTTGCTGGCGCCTGCGGGGAGAAGGGACTGGAGGGAGGCTGGCCACGTGAGGGGCATGGACTGCTGGATGTCCTCTATGGTGGGTACAACTGCTTGCCACTTGCTGTACTTTGTGTCATTTGCGGCCTTGTTGAGGGCAAGGTCCGCGGCGAGCAGGCCGTGAACGGTGACATCCTTGGGGAGGCTTGAGACGATTGTTGTGGGCACTGTGTCTTTTGTCCGAAGGGCTGATATAGGGACTGTGAGAATATCGATGTCCTTGGGGATGTGGTCAGTTGCCACGACTGGGAAGTGTTAGTGACGATGTCTTGATACGCCAGACGGTGGGCAGTGTAGGTATATGATGGGAGTAGTGCTTTTTGTCGAGCAACCGTAATCACGGATCCTTGACGCCGCAACAACTTGCAGCTCTTTTGAACGTCTCAGTCTACTACACTCAAGTGCTTACTCACCTCCAAAACCACGGCCAGAGATCCTCATAGGACGGATCCTGTCGGCCTCGACTCCAATTGAGCTGGCCCATGTGAGGAGCTCCTCGTGGACCTCCTCAAGCCTGTCGTCCACTTTGAGGGCCATGGTAAACTTTAGGAGACAAGGTGTAAAACTCAAGAAGAAATTACGTCTTTGGATATGTCAGTGATGAAATCGAACGATGAAAACATGGTTATGGACGTACTGTGATGAACTAAACAGAACTGTTATGCACCCAGAATTGTCGCAGTCGATGGTCAAGATTCCACTTCACTGGTCTCAAGTCGAGGTTTCTAGCTGCTCGCAAATGATAGGCCGCTCAGGGAACGAAGACGAAGACAGGATAGACGCTGAATAGATGCAGTCCTATCTTTTCACAGCCCCAGCCGGAATTTCGGCTGAAATGGGCCTAAGAAATGACTCTTTTCAGGAGACCACTACGATGCAGTATTGCGAGATCAGACGGGAGAGTCGCGTACAGCATGTGACTCACGAGCACCCTCAACCATCAACAAAGGCCGCAGGTTTAACTGGCATATTAGAGCTCCGTTTGAAAATGAGGGAGACGAAGTTGCAGCAGCTCAGACCGTTGTCCAAGACCACCCAGGGCAATACACGGAGCATCTTGAAGCCATTTCTAGTCACACGCCCTCGGGTGGCGCTAATGGCCCCGTAGAACGGGCACCCGAGAGCTGACCGGAGCTCTCTGCTCAGACCCGGCGCATCATCGAACGATTTCCGCCGCATGCTTCCGTCTGCGACGAAAATGCACCCGCACGACATGGTTTTCCAGTGGTCAGCCCTGAGACCAGCATGAAGGTGATACTTCCGAGGGCATCGGCTCTCTCTCGAGGGAGCCATGGCGTTTGCAAGGCCGTCACGATCCCCGTCGCAACTTCAAGCTCTCAGCGGTCCTTCTCCGTCCTCAACAGGCCGCCGCCGAACTACCCTGGCCATGTGCCCTTGACACATGTCGAGCGCGCGGGACTCGCCATCGGGTCCGGCATCATGTCGCTGGTGAATCCATATCGTGGAGGTAATCACACAGCTCCCTATCCCGATAAATCACCCAGCCCAGAACCCGAGCTGACCACCCTCGCCCACACGCAGACCTCATCGCCGCCTTCGCCGAAGCAACCTCGACCCCGTACTTCATCCCGCGCCTCCGCGACGCGATGCTGCGCTCCCCGACCGGCCGGCGGATCCTGCGCGACCGGCCGCGGCTGACGTCGGCGTCGCTGGACCTCCCCCGGCTGCGCGGGCTGCCGCCCAACACGGTGGGGCGCACGTACGTGGGGTGGCTGGACCGGGAGGGCGTGACGCCGGACACGCGGTCGGCGGTGCGGTACATCGACGACGAGGAGTGCGCGTACGTGATGCAGCGGTACCGCGAGTGCCACGACTTCTACCACGCGCTGACGGGCCTGCCCATCGTGCGCGAGGGCGAGGTCGCGCTCAAGGCGTTCGAGTGGGCCAACACGGGCCTGCCCATGACGGGGCTCAGCATGTTCGCCGCGCTCACCCTCAAGCGGAGCGAGAGGCGCCGCTTCGCGTCCGTGTACCTGCCGTGGGCGCTGAGGAACGGCTGGCGCGCCGAGGAGGTCATCAATGTGTACTGGGAGGAGGAGCTCGAGAGCGACGTCGACAAGCTGAGGGCTCGGCTGGGCGTCGAGCAGCCGCCTGACCTGAGGGCCATTCGGAAGCGGGAGAGGGAGGAGAGGAAGAGGCTGAAGGAACTGGCGGCAGCTGAAAAGGGGCCAGCAACGAAGGCTTGAGCACGAAGCCGTCGACGGCTGTACAGTACTGTAGATACCACGGGAATCACACTTCTCAGCACACCAATGCCACGATTGGAACCCGATGTCGCCGAAAGCATCGCATTCAAGGTATCATTATCTCATCACGGCTCAGACTTCAGTCCCAATAGCTCTTGTGACATTCTTGTTACGCCGACCCGGGGACAACGCGGGCCCATGACCGTCCACTTCCCAGCCCATCATCCATTCCCATGCGCACGCGCACGCACACAACACTACAGGTCCAGCAGGTCGTCGTCGTCATCCGCCCACGCCTTGCGCCGGCTCACGACGATCTTCTCCTTCTCCTGGTTGGCCGACACCGCGGCGAGGAGGTCCTTGAGCTGGGTCTCGGTCACCTTCTGCTGCAGCTGTCCCGACCGCGCCAGCATGATGAGCCTGTTCTCGACGTCCGCCGCCCGCTCCTCCTTGACCAGCCGGATGCGGCCCAGGCGGTCCGCCGCCTCCGGGTGCAGGATCTGGTTGAGTATGGATTGCCGGGCCTCGGCTGTTGGGGTGGCAAGTCAGCCTTGGGTTGTTCTCTTGCTCGTTGCACGGGCGAGTTGGGGGTGGAGGGTCGTGGGTCGCGTTGTTGTCGCTGGTTGAGCGGCCGTCGAGGAGTCACGCGACGGTCGTTGCGGGGGGTCGTTGCATGTGTCTGTAGGGGATAGTAGTCACGTACCTTCTTGTTGTCTGAAGAAGACGATCGTTAGCATAGCCTTTCGGCCAAGGAACCTGCGCTTGTTCTGCACGCGATCACATACTTCTGCTGCTCAGCTGATCCCTGGCCTGAGCTGCCGGCTCCTGCTCCTGCTCCTGCTCCTGCTCCTGCTCTCGCACCGGCTCCCCCGCCTGACTGCGCCTTGAGCTGCTCCAGGCGAGCCTTGCGGATCTACGGATATGGAAAGTCAACATGGAATCCCCCAATCAGCCGGGAATTGTCGCCAGGGTCGCCTGTACCTGCTCGAGTTCTGCGTCTTCCATGGTTGTGAGCTTCGGAATGACGGGGCAAGGTTGAAAAGAGTTATGCTGAGGGTGCTGGGGAAGCTCGCGTGGATCACTGCGCTCTTCGCTGTGGAAATTTGGCGGGGTCAGTTGGAGGCGGGCAGGCAGGAGGGAAGCTATCGATAGGAGCCCGATTTCTTGGGGTAAACCAAGTCTCTCTACTTCGAAATATTGGCCAAATCCAGTTAATTTGATGAGATTGACTTATTTAGGGTCATAGTTGCCTCAGAACGGCAGAGACGAGGCTAGATCCTTGTGAATATATGCAGGTGGACGTTTGAGATCGAATTGAAGTTGCACACACGGTCAGTGATGACAAGGTGAAGATTGTTCATAATATCTGATATTCAATTGTTGTAACAAGACCATATGTGACAGGAGTGGTGTAGCACGAAGGCTCATAAAAATACGTGCACAGGTTCTTTCTTTGATCGTTCGTAACGAGGCCCGGCGCTATGCATGACTGAAAACCCAATCGTTATATGACTGCTCCCTTCAGAAGGCAGGCTTGTTTGGAGTATTGTCGGACTCAAAGGGAATCACGTTCCTCATCTCGTCCCTCCGCTTTGCTATCCTCGCTTTGACCACATCAACCACCGTTTCGTTCTGCGGGACCTTGATGCCCAACTCCCGGGCCCTCCTGATAAAATAGCCGTTCAGGTAGTCGATGTCGACCCATTGGCCCGCCCGCACGCGGCTGAGCATGTTGCTCTGCGACGAGCCCTTCTCCCAGAGCCGCGTGATGGTCTTCTTGCGCAGCGCGCCTAGCCCGCAGTGCTCCACCACCTTTGACGAGTTGGTGAGCTCCGGCAGCGCCATGATCACGTTGAATAGCTCGTCCAGCAGCTCATCGGCCAGCTGGATGGCGTGCTCGTTGCCCGGGATGTTGTCGTACGTCGTGTCCAGGACGACGGCCATCGGCTCGATGACGCTGTTGAAGACCAGCGCAGGGAGCTTCTGTATGAGCCAATTCTCCAGATTATAACCGCCTGCGTGCAGTCCAGGTGTCGTCACCAGCGTCCGCAAGAACTGTGTCCCATTTGAACGCCGCTCCACTGGTGGGTGAAACTTGAACATAGGCAATAGATCTACACCCCTCTCCACGGCGTGCAGAAACAGCTTTCCTGGTTGCCTCAGCTTCGCCCCAAAGAACCATTGCTTGTTGTATCCCAGTGAGGCAGACATGTGTCCCAGGACGTAGTGTGGCCGCGTCGTTGGGTCCGGAAAGAGCGTCGCGTTCAAGTGCTCGATCATACCTAAGCCGTCCTGGACAAAGCATATGGACGTGCGGTTGTCGATTCTGTGGACGATGTTCTCGAGCGCGGTCTTGGTCACGCCGCAGGCGAGCGTTACGATCAATTGGTCGATGTGCTCGTTGCTTGGCTCGTTCCGACCCCGACCTATCCATTCGGCCTCTGCGCGGCCACGGCCGTGGCTGCTCCTCTGGGTTCCCTTCCACACACTGACTTGCTCGCCCTCAACTTGCCATGACCTCATGACGTTTCTTTTGTGGACAAGAAGCTTGACAGGGTCGAGATGCGGATTTCCAGCTAGCTCGTGAGCTATGAAGTACGCGCGGGGGTCGTATCCCAAGATGTGGACTCGCTTGCGTTCTTCTTCCTGCGGCACTGCCCGCGACCCTCTCGGATCGGTAGAGTATGTCAATCCTATCGGCGTGTGCTTTTTGTCGGCAATGGAGTCTATCTCGTAGGGACTCTGCTCGCCGACGTCGTCGAGTAGCCTTCGAAGACTGGGACGCTTGGAGAAGGGGTCGTAACGCCCTTGATCTGGAGGTTCTTCGTCATCTTGTTGAGTCTTGGATTCAGGTGGTGATTCCGTTGCGGCGGCGGCGGCCTGGTCCGAAGAATATCCTCGCATGGCCCCCCGGCCCACAGTGATGCTACCGCAGCTCCATGATGTGTGTCTGTGAGGTATCCGCGCAAACACCCGCGACCGCGGTAGGCTGCTGCGTAAGGAATACAGATTGAACGACGTCTTCAGGGCCACTGCAAGATCATAGTACTGGACTAATCCGAGTAGAGACGCGTGATCGAGACTGAGCGAGCGCCTCTAGAAGTTGGAGGCGCCGAGGGTGCTCTCCTAATGCTGAACTATGAAGATTCGTTGGGGGCTCTCGTGCCCTTCCGCGGGATGGCGGATATGGATATGCGGTTCAGCTTGGACAGCGCTCGCCGAGTCGGATCATCCGGTGACAGGAGGGGCTGTCCTCTGTGTCATTTTCCGCTGGGAAGTTAGGGACGGACATTCGACCTTGCGCAGGAGGCAAAGGTCTTAATTCGAGGTAGGCCTGCATGACGGCGACATTTTCCATGCAGTCCAAGACCAGTCCTCTAAATTTTTAGGCAGGGGTCTGTCTGCATCTGGGCCGACCCACTGCTCCGGAACGACCCTCCACATCCCTGCTACCAATACGCAAATACATGCTGCATGTACCTTATCAGAAATGCCCCAAATCAGTCTTATCGAACTTTTTAATCCTCCCATGCTTTCTTTGTTCTCACAAGTGAAGACAACGACCACAGTCCAACCCACTCAACCTCATTGTCGTCTACATATTTCAACAACGTGACAGGATTGCTGGGCTCACTGAGACTCTCAAATCCCCTCACAGTGGTAATACGAGGTTGCCCACCATGGCTGATGTGTCGGACATCACACCCCATCTCGACCGCCTCGACTGCGACTTGGACAAACTCGAGGACTCACTGAGGCCAATACTGACCAACTTGGGCGAAGTAGCCTCCAAGCTGCCCCTGCTTGACAAGGCCAAGCTCTACGTTCTCGCCACGTACTCAATAGAGACGGCCCTGTTCTCAGCCCTGCGTCTCAACGGAACAGACGCCAAGGAGCATCCGGTGTTTAAGGAGCTCGCCCGCGTGCGGCAGTACTATGAGAAGATCAAGAAGGCCGAGGAGCCGCCTGAGCAGCGTACACAGAGCGTGAACACTCAGGCTGCCATCCGGTTCATCAAGGCTGACCTGGTAAGTGAACAAATGCCAGTGGTCTGACCACTCTGTTTATGTTGATTCTCAAATGGAACCTCCACTTTTACTGTGTAACTGTTTGCTGACCAAGTCTCAGGCTGGTGACAACAAGGAAGTTGATACGAAGCTCAAGGAGCAGCTGGCGAAGGAGCGTGCAAAGGCGGCTATCCAGGCCAGGATGAACAAGAAGCGCCCCGCCGAGGACTCCGATGCCTCCTCTGCGGTCGCAGACCTGATATCCGCCGAGAGCTCAAAAGCCGCGGCGGCCGAGAGCTCGGCTGCGAACAGCGCCGCGGAGGAAGGAGAGGTGAACGAGCCCGGCAGGAAGAAGGCAAGAAAGGGCAGGGGCGATAGGAGCAACAAGGATAAGAAATCCAAGAAGGACAAGAAGAAGTGAGCTAGCATTGCGTCAGACGTTTTCGGGATTGGCCACATCGGCCAGGCACATTGAATTGTGCTGGTAGCAGACTGGCTTCAAGCAGGTTGAGATTGAAAGAGGTCGATTTTGGCATCATGAGGTACGGAGCAGGCCCGAGTTGAATGCTCGTTTCACGGTGACTGACGATATTTACAGGCCACATGGCTTAGACTAAGAGAGCAAACGGCCAGGTATTGGTTACTTGGTTTGGAGCATTTGGTGCATTGGATGAACTAGAGATACCCATTAATCAAGATTGAATTCGCCGGTCAACATCTACTTACTGCGGACACACATGGCTGGGAATTTGGGAGGACCTCACTACAAAGTTTCATACTGGCTGACAAGAGCACTTGAGGCCACGAAGTTCTGATGGCTGGTCTCATCGCCAAAGTGAGCAAAGAGGTCAACAGACGGCCATAGCTCTTGAGCATTCTTCATCTTTCGCAGTGGCCCTGATATCCTGGGCGAGGGAGAATGTGATTGGCCCCATCACACGGTGGCCGTAATGCGATTGTCCACGATCGCCCCGCAGGAATAGTCTAAGGATTGTGCTTTAGTAGAAGCGTTGGATGTCAGCTGCGATGCACACCAGCCGAGCGCCGAAGGACGAGGTTGGGCGTTAACTACAGCTCCAGCCCAAGCTACCCGTAGACATTTTTAATATTCTGAAATCGTCTCCGCTACTCCACATGATTTGTCCATTCCCGTCAGTCTCTTTGATCAGTCAAGATGCCGCTCTTCCAGCTGCTCAAGCCCACCGTGGTGCCTCGCAGCCAGGTTGCGCACTTGAATCCAATCCTCTACGACGACGGCCGCGCAGTAAATGAGTTCTTCGCTCCAGGCACGGAATACTTTGGCCGTCAGGTGGTTCCGCCTGATAACAAGTGGTCTGACGGAACCCGCAGTTTCATGGGTATGGTTCTCCCTTTCTTCACCTCTATTGTAGTGACTACCTTGTGTGAGGTGTGCTCCCCAGTCTCAAGTATGAAGGTCCCGCAAGTGGTTGGGCCCCCCCAAGAACACCAAGACCCCCACATCCTGTCTGGCTCATCCCATCTGAGTGACACCATTTTACTGACGCACCATAAAGCCCCAATCAGCCACTACCATCTGCTGCAGACGGAATCCTTCCATGTCGAGTCAGGGGAGGGCCTATGGTACCTGCGAGGCAAAACGATCTACCTCAAGGCCGGCGACGACATCACCATCCCGAGGTTCGTGGCCCACCGCTTCGAGAACGTGCCGGGGAGCACGCAGCCGTTGTCGATACTGTACCGGTACGACGCGCAGCGGTACGCGATGGAGAGGCGCTTCTTCAGCAATACCTTGACCTACCTCGACGATTGCAGGGTGGCCGGGGTGTCACCAAGTTTGTTGCAGCTCTGTATCTTCCTGAGTGACTGCTGGATGCCGGGGGACTTCCTCTGGGTCCCTGGCGGTGAGCACGTGCGGTGCTTGGTCAACGCCCTGTTCATGTGGGTGATGGCGGCCATTGGGAGGCTTGTCTTTGGTTACAAAGGTGCTTATTCGGAGTACTACGTTCCCAAAGTTGGTGGAGAATACTTCAAGTCAAGCTCGAAAAAAGCGACTTGAAACCTGAGAGTCTCTCTATCTATACGCGTACCAACGAGATAGTCAACCTGGAGTAGGAGATATACTTGTTACAGACAACATCACAAGAAGCTGCCTCAAGGCGACGTAATTTTTCTAACGTAGCCATGCCCGTGTAGCGAGCTCCAGTGCATGTCAGGGTGCTGAAGTTTTCTATAGCTTTGCAATGTCAGACTCTCGTTCTTGGTCCAGTTGTCAGAGCCCGGGGGGTCGCGGTGGAGGAGGATACCGAAAATGCAAATTCGCATTCTCGACAGAAACGCCCCATTCTTTTTTACTGGCAGCAAGTGCCCAGTGGAGAATGACATCGTCTGCAGGCTCCCTTAAGCCCCCTGTAAGCCCACCAGCTCCAGGGGTCTCCACGCGCGAAATCAGCATGCTTCTATTGGCTTCCGTGGTCACTTACCTAACCATGATTTTTCTCGGCGCATTCATTCCATCGATTCAATTGTAGCTTGCACCTCTGGGTTTTTCTCCAACCTCAACCTCAACTCCAAACCTCCGCAATAACCACCTCATTTTTTTTTCCTTTTCTACACCCTCGTCGAGACACCTCTCCACACACCCACACACAATGCCTCGTCAACGATCCGCCGGCCGCGCCCCTTCGCGCCCCACCGTCCCCTCGCGCGCCCCCGCTGCGCCGACTTCCCAGCAGCAGACCCGGCCTGCGACTTCTTACGCCGCTCCCGCCACCCAGACCCCCCACCAGCCCGCTCCCGGCGCCCAGGCACCTGCCTCCCAGGGCCCCGGCCTGTTCGGCCAGATGGCTTCCACAGCTGCGTACGTCTAACCCCTTCGCAGCTGAAATATCATGTATACAAGAAAAGAGACGGGAAACGAGTAGTGCGCCCCGTGGTTCAGCCACGGCGGGAGCGGCTGAAAGACATGTATATTTTCGCGGATGGGACAACCAGTATGCTAACGGACAACATGTGCAGTGGTGTCGCCGTAGGCTCCTCCATCGGCCACGCCATCGGCGGCATGTTCGGCGGCGGCGGCTCTGCCGAGGCGCCCGCCCAGGCTTCGCCACAGGCCGCGCAGCAGACCCAGAACGACCAGTGGGGCCCCAACTGCTCCCTCGCCACCAAGAGCTTCACGAACTGCATGGACGAGCACCAGGGAAACATGTCCATCTGCGGGTGGTACATGGAGCAGCTCAAGGCCTGCCAGGCTGCCGCCAGCCAGTACTAGACGGGATGGGTAGGAGGGGAAAACGGGATCAGCAAGGTTGGTCTGGGCATATAGGATGATCTGGCTCGTCTGAGTGCGGCAAGGGAACCGCCAAGCCGGTCACGATACGGCAGGAAGGATGGTGACGGATGTAGATGGGTTGGCTGAGAAGCATGGGACATCTCAACTCATCAAGGGCATTTATTCGGATGTGTTGCATTGCGATGTGGCACAGCAACCACTGGACTTGCTTCTAAAACAGTAAGAACACGTTTTCAAGACAGCTCGGCAGCCGTTCCGGCACGAAACCCGGTCACTACTTGTCCTTGTCATCCTCGTCCTTCCTCGGCTCGAAGTTCAGCTGTGAGTTGTTAGCTGCCTTCTAGCCTTGCAAAGAAGTGCAAATCCTCTGGGCCGAGGGCATATAGGTCAACTTACCGAGTTCCCGTTGTAAAGCTGTTGGTCCCTCTTGCGGTCATCCGGGTTCTGGAATCCCTTGATCCGACTCGCACTGGCCCCATCCCGCCCTGTAGTCTGCCCCTGATTCCGGTCTTGCTGCTCTGGCGCAGCCTGCTGTCCGGCCCCACTGTTCGCGTTGTTTCCCCCGCTCCCCGAGCCTGTCACCGCGCCAGTGATACTTCCCAGGATTCCTCCGATGAACGCCAGTACCGCCGCAATCAGGTGCGACACCGGGTTGTACAAGCCAGCGTTGATGCTTGGGTACGCTGGCAGGGGCCGGTCCACGGGCGCAAGGACCAGCGTCGAGCTCGGGGTGAGGCCCAGCTCCTCGAGCGTCTGGTTCTCCTCCGTGGCGGGATCGATGGAGCGGTTCGGCAGCGGCGTGAGGATGACCTTAAAAGAGTAAGGGTCCTTCCCATCCGTGCGGGTCTCGTCGATCCACTTCCTCACGTCCTGAGCGAGGGTGGCCTTCGCCGGCAGCCGAGTGCGGATCGTCGAGCCGTCGAACAGGCGCGCCTGCAGGGCGCACTGGTCGTGCTGCCGCCGCGACATGCCGGTCGGCGCGGGCTCTCCGGCGGCGGCGGTGACCTCCTCGACGTCCTCGCCCGCGGCGGCCCTACGCTCCATCTCCCTTGCCACGCGGTTGTTCTCGTCGCGTGCCTTGCGCTCCGCCCTGTCGTCCTCGATGCGCTTCAGCACCCTCGCCCTGTCCTCGCGCGCCTGGCGCTGGCGCTCTGCGAGCTGCTGGGCCGCCTTCTTCTTGGCGTCGTTCTGCTTCGACTTCGCCGGGTCCTGGGCCTGCTCCTCCGCCTCCTTCTCTCTGCGGCGCTTCTCCAGTGCCTCTCGCTCCTTGCGGGCTGCCTGCCGGCGCACCTCGGCTTCCTGGGTGATGGCGGCTATGGAGGGCTGGGCTTGCTGCTCTGATGACGAAGGGGTGCTTGACGACGCTGGTGTGTTCTCGCCCGGGGTCTGGGATTCCGACGACGGCGCCTCCGAAGCCACGACGGTGGCGGCAGCAGGGGCGCTGCTTGATTGCGCAGCCGGGGTAGCACCGGCCGCCTGTGCCTGGAAAGCCCCGCTGACCCGCCTCACGAACTCCTCCCTAGACGTGCCTGCAGAGATGTACTCCTTCAACTCGCCGTTCTTGATGATAACCAGGGTCGGGTTCTTGGGCAAGGGGAAGATGGCAGCCAGGTAGCCTGCCTCCTGGGAGCCAGCTTGGAGCCGCAGGGACACGGCGTCCTTCTCTAGCAATGGTGCCACGGCCTCGTCGGTGAGGAACTCATTCTCCCAGGTCTTGCTCTCCTCCTCGTCATCTGTCACGAAGCACACCACAAGTTTGGCTTCTTGAAGAGCCTTGGAGATGCCCTCCTGGAGTGTGCCGGTGAAAAACATCTCACAGGGGCCTTCGTCTCTTCGATAGACAAAACGAGTAAAATAAGGTTCGTTGGTGCTTCAAGTGATGACGAACGTGTAGGCTGCAACGGTAGAATGATGGATCTGAAGCTCAGATTTCTCGAGCGCAGGTCGAACAGCCAAATAGTTCTAATCGACAAGAGCGTTTGACCTGTCGTGACTTGCTTGACAAACAATTAGCCTAGTTGACACCTTTCCCGTCAATGTCACTCAGGTACGAGGTTAGGCTGGGAGTTGTAAGTTGCGAGTAGTCGACACTACTGTAGCGTGTGTAGTAAGCTGCCGTGGGTGTGACATAGCTAGGTGGTCCCGCCCAGGAGCTAGGCCTGGAGCTCTGAAGCTCTCGGGCCAATCGCTGAAGTAACCGTTGCATCATCGCCGAAACTTTTCCCATTGAGCCCGCCGAAGCTCCGGCCGATTCGCTTCACTCCGTCCGCGACCATCACGCATTTCCTTCCGCCGACAGACGGCTGCACCATAAGCCAATTCTGGAGCTACCTACTCCTTGTAACAAATATGAAGGCCTTCACCCGTCTAGTAAGGCCTTACCAGGCACACCACACACTCCGAAAGACCGTGAATCCAAGCCCAAAGGCCCCTCGAACCACACCACCGTCACCACCAAACTCAGCCCCCAGACGACCATTCAGCCAGTCCGCAAGGCGCCACGGCAAGCCCCAGCCGGCCGACGACCCGAACTTCACGTCGATCCTCGACAATCCGCCGAACCTGGTGCGCGCGGGGCGGCGCCACGGCCCGGGGCTGATCATCTTGGCCGTCATCCCGGTGACGGCGTTCGCGCTGGGGTGCTGGCAGGTGCAGCGGCTGCAGTGGAAGACGGACCTGATCGCCAAGTGCGAGGACCGCCTGTTCCGCGAGCCGCTGCCGCTGCCGCCCCGCGTCGACCCGGACGCCGTCGCCGAGGACTTCGACTACCGCCGCGTCTACTGCTCCGGCACGCTGCGCCACGACCGCGAGATGCTCATCGGCCCGCGCATGCGCGACGGCGAGCAGGGGTTCATGGTCGTCACGCCGCTCGAGAGGGCCGACGGCAGCACGGTGCTGGTCAACAGGGGTTGGATCCCCAAGAGGCTGAGGGACCAGCCCGCAAGGGCGAGGGACAGCCTGCCTACAGGTGAAGTGGTGGTTGAGGGCCTGTTGAGGAAGCCGTGGAAGAAGAACATGTTCACGCCAGAGAACAGGCCGGACAAGGGGGAGTTCTACTTCCCAGACGTGAAGCAGATGGCTGAGCTGACGGGGTCCCAGCCCGTGTGGATTGAAGCCACCATGGGTGAGTGACCACCATTGTTAATGTGCAATATTGATGCTATATTGCTTCTTTCTTACAAGTAGGAGCTGATGACGGCTACTGTGCAGACCCCAACTACATGGAGCTCCTGGAGTACGAGCAAAAGGGTATTCCAATCGGAAGACCCGCTGAGGTGAACCTGAGGAACAACCACGCCCAGTATATCTTCACCTGGTAAGCTTCTTACTCTCCCCTTTCCTCATCTCCTCACCTGTCAGCGCCAGTGTCATTCCGCTTGCAGGAGCAACACATGCTGAGACTTCTCCATAGGTACAGCTTGTCCCTCGCCACCTCCATCATGTTGTGGATGGTCATCAGGAAGCCGCCTTCAGACATCTCCAAGCGCGTTCGTATGAACAAGCACTGGTGATTAGTACAAGTGGTCTGGAAATCGATCATGGGCTATCATGCCCATCATGTTACACCGCCGTCGTCGCCAACAGATGGGGACCTGTGGCGTTTCTTAGCCTTTACCCGTCCCGGAGGAGGCATTCGCAGCTCTTGTAGAAGCTCTCGTGGCAAATAACGCTGTGCGAGCGCGAATGGCGTCGTGTTGGCATTGATCTGCCGTTGTCTGACGGGGCGAAGTTAGCAACGCCCGTACAAAATGTACAAAATTACGATGATACCCTGCTGCAGACAGAGTCAAAAAGGACGCCACGTACCTCCTCATCAGAGTCAACATATCACTCTCCTCGATCGTCTTCCGACCCGCATGTTTGGCGTATGCGGACAAGTCGTCCCCGAGCTGTTCAAAGAACCAGTCGGACGCCTGCACCAGGGCTGCCAAGGTGTCTGGAGAAATCTTGGACTTGCCGGCGAAGCGTTGCGCGACTCTCTTGACGACCCCTGGGGGAAGCGAAGGGTACTCGATGCCATGCTGGGATATTTTCTTGCCGGGCTTCTTCAGTCGGCTCGATATTGATGGCTTGGTCGTCCGTCCGACAACCTCTGCGACAGCTGCTTCCGAGGCCAAGTCGCCGAAATCAATGTCACTGTCACCTTCGGCTTCGCCCTCACCGTCACCGCGCAGTCCTAGCGACTGCTTGCCGTTCTCGTCGACCTCTATTTCTTCAGGCAGGGGAGCGTCCTCCATTCCAAAAGCCTCGTTTCGTGGGGATGAGAAGCTTTCTCTCCTGGGACTCGATTCGACCTGTGGCTGTAGCATGACTGTGCTCTGGTCGGCCTCGTCAAAATTCACGTCAATAGCCCCGAAGCTTTCCCTCCCCAGCGTCTCTCGGCGACCAGCCTCGTCATCGTCGATCCGTTCAAACGTAGCATCGTCGTCACCCAGACCCGCCATGCCGGAATCGTCACCCTCGTCGCCATCCCAATTGGTCCGGGGGAAGAAGGCCGAGTCTATACCGACATCGTCCTCGCTCGGGGGGTCGTTCATAGGTCCGTAGTCACTCATGCGCATTGAATACCGCTGGTTGTCCAGAGTCTGCCTACGGGCCAGCTCTATGCTCTGCATTGTGAAGTTGTCCTCGAGATCCTCCAGCCCGGACGTCCTCGGCGGTCGCAGATCGTCGTCACTAACGTCGTCGATCGGCAGCGACAGCCGTGGTCTGTCGATGGGGAACTCATCGCTATCATCGGGGTCTTCGGGTATCGTAACCTGCCCGCCTCTCCTGCTTCGACTCTGGCTGCGCCCGCCCCGCCTGCGGGTACTGCTGTTGCTGGGATCATCCGGTGAGGAGCTCGACGACGTCGTGATCACCTTGGACTTGGGCGCCAGGGTCCGGCTCAGGGCCCGCAGCAGATCCCGCGGCGTCTCCCTCTGGTCGCGCACGGAGCGCCGGCGGTTCCGGCCCGGAGTGTTGATCTCGTTGATGGCGGCGCGTCGGGAGTCCAAGGCGCGGATGGCGGCGCGGCCATGGGGTGTAAATTGGGTGGGGACCGCACTGCCTGCGCCGGCTCCTGCTCCCTTGCGACCTGAGGCGGAGAGCAGGTGGCGCGACGACCGGAAGTCGAGCACCTGGTTGCCGGGTGTGCGGATGGAGAAGCGCGCTGCGGAGGACGGTGGCGCAGAGGCTCGAGAGACGTTCGGGGTCTGCTGGCTGGCGGCGGCATCGTTGTTTTTGGGCGGGTGCGATGAGCTGCGACGGGGCGTGGACTTTGAGGGACTGCGCTGGCGGGTCGGGGACGACATTTTGGGTCGTGATGAACGGGGCCGAATGGGGAGCTGCTGCTCACCCGAGCTCTGGTCGTCTGCCATTTAGAAGTCCAGCATAGCTAGCATAGCTGCTGGTTGCGTCCGATTTTTCCTTGTCGAAGGTGTCGTCAAACTTATGGTAGTGAATTTGGAGGGATGTGTGGAGTTGGAGACGTAGGTTGTCCGTCATTGCTTGATGTCCATGTAGATGCAACTAGACGCGCCTGACGCGTCTGGGGAGCTCCAACTTTGGAGAATGTGCGACTGACGGCAGGGGTGTGCATAGCCGAAACCTTGCTACTGTGGGTGGGGCTCACCCATCGGTAGGACAGTATCAGCTCCCACATCTACCACACCATCTACACATTCAAATCATGGCTGCTTGGAGACCCATTTGACGTGAATCGCAAATTGTATTGAAAACTTTGGAATATATACATGAAATTGAATGTTCTTTGGCTAACATCATCTATGATTTATCATTTCTGAGTTCAATTTCCACAATGGTTGACCTTGCTCTCCACCATCTCATGTTTATGAAAGGGCTTCGATGGTTGATCCTTTCCCTGTAGCCTTGGTAAAAAAGAAGAGAGGAAGAATTGAATTCTTATATGCCGGCAAAAATTGCTTTGCTCGTACAGTTATGACGAAGAAAATAATTGTAAAAGCAAACACACTTACCGGCAGGATGATCCATTCCCATCGTATATTTATAACAGTGAATTGAGCCACTTGGTATCCCGCAACCGCATGTTCGTGGTTCTCACCAAGACTTCGCATGTAAGAAGTGGCGCCAACCACGACACTCTTAAAGATCGTCTCCCACTGACCCGCGATTGTAAGGTAGCTGTAAGCAACGAGTTTGGAGTTGCCATATCCCGCATGGGCAAAGTCCGCCTCGACTGAACCGTTGGGGTTGAAACCGGCACGAACGACAAGTGCGGACCTCAACGTAGTCCGCATAAGATCAGCAACTGGGCCTGGGATGTGATATGTGGCAGCTTGGAACGGCTTGCCATCGAGATGCAGTTGCGATTGGCTCGGTGTCATGAAGACATCCGGAAGGTCGGCGACTGGATTGTTGCTCGGCACCAGAGCAGATTCGTTGCGCCATGAGTTGATTATGTGGAAGCTGTACACCCCATTGATGGCGTTGCTGACAGCGGTGTATACACAGGGGGAAAAGCTGGTGACAGTCATGTTGGAGACTTTGTATTCCACCGATGAAAAATTGTGTCTTTTCAGGGATGCCAGCGTTAGTAAGGGGTTGCTGATATTAAACCTGTGCTGTGAAACGTTGGCTGGCACCTCCTTAGACTCGAAAACAGCATTTGCCGATATCTCGAAACGCGTGATTCCGGGTATGTCATATGAGCAATTGTCGTAATCGGTTACCTGACAGTCTGTCTGCCACTCATCCTCGCTCAGGGGTGTAGTCTGGTAACATAGGCCTAATGTGGCAAACTCGTCCCATGTACAATTAAAAGGCGAGGGACATTTAATGCCTCTTGACGCGTAGAAGCTCTCAATGTACTTGGCTTCTCTGAAGAGCACAGCCGACACGATACCATCGGCAAAATATTGATCTTCGCGTCCCGCCATTAGATTAGCATGGACTGTGTATACGTCAGCCACGTTCGTTATAGGGGGAGAAAAAACAGATTCGAAGGACATACCCGATCCTAAGTTGGTCGGTCCCATCGTATTTGTAACACCTCGTTTGGCCGTCGCGTTTTGTGACATGGTCCGCCTCGTTGTCATCGGAAAGCTAACAAGCTGTTGAACGATGTGGTCAAATGCCATGGTCAAACCAACCAACAGCCCTGCAAGTCGTGCCTGAGTCAACGGAATCCCCAAGAGACATCGCACACCAAATGCTCCGCCACGACTCGCCTCATCGAACAGTTCCATATCGATCAATGGTCTCTTCGCTCGAAACCACTGCCACTTCAGCTGACCGATGCAGCCGGCACATACAGAGCTCATGCACGCCTTCCATACAAAGGAAACCAGAGCAATGACACCGTTGAGCGTGATTCCCAAAACCCACGGCTGCAGTGGCCTTTGGTCATTGCAGGCTAGCAGCACAATCAAGGTGATCATTGCTGCAAAGCCTAAGACCAAGTAGCCCAAATCCCATGCCCACGTCTGAATGAGTCTATCGTCCGAGTCCTGAGGGCCCGAGTCAACCGCCTGGAATTTGTTGGGGTGCAAAAGGGTAGACTTACATATGGGAGATCTCCAGAATTGAGGCCCCCAGTTTCAGACTTTGCTTCTTGAAGAACTTCCGCTTGCAATTTTCCAGGATGGCACTCATTGTGCTGAGACGGTTGATTTCTGGAAAGTGACTGCCAGTGCGCCTGAGGGCTAGTATGGGCCGATGTGTCGGTCGTGGGAAAGTCAGGCACCCAGGCTGAACGAGGTAGGAGTTTACCACCTCTCGTTTCTGGATATCAATATCTGGCCGACAGATGCACTGCTCATGAGTCTCCGATCCTTCTGATGGCCCGGGGGTCTTCTCTCGCGGAGGCGAGTTGGCGGGTGGCGCTACGCTCCTCATTATTGTGTCGCACGGGTAAACATGGAAATCTTAAATTATTCCTAGGAAGGGACAGTCTTTCGGATGCTCTTGAAGAATGGAAGACAAACAAAGATGCGATATCTCCTGTCTACTTACAATCAGGCGGGAGTTATGGTATGTCATGTTCCAATTGCAACCGTGTCGCGATAGATAAAATGAGATGTGGTCTACTCGAGAAATGCCTTGTCGGCCGCCTAATGTTAAAAATAGAGAGCTGATCCCATTCGAGCATTCATTGACACATTTGATTTGAGGGCAGTTTTCGAACCAGTATGGTGATGCAAAGAAGGAGAAGGGTCAGAGAGGGAGATGTGGTGGGATCGTCGTCAAACTGCCTTGCTATTTTTGTGATGTCTGCCCAACGGCCAAGTGGAAGGAGTTCCTCCCCACCATCGGCTTATAATTGGATCAGAATTGAGTTCGTATTCCTGCATAGGTAGGTCACACGAAAGAGGCAACACGGTGGTAGAATAGTTGACCGGCTGCAATAACATCGCCCCCTGAACGTGAACTTCAGCCCCCACCCTTTGTATAACTGCAACTGCAATTGGATGGTATTTACCTGCCTGAAAGAATCATTACTACGCCCTGTCTCACACTCAATGCCACCATTGATTGACCCAGAGCCGACGTCATGTCAGGTGGAATGCTGCAGTCTGCCCTGCCATCAACGCAGTACCTGTTTAGCAGTCTGCTGACCCTCAGATAAGTCAGACCATGAACCCGGGCTCATATCATGTATGATAATGATGGCACTGAAAGAACACAAAAAGCTGAGAAAATCATACTCTTCTATAGACCCTTGGATATCTCTATTCATCCAATCCTCAAAAACCTTCATCTCGCTCCTTTTGGGAATACACATCTGATCAAAATGCACCAACTCGAAGCTTTACTTATCACTTGGCTGCTCATATTCACCCACTGCACCGGTCTTGTCACAGTTGACTGGACCACGATCACAGACGGTCATGGAAACCATCTTCCCGACTTCAGCTTCGCTGGGTACCGTTCCTCGGACATCCCCCTTCCATCGTCGATTGCCCCCATGATTACGCTGAATGCCTCGACTGGCGACCAAACTGCTCGCATCCAGGCTGCCCTAAATGAAGTCTCGGCGTCGGGAGGCGGTGCTGTCAAGTTAGGAAAGGGCACGTTTCCAATCTCTTCCGAGCTCAATCTCACCAGCAATGTTGTCCTGAGAGGTTCCGGCGTTTCTTCCACGAAAATCTCTCTCAGCATAATCCCTAACGGCCGCCCGGTGTTCAAAATGGGAAATGGGACGAACCATCTAGTGAATCCCTCCCTCTCCAGCAGCATAACAAATACTTTTGTTGGCATTGGTTCTAGCACCGTTGCTGTCAACAATTCCAAAGGCTTCCGTATTGGACAGACCGTCTTTGTCAACCGGGCTGCTACGGCTAAGTGGATCAGAGACAACGGCATGGCAGACCTTGTCCGCGATGGAAAGCCACAGATCTGGATTGGTGTACGTGTTTGGGGTGCGGCATCTATCCGGGAAAGATTTCTTCTTGCAACAATTCTGACTTGCGTGCCCCACAGGTTGGTGCGCTTATACAGCAGCCTCGCGTAATTGAGTCCATATCTGGAAACAACATTACGCTCACCGTTCCCTTGACCGACGCCCTCGACAAGGAGTACATGAGCCCCTACCTATCCGAGTACACGCCTCCGCCAACCTCCGCCGAGATTGGCATGGAAGATTTCTCCATAACGCTCTCACCCACTTGCTCTGGAGTAGCTCTCAACAATGAGACTTGCACCGCGCCCGCCATATCCATCTCCCCTTGGACCTTCGACAGCTACATCCGCCGCGTCAACATCGCGGGGTTCAACAACTTCATCGAGGTACAGAGCAATGCCAGCCGCATCACCATCTCCGAGGTAGGCATTTACCGTGACCAAGACACCGACAACACGTCGGGATACCCGGCAGACATCTCCATCAGAGGATCGCAGGTGCTCGTCCAGGACAGCGGGCAGTATGGCCTCGCCTCCGCCGCGGGCTTCGCCGTGATCACCCAGAGCAGGGCCCCGGGGCCCAACGCGGTGGTCCGGCACGCCGCCCGTGGGACGAGACAGTCGCTCTACCCGCATCACCGGTGGGCGCACGGATTCCTCGCCGACGACAGCAGCGCACCGGTGGAGTTGGTGAACCGTGGAACAGCCGGGACCGGCCACGGTTGGGCCATCAATGCAGGCGTTGCATGGAATGTCAGGGGCGCAGCGAGGATCCAGAGTCCACCGCTGGGGGTGAACTGGGGAATTGGAGTCACTGGGTCCATCACAGAGTCAAATGGGACCTTGGTGAGCAGCGGAACTGCTGTTTCTCCGGCGAGTCTGTTCGACGCTCAGCTAGCACGGCGGAGGGGGATGGTCAAGCAACGGGGATCTGACCTTTTGCTTTGAAGGATTTAGTCGGGTTACAGTTCGGGTTACGAATCTCTAGAGTACTATCAAACACCATGGTTAGGTCCAGGAAGTCAGTGGACAAGACGTTTGCAAGCAGAGTAACAATAGTCAGACGAGTACGTCAGAGTGTGGGTTCCAGAGACAATTCTAAAAGTTTCCCTCTCTTGATGAAGCCGCCTACTTTCAGTAAAGCGTTTAAAGATGCTAGAACGCTGGTGGAGACAGGGAAAATTGCAACACTGCTCTTAATCAGGAATGCTGAAAGTTCAGACTTTTACATCAATCAATTATATCCAAGGGTATGCTTGATATTTAGAATACATCCCAAAGGAATTATCAGAAGGAAAATGCAGATAGAACTCCTACAAATTCGTCCTGTAATGTGGCAAATGAAGGCCCTTTCCGTAGGTATTGTGTTTAGCGAGCTACCTACTAGTAGGTAATATAGTAAGTTTGAACAGCTACAAGCAACCCTGTGATGAGAGAGATTTGTAGAGAGGCGCAGCTGGCCTTAAGAAGTAAATTAAATGTCGTTGGGTACTATCTTCTGAGTGGAAAGTAAGGAATCAGAGGGCTGACAGGAGAACTAAATAACGAGCCAGTGCAGTGGGCGATGAAGCTGACCGCCCTGCAATCACTTACCCGTGCACGCTTTCTAAAGTATCAGAACTATTGAATTTATATTGGTATCATATCTACATGCTAATCACGCCTGCTACAGCGTTTGCAGAACCTAGTTGATGCTTCATATGATGCTTCATTAGCGAGGCCTACCTTGAATGTTCAAAGCTACTGGGGAGGAAGAAGGCCCTGTCTTCGTCTTGCGGTAATGAAACGAATCCGTTTGTCAGGCAAGGTGTGCTCTTGTTCGGGGCAGGCGGAGCTTGTTAAGCAGATCCAAGACTGAAGCCCGGACGGAAGACGACAAGCTGGTACCGCAGACGGCCCATCGTCCTCCGTCCGTGTTTAGGACAGAATTTCACCCTCACCAGCTCCCACGCTTGGTTCTTCAACGGTCGCTGAGACGGTGAAAGTTATTGTATGCATCGCTGGAATTCGTGACGGCGGCTGTGTAGCCTGCAAAGCTCAGGTTCACGTGGTCGAAATACTCCGAGACATGTCTCTCCTGTCATGGCGGCCGGTGAAAGTCGTTGGGAGAGCCCACCGCCGGGAATAAAGCGAACTTTGACGCCTCGGTGAATCTCGTGCTGTTATTCCTCGAGTCGAATTGTGTGTTCTCTACGGAAGACGGAAAATGCAATAAGAGTCCACGTCGGGGCCAAGGGCTGGCCCATCTCGTTCTGCACAGCCGGAGGTGTGAGCGAAGGAACGGAGGAGTGGGCAAGGGTTGGATCAATTCGTAGAATTGACTTTCGATCTGAAGAACGAGAGTGCAGCACAATCTCATCACATTACGAGGCTGCCTGGTACGAGTCCGTGAATGGTGTCAGGTCTCGGTGTGGATCCGCCAGCCGGACTGCTGATGGCACAAAGGGAGGACTCGCCCGAGGCATGAGCGCCGGATCCGGGGCCATTGCTGCCCCCGCTCCGACTTCCAGCACGGCCCGCCTGCCTGCGCGGCTAGGGGTTACTTTTGCCTCGTACCACATCAAGATGGCGAAGATGCTTTAGCCTCTGGGGACCGAGCAGACAAGAATTGAATTCAGCCGAAACTTTTGCTCTTGAGCCTGTTGCGATGATCCATTTGGTGATCACCGTCACTGGTTTGGCGACGCCGGGCCTTTTTGACGTCGGACATAACCGAGCGAGAGCGTCTTCCCCAATCGTATTCGTCCCAAGAGTGCTTGTCTCAGGCCTGACGCTGGAGTCTTGGTTTTGGCGATGCGCGATGCGGGAGGAATGAGCCTGCCGTGCGTCCGGATCGACTGACATGACGTCTGTCGCATCCATCCCGTGGAAGAAGTCTCTGTCGGCTACGCTCAAGACGCCAATCTCCCCCATGGGGGGGGGGGGACCAGCTTCCAGACTCGCCAGCTATCCAGTAGCCAGTGAACATGGTTCGTTCCAAGGCTTCCCGTCAAGCAACCCTGTCGCCCGGGTGGGATCCCGGCCGCGACGCTCCTGGGCAGCCTGACAGGGCGAGGTGAAGGATTGGCACGACCCTGGGAATGGGCCAGTGTATGTGCAGCAGCAGGCAGAACGTGTCGTCAGCTGCTGGCCCGTCCTGGCCCGTTGCGTAGCTAGACGAGGCCGGACCCCAGACGGCCAGAGTGAGCAGGAGGAGACGGGACCCGGAGTGGGTAACTGTGGCGTGTGTCACACCATGGCCGTATCTGGCCATACACACTTGGAGTAGCAGGGCGGTGGCACACCCAGCAGCGCGGCGGATGCGTGGGAAGGGTGTCGTCGCAAACGAGTCTTGAAACAACGAATCACGAAATGCACCTTTCCGCCCCGGGCCAGCCTGGCACGCCTGGCCCAGCCCGGCAACCCCTGGGTGGGCTAAAACCAGGGCGAGGGCGGTGGTCCCTGCCTCTCGCGTTCCATGCCCAAGAGCCTTGTTACAGGACTTGCCTCAAGTCGCGCCAGGACCCGACATTCTGACAGCACTCGCCGGCGTAGCGACCCACTGCCTCGCCGTGGATGGTCTGATTGATTGCTGGGGCACACACATACACACACGCACACACACACACAAGCAGCTGCTGTGGATGTGCTAATGTTCCAACGGTATTGTGTAGTTGATAACATACTTATAGCACAAGGTTGGAGGCGGCGTATTCAGCCAATGCCGTGCCCAAGGTATGAGGACGAGTTGACATGACTTGTCCAGACTTGCATAGAAAGATAGACACCTGCCACAGTCCACCACATATCCGCCGCAGAACTGGTGCTGCATGGACGAGACTGGACTAATATGTGAAGCCGATATTGACTGAACCTTCAGTCGCCCGGAGACGATGGATGGATGCGCGTGCCCCCTTGAAGCTCGTCCTGGGCATCTGTGTCCCTGAGAATAGGACGAAAGTGTTTCCGAGAGGACCTCATGTCTTTCTCCGTGACACACCCTCTCCCGCCTCGCCGGGTCTCAATCGTGCCCTGACAAGAGCTTAGCAGCCGGGTGGGCCAGCCCGCCACCCCAAACATCTAACGATCCATGGCATTCCTTTACCAGAGTTGGTCTTGTAAGGACGAGTTGGGGGCCCCAAGCCATCCGAAGCCGTTCACCTACTTTGCTCTGTTTCCGAAGTTTCCAATTTCTCGGACAAGACAAGAACACACAAGCAATCTATCACTTTACTCAATCAATCATCGAACCGGTTCCCAAGATTTTGTTTCCCTCCGAGCTGCACTGAGTGCACTCGACCGATTCCATCACACGTCGGTTCCCGCCTGCCAGCCGCCCGCCTGCCCGTTGCTGCTCGCGCCGTTTGGTCGCGGGCGTTCCGTAACCAGCCACTCAGCTTTTGGCGGCCGTTATAGAGGACAGGATAATTGGGACTCGGTCCCCACCAGGATCTCCGTCCCGTTGGCCGTTTCGAGACGAATTGCAACCTCACAGATCGCTCAACCAGGCACGGGCTTGCCCCCTTGAGTTGCATCTCCTATTTGCTACCTTGACGCTCTTCATATTATTATTACATACATAGCACCGCGCTTCTACCTGCCAGGCCAGAGCTTTAGCTTGTTCTGTTTCCTGTAGGCTGATCGCTTTTCTTTTCCTCCTTCTCCAAACAACCCAGGGAAAAGGGAACAGCCGGCTCAATCTGCCGCCTTTTCTGTGTGCATCTCTATCCGGCCATCTCCATCTCCATCGGTATGTTGCTACTCAGTATTCCCATTTCCTTCGTCTAACCTCGCTGCCTGCCTGCCTGTTGCCCGGTCTCTTGCTGCTGCTGCTACTGCTGCTGCTCTTGCCCTCCTCTACCTCTGCTGCACCATTCCCCTCAGCACTTCTCAGGTCGTTTTGATCTGCACAGGGCGAGAACGACGAGGCACCTGGGGTGTCCCCTCCTCAAGTTCACACTCCCACTCCCCCCACCCCACTTTGGCATATCGGGTCGGGTACCTGCTGGTCTAGGTTAGGTAGCGCCGTCATACAACCGCGGTCTACAGGTACATCCTATCTCGCGCGGTCGCCTTGACCCCTTCGAGCTCCTCAAGGTGGTCCGCTAGCCACCCGTCCTGCTACCCGCTAGTCGGCCTAGGGCCGGTCCCCATCTGCTGCTTCTGGCGCTGTGTACCTACCGTTTACCCTACCCACCTGCCTGACCCTGGGTCTTCCCTCTCAACCGCCCGCACCAGCACACCAGCTCCTCCTGCACCTCCCTCTCCGTCAGCCTGTACGGGTACCCGTCCTCTCTTGCGGCATCAATCTGTTCCGGCTGTGTCAAAACGTTTCTAACTTTCATGCGGCAGCACCCAGCTTGGATCTTGACAGTGACCTTTCGACATTGCATTACAACCACATAGCTCCCGGCCCTTTAACCTGTCCACCTTCTGCTGCATCACAAAGAAGTGCTTGTTCGACCTTCTTCCCAATCAATCTGCCCTGCCCTGCTCCAGCCTGCCTGCGACCTGCGACCGCCTTTCACAAACCAGTCCGTCCGGTCCAGCCCAGTCCAGTCCAACCCAAACCAACCCAAACCAATCCTGCTTCAACTCCACCTTGCCGACCGACACATCCCAACCAAGGACATCGTCGCATCCCACCACCTCCTGGAAAGCTCAACACCACCTCAGCCTTTGCACATCGTCGCACTCCCGAGTGCATCTCTTAACACAACATGGCTGCACCTGGGGTTCAGTCTCTGAAGGTTTGTGCTCCAGCACCCACCTCCAGGACAAAGGATGGCAGGTGGCTGTCGTCCCCCCTCCCTCCTGAGGGGCTTGTGCAAGTCGGGCTAACCATGCAAATCATCAACTGCAGTGCGTCGTGACAGGTGATGGTGCTGTCGGCAAGGTCAGTCAAGCTCGTCAATCGGCATCGCCTGCAATCAAGTGCTGACATCCGTGCCTCCAGACATGTCTGCTCATTTCCTACACGACAAATGCCTTCCCCGGCGAATACATCCCCACAGTGTACGTGACGCCAGCACAGCGCAGCCCTTGTTGACCGCCCCTGGCACAGGTCGAGCTTCACATCCAACTCCAGCTCTGCTGCAGCCACCAACTATACTAGTGACCATCATTCTGACAATGCCTCTGCAACAGCTTCGACAACTACTCTGCAAGTGTGATGGTTGATGGAAAGCCAATCAGCCTGGGACTGTGGGATACCGCTGGACAGGAAGACTACGATAGACTGCGACCGCTCTCCTACCCTCAGACAGACGTCTTCCTCATCTGCTTCTCCATTGTCAGCCCGCCATCCTTTGACAACGTCAGGGCCAAGGTTCGTCGACTTCCCTGCTAGCCTACCACATTAGATGGGTTGGCCGAGGCCACAAGGAAAAGCATACTGATGAATGAGACAGTGGTTCCCAGAGATCAACCACCATGCGCCCAACATCCCTATCATACTCGTTGGAACTAAGCTCGATCTTCGGGAAGACCAGCAGACGCTTGAAAGTCTCCGACAGAAGAGGATGGAGCCGGTATCGTACGACGAGGCGCTCAAGTGCGCCAAGGACATCAAGGCTCACAAGTACCTCGAGTGCTCTGCTCTCACCCAACGGAACCTGAAAAGTGTTTTCGACGAGGCCATCCGGTATGACAGTTGAAGCTCAACCGCGAGGGCGAATCCCGTGGTCTTGGGAGAATCGCAACGCTAACCAACGCTCTCCTAGTGCTGTCCTCAACCCCAGGCCTCAACCCACCAAGCCCAAGAAGTCGAAGTGCACCATCCTGTAAGCGTCGAACTCGAACCGAAGCCTGTCGCTCTGTCGACCGAACTTGTTTAATATGCCCCTTCTGTGCCACGGATGGGAAAGCTTCTAGAAAGGACGGATGGGTCGAACACCTCGAGCGTCGGTCAAATAGAAGGGCGGAAAGGGACGGACTTGGCGAAACGCTTGTATTGCGTGTTCCTTTACGGCTGGCACGTCACGAGCTGGACTTGGAGAGAAACGGAGACGGGGACCAGGTTATATTACAATCCACGGCTTATATCATGCCAGAGCGGCGCGCGGCCAGGATTCACTTGTCTCTGCCCACCGCGCTTGGCTCTCGCGGAAATCGCACTGTCCCAGCTCTGCCGGGCCCGACTTATCTGGAGCACGAGGTACCAGACTTTGAACCTCGTCCCGCCGTTGCTTTTTGCTTTCTCGCGATCTGTTCAGCAGAATGGGCATTTCACGCCAGTCACCAAAGGATATCCACGATTTGATGTTTGCTTTTTCTGTAGATAGCCGAGGAATACGGAAATGGAGGAAGGGCTGCGATGTTGTCTCTTTTTCTCCCAAAGGAAATGGTCATTAGGGATGGAAACCTACATGTCAAACCAACTATCACCACCTTTGATCCCCAGCACGGCTGCAAGAGAGATGGGAAACGTGATGATTTCGTCGGAGTTTTGCGTAGAAAGGAAAGTATCATCTAAAACATTTTTTATCATGCGTGTCTCACTCTCTACACGCTGTCTATTCAGTTGATTTGGGGATATTAGGGGTATCATTGCCATGCGGATCCCAGGAGTAAAGTAGAATCCACGGGGTTCAATAACCTTCTCAGGGTGCCACTGGCTGTCAAGTGACCACCATCACCTCACCACGTCGTGGCGCATCAGGGCCACTGTGCGCAGCTTGCCTGCCACTTCGGAGCTGCGCGACTGGGCAACTTTAATCGAGGGCTTCTTCTCCTGCGCCGAAGTATCCCCCGCTGCTGTTGAGATTGAGCCAGGAATAGAGTGTATGCAGACTGAGCGCCCGGTGTCGTCCGAGGAGCGGCTAACTTTGATCGTCCGCGCCTCACTCGCAGAACTGTCTGTCGAAGTTTCTCGCCAGATTAGCTCGGGTGATTCGATCGTCCCCAACCCTCCGCGCAAATGCCTTCGAGGCGGAGGAAAATCTCCGTGGTCTCACTTTGCCACTTTTGCCGCCTGGCCTGTTTCTCGAGCAACAGGTCCGCCCTCAAACAATAGTGGTGGTGTCCGTAGTAGAGCAGATGAGTCCAGTAGAGAGCGACCGGCAGGTCATGCACAGTTATTAGACTTGGAAGGGCGTCTCTGATTCCGCTCACCCCCGTGCTCCGGGCCCGGACCTGGGGGCGGGGCCGCAAGGAAAAGGCGTGACCATCCGCCCGGATCACCCTACGAACCCCCAGCCAGGAACAAGTGGCCCGTCCGTTTACCACCGGCGCGATCCACGACCCCCGCGGCCTCCTCGCCCACCACGTCCCCCACGACCTCCGCGGCCTCCACGGCCACCCCTGCCCCCGCGACCGCCTCGCCCGCCCCGGGTGCCGCTGTCAAAGTCGTCCGCATCGTCGGCCTCGCCAGAGTTCATCTGCGCCCTCCTACTAGGGTGGACCCAGTCCTCGTCCTGCTGCTCGGGCTGCTGCGACTCCTCCTCCGCGGCGGCGCCGCCCTCCTTGTCCTTCTTCTTCGACTTCCCCTTGCCCTCCAGGGCCTTGGCCTCCTCCTCGGCCTGGATGCGGCGCGCGCGCTCCTCGTTGAGCTTCGCGTTCTTGGCCGTGATCTTGTCCCTGCGCGCCGCCGTCTTGCCGCCGCCGCCCGCCGTGAGCTCGACGTTGATGCGCCGCGCCTCGCCGCCCTGCGGATCCGCGAACTCGGTGTGGTGGAACTTGGCCAGGCACGTCTTCATGTGGCTGTAGTTGTCGAACTCGACGAACGCGATGCCCCGCGACTTGCCGCCGCTGCCCTTCTCCGTCAGCAGCCGCACCGCGCTCGGCTTGAGCGACGCGAAGTGCGCCTCCACGTCGGCCTTGGTCGCTGTGAAGGGGAGGTTGCCTGTGTAGTGGAGCGATGAGGTTAGTATGTATAGGTTATGACTGACAAGGTGCCAAGGGAGGCGTACCAATGAAGCAGATAAACTTCTCGCGCTTCGCTGCGCCTTCCTCTTGCTCGGCAGACTCATCCTCAGGTTCGTCTGCATCTTCGGGCTCCTGTCCCTCGTCTTCCTCAGCCTGCTCCTTGGACTTCTTGGAAGCCTTCTTCTCTCCCTTGGGCTTCTTGCCCGCGTCTTCGAGCTTCTTCTGTGCCTTCTCGGCCTTTTTCTTCTTCTTCTCTATCTTCGCAGCATCTTCGTTCACTGCGTCCTCCTCGCTGGGAGTTTGGGGCTCAGACTTCGTCTTCTTGGTCTTCTTGTCCTTGTTTTCCTTTTTCTCTTTCTTGTCGCTTGCGAGTGGCTCGCCTGATTCCTTTGCCTTGGCCTCCTTCTTCGCCTTCTTAGCAGCCTTACGCGCTGCTTTGTCGTCGGCTTCCTGCTGATCGACAGGGTCCTCAACGTCGCTGAGCTTGCGCTTCTTCGATGACTTCTCTGCTTTGAGGGCGGCTGACTCTGCTGTCCTCGCCATTTTTACCTGTAATGGTCGTGTAATAGTTGGTGGAATTGAATGAATTAAAAAAAAAAAGAGGGACGCCACCGGAGGTTTTGCGAATTGGGTTGGGAGCAAATCGAAGCAGGGAATTCTGCCGTCGAGGAAAATAAATTGGGACTCGGATTTTTTTTTGGGGCAATTATGCCCAGTGCAGGTTAGATAAGATAAGCCCAAATCCACTAAGCCGACACCCTATCTTCAGGACCCATGACCACTTGCAAGAATGATGATCACAGTCTCGTTGTCTGTATTTACATGAATTTTACAGCTCAAATCCATCACATGGAGTGGCGTATAATTTTGACGTGTTGAGGCAGCACCCTATTTGATGATGTCTCACCGCTGTATGTGCTCCGAAGACCCTGGAGTGCTTGTTGCCACGACAAAAAACACCAGAAGGACTGCAACCTCCATTGATGGGCAACTTCACCTCTCATCTGAGCGCAGCCTACACATGTCTGCTCATTGGTTGTGCAATATTGTTACGATGGGCACACAGCCCCGAACATCTGGCCGACTTCCGTGACCCTGTCTAATCCCATGCAAATTCTCCGAGTGGTTGGCATTGAATCTACGGCCCATAATGTAGTCTCTGAGACCAAGCGTTTGGGGTTGGTCTAAATTGCTTGCTGCTCATCGCCTGTCTAAATCTACCTCTGTGAGCGAACGAACATCTCAAGCGAGAGCACATCCAATTAACGGGGACTCTTGGACGGTGATGCAAATGTCTTTTCGTAGCCATAAGCAGCAGCAGCATCTAACATTGTTGTGGCGTTTCTAGAAGTCTATCATGTCTGAGCAGAACGAACACCCATAAGCTGAATACATGACCGCAAACGAGAAGCCTCCCCATTACTCTGACACTCCCTGGTCTCCTTTCCATAAGATTCGAAGAATAAAACAACCAAGCCATCCCATCCGCCGCGCCAAAGTCGTGTTGTGGTGTAAGAGATAAGAGTCGAGAGGAAACGGCAAGCGGTCGAAGTGGCATCGAGGGCCCGCGATGTTGCGAGAGGAAAACCTGTTGTCTGTTGGCAGTGGATGGTGGCGATCAGACTCCGAGAAGGGTCGACAGTGGAGTGTACATTCCGAACACTGCCGCGGCCTAGACAGCAAGGGCCAGGTGAGATGATGGGCCTCGTCCATCAGAAGCTGAGGACTGCGCGATGTACGCCGCAGAGTAAGCCGGCTGCGTTGCATAGGCCAGACTCGAGTCTCCTGCACCCTCAAGCGTCCTAGCGCCAATCCCTCCTCCCTGAATGGTGACGACAGCGACGGTCGAGACGATGGCACCGCCCGCGCCGTTGCCGCCGAGTCCGTTGCCGCCGAGCCCACCGCCCAGGCCGCCTGCACCGCCTGATCCGATGCCGTTGCCGCTGCCCAGGCCGCCTCCACAGCCATCAGCTCCGGAACCTGATCCACCCAGGCCGTTGCCGTTGCCGTTGTTTCCAAGGCCCGATCCACCGAGTCCGTTGCCAGAACCGTGACCAGATCCGGCACCGAGCCCCCCATCGGGTGAAGCGAGGACTGTGACTGTTGCTGGCCCAGATACTCCACCGAGACCTCCCAGACCGCCGAGGCCTCCGTTGCCGCCGAGGCCATTGCCGTTTCCGAGTCCTGAACCTCCGAGTCCTGAGCCGCCGAGTCCTGAACCACCGAGGCCGTCACAATCTTGGCCACTACCAAGGCCGCCTGCGCCTCCAAGACCGGAGCCTCCAAGACCGGAGCCTCCAAGACCGGAGCCTCCAAGACCGGAGCCTCCAAGACCGGAGCCTCCAGGACCAGAGCCCCCGAGGCCTGAACCTCCAATCCCAGAGCCGGCACCACCAGGAGAAGCCAGCACCGTGATTGTCGCAGGTCCGCCAGCCCCGAGACCATTTCCGCCGAGACCGTTGCCAAGGCCATGTGCACCTCCGAGGCCGTTGCCGAGCCCGCCTCCGACTCCAGAGCCGCCGAGACCAGAGCCGCCGAGACCAGAGCCGCCGAGACCATTGCCATTTCCGCAGTCCCCAGCTCCGTTGCCGCCTCCAAGGCCAGAACCACCTAGGCCAGAACCACCTAGGCCAGAACCACCTAGGCCAGAACCACCTAGGCCAGAACCACCTAGGCCAGAACCACCTAGGCCAGAGCCACCAAGACCAGAACCACCTCCATATGCCCCAGCTCCATTGCCACCAAGACCAGAGCCGCTTCCGTAGGCTCCAGCTCCGTTGCCTCCGAGTCCAGATCCACCGAGGCCGTTGCCTCCAAGACCGTTGCCTCCCAGACCACTGCCACCAAGACCACTGCCACCGAGGCCGCCTGCACCTAGGCCACTTCCGCCCGCAGGAACGGCAAGAACGGTCACAGTGGTAGCAGCGCCGAGCCCGCCTGCACCACCCAGGCCGCCGGGACCACCCAGACCGCCAGGACCGCCGAGGCCACCAGGACCACCGAGGCCGGCTCCATTTCCGAAGCCGCCATCATTGCAGTCGCCGTCCATGAGGTGGGAGACGTCTTTCTCTCCCTCTGGAGAGAGCTTGGCATCACCCAGGATGTGTGAGCTGTTGGTGGCACGGAGGTGTGCGGCGAGGCTGACAGGACCAGTAGGGACGGAGAGGATTGCAGCATTAGCAGGTGAAGGAGGAGGGGAAGTCGGTCCAGAAGCCGAAAAGACAGAGACGACACCAGCCATGGATGTGACTGTGACGACGGTGGAACCAGTTGGTGCAGAGAGGGCTGTGACGGTGAGATCCGACGTTGCGCTCAAGGTGTCGATAGATGGGACAGGGTCAACGTGGATGTTGATCTCAAGATGGACTTCAGGCGACGTAGGGCTCATGTCGAGGGTATGAGGAAAGCCCAGGCTTTCAGGATCAAACTGGGCAGGAGGAGCATCCCGCGTGTTGGGAGTGTCATTTTCAATGTCTGGTCGCGTGTCAGTAATACGGCAGAAACGGCAGAGGAGTCCAAGGCAAAAGAGAACGAACGAGGGAGTTTGGCGGCAGTAGAGGTGGGCAGAAGTTGGGCCCAAGTCAGCTGAGTGGTGAAGAGACCGCCTGCTGTCAAGAGAATGGTGGGACGCATGTTGAACGATTGGGGAGTCGACGGGTGATCCGGGCCAAACGCAAGAAGAGAGAGGAGAGGATCGATCGAATTGCTACTCGCGAAGAGATGATCTCCAAAAAAGAGCGTCGATGTAAACAGGGCAGCAAGCGAGCAAGCAATGCCTGTGGAAGAAAAGAAGAGAAAATCAAGGAATCAATCAGACACGATTCAAAAAAGCCAAGAATGAGTGACGTCCAATAAACGTGTTGGTTGTAGGTTTTTGGTGATGACTGAGATGGTGTTTTGAGATGGTGGGCGGCGGATGGATGGATGTTGTTGAAGAGAAGAGAAGAGAAGAGGGAGAAAGGCAGAACAGTCCTTCGAGGGGAGATGAAGTCTTGAGGAAAACATTGGAACGAATGCGTGCCTTCCTGCCGGATGTGCAACCATTTCGAGTAAAGAGCGGGTTGCGACGTGGCAAGAGACCAGGAGACCAGTGTCGAGCAGATGCTTCTTTCAACTGCCCAGGTGGGAAGGAACAGACGTGCAACATGCCCGCAGCCAGTGCCACCATGTTAGGCACCTGGTAGTGTTGAAGTGCTCATCTTCCCGTGGGATCCAGTATGGAGAACCAAATCTGATGGTCCGATGGACGAAATGAGATTGCTATCTGTTATTGACAGCAATTGCGGTGTGTCCTTCTTCGTGCACTGGTCTTGTACATCGACTCTGTGGTGATGTTGAAGACGGTGAATCTCGGGACTCACCAGTTCCCGGGTTCCGCTGACACCGCAGGCAGGCGTTGCTGCTTCCTAACGCACGACTGGGAGTACTTCTATGTCGCCTTCCAAGTGTGGTGTCTCGAGCTTGAGCTGGTCGGAAAAGGGAGGAAGCAGGCAGCCATAACTGCTGGGCAACTCTGATGCCTTCCCCCGTACCAACACCCACAATATGTCTGCACCAGCCACGAGGCGTCATCCTGTCCTGGCTGAATACCTAATTGCCCCGTATGTGGTCGATTGAATGGGTGAACTACCCATTATTCCAGTCACCTGGCCGATGTCTCCCTGCGAGACGTTCAGAGCCATTTCTCAGGCATCATACTGGTCGCGACAGCTGTCGTAGGCTCAGAAGAAGAGAAGATCCAGAGGCTTCTCTTTGGCCGCGTACCTCTCCTTGAACTCATTTCTCGTCAGCCACCGGGAAAGAGGCATCATTGTGTCTTTCATGTCCATGATGCCCCTCTTTTTCTGGTCAATGTGGGAAGCATCAACCACGATGCGCTTCAGGTACTCGATTGAGAGTGCACCTGCCAGACATATTAGCAAACCCTCGGTGTTACTGACTTCAAGAGGGGAAGGAGCTCACCGTTGTCGAGCAAGGCCTCCAAGCGCGCAGGAGTTCCTACCGCGATGCCAGTCTTGCTCTTTTTGAGGAACTGCACCTGCTCCTCGACCTTGAAATGTTTTGCAAACTGATAGAAACTGTGTCAGCAACTGCACTTGACAGAGCACTCCTTTCCTTCCGCGGAACACACCACAAGACTTACCAATTTTGAAACCACGTTCCCCTTTTTCTGGAACTTCCTCGTCGCACGCACCAAGTCGGCAGCCCTCAGCCCAGCGCCTGCCACGATGATGGTGTGAGGCGCCCCGACCTTGGGCGGCGCATCCCCAAGCCTCTTTCTCTCCTTCTCGACAGCCTTGGCATCCTTCTCATCGGGCCCCGGCGCGAACTCCTCCAGGAAGTCGGGCAAGCTCTCCTTTACCCTCACCTTGGCGAAGTCTGTGGTGTCCCTGACGGCGTTCGCGCTGATGTACAGGTCGCTCAGCTCCACGGAGCTCAGGTCTGTGCCGAACCGCTTCGTCTGCCTGGCGACGTGGTCTGCAAGGAGCTGGGGGTCCATCCTGACAAAGGCCATGTTCACTCCTGCCTCAAGGTCGAGCATGCCCTCGTCCTCCTCGTGCTTGCTGGCCTTTTGCTTCTTAGCACCCGCGGGCTGTGAGTCGTCCTGCGCCTTCCTCTTCTTCGACTTGGCCTTGGATGCCGCCGATGGCGCAGGAGCGGGTGGTCCTGACATCGTGGGTCGTAGTGGAAAGCAGAATCCCTTGTCTTGGTCTCCAGATGAGGTGCAGCACGGGGTAAGGCGATGACCGAACAGCGCCTACGGTCGATTTCAATCCTGTGAGTATGATCTCTTTTTCAGAAGAGTGAGATGTGGTTTTGAATTTTGGTTCTGTTGTGTACTTTTTGGGACTGAAGACCAATGGGATCACTTGTGAAAATTGCACTGATTTGGTACATGAGATTTTGTAATTGTCTAGCCACAGTGAAAATTTGAGAGCCGGCGTTGCTAAGGCTGGAAATTCTGTACGCTGCACTGTGTTGTGTCAGTCACCAGACTGTGTTTCTCAGGTCTCCGGTGCATGCGCTTGCGCGAGAGGCAGCCTCCATAGCTCAATAAACACAGTGTGAGGATCACAAGACACCAATAGCCTGCATACACACCTTGATGGGTTGCATTTAAAATGATTGCCCGCTTGTCATTTGATACAAGATACACATATGTCCGCCTCCTGCATGCCCGAAAACCTCTGCGATGCCCAGAAGAAGAGCCGCCTCGTTCTCATCCATCAAATACAGCCAGCCCCTTTCGGCTAGAGCACCGCAGCACTACTGTACACTAGGTAAATTCCCTAGCCCGGACCGCGATCGGCAAACCCGTCCCCGGGGCCCATCGAGCGTCATCATCAAAGCTTACCACAGTAGGAGGAAAGAGAATACTGGAGCATGGGCGCGGAGCAGCGCCAGCAGAGAAGGGCACGAGTGGGGCGGGCGGACCCCTCTACGGGCGCACAACTGACTTGCAGCCGGGCCCAGGCTGCATTGAGTAAGGATCGTGAGAGGTGAGGGAAAAATGCCCACCCGGCCGGATCGACACAGTTCAAAGGGGGGTCGCCGGAGGTTCCACGGCCAACGACAACAACGAGAAAAGGTCCCCTGATGAGATGGATCGGCGCAGCGTGGGGTTGGACGAAGAAATATGCCTGTCGACAGATAGGCTCGCCCGTGCAGACTCACTCGCCGGTATGCTTCTTGGTCTACACCACCTCTGCCGCGATACTTTTGGCTCCCGTTTCAACCACCACGGCCGGCCCCCATCTACAGCTGGCCGCCTCGGTGGATGGGCGCATAAGCTTCTCCGTTTGGGTTTGAGTCGGCCCCTGGGCACAAACTCTCTGGGCACGATAGTTCTGTGTTTTTTTTTTGTTTTTTGGCCCGGGTTCATTATATAAGTCCGCCTGCGTGATTCTCGCACGGGTAAATGGTCCGATACTCGGTCCTTAGTCCGGACTACCTGGGAACTCATCTGGGGAATTAGACTGCTAGGCTTCCTATTACGCCATGTCATCACTCTTCGTCGATGATATTGCGCGAGACCTTGACAATCACGCGGAGATACTAGTCGCGCAAAATCACATACAAGTTGTCATTTTTATTGCCAAAGACAACAACCTGGAGCCAGAAAACAAGCCGATCCGGCACCGTGCAGTCCCACATTTTCCACGGGTATAAAAGCAGCATTTATATCCAGCCCACTGACAGTCCCATACCCAAAACCTCAGGGCGGTCGCACATGCTGCCGCAGCCGCTTTCTCACCTCTCCTCTCCCCTCCCGAGGGAACCAGGCAAAAAGGCACCATGGCGCCCCAGTCCTCCATCCCGGTCGCGGCGACGGTCCTCGGGACGATAGGAACGATCCTGTGGTGCGTCCAGCTCGTGCCGCAGATATGGACCAACTGGCGCACCAAGTCCACGGACGGCCTGCCGGGCTCCATGATGTTCCTGTGGGCGATATGCGGCGTCCCCTTCGGCGCCTACAGCATCATCCAGAACTTCAACGTCCCCATCCAGGTCCAGCCACAGTGCTTCATGGGGCTCTGCCTCGTCAGCTGGGCCCAGGTCCTCGTCTACGGCCGCCGGTGGCGCGCCTGGACCGCGGCGCTGGTGGGCGTCGCCGTCACCGCTGCGTGTGCCGGCATTGAGGCTGCTTTGATCCTGACTTTACGGGTGAGTGCAGTCCCTAATATCATATTTGCGTTATGAAATAGAAAGAAAACTGAAGTCGGCGAAAATACACGAATATTTCTACAATTTCTTGTGATGCTCTCCTATGTATGTTCAGTGTGGTCAAAAAATAAAAATCATTGCTGACAATGGGAATAGCCAATCTACCTTGAAGGCAATGAGACGCCGGTGCTGGTTGTGGGTATAGCGGCATCTGTACTTCTCGCTGCAGGCCTCCTCCCGCCTTACGGCGAGATTTGGAAAAGAAGGGGCAGGGTTATCGGTATCAACTGGGTTTGTTGTTTCTCCTCGTCCTGTTACGTGTGGTTGCTAGGTACGGCTCTTGAAAACTTACAGATCGGCAGGTCTTCCTGGCGATGGACTGGAGCGGCGCCTTCTTCTCGCTTATGGCACTGGGTATGTGCCTGTCCCGTTTGAGTTTTCCTCATCCAGGCCTACACGGGGCTTGCGGAAACCGGCTAACATGAGCTCTCACAGTTGCACAAAACACGTTTGACGTGCTAGGAGGTGTGCTGTATATCATCTGGTAAGTCGGGCTGCTCCAGAGAACATCATCCACGTACCTTGGGGAAAGGACTGACATTAAAAATTGCTCAGTGTGATACTAGAACTTGGTATCTTCACCTCCCACTTCATCTGGCTCATCAGAACATACAAGGTCCGGAAACAAGCGAAAGAGCAGGGCAAGACTTTCAACGACATCGCACTGGAGCACGAGGAGCTTGGCATTCCGTTCAAATTCGCAGAGAGGAAGAGCAAGAAGGAGAGACGCAAGCGACAAAAAGACGCCGAGGAGGGCACCGTGGTAGAAGCTCGGACCGAAGAGCCGTCGCAAACCGCAGCCGGGAGGGAGAGTTCGGCGGACGAGTCACCGGAGCACGGAGCTGGACAGACCGGGAAGGGCATTCGAGAGAAAGATCCTTGATGTAGACTTTGGATGGGAATCCTGGCCCTTTTGGCGCTGCCCGCTTGGCATATCCCAGTGTCGATGGTAGCGTGATGTTTCGGGAAGGAGGGGGGCTCGACCAGGCTCCAGGGTCAACCTGCTCCACTCTTCGCAAACAACAGAAGGATCTTCGTTCTTTCGTTCAATCTCTCCAGGCGGACGAAACAAAATGGAAACCATCGCTGATGGTGACACGAGGGCGTAAAAACTGGGAAGCCAAATAAATTCCCACAAGTTGCGGTATTCTTCACATGTTTGCGCCCGGACAACAGCCACGGAGAATGGGCGTTCATGGGGCTCCTCCTAGTGACCAACCTGTGATTTCCACAAGGCACGATCGCGAGGCTTCAGCCTATTGCGGACCAGCCAACTAGATCGATCGCGCTGTCTGGTGGTCTGCATGAGCATTATGCACAAACAATCTATCTCAGCCACCATGCCCTCCGGAGTCAAAACAGTCGGCCCCGACGCCTCGTCACGTCGGACGGGCGGGGGAGCATGTCTGTGTGACTATTGTGACTTACAGAGAGTGTGGCTAACCCTGATTTGTCAATTCGAATTGATCCATTCCTTAAAGCTGGGTGTTCAACTCTGTTAGATGTTTTGTAATTGCAGGCCGAGGTGGTTAGTTGTGATCCGGAGGCGAGTGGTTTCCGGCGGGGGGGACGTCCGCCGTGGCACCGGTGAGGCGCAGGATTGCACTGCATAGCCCTGGTTGGGATCGCCCGAGTGACAGATCATGCATATGTAGGCTACAGAATAGTCGTGAAACGGCCCAACGTCAGCCTAACTTGAACAACGCCGTGAACCACCCCCAACAGTTCGTGGCTAGATACGCGAGCAACAGCTTGTCATACAGATGCAGTGTAGCGTGGGCGGCCGGTTATGCACAAGAGATGCGGCTAGACGCCAGCCGTTGATATGCTGCATTAGCCCGGCGGGCGGGTTGACGGCCAAGCGCCACGAACATGTCTTGTAAGGCGCTCCGGGTGGGGTTGGTGAAGAAGCAACAGGTGCCCATGTCGTGATGTGGTCTTGCCTGCATTGCAAATACAGCGCAGTAGTCGGCTGGCCTGCACATTACGCCACACGGCCGGCACGTTCGAGAAACCCGATGGTTGAATTGGTCCCAGACAATGGGTGAGCTCGCATGCAGGCTCCGAACCGGGACGGGCTGCGGGCTTTTGATGGTGCATTTTCCCCAGGGAGTGATCCGGGTCAGGATCCAAGGCTTTCCGATTGGAGCTACTCCGCGGTGAGTAGCAATTGCGCGCGAGTCCGGCCTCTTTCGATGGCCCTAGTAGTAAACTCGGTGAAGGCCCTATTTTTGCCGGAGGCTTGCGAGCACCAAGAGTGTCGGCCAGTGCGAGGGCATGTCACGGCGAGAGCGACGCTCTTCGTCCCGATTTGCTGGATACTGGCGGAGATGTTGCCGACTGCTGACTCGGCGCTGCTAATCAAGACAGACAACCTACTCGTGTGGTGGTTTCAGGGACGTCTCGACCACAGCAGGAGCCATCAAGGCGGTTCCGGATGACAAGCATTGCACAAAAAGGTGTCGGCAAGGAGGGGAAGGTGGTCGGGAGACTGTTCAGGCTGCTAGAAAGCATATGCTGACCCAGGCCACTGGGACTTGGGGTCGTCCGAATCGGGGCTTAAGACACAGGAGATATAAGTCAGGGAAGCAGGGAGTCAGGAAGCAGGAACTGACGACGCCAGAGCATGTCTAGGCTCCTAGATCCCGTTGGAGGATATCTAGGAGCCACGAGATGTTGCATAGTGCAGAGTGCAGAGTGGCAGAAGAGGTGCGCAATCCCTCGCGATATTGTGGTTGAGACGAGGTGGTGGTTGGCACGGACGATGTTGTTCAAGGTGGGTGGGTTCGGGGTCGAAGAACGGGGACATTCCATGGCTATCCGGTTCCGCGTGGAGGGTCTGTTGTCGTGCCCGTGGCGATGAAGTCATCATCAGTGGACCGCAACAGCGTTGAGCTTGTTCATTGCCCGACTTGATCGGGGTACAGGACCGTTCGCGGGGCTGGTGAAGTCATGGAGGAGCATTGGCAGCGAGCTTGAGTCGCATCCGAGGGTGAGGAGCAATGAGGTTACATGTACATTTTGTCGAAGGTATACCGTACTCGGCACCATGGGTTTTTCTAAGTGAGCTGTCACAAGTACCCATGACCAACCAGGTGCTAGATAGTATGTGTGAGTGCCTGTCTATATATGAGCGTGTAGTCCTGCCATTCGAAACAAAGTTCCGCGTGTCTGATTTCGCAACGCTGGCTAGGCTTGGACCAGTTGGTTGCCGTTGTGGTTGTCAGCCCTGCCGACTTGTTTCGCCTGCTACACCTGCACGGCGGGCCATGTAGACTCCTTGGAACTGGGGCGAGCTCGAGCAGTCGTGTCGCGCCAACCAACACGATGATGACCACAGCAATCTGCTGCTGGGCAGTACGATCGTACTGTACGGTAGAGACAAAGACACTGTGCCGTGGTGCTCGGCTGGGGTGGGGTGCAAGGTTCGTCGAGCTGCATGGCGACTGGGTTCTGGAGTGGATGAGGTGGGCATGTGGATCGCGAAAGTGGTTCTTGTCATCAACCTGGTGGTGAGGAGTGAGAAAAAAGTGGCCGAGGGCTAACGCGATTGGAATTGGTTCAGTGGAAGGAAAAAAAGAAGGCGGCCAGGGGTTGCGTTCGGGGAACTTCAGGAAGAAGGCCAGCCTGCAGCTGACTCGCAGCATTGGACCCTCCCATTGGCCGTCCGGCCCGGAGAGCGCTTCCTGCCCAGGGAGCCCCCAGCCTCTCGACCGAGTGTGGGCTCCAGGTGGTCTCCCAGTGTGAGGGTGAGGTTGTGAGCCATAGCAGTAGGTAGATGGATGGGTGGATGCTGTCTGGCAGAGTGGCAGAGTGAAAGAGCGGAAAATTTGCAGGTGCGGGCGCGCGGGAGAAAATCCACGGTGACCGTGCAGCCATGTCAGGCTCAGAACCGAACATGGGGGGGCAACATTGCTGTGGGCTCTCCTCCCTCTTTGCCCCCGACACCAGGAGACACCGACAAACACATGAATTTACTGTACCTAATGTACATGGATGTGTGGCTATTGCCTGGTTCAGGAGAGCGCGTTGCGGCAAGCGAGGTGGGAGGTGGGAGATGACATCTGTGTTGTGCTTATATTACCGCCTAGTCCAGCGAGACCACATCACGCTCAAGCCGGAGCCCCCAGGTAAGTTTCGTTAATTACGTCCACGTACCAGCAATGTGGGTGTATCTCGTCGCCGTCCCCGAACGACGACTTGGGCCTCGACCTCGACCCCGATCTGGACTTTGAGTCGAGTCTCTGCAGGCTGCATAGCTGGAATATGTGCGCACTGAATGAATATAACATACCATGGCCCGGGTTGTCACGACACAAGTCGCAGGCAGACGAGGCACATTCCGCACCAGCCAGTCAAGAGCAGCTCAATTTTCAGGTTTCCCATGTTTCGAAACCAAACCATGGTAATTCTCTTGACCTGTTTGTTACCGTGCAGAACAGTCTAAAGTAATAAATTAGACTGCCTGCCTAGGTACGTGGACTGCCTCTACCTAGTAGAGGCGAGGCGATCAGACCAACAGACCAAGCAGCAACATTTGAACGGACAGCGGCCACGGCTGCAAATGCAGCCACAACCACCACAATCCCTACCTCGCACTTTTATTTGTACCGTCAACCCCCTGGCTGGCTGCCCACTCCGGCACCCCCAAGCGATCAAATCTCCCATCGCTCACAATTGATCTCTGGACGGTCTGCATTCTGCATCCTGCACTCTGCACTCTGTGCTCTGTCTGCATCTCTGCGTTCTGGACCCTGGCCCGCTGGAAGCTTGCAACCCTGTCTCGATTGGATGGGCCGAGCTACCTACACCTGATAGGCACTCGCGGTAGAAAAGAAGCAGGCAGGAGCAGTGCAGCTTACGGACACATACAGTACGTACGCCCGCACGCCCGCACGCCCGCGGGTACGTCTTGTACCTCCGCCATATCTACAGTTGATGGGTACTGCACGCTACAGGTACATACATACATACATACGTGCGTACGTGCCTGCTCCCCAGCATCGCATACCAATCCGTCGGACCTCACCTTTTCTCTCTGCCTGCCATACCTTTGCTTGCCTCTGCTTTCGTTTTCGTTTCTGGTCTTTTTTGGCCCCCCTCTTTTTGATCTCATGTCGGCCACGCAGAGCTGATCGATCCCCCTCCGCCAACGCTTAGGTCTCCTGGCTTGCCCCCTTCTACACATGTTGGGGCGTCAATTGGTGCCTCCATCACCTGCGCCTGCAGCGCCACTGCACACACGGTGACCACGGACCACAGAGAGCCCGTCCTAACGAGGTGATCCTCCCGGGCGCCCCAAACAGCTCCCCTCCAAGCCAAGCCAAGCGCTGCTGGTGCTAGTACAGGCTACCTACCTTTGCCTTTCTGGCTAGGTCCCTTACGGAACGTGGGAACACCGGTCAAGAAAGGGCCTTGTCGATTTATTGCCGAGCGTGCGACCTGCGTGCGCAACACCTCGGCCTCGTCGACATTGTTGCTGTTATTTTATTGTTGATGCCTCAGAGGCCCGCCGCCCACTCGGTGAACAAGACACACTCTTCTCCACGCCAACCAAGCCAGTGCCGTGCAATCCATTCCCCCAGTGCTCCAGTCCTCGATTCGACCGGCCTGGCCCTCGGAACATTACCTTGGCCTGCCTCGCCGCGCCGCGCCACGCCCACGGCTTTCCCACAACTTCTTTCGGCTCCTTTCCTTACCTGGGTCCTGCGCCCTCTGCCTCCACGCCTGCAGGCCTGCACTGTCACAAGCTGCCGCCAACCGCCTCTTGTTACCTGCGAGCCGTCTAAACGCCTCGTACCACCACAACCACAACTTTGCGCCGCGCCCACCTGCCTCCCGCATCTTGGGCACTCCACTGCAGGGCCGGCTGTCTGTCTTCCATTCTCGACTTTCACCGGGAACCTCTTTGCTTCTGCGACGTTGGACGCCACGCTCCTTACTTGGTAGTCGGGCAACTGCCCGCCAGGCCCCTGGACTGTACCTCAGTCTACGACCATCATTTCTTCTTCGGTGCACCAAGCCTACCTCCCCACTCTCTCCCTCGCCATTCTTCTTCGATCATCCCGCCGCCCCCAGCCCCCAAAAACGCACGCGGGCGGAAGGAAGGAAGGAAGCCAGGAAGGAAGGAAGGGATTACGCGCCCGCGCCCGCGCCTGTGCCTGCGCCTGCGCCTGTGCCTTTGCCTCGAGGTTCAAGGGACATCAGGGTCCGCCTCGGCGTCAATTGACCTCGACCAGGTCGATCCCGAGATCCAAACCCGACTTCTCATTCCTAAACTGCATCCAGCAAATTCGTGCTGCATGCCGAACTCAATCACCACGCGATCTCCATATCGTCCTCCCTGCGACTCTGTGACAGGCCTTGGCGAAGTCTGTCGCAAGCCTGTCCGGTCCTGATTTGCCGGCTGTCGAGGCATTGACTTTCGACCTCGCTGGGGGACTCGGCTCAACGTCGTCTTCGAGTCAGGCTTGAATGCATGCGCTCTTAAGCTCGGCTGAAAACCATGCCGCACTCAAGATATCAAGCGTTGTAGGTCACCCCACTGCCCACCCATTACTTGCCAACCACCCCTACCTTCTAGAACAATTCCACCAGCTGACATGACTCGAAGTCGGGAGTTCCAGGTAGTCGTTCTCGGAGCAGGTGAGCACGTGCCCCGCAACATATCCCGTTGCAAAACCACCCTCTTCTTGTGCGCGCCTATGTATGAGTGTGTGTCGGCATGCGCGCATGCGCGTGCATGTGTGCATAGGTACGCGTAGAAATACGCTCAAATTTGTCTCGCCCGAGTAGACTGACATTGGGGCTCCCCCGTTCTCTTACTAGGCGGCGTCGGGAAGAGCTGTTTGACTGGTGAGTGGAGCCCACCCATCGACATGGGCATCTCTTGTAGCCCCCTGTCGAGAGCTCCCTGTCAAAACCTCCAAGAACCATGGTTCTCGTAAAAGCTGCGGAATTGACCAACTACGTGCAGCACAATTCGTCCACAATGAATGGATCGAGAGCTATGATCCGACAATTGAGGACTCGTACCAGAAGCAACTGGCCGTCGATGTATGTGCCTAGCCTTACAAATTGCCTTGCCCCACTACAAACAACTAACGCGAAGTTCAGGGACGCCAGGTTGTCTTGGAAATGTGAGTCGGTGTCTCGAACGATATGTCTTGTCGAGCCTCACGTGGCTAACACATGCCCAGCCTCGACACCGCAGGAACAGAGCAGTTCAGTGAGACACGCCCCTTGGGCCCCTTCTCAAGACAACTCCGCTGACCTGCTGCAGCATCCATGAGAGACGTGTACATGAAGAACGGTCAGGGATTCCTGCTTGTGTTCAGCATCACATCGCGGTCCTCACTGAATGAGCTGCATGGTCTTCGAGAAGAGATTCTGCGCATCAAAGACAGGGATCAAGTGCCCATCGTTATCATCGGTAACAAAGCCGACCTCGAGGATCAGAGAGAAGTCCCGCGCACGAAAGCATTTGCCGTCTCACAAGACTGGGGCGCTCCTTACTACGAGGCGAGCGCCAGGACCAGGAGTAAGTACCTGCTCAAGAACCCCAACGAGCAGTGGTAGTGGAATCTGACCTGAGGGAACAGCGAACGTCGATGAAGTCTTCATCGATATATGTCGACAGATGCTAAGGGTAGACGATGCCATAGAGGCAATGGACGAAGAGACGTTCGAGACGCGATACAAATACGACGAGCACAGCAGGAAGAGGCGGCGGCGGAAGAGGAAGAAGGATCATCCAAAATGCGTCATATTATGATTGATCTCTTCGCTTCTTCTTTGGGGCCCAGCTGCTCCAACCTTATCTTTACTATTTTGCCCAACCTCAAAAGATCAATCTCTTCCGACATTTCACTCGCCCTCAAGACTATATACACTCTCGGCCGTTTCAAAAGGGGTTCTGATTACCCGGCGTCAAGGTTCTGGAATCTTTGTGCGAGCTTACTCATTATACCACCATTGCTCCAGCCGATACCAAACTTTGCGAAGACGCTGAAGTCGCACGCCGCATTGTCGTTATATTTTTGCTGTCTACCAGAGCAAATGGCTCTACATAGACAACCGTGGGCAGCCGCGTTTTCCTCCAACAAGCCACCAACAACAGAGTTTACAAGATTCGAATTTCACCAGCATTTTGGGGCGGTCCCGAAGGCGTTGCGCCGGAAAAAAGAGGAGTGTTTTGCATCAGAGAACTGGTTTATGGGAAAGGCTTCTTGACGGGTTTGGATTTTCTAAAGGGAAGAATCTCGGCCGGGTCTGGAGAATGGGATTTTTCTGTTGCACCTTGGAAATAGAGGACAGGGGGGAAACCCCGTCATTGCAGGTGCGGCCATCAATGGTCGGCCACGGCTAGAATTATGGCATCTTTCACCCACAAAAGGCGTTTCCACGATGATTTCTGCTGATGGATGAGTCTTTCTCCATATTCCCCGACTGCGCTTGCTGCTTGAAAAATCAAGCAGAGGCTCTGACTTCAAAGGCAGCTCACACACACGGCCGCATCCTGTCACTCCCCCCAGCCGGCTCAAGACCCCAACCCTACTTCCGTGATCTATCATGACCTTCAAATGGTCATCGACTTTCTCACTCACAAGATGTTACCTCACTCGCCCAATGCAGCAGGCACATCATAACTGCTCTCACCTCTGCGACCACAATTCTCTCCCAGGTTCATTCCACTTATTATCTGAGTACTCCCGACTCCTGAAGCCTCAAGCTCTCACCAACCTCAACATCCTGGCACTCGAACAAAATTGACGTCGCCTGCCAGACTCAGCTAAAGCTGGCTTACAGCGCCTCCCCCCCCCCAACCACCAACCATTCCATAAGAGGCAGGCCCATACCGAGAATCGCAGGCCGCAGACAGCACTAGACCGAGAAGACAACAAATGGAGTCATTCGCCCTCGCAGCCGAGCACTCAGGCGCCATCAACCACATCCACACCCTAACTATCAGCCCGGCCGTCGTTGGCGTCGCTAGGGAGCTGAGGCTGGCTGTGACCGTCGCCATCGCGGGTTGGGTCGCCGTCACTGGCATTAGAGCACTCGCCGCTGCGGGTTCGCGGGAGCCTGCGAGGAGGGGGGAGTAGGGGAGATTGCACTGGCTCGTGGGGCTCATGGGCAGGGACGGAAATGTGGCTCCGAGGCAGGGCTTGCTTTGACCGGACGAGGTTAACAGAACTGGCCGTCCGGTGTCTATGAGACTCGTGGATATGATCTGGTTCACCTCCAGCAGCGTTGACTGAAGATCCTACATCTCACGGCGTATATTGGATGCCACTGTCGGCTGGCGAGAGAAGATCAGGCGGCGGTGAGAGCATCAGCGGGTTTCCCCCCCCCCCCCCCCCAAAGTCTCCCTGTTCGTTGGGACGAAGCAGGTCACCTACCAAGGCTTTCACTGGTACTGAAGATGAGACAACGAAAGGGAAGTCTCGCCTGGAGTTTTCCGTGCGCAATTTATGCCAACCATGCTCCGGACTTCTGGTGATGAGTGGTCTCACTCACAGCGAAGTGTCGTTCTTTAATATACTTGGCACTCAAAGCTGCTTATGACCCTCAGAGATCTTGGACACTTATCAAATTCTGATGCTGGAACCTGGTATCGCAGTTGTTGAAATGTTATATAAATGTTTATTGGGAGTTCAGTACCACCTAAGCACACGCACTGGAGCGCACATTGCATCTCTTGGGCCTCCAGTGCTCCCCGCGTCAGATGCCAGAAATGCTGCATGATCCATCTTGTCTTTGCTCTTGTTTTCTATTGGGCTGGTTGAAAATGCTTTCGCAAATAAAGTTCGATCGCCTGCACCGTGTGCCAATATGACTCGCATATCTTGTGCCTACAATGCAAGCGATGCAGTCTCGATCTCGAGGGCGTGTAAGCTTTGCTCGCACGAATCAAGCCGCCGTCCGTGTGCATCGCAAGGAGTTTCAACGTGTGCACCGAGGCTCATAATAGAGAAACCATATAGAGACTGAACAAATCGAAATCGACTCTCAAGCCGGAGCAATATCTTAGTCGTCTTTTTCCCCCTGGATGCAATATCTAAAAAGTCCAGCGCGCACTAGCCGGCAACAGAACCGCACCGCAACCGAGTACTCATGGCTGAACAGGCAGCACAAGTCGAAGGCGCCGAGCCACCTCCACCAGGACGGACTGCCAACCTGAACCACCCCCAGGATGCTCTCTACAGTATCAGTTTGGCGACAGCAGTGCTGACACTCATCCTGCCCATGCCCTTCCTCCTCGTGCGCGTGTACACGCCCTGGAAGCTCTCATCCCCCCCGAAGGTCGAAGACTGGTCTTGCGCGGCGGCATTCCTGTTCGGCATCGCATATCTGGCCAGCGGCATCGTGTTCGCCGAGCACGGGGGCGGGCACCACGTCTGGGAGGTGACGCTGTCGCAGCTGCAACGCATCTTGGAGACGACCTACTGGAACTCTATCGTCTACAGCCCCGCGGCGCTTTCTACCAAGACCACCTTGCTACTCATCGCCGTGCGGGCCTTGCGGAGCAACAGGCTCTTCGTGTATATCGGCTACTGCCTCATGACTGTCATGGTGGGCTACTACGTGCCGGTGACGATTCTCAAAATCATGACGTGTAGGCCGACCCGGGGATACTGGGATTATGGCGAAGACTCGTCTTGTTATGATTACCGCTCCGTATTTCTATCCGACGCTATTGGGGCGGTCGTCACGGACATACTCGTGTTGCTGATGACGATACCATTTTTGTGGACGTCGTGGGGGCTTAGAGTAAAGATATGGGCGATTCTGGGAGCTGGAAGTGTGAGTTGTGGCTTGACAAGCCTCTCCTGGATTGTCAAAGAGCATTTTTCAAACAGGAAAATATTCCGAGAAATATGTATGTGTATGACCTACAGCAGTGCTGACATTTTAAGTTTAGGTCGCAACGGCAGTATCACTCGTCCGCATGGTACTTGTCATTTGCTTACAAGAGACAAAGGACCCGACGTTGGACTTCGTGAGACCGAGTTTGTTTGGGTACGTTCAATTTCGAAAGCACATACTTTCATAGCGCTTTAGGCTTGTGTCAGAATCCATTGCAGAGAGGCAAAGCTGACCAGTCGACCGATACGACAAGTCAAATCGAAATAGCAATAGGACTCATCTGCACATGTTTGCCCACGATGGATGAATATTTTCAGTCAAGGAAAAACCTCCAAAGCAACTCACAAAGACCTCGACCCAGTATGAGGTTCAACACTCGCAAATTTCTGGACGTCAGTAGACTCCGACCTCAAAGGCTGAGCGCGCCAGAAAGAGCTGTACCGGCGGCTTCTCACACAGTTCCCGGCATTCAGGTGGAGAGGAACATTACGGCCACTGGAGCATACAGTCCCGAGACGTTACTACGTCTTCCATCGTACTGCTTACAGCCGTCGACCATGCAATCATGTGCAGCGCCCTCTACCTCGCTGGAGTCATGGTCGCCGAATTTTGCCACAGAACACCAAGCCAAAGAAGCGGCGCCTCCAATTCCAGAGAAGAGCAGTGCCAGATTTTCAATACACCGCAAGTCGTGGGGGCAAGCCACAACCCTCTCCGGCTACATGGACTCCACAATGCAAGACACAGAGAACGATGCAGTCACAAAACACTACTCAGAGCCCGGATACAACTCTCCACTCCAGGAAAAAGAGTGGTCTCCATGTTTTCCGCCACCATTATTTTCCAAGGCCCGAGGAATCCCACCTATACCAGAAGCCATCACACCTGCTCCATCAACTTCATCTGCGCAACACTCACCGAGGATGCTCAGGTTATCTCCACGGTGGAATCGCTGGCCTCGGTCGCCTACAGCAGATCCAAGTCCGCCCATACCGCCCGTTCAAGACCTGCTACATGATTTTGAGCCGCCGTCAATGTGGCAGATTAGACAACTAGACAGCGATTATCGACATTGTTCCGTCTGAATACATATGGAGGCCAATTATGTATATAATTTCTCGAACGAAACATTCAACACCATGATCGTGGCCTAACTGTACTCTAGTCTTACGACTGTTATTTATACAACAGGTTATAAATTCGTCCCTACAGCCGAACATCCTGGTCCTTGATGCGCACAATTCACGGCGGCGACCACCGCCAATGTTGGTGGATTGTCTTGCCAATGGCGGCTGGAGTCACAACATCAAGATGCCTCAATTTTCAATATCTTCCACGGTTGATTGAGTATACCCCATACAAGGAGATATAAAGAACAATATCTGTGCCCAAAAAGCAAGTTTCGGGCTCAAATGGTTTCGCAATCAGCTTGAGCTACTGTGTGGAACAACGGGTGTGGCTTTACACAGCCCATATCCTATGCTCACCTAAGCTCTATGTTAAGAGTGGGGACGACTACATCATGCGAGCTATGTAACAAAATTTGTATCTGCTGGCGGGCCTGACTCATTGGAGAGGCGGGTGTCTTGATGACCAACAAGCAAACTATTAGAATGAGCAATCTTGGCACATCACGTCCAGTGGCAGAGCATGGAGACTCTGAGAGTGATTTTGAGCAGAGGAGCAGATCACACTCGCCAGGATTCGAGAAAAGGTCGAGGGGGAGGCTCCGGCATGGAAGGCACACAACATAACCGCATGTCAGCTTGCCACACATGGAAGTCACAGCTGTCTAAGAGCCGGGACTCATGTGTATATAAGGTTGGCAGCGTTGTGATTCACAGGCCTGTCAATCAGGAACATCAAGTGAGGATTCGTATAACGTGTGCGATTCTCCCCATGGCTCCAAAGACTCGTGAATGTTTGCTTTACTGTAAATTTCTTCTGATATGAGAACAGTCGCATACACCAGCAGTGGTGTCTATAGCCGCCTTATATTATGGACTACTGAGCCTTTAATGAAATGATCTACTAAGCCCCACTATTACGTGACTAGTCAGCTGTGTTTGCCAGGCCCTCTTGATCATTGATTCTTTTTGCACCTTTTCTTTCTTGAGAAGCTTACCGCTAATTGTGCAACGTTCTACGAACCCTGCACATTGGATCTTCTCCAACATATCAAAACAACTATGGCCACAGGATTTACCATTGTCAGCAATTTCTGGCATCGAAGCGTCTTGGTCCACAGGTCAAGAGTTGGCCTTTCCGTAGGACCGTAATTTCGGGTCACAATGTGGAAGGTCAAGATCCCTCAGCGTGCTCCAGTCCCTGCTGCTTTCGCCAGAGCCTCGTTCTATCAGTATGTCCAATCGAATAGGGCTTTCCGTCATGCGTCTGAGGGAAATCCTTGAACAGTCACACTTATGCGGATTGTAGATCTTTTCCTCCGAATGTCTTGTGCCACAATGTGGTCTACCAACTAGACTTGCAGGTCAACGGGCTCGACAGCCTGCATGCAGCTATATGCACATGTGCTTGGGAACAGCCAACAAGAAACATTCATGTCTCAATTATTCTGAAATGGGCGTCGCACGGCTTTTCAGCCGGCATGCCCCCAAACCGCTCAAATATATTTGATGTCCCTTGCCGCTTGCCCATGTGGCCCAGCAAAATCCATTCATTCTCAACCTGTCACTCTCCGCACACACAACAAAGACTTGCACCATCCGCCGAAAAAATGTGGCTACTGCCCCGCTTCTCGAAGCCTCGTGACAACAACAGCAGCAATGCCATACCGGCTGTTTGCTTTGATATTTGTAGTCAGTCTTGTCTTTCTGGTCCCGCCCTTTGCTTGATTTTTCTGACAATCGCAGACCATGCGAACTTGGAAGCACAATCGAGGAACAATAACGCGTCGCTTTGCGATGACGGGAGTGCTTTCATTAATTATATCAACGGGTGCAAAAATTGTATCACATCTAACGGTGGGGATGTCACTGCGATTGATGGTGCTTTGCTCAATTTCTGCGAGGCTACGGACACAACGAATGCTTCCATCGATGCGTCATGGCTTATAACGTACCCGACGTATACACCGACCATCATGAACATACCCAGCAGCCTTGGCGGCGAATCATACGTCCAGACATTGTACAAACCCGCAATGGCCGTTTCAACTCGGCCGGAATACTTTTTCCACTTGTCCGTCGGCTCGATCGTTTCGAGCCACATCCCCGCGTCCATCCTCAGCCAGCTCGCCTACTCCGTCAGCCTCTCTGCCGGAGCGGCGAGCGTGACAGGGGACCCGACGAGCCTCATCTATGCGGCGTTGGAGGCGACGTCGCTGCCCTCGTGGTTCACGGCTGCGGTGCCTGTCACCTACTCCTCGCAAATACACACGGTTCAGGAGGAGATCAACCAGCTTCGAGCTACACCGATAAGCCTGGCGTCTGTGTCCACTTCGTCGCCCACCTCTGACGACCCGGTATCGCAGACCTCTCTCGCCAGCAGCGCCCCATCCACAAGTGAGTAATTGCCGAGACCGAACTCCACCGAGATGCTCGAGCTGACCTGACCTCGCCATAAGCCTCCGAGACCCAAAGAAGTAAAGCCTGGATTGCCGGACCAGTCGTCGGCGGCATCGCCGCGATCTGCCTCCTCGCGCTCGGGGTATTCATATACCAACGGCGCCGGAGGCGCAGGGCGGCCGGGCGGCCGGAGCTCGAGGGCGACACGTTCCAGAAGACAGGTGACAAGCCGCAGCTGCATTCCGACCACCTGCCGCCGAGGTACCTGTACGAGATGGACGCCTCGCACGCCCCGTCCGAGGCCGACGATGGCGCGCTCCCGGAGATGGCCGCGAACGAGGCACCGGCTCGGGAGCTGGCGGCTGATGACCACCACTCGCGAGCTTCCGTCAGCAAAAAAGACGTTGCACATCCTGAGACTTCTGCGGAGGGCCGCGAAAAATGTCATAATTTCCAAGACGTGGTGGAAACACGGCCGTCATAATAATAGTGGCGTCGAAGGGAGCCCCGCCTGCCTGTTGGACTGAGCGGCCTCGAGTAATGGGTAATCAAGTCGTAGAATATTGCGGAGTCAACCTTGACCTCCCGGTTGGGCTCCAAGTCTTGTGTTAGTACATCTCCCATGGGTATAGAACAATTATCCCGAAGCCTGAAACTGGAAAACCCGAGTATAACACACACACACACACACACACACACACACACACACACACACACACACACACACACACACCAAGATACCACATAATTTACACTAAGTTGCACTGCTCAATGCTTAGTATTCTTGCCACTTCCGCCAGCACCGTGACCACCGTCATTGTCACCACTCTTTCGCCTGAAGCTGCTCGGCCTCCGAGCTTCAAGGCTCTTCAGCCTGTTGCCCAGGCTCAACCTCGCAGCAGATACTCCCGGTCCAAGGGGGCTTGGCTTAGCAGGCGTGTTCGCAGAGCTCGCCGGCGGCACAGAGGAGAGGCTGTCGCCGTCACTTTCGCGCTCGAGAGGAGATCTCACCACCTGGAAGCCCGAGACGCTTGCAGGGGAGTCCGGCCCGGCTGCAGGGGTGGTAGACTGATCATCAGCATCGCCCTCGGGGCCTATCGAAAACGGCGCCGGCGCCGACTTTCTTCTGAGTCTGCTCACCATGACCGCGGCCTTGCCAAGCCCAGCCCCGGAGGACAAGGTACTCCCACTGCCGCTGCCGCTGCCACTCCGTTCCCGTGCGATGTCCTTCTCCCCGTGGCTTGTCTTCGCCCTCGAGTGGCCGTAAGACTCCGTTCTCTCGCGCCCCATCCCCAACGCCGCCCTCATGGCGACCCAGGTCTCTACCTGGCCCTTGTCTGCCTCCTCGACACACTGGCAATCATCGCCAGCAGGGCATTCGGTTTCTCCCATGCTGTGCCACTCAGCGAGACAGTTTTCATGGAAGACGCATCCGCAGCCCAAGCAAGCTGGATAGAGCGCGTTGATGGCCTCGTGACAGTACACACATGTGAGCTGTGTCTGTGTACGCCTACATCTCTCGCAGACACCGACCGCGCCTCCCAGAGACGGGCTCTGAGAATACTGTAGTGGTTGCAGCTGCATCTCGTGGACACGACAGACGCCTGTCACATCGAGGCCGCGGCCGGACGCCTGCAGCGTGTGGAGTTGTTCGCGTTTGCCACCAAGTATGATTGTAGGAGAGGTCGTGCCGGTGGCGGATTGGCTGGCGTCGTGGATGGCGGATTCAATGCAGCTGCTGTCAGCGCTGAGGCGTGCGCCTTCACTCCAGCTGCCCTCCTTAAGGACGTTGAATTTCATGATTTCTAATCGTGCTAAGGGGAGACGCCACATCTGTAGTATCTCCGCATACGCGTAGCGATAGCCTGCATAATCAGGGCTCCGGCTAGGGTCTAGTAGAGGAGTAGCTAGCCACCCATCGTCGTCGAATGCCGATTCATTTTCGATTGTCACTGTCACGCTGACGGGTATCGTGGACACGAGCTCGTCTCTGCGGAATTCGTCATCTGACACAGACGTTCTCGCTGTCTCTGTGGCCTCCGAAGACGCTCCGAAGTATGTCGAGCCTCCCCAGGTGATGTTACCATGGATGTGCGATATATTCTCCATGATCCTCTCGGCTGGGCTGGGACGCTTGCGCCCTGGAGGAGATGAGGACGTCAATGAAGTAAATCCGCGTGGCATGCCTGAAGTGAATGTGGATGCCAGGACGGACTGAGACCGACGAATAGCACGGTCATTTGGAGACGTGGAAAGGCTCTGAGTGTGATCTATCTCACTGAGATGATGGTCTTTGAAGAACCTGTGTGGCGGCGTCTCACCAGTCGAATACGACTGCGACGAAGGATCTCCCATCCAGAGGACATCTGGACTCTGTGGATCGGAGAAAACAACGGGCGTCTGCGACGTTCGGGGTGTTGTTACTGCTGAGCTGTAGCCACTCCTTCGCTCCATACTCCACTCTGCAGTGTCTGTCGGGAAGTATTCCAAGGAGAACGATGGGGCTTTCATCGGCAGCGGTGTTTCGGGCTGTGTCAAGCGAGACTCGGCATACGCCACACTGTCCTCTGCCGATGACTCTCCGAATATGCATGACAGCATCGCCAACATCTGTATATCCCCTGTTTGTCCGAAATAATCGAATAGATCATGAACAAAGTCTTGCGCGAGTGGGTGATGGCCCCACTTGACTCGTCCCCTCAGGAGCTCGTCGTTGTCTGCACGGTGCTCGTGGTTCCCGTGTTTCGAAAGGGCATCTCTAGCAATGACGAGTACGGACTTGTCTTTCTGGCGATGCTCATGTAACTCCAGCGGGATGTCTGACCTCAGCAGAAGTGCTGAATATCTCCATATGTTGACTAAGTCGTGGTACCCATACTTCTCCGCCACTCGAGCATTGTGCTCGCAGACATGGGCTCCGTCGCCGAAGATGATGTACTCTTCGGCAAACTGCTTCTTCGATGGTAGCATGTCACGCATATCATACAACGATACGATGTTCTTTGGTCGTCCGATCCGGCGACGATTTGTACCGGTTCCTGTGCCTGTGCCTGTGCCTGCGCCAGTTCCTCCGCCACTGGAACGGAGTGACTCATTCGCACTCCAGGTCTTGTGCAAGCGGCGTCCTGGACGGTACCACAGACTGATCTTGTGCATGGTAGTCATTTCTGAATCGCTCGAAGACGACGAGTCATCCGAATCGTCTGACATGGCTGATACATCATCATTCACCGAGGCTTCACCATCAAGGTACCGCTGCCGTGGAGGAGACTCATGAGTGAGACGACCAAAGCCAGCGAAGGTGGGCTGATCTTTTGGACGCTCCCTGAAAGTCTCGTTCGGACTGAAAAGCAGAGCCTTGGCTTCCTTGGTTGGAAAGAAGCTGACCAGCCGCCCATCGTTTGAAAATCGAGCGCCGCATGTCCTAATCACTGGAGGTATGGCAGGGCGGTGGCTTGGTGCCAGAGTGTTATCGATTTCAGTGCTCGCGCTCAATTCTTGCGACATGGACATTGATGCCGATGCTCCAGCCGGGATGTCGTTGTCCGAGTCCTCGCTCGAGCTTTCGTCAGCGAGCACATCTATTCCGTCGTCCAGGTCGCGCACGTTTTTGAAAAAGGTTGTGCTTTGCGTTAAGTCGGCCTCCCCAAGCAGGTAGGAGAAGGCTGCAGCAAGGCAATTCTGCTTGCGTTTTAAAAATTGTTGAGCAATCTGGTGAACCTCGCTTTCGAGCTTTTCATGAGCGCCGGGTGGCATGAAAGCATTCCTCTCGATGATAAACTTGGGGGCTTTGTTCTTGGGATAGGCATGCGGAATGTCGACCTTGACTTTGATGAAGATGTCATTACCATCGACGCCCCACGGGCCCTTCAAAGAGGCATTGAGTATGAGCGTATCCATGTCAATGCTGTCCCACTTGACATTGGGCAGCTGAGTGCTGATTCGGACAAACTCCTCTTGTAGCGATTCGGGCTCGCCCCACTGGTCGTCATGAAAGCCCAGCCCGAACATCGAGGAATCCTTGGACGCTGCTCGCTGCGGAAAGTCGGTACTCGATTTCCTCTTAGTCATCGTGATACCTCTCATCCAATTCATCTGAGCCTGGCTTCTGTCCACTTTGCCGTTTCTCGAATTCTTGGCCTTCATGGAGGGTCCTTTCCAGGACGGTCCGGTCCGGTAGGATGGTAGCTTCATGCCCAGAGTAAGTGCGCTTTGGCGAGACACCCCGGTCCGAGAATCGCTCATGGTCGCTGTTCGTCGATGGTGGTTGCCATCATCTACGGTCCGAAAGGTCTTGTATGTGGCTCCTTTTCTGGTTATAACCAGATTTGTCCTTGCCGCCATGCCCTTGACGTGTCCCACTGACTCCAAGACCTGAGGTTCCGGGCGTGTCAAACGGAGCTTGTTGTCCTCGCCCCAGGATACCAGCTGGAACTCGCGGTTGTCGAGCCTGTCTTCGCTGATACCACCGCGGGCTCTCCAGAGGAATTCTTTTGCCTTCTGACTACCATGGCCCTCAAATGTCGCAACTGGCTCGACCTGTCCGTCAACAGGGGTATCAGGGCCCATGCGTCGGTCGAAAAGATACAGATGTCCCGGCTCATTTTGAGGCATAGCCAAGAGGCCTCTGCCGAAGGGCGTGTGTCTGGCACGCCAGACAGGAAATTCAGTTCTAATGACTCTTTCTGGAACATCCTCGGCATTTCTGTAGTCCCAAAACTTGATACTCCTGTCCAAGGAGCAAGTCACAATGGCGGTGGCAGTGAAACGATTCCAATCGATGCCGTAGATCTTGGAAGTATGAGCACTTATAGACCTCAATGGCTCAGACGACTTCCGCTCGTCCCATATGTGAAGCCATCTGTCGTGAGAAGATGCGATAATGAATGGATCTTGGCGACTGTACTTGACCTGTGTAGCGCCGGCAAACCAGTCACAGAAGGTGAGGGCTGGTTGCCTCGGCCGCCTCAGGTCCCAGCAGTGGACGTAGCCATCTACGGCGCAGGTTGCCAAAAGGTCAGGATGGTGGGCGGAGAAGTTGATGTCAGTGATCGCCCTGGTGTGTCCTTGCAGGGAGTGTTCGATGGCGCCAGAAGTCGAGTCATCCCGGAGGTTCAAGTTCCAGACAAGACATCGATGGTTGGCGGTAGACGCGACCCAGTAGTCTCGGGCAGCAAACGGGGACCATTGAACATCAACGACAAGCCACGGAAGCCCATGACTGCTCAGGCGGCGAGGAGGACTGTAGGGAGAGTCGAGGTCGATAATGGCCAATCCTTCCGGAGACGCAAGGGCGACGTCGCGGCCGGACGGGGATATTGTGGCAGAACCAACCAGACCATCCACGTGGATTGTGCCATCTGCATCAAAACTTTCGCTCTCATAGGCCGACTTGATGGTCTTCACCTTTTTTGGCGATGCCTTGAGCTGGTCGAAGACTGAAGGCATGATGAGAGTGCCGGAGGAGTGGCTTGTCTCTGGGGGACCATGCTTGATTTAGTCACATAGGGACTAGTCCTTGAATCATGTGGTGTCTGGGGCAGGTTGTCATCGTAGACTGAATGGGGAAGTATATGAAGAGGGCGTTGGGAATAGGAATTTGGCAAATACCGATCTCGCGACATGGTAAAGTTGCACCTACGCACCATGTGACAAGCTGAGGTCGATTAGACCAGGGGTCCCTCTCCGACATGCTGCTGGCGCTGAGATAGTGGTACTTGGGTACAAAGTTTCTTATCTAATCAGGCCCCCCCCCCTCCTTGGCAGACATCCCACCAAGCACCTGCCTCCTCGGAACGGTAGTCACGAAGTGCCTGATGATACCATCACCATCAACTTCAGCTTGTAATCTTCCCACTGCATACAGACATACGACTGCTACTCCCCACCACTTCCAAGTCAGACCCACTATCACAACCCCCTCCTATACCACTCTCTCCCTCTCAGGTCTAGAACTTTCGTTTGTCCGCCCCATCAAACTGCGCCACACCGGTCCAAACCTAGCTGTACCCCTCGCCCGGTCCGTTCTCGATAAGACCTGTGATCGTCTGGCTCAAGGAAGATCTTTAGTCGCCAGAGTCACCTTCAGCTACGAACCATTCAACCAAAACCAGCTGTGCTACTCCGTAGTAGCAGTGACACTCGACATGGCCTTGCCCAAGAGAATCGTCAAGGAGACTGAGCGCCTGATGGCCGAACCGTATGCCGCCTGCCAACTCAGAGGCTTAGACCGTAGCTCCTGATCTGACTTCCCTTCCCAGTGTGCCCGGAATCAGTGCAGTCCCTCACGAGGAGAACCTTCGCTACTTCGACGTCACCATCGACGGCCCGGACTCCTCCCCCTATCAAGGTGCGCGATGTCGGGTCATGCGAGCCTGCAAACAGGACTGACCGGTCAAATTTAGGTGGCACGTTCAAGCTGGAGCTGTTTCTCCCCGACGACTACCCCATGACGCCACCCAAGATCCGCTTCCTCACCAAGATATTCCACCCCAACGTCGACAAGCTTGGCCGCATCTGCCTCGACGTCCTGAAAAGTGCGCATAGGACGATTCTCACCCCTGTCCAGAGATCCGGCGGGACGCTAACAAGCTCATAGACAACTGGTCTCCCGCCCTCCAGATCCGCACTATCCTCCTCTCGATTCAAGCCCTCCTCGGCGCGCCCAACCCAGACGACCCGCTTGCTGCAGACGTCGCCAAGTCATGGAAAGAGGACGAGAAGGCCGCTATCGAGACGGCCCGGGAGTGGACACAGAAATACGCGACGGGCCAGCAGCAGTAGGAGGAACCCCCTGGTCGCCCTTTTCAATTTGATCACGAGGAGGAGTCAGTTTTTGCGGCCGCAGGGTGATGGCCCGGCCCTGAAGATGAGAATCTGGAACAACTAGACAGGGTTCTGGACCAGATCTTGGAAGAGAACCGGGACCCCAATCGCTATTAGGATGAGGTCCAGCAATTCACAAGCTTTGGAGTCTGTAGGCGAAAGTAAAGCGTTGGGGCAGTGGGGATGAGGAATTAAGGCATGGTTGATGGCTTGATTGCTGACGGACAAATAGCGGGAAATCGGCTGCGACTTGAAAGACTGAGGATGGGAGAGGCACCACCGCAAAGGTCTATGTGGCTATCTGGACATTTGCAAGACAAGACATAGGTGTACGCGGCAACAGCAGTCTTCACGCTGTAATAGAGATGACCAAGAATTTGACAGGCTCCATGCCTTTCCGCCATATGCTGTCAAAACCAGCTCTTCATTGTCATGTGCACGTCAAACGGGATCAATCGGGGATAAATGTCCCTCACTACTTGAGATGATCTTACTTTGACCCCACGGCCTTCAAACAAGGGATCGCCCTTGGTCTGCCCGCCCCCTGAAGGTGCTCCTTTATGGACAGAGACAATGCGGAAAGACAAACACGATTGCTGTATTGATCGTACAATGACTTTGTTCGCTGACCAACACTGGAAGTGGAAGGATCAGCTGAAAGGGGCATCGGGAACATGATAAATATAGGTCACCTTCTCAGTGCTTCTCAGGTACAACTCTAAACAACCATATCCGTTTAGGAATCAACATTCGGTAGCACGCTTCACCAACAATACCCAGCTCGCAGACCAACAGCCTCACATATCGTATACAAACACTACCAACTGAACGCCGCCATGTATCAGTATAGCGACTGGAGGTGTGGCAGCTGCGAGAGATCATTCTGCATTGCGATCGATGACGAGGAGTCCAAGGGGAAAGACACTTGTGTTTGCCCCCACTGTGGGAGCAAGTCCGTCACCCCAGCAGAAGAATCGGGACCGCCCACTCAAGAAAATGGTCAACCAGGCGCCGCTGCCCCTCTCGGGATGCTCGCCCTCCTGGACACGGTGAGGAACCTGAACGGCCCCGGGGACAACCCACAGGTCCCGGGTTGGTGTGGGCTTCCATCCACGTGGTTTTCGCCAGAGGAACGTTGCAGACTTGCGCAGCTCAGGTTGGAGCGCCAGGCGTTGTTTGTTCGATGTAAGCGTGCAGCACTGGAATGGTCGGAACTAGAAGTTCGCCAGCTGCTATTCCTCAAGGGAATCCGTTTTAGGTCCAATGTCGACGCTGGTGAAGAGCTTGGAGTTAGCCGCAGTAGGGTCGATCAAAAGTATCGAGACTTGTGCAGTGTTTTTGGCCTAACCCAAGAGGTTGACGAGGACTAAGGTAAGTTCTTCTAACACGGTAAGATTGCTATTCTGCTCCAGCTGGTTCGATCCCCGAGGACAGCAAGCAAGTGCTTGCTTGTGCTGGGGAGTCTGCATCAAGCAGTCAGCTTGTAGTTCCCATATTAAGTCTACTGATCAAAATTTTATTCGGCTTGTTCCTCGTGTGCCCAGATTTATTGGACATGTATATAGACCAAAGTGGTATAACAGCATAGTTGTTTTCATTAGCATTTGCTATACAGCTACTTGTGTACTGTGATAATCTGAGAGAAATACTGTGCAGTGATTATAACTGTTACTAATATGTTTGATAACTCAACAGTTGAGCTTCACACAGCATGTCTGTCACCTTCCCAGGTCCACGGTGCTCACTCAGAGAAACTTGATCCTTGCGAACTCGGAAGGCCACTTACTCCCGACCATAGGATGCTGAGCAGTTCTTTAAACAGCAATTACTTGAATAAGTCGTAGATCTCCAATGCGTTTTGGATCCTATCCAGACACCAAAGCACTACTCATTCGAAGGTTCGGAGGCAAGGGCCAACCTGCACACGTCTTTAAGCATTGGGGGTGGAGTGGGCACCTGTCAGGTCAATGCAGGCCGTGTACGTGATCAACAGTCAAATATGTGTATACGTACACGAGTGCGCGTGCATGTGTAAAGAGAAAGGGACAGTGAAGGCTACAAAATTGTCAAACCCTAGGTAAGTACGGCAGATTCGCTCAAGGTCATATTAGTCTATGAACGAATTGTTGAAAGTGTTTCTGACTCATACATTGATCCGCAAATTTGCAGACCAGAGACTGAGAATCCATCATTTCCAACTCAAAAGCCGTGAGATCCGGGGTGGGCTGATGATTTGCGCATCGCAGAAATAGCCGAATTGCACATAAGCAATGTACCACAGTACGAATCCCCGTAAGATGGGCAAGATCCACAGCACCCTCGGGAGAGAACAGATTGGTGGAATTGCTGGCTAAGAGCCTCGACACGAGCTCGACCCCGTTGTCTAAGACAAGTTGTTAACTTTCGGGACAGGTGCACCCATTTTTGACGAGCTCAAGCGATGTGGACGTGGCTCAAGGACGGCAATCGCCGAAGACCTCCATGGTCGGTGCCAGACTTCCTTTCAAACCCAACCTGAAGACGAAGAGGAGGGGAGAAAATTCAGCGGGAGCTATGATGGAAGACATGAGATACAAAGAGGGCGCATACTTTTAAGCGAAAGTGGACGGCTTCTTCGTTGACATATGATTGAAGTCGGCGTAGGTATACCAAGTATCCACCTGTAATTACTAATGACGCTGGCTGACGTTGAATTGGGGCACCATGTGCGCGAAAGCAGAGCCGTGCCTGAGCGCGCCGGGATCTCGAGCCTATCTGGCCGTCGAGCATTGCTCGCGGAAGGGAAACCCTGGACCCGGGAGCGTGCCGGGATCGACCAGAGCCAACCACGGCCTGCAAGACAGCGGCCCCTTTTCGCCGTGTTCCTGACCGTCGGCGGGATCCCAGATGAATGCTGTGTTTCGTGTGCCGGGAGGTGACGTCGCTCGTCCGCGTGAGAAGAAGGGAGCCGGAGCCGTTCTGGCATTTGTGTGCCATAACCGCAGAAAGCGCAGAAGGGCGGCCGTAAGTTGCAGCACATGGCGGGCTCCAGGGGCGCCAGGATCAGGGGAGCAGCGGGAGCAGCAGCAGGTGGGTTCGGACAGGCATTTGGGCTCCCGAGCCAGCGGCGCTGGCTGCCCATTTCTTGTACGGGCCGAGCGCAAAATGGTGAGGACGGGGGCGGCGACGGCTCGAGTGAGGCACGATGGTACTCTCAGAGTGCCATCGCGAGGTTCGCAAGCAGAGGGCTAAACCTCTTCTGGGCTGCGTCATGGCCATCTGGGAGCTGTCAATTTCCCGTTGCCCATTTTTGTCTCCTTGCACGGGCGCTCGAGGCCGTGGACGTCGTGGGAAAAACACCCGAAACAGAAGATGCCGGCAACAAGGGCCGCCAGGCGTGTCAGACAGAGCTAGCATTGACTTGTAAGCTGTGGGCTCCAGGCATTCAGTCATCCATCTTGTCCAATCCAGTGCAGTCCCGCCCGGTCCCGTCCAATCAACCCGCCCTCGCCGTTGAAGCTTTGCAGGTTGGTCAGGAACCAGGCACCGGGAAGGGAGGTGGTCAGACGGCAGCGCTCAAATCAGGTAGACTACACAGTGACAGCCGTGTGGCGCGCGGCCGGGCCTGCGGAGGCTGCATGTTGGCTTGTTTGTTTTGTTTTGAGGTGGAGGAGCAGCTCTGCCGCCCCCTGTTGGTGCCGAAGGGACTGTCGTCGGGTCGACTACCCATGTGCCACGATATGGGGATAAGAAAAAAGCCGAAGCGATGCAATGCAGTGCAAGCGTGCTGCAGCATGCCAGTGCATCCCCGATCCAAGACACGCAGGAAGTTCGGGCGCAGAGCAGTGTCAGTTTTAGAGCGAGACCCAGAGTTTAGAAGTTAGAAGTTGGAACCCAGTTCCTGCTTCTCCACCTTCCCGTTCAGGCCTCCAAGCTAACAGTAGCTCTCTCTGCTGGTGCTCTCCAGCTGCTCCAGCTGCCCCCAGCTCCTCTCCCCTTTCCCACGAACCCAGCACCGGTCAACATCCAACATCCAACCCACATCAACCCACCCTCTCTCTGTCTGGCCCGTCCTGTTGTGACTTCCCTTGCTGCCATTGACCTCGGCGCCCACCTCGACCAGCCCCCAACCATCCATGGCTAGACCGAGAGCCCAATTCCATCCTCGAGCACCCGTCTTGTTGTTGCCAAATTGAACCTGACCAGTGCAGCCCGCAACCCCAAAGCTGGGGAACCATCCGAGGACCGTCACCGTGACTGTCCCGCTCGCTCTCACTTTCACGTACACGCACACGCACGCCGTTGTAGACCAGGACTTGAACCTACCCAATAATTCCCGACGCCCCACCTGTGTCCGGCCAGCAACTGGCACCTGGCACCTGGCTCCAGGCTCCAGACCCCAGGCCATTTCCAGATCTCGGGTCCTCTTTCATCAATTTGGCCGACAGGGTCCTCTGGAGCATCGCTCCACCCCGGCACCGTCTGAGCTCCCTCCTGGGGCCTGACCTCGTCTCTGACCAACGTCCCTTGCCCCGTCCCTGTCACTCATCTCCAGGCCTAGGAAAGAGGAAAGGAAACCCACTCTGGAGATTCTGAAACATTTCTCGACCACCAAGTCCACGACCTGCTGAGGTTTCACCGGCACTTTCACAGCTGCTACCTCTCGTCCCGTTTTGGAAACCGCTGGCCTGCTCCCATTGCTACTCTCCAACACGCACACCACCTGCCTCGACCGTAGCCCTGCCTTCTCGGTCTGGCCCGAAGACGAGCACGCAAATCAGGTCCCATCGCCCCCCAAAGACCACGCCTGACGCTTTGACTCCCGCTCATATCGCCCCGACTTACCCCTGACGACATTTGCACCTTCTCTCCCACGAGACCTTCTCCCATCACCATCAGACGGACGAACCGTGCCCAGCCGTCAGCATACGCGTCTCCCTCGACCGACTCATCCAGCCAACATGCCGTCCTTAATCAATGGCAAGTTCCAACTGCCTGCTCTCGACCTCAAGTTCGGCTCCCTGACCGAGGGCACCGATATCCCGCCGCCTCTCCCCTCGCCCATACAAGAAGAGCAGCCCGAGACCCCACAGCCAGCAGCTGGGGACGCCGCCAAATCCTCCACCGCGACCAACGGCACCCAGACGTCGCCAGCGGCAACCAGGGCCAACGGCAACAAGCAGTCCGCAGAGAACGTGCCTCTGCCTGGGTCGCCAACCTCAGTCAGGACCGGACAGGGTAGCATCCGACGTTTGTTGAGCCGCCATCGACTGGACTCGGCCTATGCTAACGGAGAGACAACAGCAGGAGATGCTGGTGTGCAAGCCCTCAAGAAACCGGACAGCCGCCCGACCAGCCGCAGCAACGCTAGCATCACCACCGAAAAGCAGTCTAAGCGAGCCTCTGGCTTCTTTCGCCGCTTCCGGAGCTCCCATGATGCGACAGAGAACACTCGGCCAAGCAGGCTTTCCACATCAAACGAGAACGAAAAGCCCGCCATCTCCAGTCCCAGGCCGAGGGGTCCGCCGCCACCCATGATCCCGGAATTCAAGGCCCTTGGGTCCAAGGTCGACCTCGACGGCGAACAGGGCAGTTTAGGAGACGACCTCTTCAAGAACATAAAGTAAATGAACCGTTATGCAGCCCAACGAAGACGGGAACAGCTGTTCCTGCCAGGGCAGGAGCGGAAACCCACAGCGCGCCTGGTCTTATATACTCCGAGCGCCCAAAGGACGAACGCCCGAGACACTGCTTGTTTTCATCCATTTCGAAACGCCACCCGAATCTTCCCCTGTCGGATTTGGATCGAGTTTGCATTTGCCTGCGTCGGAATCACTGCGATTACTGGACTTGGGGACGAAAGTTTGAGATATGTGGCCCGAGATACCCAGCTCGCCCAATGCGGGTCTATTCACCTTACACTTACGAAATCTCTTTTATTCGCTACACGACTTTTAACTACTACTTATGCACCCTTTTTTCTTTTCTTTCTACGTTGACGACCTGGTCGTTTGGTGCTGCGTTTGAGACTTTTTGATACCTTGAGGCTGGAACGCCCGCGCGCGATTACTGAAGAAGATGGAGAGAAGAGGGTGGGGGATGCGGAGCAAGAAGACAGCGGACCGTTGATGCGTGGTCGCCCATCTGATGGGTTTCCACTTGCTTCTGCATTTGGAGGAAGAGAATTCTGATATTTCGTGTCCTAGTTGGTCAGGACTTGTTGATGGACAAGGTTTCCGAAAAAGAGAAAACCCAAAGAGCACAAGTTATTAATAAGACGGTCGGTCACGTCCCAGGAGCCGAGAATGCCCTTCACATATACCAAACCTGGAATAAGAATACCACCACTGCCACGCAACGTGAACATGATGGCCAACAACACACGGTTCGATTATCGGGATGGCGTTTGTCACAGGTTGATTGCTCGACAACATGTCTGAAAAATATTGTGTGATTCTACCATACAACACTGCGGAGGCCATAGACATGGCGCTGCTCGCTGGCGTGAAGGACCTTTCCCTCCGGCCCCATTTTCAACTGCCTCAATGTTGTTGTGGTTTCTACTCGTCCAAGTTCTGCCGAAACCCTGTTTGGGGGTCTTCCTCAAAATCGCCCTCCAAGCTTCTCTGCAGGAATATCCCGTGAGACCCTCGAAGCAGTCACGAGGTCTACTGCTTCCATGTCACCCCCCAGCCGGCGCAGCCATGCCTAAGCTTAAGGTCGATATCAAGCCGTTGAGATACCAGACCACGGATTCAGACCGCAGCCTTGGCGCCAGTAAACTGAATACCCGAAACGGACAAAACCTCTTACCGCCGCGTCCCGCTACTCTACCCGAATCGGTCCCTCGAACGCCTAGAGGGTGGGAGTGGGAGTGGGACCGGGGAAGGGCACTGCGTGGAGGGCGTGTAACAACGTGTGGAAAAGCCATGCGCTTTTTCGCTCGTGATAAATAGCAGCACCTTGGACCAAATAGATCACTTTTTAACGAACGAGAGAGAGACAGAGAGAGGGGTTCAATACATACGTTCACGGTTCGGCCTGTGGAGAATAAGCAAAGTGAAAATAGTCTCTTCGACCCGGCTCGAGTCCACCGGAGCCCTGGAGGAGAGAGAAAGCTTCAGCTCCCTCTGGTCCGCAGCGAACTAACCCCCCTGAAACGCCATGCGAGCACGAGACCGAGGAGACTGAAAAGACGCATCGTAAGGAATCCAATCGAACGGCGCCGCAAGGGCCGTCCAACTGAAGGCTAGCCTCACAGTGCCCGAGTGACATATTCCAGTTCCCATAAACAAACAAAGCAACAAATAAATGTATGCATCCATGGTAATCATCCAAGTGGTCTAACAGGGCTCATCATCCAAACCAGTAAATGTCAACTTCAATACGAATTATGATCCCGGCCAGCATATGCCATGCCTATCCTTACACTGCGCCAGCCCACCTGAAGCAAATGCTGCCACTCGATGGAAGTAATGGGCCAGCACCAGAACGGACCCCCCAAAAATGCCGACCCCTCCCCCAACCCATACGTACACAGATTTGTGCATACCTCCCACCTTTCATCAGCTCATCATATCATACCACTTTCCTTCGCATGTCGGATAGACCTCGTCGTCACACCGTTGCGAACCTCCTGGGTGTCCGGCCCGCCCACTAGGTAGCCTTGTCGTGCCCATCGTTGAGTAACAGCTCCAGCACGATTTGCACGCCTGTCGAGCCCGGCTTCGATTCGGGGTGGCTCATGGCGATCTTGACCGTGCCTTTGGAGTCGGCCGAGCCGGCCGTCACAGCGCCCGCGCCGACGCCACCAAGCCCGGTGGGGCCGCGGCAGCCTTGGTCTAGGACGCGGACGTCGCGCCCGGCCACGATCTGCCTCAGCCGTCCGTTCTCAGCGTTGCGCACCTCCACGTAGTCCTCGTTGAAGAGGAGCAGGTACTGCCCGAACATGGTCGCGCCCCTAGCCTTCTTCTGCTTGCCCGAGTACTCCATGATCAACGTCCTAGAGATCTCACCGTGTTTGTCGACATACACGGCACAGTCTTCGTATGCGAGCAGGAACTCCTGGTCATTTAGCTTGAACATGCCCAGCGGGCGCTGGTCACGGATACGGTTGGCGATGTTAGCAATGGCCGGCATGTTGAGCCCACTAGGCACAGACATGGTCTGCTTCTTGTCCAGAGTCAACATCTCGAATCCCTTGGCCGTTGCCACTGCAATGTACGACTGAAACAGATTGAGCGAGTAGCATTCTGTTGGGAGGTAGAACTCGTCAAAGTCGCGGAACGTCTCCGTGGAACCGGCTCCGCCGCGCCGTCCGCCGAAGATCCGTGGCCGCTTTTCCGAGGATCGCTGGAACACAGGTTCGAGGACCTTGAAAGTCGTGTGCATGCCTTCTTTGCGCTTGTAGAAGACGAGCGTGCGCTCCTTCATGCGCGCCGTTGCGAAGAAGGTCACGTCTTTGGCTAGGCGTTGCGGTGCCTTGCGGGCACTATCGTTACCAGAGGCGGGGAAGTTGGATGTCGGTGCGATGACCTCCAGAGGGTATGCGATCAGGGACCTATCTGCTGTGACTAGACAAACGGAGAACTCCTCGAGGACTGCGATCTGTGTCACCCTACTGATTTGGACAGACTTGAAGGGCATGGTCAGCATCTCGTCTGAATACAAAGTAGGCCGCTTGAGACTTACCCTCGTCCATCCACGCGGATTGGATGCCTCGGAGATAAATACGCCATAGTCCGTCCCTATCGCGATCAAGGACTTGCCAAATGCTGTGAATGTCGTGGCGCAGTTCACCGAAGCCCTGCAGACAGGTGGCGGCCGGCCAGTGCCATAAACTTGCTCGATCTCGCGGATGGCCCGATCCAGGGGAGTGCCCTGAATAGCAACACCTGGTGCCTTGCCCGCTATAGAGAATGAGTCGTAAGCAAAGGCGCCGTCAGCCAGGACACGCAGACGGAACGGTTCAGCATTCTGTGCATGCAAAGCCCGTGCATGCTGCTCTTTAGCCTCGATAATCTTCGTACACCAAGCCGTCCGCTCGTTTTCAGACTTCGCAAACAGAGTGTACACCTCATGACCAAGGTGCTTCACCCTGAAAGGCCACAGAATGTTGTCCGGATCAGAACTCGCAGTGTTAATGCGAGAGATAGAGCTCATCGAGGACCCTGATTGGCTGTGTTCCAGCACAGGACGATCCGAGACACCGGTGAGAGTCTTGTTGACAGCTGCCCCAGGGCCGTTGGCGACGGCCGCATTGCGTGCCAAAGGAGCCGTGATGCCCTTTTGCTTCGATATGGCCGCATCGTCCTTACTCTCGAGGAAAAGCAAAGGCATAGGAATTGGCTAAGAATGGTCAATAAACGGTGATATCGCAGCTTGGACACTTGTGAGCATACCTCTTTCGACACGTCATATTTCTTGTCTCGACCATCCTTGGAGGGGTACTCCTTCGCCAGGATGAAATAGTGGTCGAAAAGCAGAGCATGTGTGTCGACCCATCGCACGCCTTTGGATCCCATCCTCGTCAGGTCGCCTCTGTGTATTAGCTGTCTGCCAAGGTGATCCAGATTAAGGACCGACTGGAACCCGGGCCGCAGAATCAAGGCTGTTTGGAGAGTATGGAGATCAACTTTGCCCTTGCTGCGGGCAACTGCTTCGTCACACTTCATAGTGACTGCTTTGATCTCCTCGATTGCCTTGATCAAATTCGTCTTCTCTTCGCTGTCTTGTACCATTTTCCTCAAGCAAGTCGCTAAGAGAAGACTATACCTCTGCAGACGCGTGATAGGCGACTTCAGGAAGGTATCCCAACCCAGACGATTCGATCGCTTGTGGCCGCGCACATGCTCTAGGAACTGGGCGAACAGCACGTTGCGTGAGGCCTCCTTACGCACCGCTAGCTGGGCTAGAGGGTAGGCCGTGGAGAACTCCAGGTAAGGCTGCTCTGCTTTGCGAATCCACTCTCGGAAAATGTCAGAGTAACCGACGATCCAGGGCCCTTGCTCATTTTGACGGTACTTCAACTGGGCGAGCAAGTATTCCTTGTTGACTTGTTGAATCGCGTCGAACTTCCCAAAAACCTTTTCCACGAAACCGTTGATCTTTGCAGGAGGGATGATAGGCGGCTGCCATGCACGTAGCTGATCTTTGTAGAGAAGACGGATGACGTCTAGTTGACTCATATAATCCTCTTCGCCGGTAACAACCTCGTGGAGGATGTTTTGCCGTTCAATCTCCTTCGGCCCCTTATCCTCGACCATACTCTTGTCAAGTTTGTAGTAAGTGGCCCAATCGGCATGCGTCGTTGACTCCTCCGTCATGAGGTCGTCGAGACTGGCCTTCTTGAGTGTCCTCGTGCAGTGGTGAGAATAACATCTGCCGGAGATCTCGATTTCATGAAGCTTCGACGCATAGCATCCGGAGCCCGTTAACTGCCATAGAACGCCGGACAAAGATCCAGGGCCAAACTTGGCCCATTCTTCCTCCTCGATGAGGATGCCAGCATCGTACAGACGATCCGTGACCATAGTGCTCAGTGTTTCTGCATCGGCGACATTCATAGTCGGCACCTTTGTCGTGAAGAGCTTCACCAGGCCGTCTTCGATGGACTTTCGCTTCAGGTCAGGCTCGCCCTCAGCCATCTCACGAAGCCAAGCGGCGATGCTGCTCAGCGCCCAAGGCTCGACGCAACGTCGAATGTCTGACGAGGACAATTTCTCTGGTATAAATCTCTTCTTCCGTCCGGTTGGGAGGGTGATTAAATCGTAAGCAACGGAGGATGGTGTGCCGGACTCGTAGCCCTCGTGAAGAGTTCCGGGGTGCAACCCAAGTTGTTGTTGCTGTTGGGCCCTGAGTGCCTTCTTCCTCTCTTCTGCTGCGTCAGTTCTTGACCGTCCAGGCACTTGGACATGCGGCGTATTGCTGTGGCTGGACAGCGATATCGACCTCTCGACCTGCTGTTGCGTTGTGAGTTGGCCATCGGGGCCAGCCGCTCTCGAGTCAGCACTGAGTGAATAGCCATGCTGGTACGGTGCACGATTGGGCGACTGCACTGATAGCAACGAACTCGTGTCGGACCCGGGTGGCAATGCAGGTAATGGCCGATTTGAGAGCCCAGGATGAAAGAAAAGGTCCGGAAGATCCTCCTTGACGGGCGATTCACTAGCGCTTGCCCTGGAGTGCAGGGACACACGCTCGTCTCCTTCGTCAAAGCTGAGCCGCTGGGTCGTTGGAGCTTGCAAACCACCAGTACCACCATAATCCATGGCCGCACCGTAGTCTGCATCGCTGTCGTCGTCCGGATATGGTGGATCTTGGTCGACTGGCGGTGGTGGTAAGGGCCGCTCCCGGTTCTGCAGCGACGTTGTCCTCATCGGAGGAGGCGTCACATCATTCCCATAAGTCAAGTTACCGGCATAGCCACCGCTGAAGAGCCCGATGTCCATCCCGGCGGCATATTCAACATCGCTGCCGCTGACCTGCTCCTCGGCAGGTGTCGGCAATGACTGGCCCATGATTGGCAGAGCGGATGATGTTGTTGAGAGAGGTGTGTTGCCGCTAAATCGTCGCTCTTCCTCCAGGTCCTTCTCCATCTGCGCAAGACCAGCCGCGCCCTCCTGGTCACTCTCGTCGTCCTCCCAATCATAGGTAGCCGTCGCGTTGTCATGGTTCAGCGTTGATGCGTTCGAATCATACCGCCTGACTCCACCACTGCCACCGGGCCCTTGCACGGTTGACGCGCGCGAATCATACCTCCTGAGCCGGTCTAGATCATCATCGGACAAGTTGTTGCCATTGATCGGTCTGGGCCGTTGCGTGTTGGCATTCCCTCCCAACTCAGCCTCGATGTCCTGCATAAGACTATCTTGCGTCATGTAGTCGTCGATAGGGTTCCATTCATCATCCTCAGGGGCGTACTCCACGGGTCGGCTCGGAAGGGGCGCATTCGTTGGATGTCTCGTGACACCTCCGGGTTGAGTATGTGGAGGCGGCGACGGAAGCGCAGACATCTGCGAGTTGGAGCGAGACCTGTTGTCGCTGATGAAAGCATTGGGATCTGCTGCAGAGTAATTCGGGCCGACCGGCATTTGGATGTAGTTCGGGTACGGTGCCTGTGCTGTGTAGGAGCCTTGGGGGGATGTGGTGCCGTTAGATGGGTAGTTGCCCGCCCAGGTCGAGTGGAACCCTGTTGAGGCGATAGACGGCGTTGAATGGGTTGAGTATTGGCCAGGACTGGGTAGGCTGCTCCCGTACTGCGGATTACTACCTGGTGACTGAAGTACTTGTGGAGATGTGCTCCCGTGATTGTAGGTAGGGCTGTAGGGAGGGTTGACCGGCTGGCCGTACGGGGCGGCTTGAGGTTGGGACACTGTGGAATTGGTGTAGTTGTGGGCAAATGAGGTGTAGCCTTGATAGGGCGGCTGCCGCTGGGGTGAAGAGACACTTGCGTAGGCCGAGGGATCGTAGGTGGGAGGTGTGTAGCTCGTGGGCTGGGGAGTGTAGCTCGTCGCGGCGGGCGCGGTGGGTGAAGCATACCTTGAAGCGGGGTGGTAAGGCAGAGTTGATTGCGATCTTCCAAAGTCTTGTGGGTTGTATGTCGACGGGGTCGGAGGGGCCTGGCTCTGGTACCGTTGATGGCCGGACGATCCTGTTGGACTGGACATGAACAGTTCGGCTTGCCTGGTCGGGTCGGCGTCTCCCTGGCGGTCGGGGTCGATGAGGGGAGCATCGTCGCCGGCGTTGAAGCTATTTGCCCTCGCAGGGTAGGCATGCTGCTCCTGCCCGGGGACTGGATACTGTATCGGGGGCACATGGCCATACCGGCGACCGCCGTCTCCTCGGAATGACATGCTCGCGTTCGCCGCCGTTGGCGTCTTTGTCTCTGTCGTTGGCGGCCTCGTCGGCCTTGTCGTCGCAGCCGTCGAAGTCGCGATCGCAGCTCAAGTGTGTACAAGCTGAGAGTGCTTCTTGTATAGCAGATCTCGCGTGACGTAACAGGGTCGCGAGGGCTAGAATGGGTTCGTGAGGCCTATGCGGTCACACTGCCGGAGGCTCAACAACAGGGGTATATTTTGTTCGTCGCCGGGAGGAAGTGGCGGTCGATCGGTCAATCGGTGGGTTTCGGAGAGCAGAGCAGGCCTTCGCTTATGTTGTATGAGGCGGCACTGGCGAAAAGTAGGCACCTAAGCCCCAGGTGCTGGGCTGAGCGCAAGTCCGGGTGGGCCAGAATGGGGTTTCGCGGACCGCGGTGGGATGCGGACGGGGATTGCGCAGAGGCAGGGTAATGCAGATCGCCGGTGGGTGGCTATGGGCAGGGCCTCTCAACTCGACAGCCTTGTGCGGCTTGTGCAAGAATCGTTCATGGCCGTGCCGCGTGTGGGTTTGCTCTTGTGCGGAAAGAGGGCCCCCAGCTCCTCACGAGGCCTAGTTGTCTGGCAGGGTGTATAGGTATGATCGGGTACCGAGTCGCGCAGCCGGTCTTGGGGTGAGGAGAACCCAAGCAGCCTTCACGCAAGGACAGGCAAGACAGAAACGGGCGGCAGAGCCTTGCAATAAGCTTGTCGATGGGGGCGATGGCACGGCCTGATGTTGATGGGCTGAAAAAAGCAAGAGGAGCGTAATGAGGATTGCGCGCATCCGACTTGGGAGCGGACGGGAATGGATGGGCGGGCGGGCGAATGTTGGCGGGCAGCCCTGGCACGGCACTGGCAGCTCAGGTCACCACCCTAGGGACCTTGTGGTGTTGGACGGTTTAGTGGCAGGCGTGCCTCCTCGCCAATCAAGACCGTTCTTGGTGTTATGCAAATACGGGACGTACTCTCCTGCAAAAAACACCTGCCATTCCAGATCAAATGCGACCTGGCCCAGCAGCCCAGGACCAGGACGGAGACTTGGCCGATACGTAGGACTTCAGGAGCACCACAGGAGGATACTTGTGCTTGGCCGCATTTCTCTACGCTATCCGGGGTATTCTGTGACCCTTTCTTTGACTGGAGCTGCACTCATGTCACCCGCTCCCTGCCCAGAGCCAGCTGCTGATTCTGAAGCAATGCCACTGTCATCAATTGGCCCTCATACGAACATGGAGCACCCAATTTCTGGAACCCACGGCAGAAACCTGCAATAAAATACCCCATCCAGCCTGACAGCCTGGCAACACCGGCAGGATCGGCGTTTGGCAGCACTGTAATCTTGCCGTTCTCTCCGCGGTCACATACCCAGGTACTTCACTGTCAAAACAAGGTCGAGCTGCCTGCGCGCTCGCATCCGGCATGGCGGCTCCGTGGCTCCAGCTCGAGCCTTGTATGAAACCAGCCTTGTAGGGGTCTTTTTGGACCCATGAAATCTTTCTTTTTGGGATGAGCCACACGCATACTTGGAGCCAGCCTGGCACCTGCCCAGCCCAGCTTCTCCCGTGTTCTGAACCCCAGAGGCCTCAATTGTGGGAAACCGTGGCATTCCATGCGCGGGATGCACCAAGTCAGCCCAGCTAGAAGCAATGGTAGCGCCACCCCGCTGCTCCGGGAACATTAGGTTCTCAACGGCTCAGCCCAAGCCCCCTTGAAGCTTGCGCCAGCCATAGCGTAGGGCCTGGCGCCCAGGTCCTAGGGCCCAGGGCCTAGATTCTTACCGAGAAGACGGGTTTCTGGGGAAGGCAGCTGAGCCGGATCGGATCAGATCGGCCCTCCTTCAGACCAGTCTCTGACCTGGCAAGGCCAGGCTGACTTGCCGTCTGGCTGAGCAGGCAATCTGCCAGGCAGAATATGAAACACCCCAAGGCTGCGTGCGGGTCATTACCTGTCCACCTTGGTGGCAACTTGCTGTGCTCGGTGGGAGCAGCTGGACGGTTCCGATGCAAGTAGCCTACTGCTCAGCTGCCTCCGCTGTCTCCGTCATATGGCAGTTCGTCTCGTCCGCCAGGCTTGAGCCTCAGCCTGACCTCCTGTCTGTTGTTGAAAAAGCCACATGTCTTTCAGCATCCACCGATGTGGCACAGCGGGAGGGGGCGGAATCGCGTGCTACTGTGTTGATAAGTCGCTCTGACGCAGCTGCTCGTCCGCGAGCATCGGCAGAGGAGCCGGGCTGTTGTCATTAACCCCGAGCCGACAGCTTACCGGAGCTCCCGTCGGGGCCCCTCCACGTACAAGAGGCCAGAGAAGCCGCAAGAAGACGTGGATGATTGGAAAGCCACTGGCGATTCAACCACGAGATTGACACGTAAAATGAGTGCAATACATGGTGATTTGGGCCCGCCTCTCAGTAAGACTTTTTTGGATTGATGTATGCAGTCGATATAGAATCTGCTGTTCGTAGAATCACTATTAGTAGTGTAGACTGGACCAGTCAGCTAGAGGTCGTTCCCGTCAAGTGGGGCTGCATCCCAATGACGAAAGAAAGCTGCCCGCCCCCTCATGAACAGCGAAGGCCGATCGGGGGAGGGAAGCTTACCAAGACGACTTCGGATCTCCACCTGGGGGGCATAAACTCGCACCGTCCCCAGCTTCTATCGCTTTCTCCTGCCAAATCTCCTCGTCAAGCAAGAAAGCCAGATCGCCAATTGCCCTCATCAAGAATCAATAAACAACAGTTGTACAATCAAATCAGCCAAAATGGTCAAAGCAGGTGAGAGAAGCCCAGACCCCATATATATACACACACAGAGACCCCGCAGAGGTCGAGCTGTTTGGCGACTCAAAGTGAGGGGGTGCATCCAGCCCATCCGGAGCACCCTGATGGGCCTCTTGAGAAACGTGCTCAAGCACCCTGATGGCCACGCCTTGCAGGCACCGGCCCATCCATCATCCTGGATGGCGAGCGCCGTTGATGCAGATCGCCTTTGGGTCCCTCTCCTGATCTCAAGCCACCCTGGGAGTGTCTAGACAGCTCGCTAACATTTGTCCGTTTGCCTGCAGTTGCTGTCGTCCGTGGTGACTCCAAGGTCTCCGGTACCGTCACCCTCGTGCAGGAGTCCGAGTCTGCTCCCACCACCATCTCTTGGGACATCACTGGCAACGACGCCAACGCCAAGCGCGGCTTCCACATCCACACCTTTGGTGACAACACCAACGGCTGCACGTCTGCCGGCCCTCACTGTGAGTAGCCCCCTGAACCAGGAATCAGGAACCCGGCATTGCCTGAGCCGGGCTCAACGCCCGACTATCCCTAGACTAACCTTGTCTACCTGTTAGTCAACCCTCACAACAAGACCCACGGTGCTCCCTCCGACGAGGCCCGCCACGTTGGTGACCTGGGCAACATCGAGACCGATGCCCAGGGCAACGCCAAGGGCAGCGTTGAGGACAAGCACGTCAAGCTGATCGGCCCCGAGTCCGTCATTGGCGTATGTTACCACCCTCCCCCAGCCCCAGGGTCACGCATATAACCTACAAGTGCGTCGGCATGCTAACACAGTCCACAGCGAACTGTCGTCGTCCACGGTGGCACCGATGACCTTGGAAAGGGCGGCAACGAGGAGTCGCTGAAGACTGGCAACGCCGGTCCCCGCCCTGCCTGTGGTGTCATTGGCATCTCTAACTAAGCATTTCGCTTCGGTCACGGTATCTCATCCGATGGTAGTGTACTGAGCTCCGGACATTGAAAGGTGCACCTACAAAGCACCGGGCCTTGCCCAACACCTAGCCAACAAGGATAGCCTCAAAAACAAAAGATCAGATTGAGACCTTGTTCCAAAATGTTGTAGACCGTTGAATGCTGTACGCGAATCTGCATTGTTCCATTGATATGTTGAAGTGTCCATGTACACCTTGAGGTATGCCCTTATTGTGCGGCCTGGCCAAGCTCAAAAGCTCCGGCAGCTGGGCCCCATGCCATTCAAAACAAGCATGTCTGCTTCAGAAGTTGCTTTGAAACAGAGGGTTGGTGCCCTGCAAGCATGACCTAAACAAACAGATTGACACAGCAGCTCCGTGATCAGCTGTACTGCAAAACTTCTAGCTCATTCCGTGCGTGTATTGCAACGTCTGAGGTATAGGCACCATCATTGATGCAGCTGCCCCTCACCTGGCTCGGAGCTCGCCCAGAGCTCCCCATGGCGGACTCTTGAGTAATCCAAAGCTGCTTGCCAACTCCGGACTAGCGGCAGGAGCCCAGCTACCAGGCTCAGTTAGTCCAGACACGTTGACCCCACGTTGGAGCTCCCTGGCCCACTAGAATTCTGGACCCTGACGACGGACATCTGGCCAGAAGGCCAGAAGGGAGGAGGCACACGACACCATCATCAAACGTCCAGGTCACCTCATAACAAACAACGCCTTCCTTCTCTCTTCAGTAAGATTGCTTGTCTTTTTTGAAGTCAATCAATTCTCACCTCCGCTACAATATCTCAAAGACATCACATCCTTTCATTGGCTGTCTGGAAACCTGGTGAGTTGTCTAGCTCCCTTCTAGTCTGTGACCATCCAAGTCTGCAACTATCCCCTTCCACTGCCCCCTTTCAATGGCTACAAGCAAGCAGACCACCTGCATTCCCTAGGGACATGGACCATATGTTCATATGGCAAGAAAGCTTGTCATGTGGTGAACCCCCGGGCTGCTCTGTCTAGACCTGGTGGAATTGACACGGCACTGTCTTGGCCTTATTGTGGATTGCTCGTGGACCACCTCAGGCAGTGAGAGCAATTCAACTTGCAAGCCCCACGTTTGACCAGGCCCAAGCTTGTCTGGTCCAGTCACACACCTTGGTGACCCTGTATACCTATCACCAGTTACTCCAGATTGACTCTGAGTACCAGTCTCGTCAAGCTGCCCTTGGACCCCTTGGGAAGCCTCTAGCACAAGCCTCCAAACTACAGGCCGCATCTCTTATCCAACTCGCTTTCCTTGCAAGTCTATTCACATGTGGATGAGAACATTTTACTGACTGCTTTCCAGGCATTGTCACGAACACTGCTGATTCCACTTCCCACTCCTTACGGTCTCCCTGATTCCGGTTGCTGCCATTGTTACCATGTCTAAGCCTCTTTATGCCACTGTCAAGTCCGTCTTGAGCGGCGATACGTTGGTCCTTGCGAATCCTCAAAACCCAGCAGCTGAACGGGTTCTTTCTCTCGCCTATGTCAGCGCCCCTCGGCTCAGCAAGGATGGCGACGAGCCGTTTGCATTCCAATCCCGAGAGTTCCTGAGAAATCTCACCGTGGGAAAGCCCATCCAGTTTACCGTCCTGTACACGGTACCGACCTCGCAACGCGAGTACGGAACCGCAAAACTTCAGGATGGCACCGAATTCCCCGATGAGCTGATCAAGGGCGGCTGGGTCAAGGTCCGCGAAGATGCCGGGAGGAAGGAAGACAACGAAGACCTCCTGCAGCGACTTGACCAGCTTCGCGAACTTGAGACAAAGGCCAAGAACGAAGGCAAGGGGCTTTGGGCCGGTACCGGTGGTGTAATCGAGGTCCAGAACGACCTGGGTCACCCGCAGTTCCTGGACGAGTGGAAGGGCAAGTCCGTTGATGGCGTGGTCGAGCGCGTGTTCAGCGGCGATCGTCTTCTGGTTCGCATTCTGCTCTCGGACAAGAAGCACCTGCAAATCATGACTCTTGTTGCTGGTATTCGGACTCCATCTACGGCCAGGACAATTGTCTCTACGGGTCAGACGCAGCCATCCGAAGAATTTGGCGATGAGGCAAAGGCATTCGTCGAGAGGAGACTGCTTCAGCGGTCCGTGAAGGTCGAGATTGTGGGAGCAAGCCCCCAGGGACAACTGGTAGCCACGATCCTGCACCCCAATGGAAACATTGCCGAATTCCTCCTCGCCGAAGGTCTTGCTCGGTGCAATGACTTCCACGTCACCCTGCTTGGTGACAGAATGCCCTCGCTGCGCGCTGCGGAGAAGAAGGCCCAGTCGGCGAACCTCAGGCTGCACAAACACCACGTTGCCAAGGAAGCAGCAAAGGAATCCGAGATGACTGTCTCAAAGATCATCAGCGCCGACACCATCATTGTGAGGAACAAGAACGGCGAGGAGAAGCGTATCAACCTGAGTAGCGTCCGTGGCCCACGCACAAACGAGTCATCGGAGGCTCCCTTCCGGGATGAGGCGAAGGAATTCCTGCGGAAGAAGCTCATTGGCAAGCACATCAAAGTTGCGGTTGACGGGTCCAAGCCGGCTTCCGATGGATATGAAGCCCGAGAGGTTGCGACCGTGACCCAGAACGGCAAGAACGTCGGCCTCCAGCTCGTACAAGAGGGTTGGGTCTCGGTCATCCGACACCGCAAGGACGACACCGACCGGGCCTCCAACTACGATGAGCTGCTGGCGGCACAGGAGAAGGCCAAGGAGGAGAAGAAGGGTATGTGGACTGGCAAGCCACCCAAGTCGAAGGTTCTGGTCGACGCTTCTGAAAGCCTGCAGAGAGCAAAGATGAACCTGGGCTCTCTTCAACGTCAGAAGAAGATCCCCGCAGTGGTCGACTTCTGCAAGTCTGGATCCCGATTCACTGTGCTTATCCCCCGTGAGGGCGTCAAACTCACGCTGGTCCTGGGCGGAATCCGCGCGCCACGTGCCGGTCGTTCGCCCGAAGAGAAGGGCGAGCCGTTCGGTAACGAGGCTCTGGATCTTGCCAACAAGAGGTGCAACCAGCGAGATGTCGAGGTGGATATCCACGACACGGACAAGATCGGAGGCTTCATCGGTGACCTGTATGTCGGCCGGGAGAGCTTTGCCAAGCTACTCGTCGAGGAGGGCTTCGCCTCCGTGCACCAGTACTCGGCAGAGAAGTCAGGCAACGCGACAGAGTTGAACGCAGCAGAGCGAAAGGCAAAGGAGGGACGTAAGGGAATCTGGCACGACTGGGACCCATCCCAGGAGGAGCAGGAGGAGGAAGCTGCGCCTGTGGAGACCGCGGCGGCTGATGCTCCCGTCAACATCAAGCGAGAGTACCGGGACATTGTCATTACCAACATCGACCAGAACGGCAAGATCAAGATCCAGGAAGTTGGCAAGGGCACTGCGGCACTTGAGCAGATGATGTCCGCATTCAGGAAGTTCCACCTTGATTCCAAAAACAACGTGGGCCTGAAGGACACGCCCAAGGCCGGAGATATCGTCTCGGCTAAGTTCTCCGAGGATGGGCAGTGGTACCGGGCACGCATACGATCCAACGACCGGGCCAACAAGGTTGCAGAGGTCGTGTACATTGACTACGGAAACACGGAGAAGCACCCCTGGGCGAAGCTGCGGCCGCTCAGCCAGGCCGAGTTCGGCACGCAGAAAGTGCGGGCTCAGGCCATCGACGCGTCGCTGTCCCTGGTGCAACTGCCCACGGCCCCAGAGTACCTCAACGACACGATCGGCTTCATTGGAGAGGTGACGGAGGGCAAGACTATGGTGGCCTCCTTCGATTTCGTCGACCAGAAGGAGGGTGTGAGCTACATCACCATCTACGAGTCCAGTGGATCGCCCAAGCCGCACGTCTCTGAACCGCGAGGTGCTACTCAACGGACTTGGTCTGGGTTCCCAAGAAACTTAAGGCATGGGAGAGGAGCCCAGTGTTTGCCGACACTCTCAAGGAGTATAAGAAAGCTGAGACGGCGGCCAAGAACGATCGCCTGGGGATCTGGGAGTACGGCGATCTCACTGAGGACTAGGGAGGCAGCTGGACACTCCTGTGACGCGCTCTGCTTGTTACCAACATTGACGGCCACCCCTACAGCTTCACTTTGATCACCGAGCTGAGGGGAGTAGAGAAACGAGGACGAGGGATTGGAAAACGGGGTTGAGGGAGCCAGAAGCACCCATGGAGCATCGGGTTCCCTATATCATAAAAGTTGGCGAGGCAGCTCTGATAGCATTGCATCGCATTGTTTGGCATTGTTACACAGACATAGTGTAAAACCATTATTACAAAGCCCCTCCTTCTGGCACAATGTGAGTCCGCAGGGCCTGTTTGTAATGGTCCCAGGGTGAGAGTGTCCGGTGTTGCCATGGCAGTTTGGGCGAGCGGCTCAATGCTCGCGCTTCGGGGTAGGAGGGCCGAGCTTAGTGCTCCAGCAAACGTCCAAGATATTCCAGAATATCTTGTCCCGGGGCTTCCGCCCAAGTGGTGCACACGCGGTAGATCGGGTCTGCCGAACTGCAACGAGTTTGCATCACAGCAGCGACTACGGCCAGAAACTAAAAAGAATCGTTACCGGACGGGCTAGTCGAAGCCCAGAATTGCCAATAGCCGCGAGGGATCCTGCGTTTTGACGTCGGAACAACTCATGTTACACTTTAGCCTGAGTAAGCGACCACCCACCAGTGAGTGCCCCCCAACAAGGTCCGTGGAGACGCACCAGCAGCCGTGCCGGAAAAGAGGCCAGGCTGGAGGGGCCTTAGCATTGCAAATTGCGTACCGATGGACAGGGTCCTTGTTGCTGGTGGGGTGACCCGACCCTGGGCCTGCCCCTCAACGGTCTGAGGTGTGTGTCGCCGACCTGGACCTGGGCCTGTGTCTGCACCTGCGTACTGGGCATGCAAATCTGCACATGAATGCGAAGGGGGGGGGGGGGATGTGGAATCGATTGACGAGCAAAGGACATCGACATCGAGATATAGAGAGCGTGCAGACAGATCAATTGACACACGTACCCGCACATGTGTACAGGTGCCCTGAGCTCGGAAAGAGGCAATGGTGGGGGGCGATATCGTCATGGGCCCGTAAATCTGACTTGCCAAAGAAGTGGCCATTGGGAAGGAAAGAACGGCCCAGCAGGTGGGAAAGCTTTAAGTCACCCCGCCATCAAATAAATACCTCTCCCGCCTCGTCGCACCTCCTTGCTAGCCTCACACACCTGTCACCACACCTGCAATCTCCCTAATACCCAGACGTTTGCAAACCTCTGTCCAACCATCACATCACACCCAGACAACAGCTCAGACAGAAGCAACCGCACATCCATCATGTCGAACTCCCTGGAGCAGCTCAAGGCCAGCGGCACCGTCGTCGTCTCCGACTCTGGCGACTTCGCCTCCATCGGCAAATACAAGCCCCAGGATGCCACCACCAACCCTTCGCTCATTCTCGCTGCGTCTAAGAAGCCCGAGTACGCGAAGCTGATTGACGAGGCCGTCCAGTACGCCAAGACGACCGGCGGCGACCTCGACACACAGGTGGACGCCGCCCTTGACCGCCTGCTGGTCGAGTTCGGCAAGGAGATCCTTAAGATCATCCCTGGCAAGGTCTCCACCGAGGTCGACGCCCGCTTCTCCTTCGACACCAAGGCCTCGGTTGACAAGGCCCTGCACATCATCGACGTAAGAACAGAGTGACCACCCACCCAAATAAGCGAAAACTGGGAGAGTTCCCTTGCTGACATTTTGTCCCATCAGCTCTACAAGGCGCAGGGTATCCCCAAGGAGCGTGTCCTGATCAAGATCGCCTCAACATGGGAGGGTATCAAGGCCGCCGAGATCCTGCAGCGCGACCACGGCATTAACACCAACCTGACGCTCATGTTCAGCTTGACCCAGGCCATCGCTGCCGCTGAGGCCGGTGCCTTCTTGATCTCTCCTTTCGTCGGCCGTATCCTTGACTGGTTCAAGGCCCACACCAAGAAGGAGTACGCCAAGGAGGAGGACCCCGGTGTCGAGTCGGTCAAGTCCATCTTCAACTACTACAAGAAGTTCGGCTACAAGACCATCGTCATGGGTGCCTCCTTCCGCAACACGGGTGAGATCACCGAGCTGGCTGGATGTGACTACCTCACCATCTCCGTAAGTTCACTTAGGCCCCACTCCCCACCTCATTCCGATCCCGGAGGTCTCGGACAGGAATGCTGACGGTGCTGCCAAACCAGCCCAACCTGCTCGAGGAGCTCATCAACTCCGACGCCTCCGTCCCCAAGAAGCTGGACTCCTCGGCCGCCTCCTCGCTCAACATCGAGAAGAAGTCGTACATCAAGGACGAGCCTCTGTTCCGCTTCGACTTCAACGAGGACCAGATGGCCGTCGAGAAGCTGCGCGAGGGTATCAGCAAGTTCGCCGCCGATGCCATCACGCTCAAGGATATCATCAAGAGCAAGATCCAGGCATAAGTGCTTTTTTAAACAAAAGTTGGTTGGCATAAACAAACACGAGGATGGGAAATGATACCGTACATAGCATGTGCTTAGCAGGATGTCCAAGAGACTCCTTGGGCCCAAATTGAAATGAACTGAATTGCCAAAATGATAATCAGGGAATTGCTAGATGTCTGTGATGTCCTTCCACGTCCACAGGAGTGAGGGGAGTAATGGCCCATATAAAACCTCAAGTGGCAACAAAGGCAGGTCGTGATGAGGTGCGATAAAACTTCAGGTTCGTCCTGTACGTTATATAGGTCTCCTACCAAGGCTTGCGGCATTATCAACTTGATAGCGGCGCCTGTGTTCGTATAGTATGGAACTACTCACAGAGATGCAAGTGAAGGTCCCTTCTAACTTTGTTATGGTCTGTCTGATACCACAAGACCACCCATACAATCCATTAAGCCCGGTCTACCCAAAGTTGGGCCCTGTCCGTCTGCCAAAACATCTTTGAACGCCTGCAATGCCAATGCCATAACTTTGTATGCCATTTCCCAAAAGTCCCATGATGCAAGTTTTCCTCTTTACCCTTTCCCACCACTCCGTGGCTCATGGCTCCGCGCCCTTGTCGCACTTGACCTGCGTGATTCCGTGCACAATTCCCTCGGGCCGTGCCTCTATCACCAGCGCCGACAGCTTCCGGCCGTACACGCAGCCGGAGTCCAGGCCGAACGTGAGGCCCTTGCCGTTGCCGTAGGTGTCGGGCACCGTCAGCCCGCTCTTCGCGTCGTGTCCGTACACGATCGTCATGCCGCTCAGCTCCTTCTCCACGGCGGTCTGCTGCCGCCTCTTCTTGTCCTTTTTGTGCTTTTTCTGGGCGGCCTCTCCTGCTGCTTCGAGCTTGGTATCGTCGGTGACAGGGTGGGTCGGGGCGGAAGCGGCGACGATCTCAGCCTCTGGTTCCGCCTCCGCCGCCGTCGTGGTCTTAACCAGGCGCTCCTGAAAGCGGTTCCACTCCTTCCACCACTTGGACCCCTCCCTCCCTTCCGTGGGCACCGCCACGTCCTCGCCGACGTGGTCGGGGCTCATGCCCTCCGCCTCCATGATCTTCTGCACAAACTCGTCGATCTGGTCCTCGTCGATCTGGTGGGCGGCAACGCTGCCCCTGTTGCGCTTGCTGGCCTTATCCTCGAGGAACCGCCGGACGGCCGCCCTCCTCAGGTCATCTATAGGATACACGAGCGTACGCATCGACATGACGGCCCGGGGGTCCTGGTCGGCTAGCGACACGTTCGGCACGAGGCCCGCGTGGACGACCACCATGTTCTCGAACGCGGGCGGGAGGTCCCTATTGGACGGGATGCGGCCGACCTTGAGGATCAGGGGGAGCTGGGACAGCCACTCGACCTGGCCCTTGGACAGGGAGCGCGCGGTCTGGAACTCGGGCTTGTCGCCGCGGTCGAGGAGGGCCTCGTGGGCAAAGTACTCCTCCTTGGCCGCCTTGGGGTCCTTCTCCTCGTCTCTTTCGTCCTGTTTCTCCTCCTGCCCTTTCTCGTACACTTTCGTCTCGAGATCTACCGTGTCAATCGCGGACTTCTGCGACTCGGAGTCCTTGTTCATGGCCGCGTGCACTAACAGCACGCGGTCCTCGTGGTTGCCCCTCACGGCGTGCGCGCCGAGCTCGATCGCGAGGTCCACCACGCCCGCCGAGTCCGGGCCCTTGTTGATGAGGTCGCCCACCAGGATCAGGTGGTCCTGGGCCTTGTCGAAGTGGATCTTGCCCAGGAGCTCCTCCAGCGCCGTTTTCTGGCCGTGCACATCGCCTACTATCACCAGGCGTTTCGTCCGGCCGTCCTGGCTGGGGATGAACTTCTCGGGCAGCTCCGCCACAATCTTGTCCGGCATGCCCTTCATCGGGGGCCTGTGCGTCTTGCCGTAGCTCATGGGTGATATGCCGTCAAACACTGCTGACAGGTCGTCGTCGGGGTCGATGGACACCGGCTCCGGCTCGGGCCAGAAGAGGGAGTATGTCGTTGAAGATACCCTGTTATAGCTGAGGAGGAGTGTGAAGGACAGGATGGCGAGGACTGCGATCAGGATGCGGGGCAGTCGCGAGGAGGAGTGGTGTTCGGAAAATATAGACATAATGGTTTGTGAGTTGGGTGGCGCGGGCGGCGATTGGGCGCAGGCTGATGCGTTGTGAATGCGGTCACGGCGTCATGAAGGTGGGGATGGTGTGGTTTAGGCCTTCGTCTAACGAGCAGGAGCGATTCCCAAATGAGTCGACGTTGAGGCTCGAGATAATGATGCCGATGCTGCTGCTGCTGGCGTTTATGCTGATACAATAATATGCAACGGAATCTTCGAAACCTCAGGATGTCCGTGTGGATCGTGCCGAATTTCCGGATACGATCAAGTCTCTGATGATGCAAGGCGAGGTCCAAGAATGTAGGCAGAAGGGACTGTCGTCGAAGGCAATGCGAAAGAAAGCCAGATGGGGTTCCAAGATGTGAGAACGAAAATCAATGACAATCTGGCATCCAGCAGAAACGGATGAGTTCAGGCATTCTCTCCTGCCAGCAGGACGTGAATGTTGACATGACATTTGAGGAGAGGTTTAGCCAAGCTCATCAGCCACCTTGGACTGACTTGGGCTGCCGCTCGGGTTTCCACCAAGGTTCTCTCGGCCCCAGACGGCAAGTGCCCACGCGACTGCCTACCCACCTGGGTACCACACCATCCAGGCGGGTATCTGCCTGGGCTAGCGGTTTCGAGCGCTGAGGCCAGACCCAGTCTCCAATGCTATAAAACCGACATATAACGACGAAAATTTGACGCTGACAACTGATGCGTCCCCAGTGAAAACCTACAGGCCCAGAAGAGAGACAACATGTTCGGGCCATGCTTTTCAGAGCATTAATCATGTCAGAAGCGTCAAGCGTGGTTTGTCTAGGTCTCCATAAGCAGGTACGGCTTTCCTGCCCAGAGTTAAGTACAGTACAGTAGACATGGTGCCCATAAAATCGGCCCAGAAAAAGAGCCGCATGGTTGGATCATATCTGCCCACCGAGTCCATTGCAACAAGGCGCAAGCCCCTTCCTGACGGCGAGATCTCTGGCGGTGTGACCGCATGCTCAACGCGAAAAAAAGGCATGTACATTGCGCAGTGAAGACTCTCTGCCTTTTCACGATTCAGACAAGGCCCGCCGACATCTGTGGAGCTCTTTGGACTTGAGTTGCCTCCCAGGAATATCGATAGAGCCATTGGCTTCCTCCTGCCTCTACTCATGGATGATCTGCGCGCGCCCATGGCATGTGAACCTTTTGTTTGCCGGCGAGCGGAGAGTAGGCACTTCATCCGGCGATTCGTGAAAGTTTTCTTTCCCGAGAACTCCGTACACCATCCCATGCAACAGGTTCGAATCGAGGCCTTCCAAACACATCTCGCTAGGGCAATCTCTCGTCGCTCTTGATCATGGCTTCTTCGACTCGAGTTCCTTCCGGTACTTTTCGTTCTCCAGCTCCCTCCAGTCCGGCGGTGCCTTGCCGTCGCCGGCCGTCTCGCCCCTGGTGCCACCAAACGCAGACTTTCCGGCGTACAGCTGGTATCCGTCGCCCGTGGCGTCGCTCTCCTGCAGGTTCTTGAAGGCCGCGGGCTGGTTGCCCCGGAAGCGCTTGCGCATGTCGATCATGCCGCGGCGGCACTCCCCGAACCCCTTCTTGAGCTGCTGGCACTTCGTGGGGAGCGTCTCGGCGAGCGGTGACCGGAGGCAGTCAGCGGCCGAGTTTCGCTGGACCATGACGCACTCGGACTCCTGGAGGCATTGCGCCAGGGCGGCTCCTGCGGGAGAGGTGGGGTGATGTCAGCTGGGGAGAAGGCCTTCGCGCAACGGGATGAGGGGAGACCTGGCGGGTGCGTACTTATTTCCTTACATGAGCTCGGCATGGCGACCAGAGATCTGCGGGATCAGGTGCTGTGGTGGTTGTCGCGAGAGGTTGTCGCAGCGCAACCCGACGGCAAGGTTCGCGGGTGAAGAACCCGGGTGGCCAAAGCTCCCCTTGCATGAGAGCATGGATGCGTGCAGCCACCCCACTGAGGTCTGAACAAATCAGAGCCCTCTCATTAACATCCTCTCGAGCTTTCTGACAACGCCCGACTCTCAGCCTCATCAATCATTGCATTACAATTGCTTTGTCTATTATCTACATGTAACATTTTACTGCCTCAGAGGTCCCGGCCTCTCATGTCTTGCACAATTTCAAACAGATTCATTGCTCCCGACTCATCTGCCTGTGTGCGATGGCAACTCATAGTAGACTGGTCGAGCGGCATTCAGCTCGCTCGCTGCTGGGGCAGGAGCGCGTAACTCTGTCAAGGGCACGTGGTGTGGCATCTCTGCTGAATACAGGACAGGAGGCTTCCACTCCCCGATACTGGACGCATGCCCCGTGCTGGGAGGAGGAGCTTCGATCCGAGCAAAGGCGCCCTGCCTAGCCTTCTGCCGTCTTCGGCGCATGTACCATATTCCTGCAGCAACGCCGATAAATATTCCTCCGATAGCCACGCCGATCCCAGTTCCAATTTGTGCCCCCGTCGACAGTCCGGCGCTTGAGGCTGAGGAGGTCTCTGCAGCCGCGGAACTCGTCGAGGTGGCCAAGACGAGACTGCCACCTGTGGACTCATCCGACGAAGTTTCCGCCGACTCCTCTGATAATGTTGCCGTTGAATCGGCAGAGGACGTTGTTGTGGTTCCTTCTGAAGAAGTTGTCGTTGACGCATCCGAGGGAGTCTTTGTTGGTGTCTCCGAAGCAGTCGTCGTTGCCGTGGTTGATGAAGATGTAGGGGGTGGAGTCGGAGTAGCAGCAGCGGAAGAGCTGAGGCCGACAGTAGTCGCGGCGCGCTCTGAGATGTCAAATGACCAATTGTCGGAATTCGCGCCCTTGCCCACGGCTGCGCCTGCGCTGGGCTTCAAGTTAAACCAACACGGCGTGTCAGAGCCCGACCATGAAAGTTTGATGAGAGCAGTGCTGTTGTAGCCAGCTACGCCTTGGTTTTGTTTCTCTGTCGCAAACCGTCAGCACCGATCATCTCCCACAACGCAGTTCCCATCTCGAAGCGGTCGAAGAGTCGCTAGGTACAGGCTGAACTTACGCGCAACACTACCGCTGGCCGTTCTACAAAACGTGTAGAGCCATGGTGCGTTGAATTCTGATGTATACTGCACTTGCACATAGTCGTTGTAGTGGAGTGTTGCGCCCTGGGTCGGAAACAGAAATTCGACCCCGTTCGAGGGTGTCATGGCACACACAGACGCGAAAAATGAAGCCAGGAAAAGCACAATCGCATATGGACGGCGCGAAGCCATTTTCACTGCCAACTCCCCCGGTTCTACCACTTAGCCAGAACAGAGCAAAGAAGGGAGTATGAGACAAAGGTGACCGAGAATCATGTTCTGTCCACCGGAGTTTATTTTCCCTTCATCAACTGGCGTCCCCAAGCCAGGCAGTGCACGCGAAAGGGGCCGGCTTACTCTTGGTGGGGGCCAAGGCTCTCATCTCCTGCCCCCGGAATCCTACATCCAATCGTGCACATAAAAGTGGCTAGGATCTGAGGTAGGATTTGCTGATTGGAGGCCCAGAAAGGCCAGTCTGCTTGCATTGGTTTGATTATCATTTCGCAGGGCCATCCTTCTGTGTGTTTCTGTTTAATTGTGTTGCAGGATCTCTGGGCTAGACTTCCCATAGTTCTGCGCCCACGGTTTTCCTCGCCACAACACCATGCTCTTCGCCGGCAAGAATATCTGACGATTCAGCAGAAGCAGGCAGGGAGACAGTGGGACGAGCATGGAATCTTGCTGGACTCGTTTATCATAGCCTATCTGACCAGTGTTCAGTCGAGGAACCCGGTTTTTTGAAGAGCTCGGTCAGTTTCTCAACGATTTGCACAGGACATGGCGCGGTCACTGTGGATGTTCGAGACTTAACTGCCATTGGCATAGCAGTCTTTCTGGGTGTCAACGGAGGCTTCCCAGAATACGCCTCACGCAGGAAGGGGTTTGCCAAGCTGTCAATCCCAGGCGGGTTGGTGCCAGCCGTGTGTCAACCTCTCGCATGTCATGGAGCTTCTTCCATCTCACGGTAAGTCCACTTGTTGTGTGGACGGATTCACCCTGCTGGGATTTCATGCAGTCAGCATGTCGCGTGGCTGGAGAAGAGCCTCCCAGACAACGTGTCTCGCAAATGCCCGATAGTAATGGGCCCCCGCGACATGCCTTCCTTCGACCGCGCCCATCAGCACAGTGGGTGTTGAGCTGTGAAATGAGAGTAAGCGCGCTTCGGAGGATATAAGAGAATCTCGGTTGAGGTCTTTTCAGGCTGGAAGGAGCTCTCCTGTGAGCCTACAAAGAGGAGCATGTCTGTCTCCTCTGTGAAATGACAGAGAGGAATGATGCGCCTGCCATCAAGAGGCAGTCTCCACAGGCTACACATCACGACAGTTGCAGCCAATGCAGCGCCATGTACGACTGGACCTGGCCACAGCTGGGACTCCTTGAAATTGAAGGCCACTTGATAGTTTACGGTGACGAAGCCAACCGACCTAGAGTGGCTCAAAAACCTCGAGAACACACCTAGAGGTCCGACAGACCCTCGCGGTGACCCTGCGACTCATCATTTGCTCTGGTGCGACAATGAGATTGACACCTTTGTGAGCTGGCACACCGTTGCCCGCTGGGCACACCTCTGGCCATGGCTATGAGAGTCTTTCAAACCCATAGCAGCATTGCTACCACATTCCGGGGTGTGACCTTGGGAATGAACCTGGTTGTTTCTGCCTTTCGCCGCGGAACACTGCCCAGTCCGGCGTCCATCTTTGTTGGGGAACCCAATGGTGCCGCCGATGCGTTTCAGCACTACAATTACAGCGATTGAAATATTCCCTTCGAATCTATATCCCGAGAGCTGATCTCGGCCTCAACGCTTGTCTTCTCAACGGCAACCTGAGTTTAAAAGGAAGTCAGTTCGACGGAAGTAGAAGCGGTAGTAGTAAACTTGTAAAACAATAAAAAGGTCATCATTCCCAGTTCTTGGAGTGATTGAATCGATTAAACATATTGATCAAACAGGGTTGGAGTGCCCTCAATACGGATCTTCCAACACTCACTCAATCGAGATTGGAATGAGTGACATAAGCTTAAGATGAGAGCGTCTTCCGAAAGTACACTCGAGAGTAACCATCTTCTATCTTCCTTTCCACCTCGACAAATCCCATCTTAGTATATAGCACAATATTCTCCGTCATCTTCTCGTTCGTGAACAACGTCAACGCCGCACAGCCTCTCTCGCGAGCCACGCCCTCCGCGAACGTCATGAGCAGCTTGCCATACCCACGCCCCTGAGACGCTGAATCGACGACGAGGTTGTTCACCTTGGTTGAGTCATCCCCATGGTCAGAGAGCAATATTGAGCCTAAAACTTTGCCATCTTCTTGCCGGCGGAGTACGAAAACTTCTTGAGAGTGAGACGCGATGATGGTGTGGTAATCGGCAGTCATGGGCGCCGGATCTTGGCCGCCCATCCGTGGGACGTATTTCGAGTAGGCTGCGATCACAATTTGCTTGATTGCTTCCGCGTCTGAGAGAAGAGCCTTCTCTATCACAACCTCATTATTTGAGGCCCGTGCAGGCTGAGGGACATGTGTGATGCCTGTCATTGCTCTCTCGTGGGGGAGGGAGGAGACGCTCCTATGCAACCTGGGTGGTAATGAATTGGTCAGGATTTATTCAATGAACACATTTACGAAAGAACTAGAGTTTGAATTAGGTGTTAATGTTTTGGCTCGAATAAAACAGAAGAAGAAAATACAAGTCGAGGATGGGAGAAGCTATTTGGGGTGGGGACAGAGCTGTGCTCTAAGAGTCACAAGGAATGTTTCTACCCCGCTGCAACAATTGGAGACGTTGGACAATCAGTATAGACTCTCAATCTTCCATGATTTATAAAACCATGACTGAAGCGATACTTGCCTTTTCTCCCTAGATCGCCCAGCAGTTTGATTCATGCTGAACTTGTGTATGTCCTTGTTGAATGCTTTAAGCCAACGCCTTTGCTCTTACCCGTCCCCATGTACAGCCCGCTATTGCGGAAGTCACCCGCGCAAAATCGGTTGCAAGGACGGAATAAGCCACGCAGAAATAGTCAACACCAATGTTTGAATGAGTTCCGCTGGCTTACTGGACTCGGCGTCCCGACCCCGTGGCCGTCACGCCAGTTGACGCTGGCTTCGACCATGTCGAGACACCCTCGATGAGCCCTTAGACGCATAGGAACTTGCGACTAGAAATGAATCACCCACGTTTTCCCCAGAATAGAAATGCTACGACAAGCCTGTTGTTGGACGTGTGAAGATTGAGTGTCCCAGGCTTCGACCGGGTCTTCTTTGAGAGCCCTGATTGGCAACGCAGGTAACGAGGTCTCTACACCAGCCGAACTGCCTCTGATCATGTATGAGATGAGCCCCGCAATGGCGGCTTTCCCATGTCGTTGGAACAGTACCACTTAGGAGGAAAGATGAGCACATTGAGTTTAAGGCCCTGTTCTAACCTTATCTTCGATCTTCCCCGTCAGTGCTCTGGGACATCGTCGGGCGACCTCAAATTGTAACACAACTTGTGCAAATACACAATATGAGTTCAATATCATATGAGGCTTAAATTTGTGTCTTGTCAAGTTCGTTTAAATTTGATCAAATGTATTTCATCCACTCCGGCCCCAGGATGGTTGGTACTGTGTTTGGGCATTAGATTAAGGTGAGGTTCCCCAGTAAGGCAGCGTTAGTCAGGGGTCTGAAAAGAACCAATGGGCCGTGAGCCCCTGCCCGCGTCCCTGTCCCTGTCCCCACCTGCCTTCGCATCCCAACGGTGCAACAGCAGCTCGAGGAATGTAGATTTCGCATGTGACAAGAATTAGACTGGTGCGCTCTTCATTCAACATTTCCACACGCTAGGCCTCCGTTCTCGTCGCTTCCCTCACCCTCCTCCAGTCGCACAATGTCGCGCCCTTAGAGATACCAAACACGCAACGATCGATCATCCCACGGGTTTTGCGCTTCTGAACAACAGATTGCGCCGTCAAGCCCCAACTCGCGCCGACGACAATGCCTGTTCCGTTCCTGGGGCGCCTCGCCATGTAAGCTCCAGCGCCAACACCCGGGAGTGGTCATCCAAGCCTCTGACATGATGTGCAAGAACCGAATATGTCGCCGTAATAGGGTCATTCATCTTCGTCGGCCTCGAGGTCATCATCCGAGTCCTGACTTTCGCATTGCGTGCGCCGAACTCCAACCCCTGAACGATTCAACCCCCCTGACCGCGAAACAGCATCGCCCCTCATCTCTCTGTGCTACAGAGCCTCTCGACGCTTGTTCAATAAATGGGGGCCAGAAAATGATAAGAAGGAGTCGGAGAGGAGGAAAGGTCCGTTGCTCCCACCGTTCTACCAGCGTTTGGCCCCAGGAATTCCTATTGACGGAGTACCATCCAGAGGTGTCGAAATCCATAAGGAACGCAACCGATTTTGTTGAACTCTGCGATCTGTACGGCTATACAGCTGAGGAACATGTTGTCCAGACTGATGATGGGTACCTCCTGGGCCTTCATCGGCTGGCATGGAAACGAGGCGAGGAAGACACCAAGGTCAACTCTGGTCCCAATAGCGTGCAGAAGCGTGTCATCTACCTACATCATGGCCTCCTGATGAACAGCGAGGTGTGGGTATGTCTCACAGACGCTCAAAAAGTGTTGCCGTTCGTCCTGGTGGATAGAGGCTTTGATGTCTGGGTATGCCTCTGTCGGCCATTTCCCCCAGCGCGAGCGCAGATATGCTGACGGTTTTCAACAGCTTGGAAACAACCGTGGCAATAAGTACTCCAAGAAGTCTGTCCGTTCGGCTCCGACCTCTCTTGAGTTTTGGAACTTCTCGATCGATGAGTTTGCCTTCCATGATATCCCCAACAGCATAGAGTATGTCTTGAGCAGCACGGGACAGCCGTCGCTCTCCTACATTGGTTTCTCGCAGGGAACAGCCCAGGCTTTCGCAGCTTTGTCTATCCACCCAAAGCTTAACCAGCAGGTCAACGTCTTCATTGCGCTGGCGCCAGCTATGTCGCCCCCCGGCTTGGCCAACGGCATCGCTGATGCTCTGATCAAGTCGTCACCTCAAGTTCTGTTCCTCATGTTTGGTCGAAGGTCCATCCTCAGCTCTGCTCCGCTGTGGGAATCGCTCGTTTACCCTCCATTGTACATCAAGATCCTCGACATGGGTATGAAGTTCTTATTCAACTGGAAAGGCAACAACATCGCCCACGCTCAGAAGCTGGCTGCCTATCCCCACCTCTACTCTTTCACCTCAACCAAGTCTGTTGTCCACTGGTTTCAAATCATCCGAACCAAGTCCTTCCAGATGTTCGATGACGACCCGCCCCTGACCATCGGTACGAATCCTCGGTTTACGAAGGTCGCCAAGTACCCGACCCGTAACATCAAGACGCCTATCGTGCTGGTGTATGGAGGCAGCGACTCGCTAGTCGACATCAAGGCGATGCTGCGAGAGCTGCCACCAACCACAGTCGCCACTGAGATTCCTCACTATGAGCATCTCGACTTCCTATGGGCGAAGGACGTCGCTGCTCAAGTCTTCCCCCACGTCTTCGACGCCCTCGACAGTTTCACCGATGCGGAACACTCCAAGGATGAGTTTGACAGTTACCGCCGCGCAAGGCATCAGAGCCTGAGCAAAAGCAACACGTTCTGGAGGAACGCGCGCTCGCAAAACGGCAGCGATGTTAACACAAGCGATGTCGACAGCGCGCTAGGCAGTGCCGTGAAGCTGCCGCACCAGGCTCGCGAGGGAGTCGCACGGAATTTCCAATACAGCGACGACGAATCTTATGTGACCGAGACGAGTGACCCGAGCGGGGAAAGCCCGAACCTGGCTCAGTCGAACAAGAGCTCCACCTCTGTCGGGCTGGACATTGCTCAAGATAGGCGAGGCAGCAGTGGCAGCCTATCATCAAAAACAAGCAATTCCAAAAGGTCGCTGCGGACGGGGAAAGGCATCAGCTTTGGGAAGGTTGCGAGTGCAGGTGTGAGCACTACGGACGTGACGGGCGTTGCGACCGCGAGTCCGCAGCAGGCGAGCACAGATGATGGGGCGAGAAACCGCCTCCGGATGGTCTCGGGGCAGCGGTAGCGTTTATTTAGTTAACTAGACTTCTGCGGTATATACCAATCTTGATGTGGCGGGTGAGAATAAATAAATACGAGTGAGTCGCCCGAGGTCCTGGTGTGCTGGGTAAATGCAGCATCCCACTGGTGTTCCTCCTCGCCTAGTTAGAGCGTAGGTATATATATTAGTCAATGGTTTTGTATGATTTCACATAGGAAAGACTACACAACGTATCCCCAAATTCCGGAGTGATCCATATTATGATAGCAAAGCTTGCTGACCATGTTGGCGCATTGGCCACTAGAGACCTATACGAACGATATATGCCTAAGCGAAAAGCGTTAAGAATAGGTGTAGGAAAGCATCTGCCATTCTGAAATCACATCCGAGTCCACGTTGCCTCGGAGTCCAAATAATCCTGCCAGTGACGCATCCCCGGGATCCAATACACCATCCCTCCAGGTGTTCCCAGCGCGTCTGACGAGGCCGTGTGCCGCAGAACCTGATCCCGAGGCTCAGTGAGTCTCAGGGACCGTATGTTGTCCCTCCTGGACAGCACTATCGTGCGCATTGTCCTCCCAGCCGTTCCCGGGAACCTCCCGACCTGCCGTATAGCCTCGTCCCAATACCGCAGCGCCCCCTCATGCTCGGACCTGGTGTGGTGAATCTTGGCCAGCACGAGGCAGATGCGCAGCTTGCCGAGTTTCATGAGGTTGTCCGCCCGCGACCCGGCCTCTGTGCAGACGCGCTCCGCCTCCTGAATCCGTCCCTGTGCGAAGAGAACCTCCGCCAGGGACGCCTCCAGCAGCGACTTGCCCGAGGCGGGCGGGTCCTGCATGCCATCTCCCCTTCGTGCGAGTTCTCGCCGCAGGTATACCTCAGCGGTCTCGGGCTTGTCGAGCTCTCGCAATGTGTCCGCCATCTCGCAGGTGAGGTCCCGCCGGTCTTCGTCGAAGCTGAGGTCCTGGAGCTGCTCGGCTAGGTCATGGGATCTCTTCACTTGGGTGTACGCTTCTGAGAACCTGCCCTGGGTTCTAAAGACCCGCCCGAGCGTCATGCCCCTGCGGAATCGCACGACTTGTTCCATGAGCGACGGCTCGTCACTGAGAGGGCGCCACTCCGCTAGAACCCGCTCGGCTTGGGGGAGGGCATCGACTTGGACGCAGTTCAGGGCCCGTTGCAGCGTCAAGTGGCCCAAGGCCGCATTTGTCCTCCGATCAGGAGTGTCCGGCTGTTGTTTATGGATGAAAGTATCAACAACATTGACAGCAGCTTCGTGATTGCCTTCGAGCCGGTGAAGCAGAGACTGTGCTGAACTGAGACGTAATGATAGATACAAGTGCTCAGCCTGGCCGCTGTTTAGGCCTCGTACCACTGCAGCCGCCTGAGAAACCACAAAACGTTTCCATGTCAAAGTGGGAAACCGTGTCGCTTCGAGAAGAGTAAGAACGAGGTCGGCTCGAGTGTCGGTACTTAGACGTTCACAGCAGTCTCCATAAGTTTGGGCGGCATACTGAAGGTGCGGCGTGATCGAAGAAGCATCGAAATTGCTATTTCTGACGTGAGCAGACATTATTATGACTTTCAAAGACTAGGCTAAAGACCGACCTGGGCTCGATGTACTTCCAAGAGCAGGCTCTGTACGCAACGATCAGAACCTGTGTTTCCCAGGAAGCCAGCGCCTCCGTGGAGAGGTCCCGGCGGATACGCTTGGCAGCCTCCACATCTAAGATGTAGGCCTGATCTGATCTCTTCAAGATGGTTGTTGATAGGGCACGGAGGGAGTTACTGAGCCTAGGAGGATCAGAGAGCAGGCCGGTGAGCTCAGGAGAGAGACCCGCTGTGATCGCGTCCACCTCTTCGATGCCGCCACCTGGAGTCCAGCGCTTCCGAGGTGACCCTCCGCGGAGGAGAAAGTCATGGGTGATTTTGTAGGACGGCGACAAGAATGACACCAGCAGCCCAAGAGATCGGGTATCTTCTGTTGTTAAATCACCCAATCCAGCACTCGTCTTTAAACCCATTTCAGCAGCGTTCGTGGGTTCTGATCCCGCGCTGACCTCGGAACTGCTGCCATCGCCAGTGAAAAGAGAAACTGCGAGCGGAGATCTTAAGTTCGGCATTGTGCTTGCCTGCTTGGGAAAGTAAAGTGCGACTGGAAGGGTCAGTATATGTTGAGCACGTGGAAGGGGAGAAACCAAGCAAGCGTGCAAACAACGTATGACTTGAGCAGTGTATTGAAGGCAGAGGTAAAATGTATACTCTTCAAGTTCATGAACTCGCTATCGAAAGCGATTCGGCGGCGAAGTTGACGTTCACTTTTGGATGTCTCTCCCAGCTTGACAATCCTGGGTGGTTGGCAGGATCTGAACCCAAGATCAAGTGGGCTCTTCACTGGGTCGAGCATGCAAAAAGAAAACCTCGTGATATCGTGCGGGGTTGCCACAAGACAATAAGCGAGGACGTTGAGGTTCTATGCCCAATCATCAACTCGGTGTGACGTTCACTGCATGTTGGGGGCGTTTTTTTTTTTTTTTTTGGTCTCTGAGACGAATGCCAGCATGGGGTTCTACATTTTGGCCATTGATAGGCGAAGAGACACGTCTTTCCCATGCAGCTTTGCCACCACATTAAGAAGATTTCACTCAGTGAGAATTTGACAGTAAACTTCGTGATCGACTTAAGGGTTGCAGTCATCGTTCGGGCATCATTAAGAGCTTGCATGTGGTTCCGGTGTTCTTGGAACTTTGGACATGTATAGTCCACATTTATAGATGCACGTAGTCTTCCTTGATCTTAACGACTATTAATCCTATTTGCTTGCGCCCAAAGTCTCAGGCAGGCAATGTCAGCCAGATTGTGGCCTTTCGGGGACTGACTAGTCATGGAGCGCTTTGACAACAAGCCCCCTCCACATCCGGCGTAGGTTCCAACAGCAGACGAGCTCATAGCAGAAGCAATCGAGTCCTCGGAAATCATTTTAACCCCTGAAGAAGCCTCCTGAGTGGGCATACTAAAGGCCGCCTACACCCGGTGTTTGCGCATGTGGCGTCGCTCTAAACCACGATAGACCCTACGCTGTTCTGGGAGTCCATTTGAATTAAGGGTCATGCTTCGCTTTTAATGTGCAAGTACTCATGAAGACAGGCGAGGGAAAATATTCGGGGACATTCTCTCGTCTCCATATGCATCAGAATTGGATTCCTAGTTTACTGGCTGGAATATTTCAGTATCCCACACACAGCGACGCACCGATGACCTTCTGCACCACACTTGGGTAGTCGGTCACTGCTCTTCAAGTTGATTACTGCATACTACATTATGGTGCGACAATTCCGGGGACAGTACCTTGTAAGCTTGAAAGGAGACTAGGATGATGGGCTTGGGATAGAAAGCAGGCACTCTTGATACTTGACGCTGTATCCAAGTACGTCGCGACTACATCATTTTAGTATTATCAACTCGCATGAGCATTTCGTCCGTTCAATACACAAGGAAATTTCAAATACACCAGAAGACTACGCATTATTAGTACCTTAGAAGTACGATACATGTTTGTCCACATCTCGACTTCATTTAGCGGCGTGTGTGAGTCTAATCTTGGCTTTATCCCACAAGTTCCACGTCACCACTCAGGCCGACTACGTCTCAAATCTCGTGACTTATATACGCCAGCTCTTGTACTCAGACTACAGGGCCGAATTCAGACAGAAGAGAAAATTAGTCCGTGGCTCCACGGTTTCAATACAATACGCCAGATCGATTGCCTACCGTCTTTCCAGGTTTGAGTAAGGTAGAAAACGAACTGTATGATGCGCCGCCGGACCTGAAACCGTCCAGGCTCCGATAGTGTTTGTCCGAAAGCCCCGATTCGCTTCTGTTATTTATACACTTGCTACTGGGTTCGGAGCGACGAGGCTGTATTTTTTTCGATTCGCGCTAGCGATGTGTTGTGTAACTTGTGGCCCAAGTGGCTCGCCTCGTATTCCGCCTCATATTCCACCTGCATTAATGGAGGAATGATTTCTGTGATCGTGTATCTGCAGCTGCTGTGGCTTGAGGCTTCCAAACGCTATTGAATTGGTGGCATGCGTGTAAGCGAAGCACCTGTTATAGTTAAGGCTAAACAGATATAGCTAAATCACTTTTGGTTGCATCGGTTGCTGCTTGAGCTCATTCCCCGTTCCAACAACCTTTGAAATTAGTGCCCCAGCCCCTTCCTCAGCTCCAACCCATCAACCCGAGTGGTAGTTCCCTCTCGGCCTGACCGTGTTCTCATACACGCTCTCTTTACAACGGAGAATGTATGATTTTTATTACGAGACGTTATTGGAGGACAGCTCAAAGTTCAGTGCTGTGGACAACATCCAGAATACGATTATCGAAGTTTCGAACTCTGGCGAGGTGAGTATGCTCGGTACAGGGCGGCTCCATAGCGCAAAGTCACTAAAATAAAGCGAGCTGACAGACTGGCAGCAGGATGGACTACCACGGCAACATTTAACCCATGAGTTGGTTGATGAAAACCACCTCCTGCAATGGCTCCGTCAATCGTGCCATAATGCGGCTTCGCATAGGCTGCAAATCATCATGGGGAGACCAGAAGAGCACACTAGTGATGCTGAGATTCTTCCTCTGCCGATGTCATCGGGCGCTTTCGAGAAGATCCAGTCGACATGGAGCTTCCCATCTGAGCTGCTGCGAATGATGCTTAGCACCATGCCTCTGGCCACGGAATTCGAAACGGAGAGCCATATAGGTGCGCGACATCTGGCGTATTGGAGGCGGTATATTTGATCTGAAGTAGGCTAATCCGTGCACGGTGGCAGGCCTCATGCTCAGGAGTGCGCGATCGAGAGACTGTAGCTTTTCGTTGGCCCTGATTTACGATCGGCATTCAGGAAGTGTGAGCGGCCTTCTTCAGGGCCTCCAAGAACACGAAGCTCAGAGACTGCTCTCCTCGCTACAGAAGTCCATTGATGTAGCCGAGGATCCCCTTCTCGTTGCACTCATCCTCTTCGAGATGAAAATCCATTTCTTCGCGTTGCTCCTAGAGAACCGAGCGAGAGGGTTAGAAGACCTAGAGGAATCGACAGGCATGACACACTTCAACACACAGAGCAAGGAGACCGATGAAGAGAGGGCCAAGAAGCTGAAACGACTGAGCTTCAGCGACATCACTCAGAAGCTTACAGGTATCGCTGGCACACTTGCGTTCTGTGAAATGACCTTCGAGTCCTGCCTACAAGGCATGCTTGTCGCAACGGAATGGCGCAACAAGATCATCAACCACTCGACCAAAGCAGAGAATGGTTGTCGCTGGAATGCTTGCGCGAGTATTGATCGGCGCGTAGCGTATATAAAGAGTCTGGCAGCTGGTGCAAGAGCGCACGGGAGAGTCTTGGAGGCGCGAAGAGCCGCGCAGGTCCAAACGGTAAAGTCTTCCAACATCAACCCGAGCCGGCAGATATGCCGAGGGTCAATCGTTCGCTTTCTACTGACGTACTGCATCGTAGGTCTATAGTCTGATCGGACAGCGGGACAACCGCCTGAACCACGACATGGCCAGGGACTCGCACCGCATCGCCGAGATCAGCTACCAAGACAACGCCGCGATGAAGACCATCGCCCTCCTTGCACGGCGAGACAGCACCGACATGCGCATCGTCGCATGGGCCACGCTGATCTTTCTGCCGGGCACGTTCACAGCCACGTTGTTCAGCTCGACCTTCTTCGACTTCCTCCCAGACGACAATAACCCGCGGATCGTGTCATGGTGGATATGGCTGTATTGTCTCGTCACCGTGTTGATCACTGGGCTTGTGCTCATCGGATGGTATCACTTTTCAAGGAGAAGCAGAGCCAAGACACAGGATGGAATGGAGAAATTGAAAAGCAGTGACGGTTTGGACAAATTCGGAACTCGGGGTGCATAGTTCACAGTTCGCAGCAGTCTCAAAGCTATTATGAATGCTTGGTAGATTATAAAGAGACACTTCAATGGTACATCCTCCCATATGGAGGCTCTTCTGGCCAAACCAGAGGTGCTTCCACGGGGCAGTGCGTATCAAGTAAAGTTTGAGATTATTGGAAGCCCAAGATGTCGAATTTGGTGCCATGTGTTGGGAAATCTCGGGATTTTGCCAATCCAATTATTGTCCTCATCTCTTTTGAAACCAAAAGTCCCCCATATGTGCCTGATATATAATTTTGAATGAATTTAATTTGCATTTGATGAGCTCTTGAAGTATATCATATCAACAGTGGAAGACCTTTCACCGCACATTCGAAACAACTACTTCTGTTTCCCACGAGCCTTATTCACATGATCAAACGGTTTTGACCGCAGTCATGTACAGATCTGCGAGCCTCAACTCAGCCTCCCAACCGTGTACGCACCCGGGATATTCGCCAAGGGCGTCACCTTCGGCACACTCTCATACTCGGTAATCTCCACCGTCCCATTCGCCAGAACCGGCATCTTCCTCACGGGCATCAACTCGCTGATCTGCTGCGCGATGCTCAGCAGGTGACCCTCGCTCCACGGCAAGCCCAGGATCTCCATACCAATCGGCACGCCGATAGGCGTGTCGGAGCTCGGGGCCGAAAAGCCGGCCGGGACGACGACCACGGGGCTGCCCGTCAGCGCGGCCAGGATGCCGTTGCGGCCGGACTGGGAGGGTGAACCAACTTTGACGACGAGGTTCTTCTGCTCTGGGTAGATCAGGGCGTCGAGCTTGTTTGTGGAAAAGGTCTTCTGTAGTGTGTTGGCGAGATTTTGAATACCCCGTTGTGCCGTGAAGTAGCTAGCGTTGGACGCGGACGAGATGAGAGATTTGTTGACGAAAGAGTACTGGTTTGGTATGACAAGGAACTTTCCGCTGGTGTAGAGGTCCTCGAAAGTGGCGGGCTTGTCACCGGTCAGGTTGGGTCCCGCTAGGTACTCGTCCAACAGCTCGCGATATTCATAGGCCTGTACATCCAGCGCCGAGCTAATCGCCGTGGCGTTGTAGGCGGCCTCGGTGATGTTAACGACATCTACGCCGGCCACTTTCAGTCTTGTCACCATGGAAGCCATTACTTCATTCACAGGCGTTGTCTCCGCCGAGTCGGTGAAGTTGAAGAACCCCTGGACCAGACCAACCCTCAGCCCCTTCAACCCAGGCCCCCCACGCAGGGCAGCAACATAATCTCTACCCGCGACCTCGGGCGGGATTGACGCCGTGGCATTATCGCGCGGATCATACCCAACGCTAGCCATGACCGTCATAGCGACAGCCAGATCTCGCACTGTCCTAGCCATCGCGCCGACGGCGTCCTGCGTAAAACTGATAGGGATCACTCCGGCGCGGGAGAGGAGGCCCCTCGTAGGGCGAAAGCTGAACAGCGAATTGGACGCGGCCGGGCTTCGAAGGCTGTTGACGGTATCTGTGCCCGTGGCGAACACGGCCAGGTTGGCGGCCACGGCGGCCCCCGAGCCGCCGCTGCTGCCGCCGGGGGTGCGCGTCTGGTCATAGGGGTTGAGCGTCTGGCCGCCCAAGGACGACACGCTGAGGCCCTCAAGGGCGAGCTCGTGCATGTTCGTCTTCCCGAGGATTATAGCGCCCGCCGCCTTGAGGGCTTCAACCGTCGGTGCATCCTCTGTGGGCCTGTTACCTGCCAGGGCGAGGCAGGAGCCGGTGGTGTTCAAGGGCACGGCATCGTAGTTGTCCTTGACGAGGACGGGGATGCAGAGCAGTGCGCCTGTGGTGTTCCCTTGTGAGATTTGGAGGTCCACACTATCTGCCACTGCCAGTGCTTCCGGGTTTAATGCTGTGATGGCATTAATGGCAGGGTTGAAAGCCTCTGCTCGCGCAAGGTACGATGACACTACTTCGCGGCATGTTGTCAAACCCATGAAGAGGGCGTTATGGATCCCGTCGATAGTGGCTTCTCTGACATCAAAGGGGTCGTTGAGAGCTTCTGAGCCGGCTGGATAAAAACAGAGGAGCAGGAACAGAAGCACGCTCTGGAATATGGGAGGAGCCTTCGTATGGCTGTTCATGATGAACTCTGGGAGACTACACAGAGCCAAGGGACCCTTGTTCTCGGGAGAGAGCTTTAGAAAGATGGAAAACCCGCTGGTATGTAGGCTCCGGGTCTACCAGAGTCCGGCGAAATGTCACGATGGCGACGCAACGCACCCAGCAGCCCTTTTGGGTACGAGCATCCTCCTAAACACATCTTGGGGGGAGGAGAGGGGGGTTCAGTGGGTGGCCGCTGATAAGGAATGACGTTGAGCAAGACTGCCGAGTGGGTGTGTCCGGTGCCGGTGCCGGGTCATGGATGCATCTCCGCTTTGTTTATCGGCTCGGCGGCCATTTGAACGACTGGCTTGGCGGCCGGGACAATGACCATTTTCAGGGGAAACTTGAGCTGCTCACACAGCCCAGTGTGTGTGTGTGAAGTTATCATCACGCAGGCTGACCTCTTCATAAATACTCGTTGCTGTGATCCCCCCTTGCAGAGAGGGCGAGTTTTAGCCATAGTGACGGCACACCAGCCGCAACTGCTTGAAGACACCAACTCGATGCCGTCCCTGGTGGCGTGAATGGTGCAGGAAGGACTGTAACATCGTGCGCGTCTGAATTGATATAATAAGATAGGCACGTAAAGATCCGGTGATGGGGTTTTGGTTTGTGTCAGGGGCAACTCGAGTCTCTCTCTACCTGTCATGCTTCAAGTCTCAAGAAAATGGTGGCATTCAACGAATGTGCGGCCAAATATGGAAAACAAAATTAGACAGAGACGAAAAAGAAAATGTACGAGGGAGCGGCGTGTACAGCGAGCTTTGCGAAGCATGACCTACCACATCCAGGGAAGTTCCCCGTCCATGACGACCCAAGTTGACGGCACTGCCACGTAGGCCCAGGTACGTGCAGCTCCAGACGAGATGACATTGGGAGGAACCCTGGTGGGGAAGCCGGAGAACCAGACTTGATTGCCAATGGGAATGGCATGGCCATGGCTCAATATTTGCGGCGAACTCAACTGGCGACTGACGGACAATCCAGGCTCCCAAGCAAAAGGCAGAGCACTTGCGAGGCGCGACCATGTGGGGCCTCTTCCCGGTGAGGCTTATTGGGCGGGTGCCTGCTTCCTCCAGTCCGACCATCTTCGGGAAGTAAATGATGAGGATGACTGGCCAGACCAATTAGAAAATGCAGCGCAACAGCTTGCGATACCATGCAAACCGGGCGATGAGGTACGGGTGATTCCACACCGGTGGATGTGGATGTGGATTTGTCATGTTCTGGCAGCCTGGCAGGCTCAGAATCGGAAATGCCGCAGAGGATCCTGCATTGCTTCTTGTTTTTTCTTCCTTTTTGGGAGCTCACGATGATCTCGGTTGGGAGTGAGGCTGCAGCTGCAGATGCAGCTGAACGACGACCCGCTCGCTCCATGTGGCCCCGGGGCCTGGAGTTGAGAGGAGCCGGCGACTCATGGCGCTCGGCTGCGGCCAAGTCGACCTGCTAGTTGCTGCATCTGAGACAAGCAAGGTGCAATCTCCAAGCCAGGAGCCAGGAACCAGGAACCGAGTCTTGGCTTCTTTCTTCTTTGCACAATGACATTGAGTCGTTATCTCCGGGCACGACGTGGCTTTGTGTGCATGTGACGGGTGAGCTGGTGGGTGACTGTGTTGCGCACCGAGAGAAGAGACTGCCAAGGATGGGGCTGGTGACGAGATCTCAGTAATGCCTGTCCGGGCCCACTCTTCGGCGAGATTAACGAGGTGGCCAGTGCTTCCTCCCCTGCTCCACATGTTTGTCCTGTCTGCAATCCATGATCGTCCAGGTCCCCTCTCGCCTTCTCATCTCTCATGCCTTTCCTGATATGTACCACCACCCAGCGCAGGCATTGCCTCCTCCCTCCAGATGCAGTAGTCTCGAGACCACAATCGACGCCTGTGTGACGATTGCCGGGGGTGGGATGGGTAACATCGTGTCGATGGCATTGGCTCCAGCCTCGACCTCGAGGACCACTCGGCTGCCTCCGACACTCTACTCACAACCATCGAGTCCTGTCGTCAGGGCATGCAGTTCCGAGATAGCATCCCTACGAAGCTAGGAGGGTAGACACCCCGCATTGCACCGCCTGCGCGCATGGACGCCCAGGGCCTGAGTCGTACAGCACCTGCATATCTTCACACCGGCATATGACTGCTGTGACCCTGTTGTTTACCGTCAACAATCAACCTGAATGACCTCAAGGCCGTCGTCCACGCCCTCGTTCATCCAGAAAGCGTATTTCAGACTGAACGACGCCTGCTTGTAGACTACTACTAGCGGGTCTGGGCCCCAGGAACGTCTGTTCGCTCTCCACGTTGGATCTGGTGCCAAGCAACGCCTCCGACAGGACCGCCGCGGACACCGTCGGCCGTTGCCTTGAGAACAGACCTTTTCAGCCCTGAGGGGCCCTTCTTCTCACGGCTCGAGGGAACCGGATTGACACTGCGCATGCACGCTTGGATCCCCTGGCCTTGTCTCCCTATGCCTCCCTACGGGGCAGATACCGGATCTCAGTACCGGATCAGCGGTGCGATCCGATTCTGGTTATTTCCAGCGCCCTGGGTCCGTGGTTACATCGCAGGACAACCTGCAGTGCCACAATGCCACAGTACCACTGACTACGTCTCATCTTCTGCGGCTCTACTCCTAGCTATCACGTTCGTCCACTCCCGAACCAAGAGACATTCGCCGTCCTCAGCATCGCTTGTGCCACCTCTCCAGCAAAGCTGGCGGCGCCTCACACAGCCGCGTGCACGCGAAGAGAACGTAGCTTATTTAAGCACCGGTGAAAGGTGTTGCCTTGGGTGACCACCAATCTCTGAGCGAGCGCAGTTCCTCAAGGAGGCAGTCCCGATGCCCCCCAACCCCAACACCAACACCAAAATTTGATGCTGGGGTTTTCAAACACCTACCCTCTCTAGGACTCGTGTTGAACGCCTCGCGACAAATGAGAGAAGTATTCACCCATTGAGCCAGCAAGCTAATGCACGGCCGAGTGCTCGACATGTCATGCAGAGATTCAGTCCAATCACTGGCCCATGCCGGACAGCCAGGTCCCAGCCGATCCTCCCGCTAACCATGCCGAAGCTAGGACCGGGGGCTGTCAGATGCGCGGCTTGATGATCTGGAGCATCGTAGACAGGTGATCAAGGACTGGGGATTTTCAGTGGATATCAACCCTCCTCATTATTATGATTACCAGTATAATTATGGACCTGCTAGCCTCGAATCGTCACGCCAAGAGCGACGCATGCGGGAGAGCGGGAAAAGCCAAATAAATGAGCTGAACTCGAGGCACCAACAATGTCGAGGACGGGTCCATGATAATGTGGGGGAAGAGGGAGGCTTGCCCGAGGCTGGAAGGTGCCAAAATTTGAAACTTCCGCATCTCTCTTTTGCACAGCCTAGTGGCATCTGGTCCCAGTGGACCTAAAGCGAGAGGAAAAAAAAAAAAAGAAAAGGGATTGGCGATCATGACGCTCGCGGGTAGCATCCGCCCTCCCTCACGAGGGAAAGAGGCAAACACTCTACCCGGGGATGAGGCTGCATGGCTAGCACCCTCTAGACGCTCGTGGGTCCCAGGAGGCGCGATCCATCGTTTGCTGTGTACTCAACTCAACAATCCAGACTGGACGGGCGCTGAGCATGCAGGATATCTTGTGGCATCTTCCGCAAAGCTCGTCACCCCTGGCCCACACCCTCCCGATCGACCTAGTTCTTCTCTTGACCCCGTCCACATTCTAGCCTTTCTGGCTAGACGACCCACCCTTTCCGCCATCACTCCCCTGAGTTAGCCTCCATTCACGAGGCTTGCCGTCCTTGGGGATGGATGGGCGGAAAGGTCCTCGAGGCCATGGACTATATTAACAATAGTCCTCCCGTGTCCTCGTGGCTGATGGTTCTGTCCATTCCCGCCTGACTGGATATATTGTGAAATCAAGTTGATATCTCTTATGTGCCACCTTCACAAGCCATTCGTTCATCATAACCTCCCTCTAAAGCGCAGTGTCCTGAATTCCGCTGCCTTTCCTTCCCACCTCTGATTCACTTTCATCCACCTGTCTGCTCAGATCCGCAAACTCACTCAATATGGGTTTCCTCAGTCTTGGTTACCGTCGACCCGCCCGGGTGGACCAACATCGACAGTCTCTCGACTCCACAGACGAGTCCCTCCGATCTGGCAGTTCTGGTGCCTCAGCTGGTATCCCGGCGGCCCTGACCTTCGACAAGATACTCGATGGTGGCACCTGCCCGGTAAGCCGCTCTCACCAGAAAACCCACCAAGACACCCGAGGTTTCTGACACTCCCTGACCAGCCATGCACCATCCGCGACTTCATGAACTACCTCATCTATGTCGAGATGTCAGCCGAGAACCTGCAATTCTTTCTGTGGCACCGGGACTATGTTCAGCGCTTCCATAGCGCAACCACCAGTGATATAGCCCTCGCTCCTGAGTGGTCACAGGAGGAACAGAACGAGACGTTCAACAAGCTACAGAAGGAGCACCGTGATGGTCTCAAGCGCGACCCGGCTGCCACGGCCGCCATCTTCAAGGGAACGGATTTTGAGAAGTCTGGAACCATGAGCCCTTCAACCATCGACAAGCCAGCCCCCATCTTTCCAAGTAACAACCCATTCAACACACCGCCGCGTACGCCTAATGGTGATACCATGTCGAATTTCACGGGCCAGAACGCGATGACCTATCGCAGCCAGGCCCAAGAGGCGTTTGCGTCGGCGGGAACCAAGGCGCCTTGTAAGTGACAGGAAACACTTGCTGCTTGCACGTACACGTACACGCACACAAGCAGATAAGAAAAGGGTGCTGACAGGAAATGAAATAGTCACCATCCAGCCTTTCCGCGAAGAGATCGACCGTGTGATAGCAACATACGTGATGGATGATGCGCCGCGACAACTAAACCTCTCGGCGCGTGAACGAAAGCAACTGCTCATCGCACTCAGCCACACTACGCACCCAACAGCGTTCCGCCAGGTAGCATGGTCGGTGGAGAGCACACTCCGAATGCAGGCACACCCGAACTTTATTAGATGTTAGTAGAGGTCTTTTCCTCTCAGTTCCCCCGTCTATTGTGCTTTGCACTTTTTCCAGAACACATTACTTGAGTCCCCGTAGCAGGCCACTGACACACACCAGGGAGTATCTGCAACGGCAACACCGCGCGCGTCAAGTTCGCCAACCTGCTCGGGGCGTTCCTGATCGTGGGCTCCCTAGCGGCGTTCGTGCTCCTCACGCTGTCATCAGTGCCGCGCGGCTTCCGGGCCATCCCGGCCGTGGGCTTCGTGCTGGGCGTCAGCACGCAGGTGGCGGCGCTCAAGGGCATGTGCGTGGTCCTGCACGGGATGCACCACCGGCACGTGCGGCCGTGGGAGCTGTTCGTCGACGAGGAGATGCTGGACGACATGTCCTCCACCTCCGGCGGCGACGGCAAGCCCGCACAGCACGGCAAGAAGTCGTTTGACAGCTTCGGCAGCTCAAATAGCTACGAGGACGAGCCGTGGGTTGTCAACTATCAGAAGCGCAACATCGTGCGCAAGGTGTTTGACCGCGAGGTGTGGATCCAGGAGCCCGCCCTGAGGAGTATTCAGGACACCATCTTCGTGCAGGCTGTGCTTCTGGCGGTGGTGTCTGCCGGGGCGCTGACGGCTGTTTTTGTGTGTGTGCCCGGTGGGTACTTTTATTGATCGGGGGGAAGTGGCTGGGAGTCTCACTCGGCGCTCCCTTGTATTTGCTTGTTGGACAGATATTCCTAGCTGTCTGGAGCGTTCTTCAGGATTGTATGGCGTATTGTACGGATTCTTTGTGTGTATAATAATTCTTGGAGTTTCGTGGTCTTTCCGGGCTGGTGTTCGAGCAATGGGGGAGGGATGGATGTAATATTAATGGATGGGATTTACGACTGAACGGCCTAGGGGAGACTCAACTCAAGCAAGGTTTCATCAAGTGTGCATGGCTGCGGCTTCCTTGCTGGCCTTCGGAGTATGGAATACAATGTTTTTGTCAAACAGAGAATGTTTCATGGCCTCTCACACCCACCACAGCAAGGCCGGACCAAAAGTGAGCCAGCGCAGAGAGGACGCGGCAAATCTGGCCAGGGTAGTTATGCGTGCAGGAGCCATACTGCCTTACAAACCACCTAGGTATTGGTTGAAGGTACTTGCTGGCTGTGCCAGCGAAAGTCTATATGCTCCTAATGCCCGTAAACTTGACCACAAGCAAAGGCACCCGTGGCCACCTACCTAGCTTACAAGTTAGTTATCCCTGAGGGGCGAAGAAGTTATAGAGGTAATCCGGAAGATTGTAGAGCTAGCCCAGATTTTCATGAAATGTCATCTCAGTTCCATACGATTTTTAGGAAGGGGATGCTGGCTGTACAATCACCTCGGAGTTGCGATTGCGCAGTCGGAGGTATCGAACTATGGGGATGGCTTGATAGGAAGGACAAACCTTGCTCGGCCATTGACAGGTTAGTCCACGGCGCGGACTTTTGTGACAGGCACAGATCCAGACCATCAGACGACCCCTCTGCGCACTCCAACAGAGCCCCCGCTCCCCTGGCAGCCGACCCCTGGTCCCTGGAGCTTCCCCAAGCAAATCCGTCGTACCTCGGGTCGTCGGCGGGGTGTCCAAGCTCCACAGCAGCTTTTTGGGAGATCCGATCGGGGGTCACAAACCTGGAAATTCGACATGGCCATCCGGTCAACCGGAGCAGCTGACGGGCCACTGCCACTGCCACTGACTGTGTAGTACATGATACATAATCCGTCCGGGAGCGCTGCGTACAGCATGTGGCTGGCACTTGACCGACGTTCGTTCCCCGAATCCAATTGACTCACGGCGATCATCGCCCATCGCGATCCCTGCATCCACCGAGATTATCGCGAAGCCCGCGCGACTCGACTGCGACAGTCACAGCCCCGTTCCTGGCGTGAACCCGACCTGGCAAACCACATGCGCTGAGCACACAGATATCGCCTCGCCCTGTTGTCCTCTTGCCGGCAGCAGAACCACTCAGCCCAGGCTTATCTCCGTCCAGGTGGGTGTGACGTCGCGCTCACTCCCCGTGACCCTCGACCACAAGCCGGCAACATGACGGAGCGGGAGCCCCAGCTGTCGCACTCGGGCGACGATGCGACACCAGCCGGAACAGGGGCCAGGAGCACCGGCGGCATCACAAGCGGGGACACAAGCGAGAGCGCAACCGCAAGTGGTAGTGGAAGTGCCATCCTGGACCCGGCCGTCGACGCAGAGCAGATAGGAAGGCCCAGGACAGCGACCACCACGGCCGAGATCGACAGCACCATAATACACCCGGGCAGCGTTAAGATCAATGTCAAGGGCGCCTTTATCGTGGAGCAGGACTCGGCGACCCCCGTGGCCCAGAGCTTCAACGGCGGGAGGGGGTCGCCCGACCACCACCAGACCAAGGACATAAGGCTGCCCAACCACACAGCCGTGGTGAGCCACATAGCAGTGGACGTGAGTAGCCCTTGACAACCTCCTCCAGGCACCTGCCACCACCGCCCCGCCCGGCCAGCGCTGACAGCCTCTGCGAGACGCACAGATCGGCGGGTCCCTGGCCAAGCTCGTCTACTTCTCGCGCGAGGGCTTCTCCACCGAGCCCGGCGGCCGCCTCAACTTCACCATCTTCGAGACCGACAGGATAGACGACTGCATCGCCTTCATGCGCCACCTCAAGGAGAACCAACAGACCCTCAACGGCTCCAACCCCGGCCAGCTGATCGTCATGGCCACCGGCGGCGGCGCCTACAAGTACTACGACAAGATCCGCGACGTGCTGGGCGTCGACGTCATCCGGGAGGAGGAGATGGAGTGCCTGATAATAGGCCTGGACTTCTTCATCACCGAGATCCCGCGCGAGGTCTTCACCTACAGCGAGACCGACCCCATGCACTTCGCGAGCCCCGAGGAGAACATGTACCCCTACCTGCTCGTCAACATCGGGTCCGGCGTGTCCATGCTCAAGGTCTCCGGCCCAAGGGATTTCCAGCGCGTGGGCGGCACGAGCCTCGGCGGCGGCACCCTCTGGGGCCTGCTGAGCCTGCTCACCGGCGCGAGGACCTTCGACGAGATGCTCCACAACGCCGCGCTCGGCGACAACTCCCACGTCGACATGCTGGTGGGTGACATCTACGGGACGGACTACGGCAAGATCGGCCTGAAGAGCACCACCATCGCGAGCTCCTTCGGCAAGGTGTTCAAGATGAAGCGCGAGGCCGAGAGCGAGGCCGAGGACATGGGCGGCCTGAGCAACGGCGACATAGACCACGCTCTTCACGAGCAACGGCAGCAGAACCAGCAACAGACACATCATCAACACCCAGCAGCACCATCATCATCATCCGGCCCTGGGCAACCAGCACCAGCGCCGGCAGACACATCGCGCTTCTCCTCAGCCGACGTGTCCCGCTCCCTCCTCTACGCCATCTCCAACAACATCGGCCAGCTGGCCTTCCTGCAGTCGCAGGTGCACGGGCTGGAGCGCATCTACTTCGGCGGCTCCTTCATCCGCGGCCACCCGCAGACCATGAACACGCTGTCGTACGCCATCAAGTTCTGGTCCAAGGGCGCCAAGCAGGCCTACTTCCTGCGCCACGAGGGCTACCTGGGCGCCGTCGGGGCGTTCCTCAAGCGGCAGCCGCGCAACTGGGGCCGCAGGGGCAGCTTCGAGGAGGGCGGCAGCGGGAGCCTCGGCCTCGAGAGCAGGATGAAGGGCCGCGCCGACGACAGCATCGAGACGCCCCAGCCCGTCATGGAGTACCCCGGGACCGCGTCGACGGCGTTCGCATATCCTGGCACGCTGCCTAGTGCATAATCCTCGAGTTGATACCATACCCAGACGCTGCTGTTGATCTGGGGGGGCCGAGAATCTGTCACCCCCAGACAATTCTGGTGTGAGAACCGATGTATTGGAAGACATTGAATAGATGAGCAGCACAAACCGGCAGATATCCCGGTTGCTGCACACAGACTGCAGGGCACCTGAGGGTTGCACTCTTACTTCTCATCCTTAAGCTAAAATAATATCTTGCTTACTCGCATTCTTGCTGCAACAAGTAGAAGATGTAGTATCACTTGGAGTAGAATAATAAAGCGCCATGCACAATATGTCTAGAACCAGTTGCGAGGCGCGCAGAAGGGGCAGAGCCGCTGCAACTATCTGCAAGACAACCCAAAGGAAAATCTCAAAGAGAGCGCCCCAAGTCCAGAAGTGAGAGAACTCCGTGCGGTTCCGTGCTAAGCCGGCCAAGTGAGCCACGCATATATCAGTCTCAATTGTCACCAAGATCCATCTCCTCATCGAAGTCGTCGTCGCCGTAGAAATGCCGGTCCCCAAAGACATCAGGCTCTTCTTCGTCTTCGTGCTCTTCCAAGACGATCGGGCGGGAAGCAGCCGAGCCAGGGGCCGGTCGCGGCGACATCCGGGCAGAAGCAGGTCGCGGGCCAGGAGACTGCTCAGCCAGTACGCATGGCCGACCCTGGTGGATCTGCTGGTGTTCCCGTGAGAGGCCCGGGACAGTATGCAGCCGACACTGGCCGGCCTCGTCATTCTCCTCAATGCTGTCGCCGATGTGGTCGTCGGACGAGGGCCGGGTACCCTCGTCCTCGGCCACTCCGACCTTCTCCTTGTGCCCGTACAGGCGCCGGCCCAGCTCGTCAAGGTCCCGCTCGGGGACGAACGGCATCGGGCGGACCTCGACGGGGACGCCGCAGTGCTCCAGCTCCAGCTCTCGCCCGGACACCATGCTGATGGTGCCCCTGCCGCCGGTCACCTGCACGCTGCCATGCCCACCGTCAATCATCTCGGGTCGCCGTCGGAACGTCTTGTTAACGGGCCTCGCGTTCGTCTCACAGCAGTGGTGCCTGACGGTGGCGGGGATGATGCACAGCCTCTTGTCCGCGATGTCCCTGCCCGCCAGGAACCTGAAGACGCAGTGGACCGCGTGCGCCGCGCCGATGGGGCACTCGTGGTCCGGCCGGTGATAGTGCCGCGGGTACGGGTTCTCGAGGCTGGGCCGGTTGGCGTGGAAGAATACGCGGTGCGGCGTGGGGCACCGCTCCCCCAGGTTGCATATGTCCGCCGGGGGCTGTGTCCCCGTCATTGCTCGTTAATATACACCGCCTTGCTTCTTGTTCTCTCGGAGAGAGGGAAGTGCGGATTGACGTACCGGACCAGCCGGGATAAGAGGCTTGCACTTCCGGGCTTTCTTGGCTTCGACCACGCGTTGGAGCTCTTGCATTTTCCTTCTCACGTCTGGGTCATCTTCACCCTCGTTGAGAGGGAGGCTGATGCTGAAGTTCGGAGACGCATCCTCTGAAAGTTCCTCTTCAGGTGGTGGCGTGGCCAAGCTGATGCTCTGGTCCGGGACGCTCCCGACCTGCGGCATTCCCGTATTCGACGGGGTTGCAGTTGGTCTTTGAAGCCCCATCTCGAAGAATGTTGGAGCCACGGCTGCTAGACTGCGATGGAATAGTTCAGAGGTCCTCCGCTTTCCGTCGGGAAGTGCTGTCAAATTTTGGTACTTGAAGGAATCCTGCTCCACAATCTCCCGGAGTTCGACCCTTTCGACGGTAGTGGCATTGTCACTCAGACGTAAACGCTGAACAATGGCTAGGAGGTATATTTTCCTATCCTGCTTTCTCACTGGGGGGCCGGAGATGGTCAAGAGTTCCTCCTCGTCCTCACCGCAGTCGATCTTGCGGAACTTTGGGATCCAGCACACATCGTCAAGTGCCACGGTTATGGCCGCCCCCGTGCGCAGATTCACTGCAGCGATATTGGTCTGGTCCCGAACTGACACGTTCTTGTCCTCGCGGGCTGTCTCTGTCAGCCAGACTCGATCACCTTTGCGGTACCCTCGATCCGGTTGGGGCTGGATGAGGACCCCGTGGGCGTAGGTGCTGTGAGAACCGGAGCTGACTCTATTGACTTGGGCTGCTGGTTTGAAGCTAACTTCGTTCTTGTATTGGCCCTGGTCCTGCCGAACGAGAATCGCAGTACTGGGCTGGCGCTCAGGTGAGACAGGAGACTGCAGAAGAACTGTGCTAGAGCCGTCGAGGTAGACAGGGCGATAGTAGTCGACCTCGATGGTGATCTCGACCGTCATGACTGATCATTGAATATTGTCTCGCAAAGGTGGTGGCGCATGTCTGGGAGGAGAATATTCCAGAAGAGTTTGGGGAAAAGGGACATCCATACTCAGACGGCGACGTATCCTGGGTCTGGTGTGGTTACATTGATGACAGTACATGAACTCTCCGTCGGTCTCTTGCCATGCATTTGAACATGCAGATAGGGCCGAGGGTGCGCAACTTGTCCTATAGACAAATGCATGTCTAAAGCCAACGACCGGGATTGTGGTGGAGTCTGATCAAGAGGAGCGCCGGCTGGCCATCAACATCTGAACCTGGTCCGGGGCCAATGAAGCGACCCTACTGGCTGTGGAAGAGCCGAAAAGCAATTCGTAGGGACCCCTGACACAGAGCCATACGGTATGCCATGGTATCAGACTAATCAATGTATGTTTAGCAAGTGCCTGCGAGCGCCGATGGGTATCTCCGTCTCGAGTGCGGAGCGATCTGAATCCAGCCTAGGTCAGGCCGACACGCCCGAAATTTCGGGGGCCGCAGTACACAGCCCAACGCGAGTGGCAGGAGGTTGCACTTTCCAAGACACCACGAGAGATGTCCCGATCTGACCAAGCTCGTGCGGGCCGTTGGGAAGCCTCCCATCCCCTGACCTGGTCGAGAGTACGTGACGCAGAATCGCTGACTTGTGTCTCGTATGCAATTAGAGGGGTTCATTTGATGGCTCCTGTAACTGACTGCTAGGAGCACTAGCATTTGGACGCACTTTGCCGCTCCATTGTGCGGGCCAGCTGAGGCAGTACCGGGGATGGTAAGATTCGTCGTGCCTTGAACAGCGCTCCTGACTCATCCATTCTTCTTGCCGTCGTTGCCTCGCTCCTTCTCCCGCTTTTCTTTCTTCGACAGGACCTCCGCGATCCACTCCTCGACCTGCTGCTCCGCAGCCGAGTCGACGACGCCGTCCACCCCGTACAATGATGCTCTTGCCTTCCTCCTGAGATCCTCAATGTTGGATATGTCAAAAGCCCACATGAACCCGCCCGTCATCATGACTCCAAAGCTGAAGACATTCAGTGTTGCCAGGCCCAGAGCCTCTACCGCCACGAACGCGTCGTCTCCCTTGTCCTTCTGTCCCCGCGGTGGTATTACCGGGCCGTGATGACTCGGATGGAACATTTTCGGCGCCGACTCGACCATCCGGCGCGCAACAGCGCGTCGCGTGATCAAGGTCGAGAGGGTGAGAAAGCCAGCCCCGGCAGCAAACAGGCCCAACTGCTTTGCCGAGCGGCGGAATTGTTCTTCTGGTGAGTGCTGCGGCTGAAGTATCTGGGTTTGGGAGGTCGGCTGCGGTGGTGGTGGTGGTGGAGGAGGTCGTGCTTGCGTGGGCTGTTGCGTGGGCGGTTTGGCGGGCTCGTCAGTTCCCATCCATGACGAGAGGAGCTTGGCCAGGATAGGCATTCCTGCGTTGGTTCGAAGCCAGCAATGGGGCTGCAAATGGGCTTTGGAGTATGTAGATTGGCCTTGAGGAATCCCGCCACCGTGACGAGCACGTCGATTCCGTTTTTTAATCGGTTTGTTCAGTCGGTAGCAAGTTTGCTCCTCGAGTTGGGGTCGGTCGGCAAGCTTGGGGAAGGTGCACCTTCGTACCCCTCTATATGCAAATATCGGATAACCGCATATAAGCCATCGTCTCTCAAAAGGGATCACATACAAGATGTGCTGCTCTGTGCTTGGAAACTGCAAACAGCATGACCAACCACACACGCATTGCTTCTGCCCTCCCGAAGGAAGCAGAACTAGAATGCAAGCAAAGGAGCCACTCCCAGCGTCCTCACCTACAGCCCGTGGTATAGAATCCAAGCCCTTGATCCACCCAGCCAGCAGGTACCCTCCCAATCCCCCGCCGCCCACCATCACTGGATGTCCCACGTGTTGAGCCTCCCCAGATTCAGAAATACTTCGGGGTGATCTACACGGCACAGGTCAGCTACTTCTCGGCCCCATATAAGCACCACGTCCAGGGTATCGCACCTTTTCGCTGCTTTATGCAGGCCTCATTGGCCACTTGCAGATGGCCATACAAGTCCGGGTTGTAGTAAAAGTGCGGCGTCAACTTCCGCAGTCCATGTGGCACGAAACGTCTCGGGCATTGGTGGTGGGGTGAGGTCAGCCCTGCTCTTGTCCGCTCCTTGGAACGGGCATAGGTGACCTCGCTGTCGAGGATGAAGTGTTGCTGCAGATCGCCCTGTTTCAAAACCTCGGACATCTCCTCGGTATATTCCCGAAGGCTCTCGGGGAACGAGAGGTCGGCGATGACGTAGACTAGTCGGAATGTGTGCTTCAAGTACTCATGCCGCACATCTCGCGATCGGGCGTGCTTCTTGTCGAAGGCCTCGGCGCCGATACTCTCCTCCCAGAAAGCGAGGGATTCCCGCACCTGGACCAGGCACTTGATCCGATGCTGGTAGTGTGTGAAGGCAGCATCGGCGCTGCCTGACCTCGCCAGCTTTTTCAGGCCTGCAATTACCGTGAAAGCTTCGACCAGATGTCGCCCAGCACAGCGGCAGAATGCTTTGAGTGTCGTGTCTACCTCATTTGTTGGCCTGGCTCTCTCCTGCTTGGCTTGTAGGGCTCTGATGCGCCCCACTTCTGGTAGGGTATCAAGCCGATCGAGAGCATACCGGTTAGATATGAAAGGCAGATCTTCTGGCTGACGATCTGGATTCCCGTGGCCGAGAACACGAAGGCTCTCCTCCAAGTAAATGTCTCTCAGGGTGCTAAAGTTCATGATGTCGACGATGACCAGGGGATCAAGGGATCGGTGTCCAGTTGAGGTCTAGGCTCACGGTGGGTTCCGCGCCACAGCCTCATGGACCGGCTTGCAGGAAGCTTGGGATGATATAGCACAACCGTGATGAGAAGCGGCAGACATCACAAAGACAGACCATGCTCACTACCACTGCGTGATCAAACAGGCAAGACGGGGCCCAAGGGCATTCATGTCCCATCCCAGCGAAGTCGAATCTCCGCCAAAGAGGTCCCGCCTGGCGAAGTACATTTAGCAGCGTGCATACGTGTAGAATTCCGGACGAGGGCCACTCACTAGTGGTCCTCCCCTCTGTTGAAGCATCGTCCAGTGTACTCCAGCCAGCCAGAAAAGCAAAATGTGAACCCACCGTCAAGGTCTGAGCGCTTGAGGCGGCTTGGAGACTTAGACTTCTGCAGGCGACTGATCGTCGCGTGTCACTGCTGAAGAATTTGAACAAGCGCAGGGCAGCGCAGGGAGCCTTTCTCCCTGCATAGTCCAGTCCATGTGTCTGCCCAGGCAGTTATTTCAGGCTCAGGCTAGTCGGTCCAATGGAAGCGTCGTGATTCCAGGCCGTTGCGAGCAGAAATGGGGCGTCTGAGATTGCCGAGGCGGGGAAACGGGACATGTCACAAATGTGTGGTGCCACACGAGCTCCTAGTAATGTTTGATGCAGGCCATTGTATTCGAGGTCGTTGCTTATGTGGACTTTTAACTCAATTTGCGGTGGTCCGGTGGTCAAGGTACCGTCGAGGTGGTCGTGGCAGAAGAAGCAAGTCGACCTCTGCAGGTGAGGGGGTGGATGGGTGGAACGGTTCCAGGTTGAGGAAAGACCCTGTCTGACAAGCTCAATGCCGCAAGCACACTAACACAGCCTGGTTCCTGCTGTACGCACAACTAACTCCCGCACGCCAGACCCGGACACAACACAACAAAAAGAAAAGAAGCAAGTCCAGTGTGCCAACAACCAGCTTCCATACGATTCTCGCAGCCGTGTGGCGTATGCGCAGACGCACATCATCATCCGTGCCCCCGTCTGTCTTCTTGCTGCCGCAGCAGCAGCAGCAGCCTCCACCGCCAACATCGAGGCCGGCCTCTGGCTTCTCGCCCTTGACCACCCAGAGCAGCCATAACCGTCATCCACGGGCTCACGGGGGGCTTCTGTTGCCCACTCCAGGCTACACGCATCGATCGCATTGTGATCATCAAGTGGGACCCGCGTGAGGCAACGGCCATCAGAGGGCGCCTGAAAGGCTCCCGTTCAACGGCAAGCCGTCTGCTCGCGGGCACGCAAGCCACTGCAAGAAGCAGCCCGTCTTGCGCCACGCCACTCAAGCCTGCTTGCTGTGCTGCATCGTGCCATTCCCCATCGAGGAAGCCGATATGCCCAAACAAAAAGGCAGCAAATCTATCGCCAAAGCAAAGCCCTCCAGTGCGCCCGCAGCTGTTGAACCACCCTCCTGGCCCGCCTTCAAACCCCCGCTGCCCCTGACCGATCTACAGCCGGAATCGCTTCTGGACGACAGGGTTGTTCTCATCAGGAACTTCTGGCCCAGGTCGCTCTGCCGAGACTATGCCTCCTTCTTACGATCCCTCCCCCTCACCACCACGCCCGGCCAGCCCAAACGAGGGGATGCTGTCAGGGTGAACGACCGGTTCCAGGTCCACGACCAGGGCTTTGCGAACCGTCTATGGCTTGAGACAGGTCTACGGGATGTGCTCATGGGCGATGACTGGAAAGCCTTATGGTAAGTGCCTGCCATCAAGCCACCACATGGCCCGGCGAGCGCTAACGCTTGGCCTGCTGCACCTGCAACAGGGGCGGAGACCCCGTGGGCTTGTCTCCAAACATCCGGATTTACAGGTACAAGCCCAAACAATTCTTCGACGCACACTGTAGGTTCAATTGGCCCAAGCACGGCTTCTGCTTCCTGTCACTTCTCCCTCAATCATGCTGCTCGGCTATCTGGCTGCCGTGCGCAGATCGCCTCGCCCAGCGTGTTTTGCTATCTTCAACGAAGCTGGACGGACAGATGGACCGGCCGAGACCCAAGTGGACTCGACTAATGCACAAAATTGCAGATAGTGTCTGCAGCCTGTCATCGAATTTAGCATCTCGATGTACAAGACATAGATATCAGCATGGGAAATTCGAGGGATTTGGCCTTTGATGCGGCCAGGCCACGCATGATCCGCCGCTCCCACCATGACTATCCCCTTTCCCTGTGCATGTGCATATGTAACTATGACCATCAAAGGGGACGGGCAGGTACACCGCTTTGGTTTTCATTGTACGGCAAGCTCATGCAGGCTCTGGGACGAGCGGCAGCGGACAGGGAGGCTCCTCTCGCCCAATTTGCCACTGGCTTCTTGCTACTCAACCATCAGGCCGAGCTGCGTTAGAAACCCAACGGATCACGTCTTGCATTCATTTTCGTCTTTCCCTCTGCTCATTTACAGATCGCGATGCACACTTGGTTTCATCGATCTTTGTATTTGACCCCCTCTGCCCGCGGGCAAGTTGCACAACATCGACGCCCGATGTCCACTCCGGGTCCTGACGTTCCCCACGGGCAGCCGAGACAGCCTTGGGCATCCGTGGCCATTCTGATAACGGGTGCATTGCAGACGACGATTCCAACACCATCATCTCCGATTTCGATCAGGGACAGCCCATCACCACCAAGACGACGTGGACTCTGCTACTGTACCTCACCTCGGAAGCGGACGGGTGCCGAGGCGGTGAGACGGTGTTCTTCCCCAACGACCGACGAGTGGCCAAGGAGGAAGTTGCCGTGGCGCCTGAGACAGGCATGGTTCTGCTCCACAAACATGGAAACGACTGCATGCTTGTGAGTGACCCTTTACCCTGTAGCAATTTGACGGCGGGATTACCGGCGCCTTCACCTCATGCGGCTCACCCGTGCCATGCTGTGGTAATATTGCTAATTACAGCTCGAGTTCTAGCATGAAGGTCGCGAGGTCACTGCTGGGGAGAAGTGGATCATTCGGAGCGATGTATGCGTCCGTAAGTAGCTGTGTCCAAATTGTACTCGAGAAAAGAATTACCACCCGCCTAATTGCCTCCTGGTGGAATCTGTAAGGCCGGCTGCTACTCCTCAGCTGCATGTTCCTTCCCAACAATTGTCGTCGTTAAACACGCCCCTTTCAGTCCGTCAAACCCATATCCCCCTCCCCTTCACATCCTTTCAGTTGTTGCCGACATCCATGGGAATGATATGCTTGGGCCTTTCTGGGATCGTGCGGATTCGTAACGAATCATATGCTTGGGAGCTGTTGTCTCCTCCGCGGAGAACGATTCCGATCATCAGACCAAGAAGACAAACATCCGAAGAAGGCATAGGGCTTTATTGTATGTATGGGGGCCGCGGCAACCAGTGCAATAAGTGTACTACTTCAAGGATATTGAAGTTCATCCGGACAACTAGGTCCGAGATCCACATCAGTACACGTTGGTTGCTTCTCACCGTCCCCTCAGCTCCGCAACCACTCCCAAGCGGCAGCAGTGTTGCCATCTCTTTACATAATATCCTCGTACAACACAAAGCCATGCCTCTCCATTAAATCATCTATGGGAATTCCGTTGAGGTGGCGAAAGTGACTTGCTTCTGACGGGGGTTCTGTCCTGGTGAGCCCGACAGATAGTAACGTAACTCAGGGGGCACAAGGTGAGGATGGTGTTGGCTTGTCTTGCTGCTGCATCTGCTTCCGACATCATGCGTGGAGGGCCAATCTATCATATTGACTCGCTTCGAGGCTTCTTGTACAACAAGTTCAGCTCCTCAGATCGATCACACACGTCGCCGCATGCTTTTTTCCAATCATGCGCCGTAGGCTGGCTTGTGCACACACCTCTCATGTGCAAGATTTTCTTCGGTGCCGTTGCATCCAGGACCTGGCACTGAACTTTTCACCGACCTTTATTGTCGTGGCGAATTTTTGATTTTGCCAGTGCATGAACTGACCGAGTTCGATTTTGAGACGGCTGGGCCTGGTTTGTGAGAGAGGTGCTGTCTCCACGATTTCAAATCGAAATCATGGAGTCAAGCTCTAAGTGGTGAGCATTGGGTTGAAAACCTGTTCATTTGCTTTGCTTGTAATGTTGCTAGCACTGAAATACTCAGATCGATACCAGACCTTGTCTTAGATCTAGACCCCAGGGGCGGATATTTCAACATGACAAACTTGTTCTATCTGTCTTGGTTGCAATCAATATGTTTCCGGATGTTGTGGCCACGCGCTGTTGTGTCAACAATAGTACCTAGAGTCCGTTCAAAATACTCAGCAGCAATTTTTCATGGACTCATATGCTGCGTGACTGATATGCTCTAGGGTGGACGAATGATCTCCCAGACTCTGACGTCGGTCTTCGACCTCAATCAACACGAATTCCTAACCACAATCGAAGCCAGCAATCCACACCTAGTGCGACGCGCTAAGTATTCTCCCCGTCAAGTGCAATGTTTTGGTCAAGATATAATTTTAAAGAAATCGGGAACCATACACCCGACCTCACAAGCTAGATATCTAGAGGCCTGGAGCTCCTGCTTTACAAACCAATTCACTTGTATCTGAGTGGCGAGGGCAACTTTGCCAAACCTCGTCGGCGATGCCTTCGTCTGAACCCCGGCAGATGCGAAAGCGACAAGTCTGGCTCAGATGAAAGGATCATCGAAACCCCGAGGTTTTCTGAGGCAGAGTGGGCCAACCCCAAGTGACTCTCGATATGAGGGCTGACGTATTCGGTGTCACCGTCTCGTACCACTGTGCGAGACCTTTGAAGGGCTAGCTCGACGATTTCCAGCATCTGTTCAATTGTGTGATTAAATGTTGAATCAACGGCGGCATCGCTGAGACTCCTTTGTAGGAAGCAACCCAGAATGAACACGGGGCTGCCAATTGTGCCGAAGTGGGCCATGGAAGTCCAACGCTTCCAGTTCAGACAGCGTCGGTTACTTCAGCATGGACTATCGGAGGACTGAGGCATTGAAAATGATAAGACACATATTCATGGAGAAGCGATTTGGAAGATATGAGTAAAGGAGAATGAGATTTTGTGTATAACTGATACTAGTTATCAGCTATTAGAGGTATACAGCATTTTGTGAATTTCAGTCGTTGCATCCGGCCGAAAAAGCTGCCAAACCATCAGAGTCGAGCGGTTCAAAAGGAAGTAGCAACCTATTTAATACAATCTTTTGCCTGAACCAAGTTCTCTCTCGCTTTGATGCCCACAGTCGCCGTTGAATACTTTCCTGCTGGCGGCAATCCTTCTCTGAGGCACGATATCTTGGATGAGACACTACCTGTAGCCTTGCAACCTGTCCGAGTGGCGGCAGCGCACGCTATCAGGGGATTTATGAGAAATTGTCGCTCCCGGCAAAACGCCGGTTCTGCGAAAGGTCATGATGTCAGGGACTCGATGTATCAGACTCATTCAGGGCAGCGGTGCAGCTTTATCCAGTAGTGGTGGGAGGAGTCGCAGTGTTGGTATAAGGTGATCTCGCGATGAAGGTCTCAACAGGAGTTGCCGGGTTCGCCGTAGGAGAGTCCACTACTGGGAAGGTCTCAATAGGAGTCTCAGGGTTCGCAGTAGGAGAGTCCACCACGGGGAAGGTCTCGATAGGAGTTTCGGGATTCGCCGTAGGAGAGTCCACCTCTGGGACAGTTTCGATAGGGGTCGCGACTTGACTTGGGATAACCGTCACGGTTCCCTGTCGGACTTTGACGCGGAAGGTCTGAGGGACTGTGACAGGCTCAGAGGTGATCACATCCGTGGTGGTGGGAGGCAGTGGTTCTGAAGTTGGGACACCCGCATCGGAAGTGATTGCAGTCGGCTCGGAAGTGATCACGTCTGTGGTGGTAGGAGGTAGCGGTTCTGAAGTCGGAGTGTCCGCATCAGAAGCAATTGCCGTGGGTTCAGAGGTGACCACATCTGTGGTGGTAGGTGGCAGGTCCTGTCTCGGGAAGATTCCAACAGATGTGATCACGGCTGGGTCAGAAGTAACTATTCCAACGCTGGTGGGAGGAAGCACCGGGTCCGACGTGGGAATATCCAGAACGCTCGTGACATCAGGAATAGCTGTGCCACCTGCAGCCGTAGACTCCTGTCGTCTACGCTGACTATGAATGCTACGGACAGCATTGTACGGCAACTGGATATGCCCGGTTAGTCTGTGGGTAAGGTATTGGTGGTTGAAGCTAATACTAACACCTCTAGCTCGGCCTCCCATAGACGGGACTGCGGTTGGAATAGCTTGGACCGTCCAAGCAGTGGTGATGATCAGCATAGATGCAGCGGAGTACTTCATTTTGATCTGGTCGGGATACTGTCTGGGATACCGGATGGTAGGAGAGTATTGGATCAAGCGGGGGTTTAAGCGGAAAGCTGCCGGCAGCCAGTTGAAAAGCGAATTGGGCTTTACAGTGTTCGAGATGGAATGCTCTTGAAAGAATTGGTCTGAGCTGAAAGCAGGTCCAAGTATCCAAAGCAACAGCGAGGCTGCCATTCTTATACTTTCCAAATTTAATCCCCGAAATGTGCGCTTGCTAAATCGTCTCGAAGATGTCCATGAATCTGCTCTGCCTGGACCTTGAAAGGCCTCATTACCAGGAAGGACTGAGGCTCAGTCTGAAGATGAGACACGGCTGCAGCCTGGAGAGTAATCCAGGCATGATGTCCTCACTCGGCATTGTAGGTGACAATACTAAGTGAATTGAGGGCTATGATAGACCGATGATTAATTAGCCCACAATAGATAGAAAAGTGAGTCCATACTTCCCCCTGATCGCTGTGCTGCCTACCGCAAATGGTATCCGAGAGGTAGACCACTTCGGCGGCCAGTCAGCATGATTAACTTGAAAGTACTGGATAGCCCCCTTGCTCCACGACACAAGTGGTCGGATGTAATCTGCTGACAGCAACTGAGACAGTCGCATAACACAAGCGAGCCGAGCCCCAAGCGAAAGTCCGAGGCTAGACCGCAGAGGCCAAATTTTCGACCGTATCATTTGAGGCAATTGGGAATTCCGTGGGCGTCTCTGACACAATTCCAATTGCACGGTCTCCCCAAGGCAGCCTCCAAAAAAAAAAAAAAAAAAAAAAAAAAGGCTCTGCCTAAATGCCAGAGAGTCATCCTCAACCTTGTACATATCGTCGTCGCAGCACATGCTCGCACTCCAAGATTTGAAGTATTCGGATAGGCAGAAACTCAAGTGTACGAACATTTGGGTCTTGTAATGAAATATTTGAAGCCCTGCACATCTGGATGCAGTGTTTCCAAACAGCGAAATTTAATTAATTTTACTTTGCCATCAAATTCTCAGTGTTTGTGGATTGGAAAAGAGCAGAGACAGCCACATGGCCATGTACTTGTTCATAGGCCAGGACTGTCACGCTGCACCACTCAGATCGCAACGGCTGGTCACAGCAACTAGAACGTTGCGGCTTGAGCTGCTTTGCAAGTTGTAAAGTAAGAACATGGGTCATTAGAAAAGAAAAATTGATACAGGCACTGGAGCCGACGACCCCATATGCAAGTGGGTTTGCCGGCGTTGTGACATCTCCGCAATCGAGAATCCGCAGAGCTCCAGTACATCGGGAGAGTTTAAATTTGGCAGATCCTCGCCGTGAGTTGATTGTATGTGATTCATCTCGTTGACTCAGCAAACACTCTGTTGTAAACTCTCGGCTTTGAACCGACTCGGTCTCTACTCCGCAAATAGCACGCCCAGAGTTTACATTTAGACCTCAACCGAACTCGGGCGTGGGCCACATGGTACGCTCACGATAGATTTTACGTTTTGGTAATTAATTATATGCCGCTTGTATAGATTCAGACCGTCGGTCAGAGAAGGGCAAGACGTTATTGCCTTGCTAGTCCCGCACTTAACCAATTACTCCCGGAGCGAATCGAGACTAGGCAGACGAGAATACGAGAGTTAATCACACAGCAGCGATGCCCAGGAGGGCAAAAGAGGCCGTGAGCAGGTCGTCCCTACTCTTGCTTCCCGGTTTGTGGTGCACGTAGGTCCATGGCAAATGGACTGCCACCCCTACCTCCTGCCCCCTATATCTCGCAGTTGGCCGCAGCCTTGTGCAAAAGTTTAAGCATAAGAGCCGAACAAGGGCCGTCTTCTTGGCAGCTCGAGGAGGGAACCGTCCGGTGTTTTGAAACCCAATCGGAGAGGCTGTGCGCCTGAGGGACTGGATCTTGGGGGAGCGCAAAGCTACACCATTGGTCAAACGCTAGCATGCCGCATATGAGGCCACCCCTGACAATTTTGGACGTCACGCGCTGGCATCTCGCTGGCATAGTAGACGCCCGCATTGTTGTTCCCATCGTCCAACGTCCAGGGCACCCAGGCAGCGGCCAGTCTCTACCCAGGCGACTGGACAACAACATCAGACCGTACGTCAAGCAAGGTTCCCGACTTCGGGCGTTTGGTTGATGATGTCAAACAAACCGGCAAACCCGACTGGCGCTGCTGCTTGGCAACCGATGAAGCTCACGATGTTGGCTGATCAAGCCGCCGCCTTGCGATGAACCTATCGACGCCCGAAGCCCGACGTCACAAGACGGGACATTACAGGAACACACTTGACGGCCGGCGGCAGCCTCTTCCAATAGCCAAAACAGGCTTGACTGGCTATGACATGCCCGAGTGTGCCTCCCACAGTGAGACAAGCTACCAAGATCTCCGGATCGTCAGGGGATCCAACCAACAGAGCCGACCAACCAGATCCCGAATGATGTCCAGCCTGTGTGTGCATTAGGCCACAGGCCCTCGACCGCCATGTCTTGTCCTGCGGTCGGTGCTACCTGTGCTCGGAGCGCAGTTGAGCATACGCTTTGTTATTACGCCGTGCTATTTTTGAGTGACTGGCCACCCCTGGCATGCCTAAATGGCCGTTACCCCTGACCTGCCCGACGGGGACGCCAGCCACCTCCACGACACGGGTCACGCTATAGCAACTCGAATAATTCGGCGGCGGTGCAGTCACGCTTCGGTAGGTTACATTTTAAATGAAGTCCATGCTCATGGCGTTGTTGGCAAAGGATTCAAAAGGCGAGCACCGTCCCTCCAGTGCGGGAAGGTTGCCTTGTGTGTCCATCAACAACTCCTACTGTTCATTCACACCCTCCTTGCTACGTTGCTACCACATCAAGACCGACACCACAGTACCTCTTCTCTGTAGCAACAGCAGTATCACTCGCTTCAACTCACATTCATCATGAAGCTGTCTCTCGTCACTGTCACCTTCCTCACCGGCTCTGCCCTTGCAACATGGGGCACCGGCGGTGGCGACGAAGGTGATCATGACAAGTGCAAGGACTCTGGCGACAAGGGCGGCTGGAAGAGGCTCCTCAACGGCCGCACATGGGGCCACGGCGGCGGACAAGGACTGCACAACCGAGGACTCTGGGGAGAAGACCAAGACACACGGCCACGGCGGCGGCGGTGGCGGAGAGATGACCTACTCCACCATCTACGAGACCCAGACCCAGACCATCACATCCTGCGCGCCAGATGTCGATGACTGCCCCGGCGAGCAGTACACAACCGTTACTGTCGCGGTCTCAACGACGCTCTGCCCAGTCACCGAGACCCAGCCCATCCCGGTCACGACTGCTCCCGTCGCGCCACCACCCGTTCAGACCACCCCCGTCAAGACCACCTCCATCGCAACGCCGCCCGCGCCACCTGTTGTGCCGTCGGTTGTGCCATCTGGCAAGCCCAGCACTCCCGTCGTGGTCCCACCAGTGCCTACCACACCGGCGACCCTGTCCACGCGGACCACGCTGAGGCCAACCAACACGCTACCCCCCAGCAACGGCACAACGACCGCGACGCGCCCACCGGTCGTCACAGCCGGTGCCGCATCCAACGGCGTTGGTGCCGGTGTGGCCCTGGCCGCCCTGTTGGCCGCCATGGTCTAAGACTCACGACCGCAGCGATGAAAGCAGTGCGTCTATGGAGAGGAGGCGCAACGCTTTTTCCTTTCACCTCTTCACTTCTTGTAGTATAATCAAGATTTCTTTTTTTCTCTTCGCATACCCAGGCGCATCGGCCTAGACATTTTTTGGGAACGGACGAGGTCACGACCGATCAGTACCATGAAACCTGATCACAGCTTGTGGAATTGAGTGATGACAGCGAAGGTAGCGAGCGGCAATGATTCACGGCTAAGACATAATTAGCATAATGAAATGCCATAATAGCTATTCTTGAACAACCAAAACTTGGCCACAACACCAATCGCCTGTGATATGTTGACTCCCACTGCACTGAGCGTCAATAATTACCCGTTCAGCACTGTGACAGCCGCTCAAGCCGCGCAAAGCACGCCCAGCCAGGTTTATTGTTAAATCGGACGGAAACACGCAGGTAGCCAAGGCCGGCCTGAGGTTGCATCACTGTATTCGTGTTCGTCTGTTGTCCGGTGAATAAAACGACGTCACCCACTCAACGGCTATTATCACAGGTCGGGAAAGCCATTGCGAGGTGAGAGGAGTCGGCAGATCCCTGTTGATGCACCAGCCATCTGAAAAAAAGACTCCGAGCATTGTCTAATATCATGCAATGCTATAGGTGGCTCGTTGTAGGTCAGCTGCATGATTCAAAGCTTCCACGTCGACGGCCTCCTGTGTCGTTCTTTTTTTAGTGCCCCTGATTCGTCCTTCCGTCTCCTGTTGAACGCTGGAGACCGTCCATCCCATCTATCCGTCCGAAGATTCGCTCGACATGCCGAAGCTTAACCATGGCCGGGCGATCCTCGCGGAGTCCGTGGTTGCTATTGGACCGCAGCGCAAAGTTTTTGGAAGCCTTGATTTCTCAACGACATCGTCAGTAGCTTCCGCGTGGTTGGGACGACGCTGGTATTTGACGTGTACATCAAGGAGGCTTCCCAATCGCAAGAGTCATGTCGCATTGGAATGCAAGGCAGATTGGCTGGCCGCCTCGCATTCGCAAAGATGGGGGTCGGGGGCATGCTGGTGCAGTGAGGTACTTGGAGCGGCGGCGCAAGAAGTCAGCCTGTGAAGATATACGGCTGCACGAATGGTTAGCCTGCGCGCGGAAAGATGTTCTCGTGCTACTCACCATAAAGCGCGCAAATGGTTGTCTGGTACCGTCAAGATCCTGGTGAGGCTGATTCTGCGCAAAGCTGCTCCCAACAGCCGGATGGCAGCTGGTTCAAGGAATGTGCCCGGGTACCCTTGATGATGCGGGCTTCACACAGAGCCCAGCTTGCGAGCGACATCCTCCAGTCGTGAGCCCTCACTCAATAGCTCCCTGGTCACCTCCCGGTCGCGGCCCATGTCCCCGAACACGACCAGCTTGACCACGTCGCCGTCATCGCCAATGACGAGCCGCCCCGATCGGCCGTCTTTCCAGTCGACCCGGACCTGCTTCGCCTCGGTGTCCGCCGCGCTGATCGCCAAGAGCGGGCTGCTCTCCGCCAGCTCCTCCGCGTCCCTCCGCTTGCCATCCAGGCCCACGGCCCTGCGCAGGTCCGCGATGACGGACACGCGGTTGTGGTACCGCACAATGTCCCGGCGCAGACACCTCACGAAGCCCGACAGGTCCTGGCGCCTCTCCGGGGCCGCGTCCCCGTTCTCGCCGCCCGTCCTCGCCGGCTTCGGAGCAGGCAGGTACCGCGCCGCCAGGCCACCGAGCGGGATGCACGGTGGGGCCGTGTGGCGGTGCACACGCAGGAACCGCTTTCTCTGCTCATTCCCAGAGTAGGGCCGGTTCAGCAGCACGAAGTAGGGCCGCAGGAACTTGGACCGCGTCATGACCTCGATGCGCACGCCCAGGACGTTGCCGCCGTCGACGGCGTTCGGGTCCGGGTCGCGCACGCGGAAGGTGGTGATGCCGGCGCAGGCGCGGTAGAGACAGTGCTGGTCGTAGGCTATCTGCTTCTCGAGGCGCTCCTGTAGCCCCTTTGCGCTGGTGTCTGCTGTGATTGCCTGGCGCGCGGGGCTTGTTGTGAGAAGGACGCTGGCTTGGAGGCGGACCTGGCCCCTGAGTGTTTCCACTGTGTGTTTTTGATCAGCAACTATAATCCATGAAATTTGGGCGGGAATGAAATACCTCGTGCCTTGAGATCTGAAATCTCATCGTCTATTTCTGCTTCTGATGTCATATTTGCTGTGCTCATATTCCGTTGTTGAGGGGACGCGCGATGGTGAAGGTGACGCGTCTTAATCTCCAATTGAATTGTGGTGTTTACTTATAATTTTGGTCTACGGGCTGGGTGCAGATAAGTCTTATTCACACTGGGGTAGTTTCGGGGGACGAACAACGGCTTGTTCGCCCACCTGGGGAACAAGCCCAGATGCCGTTCTAGCCGATCTCAAATGTGTTTAGACCTGCTGTACACATCCACAGATTTTATGAAAAATTATTTCCGTAGCCAGAGAGGGAGTAGTAGAGCCGGATACTAGAATTACTGTCGTCATGCCCAGCGTTGAATTGTCCGCTCGGCAATTGCGGCATCTGGCGCCACAGTTGCATCCAGATGCAGGGGATGCAAAGCACGTCGGAACTTGTGACCCGAGCTTGTGATAAGCTTAAACCGACTTCCTTGCATTTACATGATGGGTCTTGCAAATAATATCACTGTGGACTCGAGTGTTGGTCAAGGTCTCACAAGCCTCGAACCGCTGGTAGGAATGCCAGTCATGGCAGCTTGACGTCGACCTGCTCAAGCTAGGCCGTCTTGGGTGCCTTGTCCTCGAGTTCGGGGCTCGAGACAAGATCCAAAAATGGCCAGTAACACACACACACACACGTGCGGAAACAGAACGATCCAGGGAGTCATATCTGACTTCTTGCATCGTGTTGTTCCCGGACTGGCTTTGTGCACTCTCTCACATGAAGTAATTCGGTCGGCCTATACCGAGTCGGGGGGCGTCTTTGACGTCGTCGCCTCTCAGGCCACGGTAAGCCGCATCGACGCTCGGGCCAGTTAGCGGCAGCTTCCTTGCAGGCTCCCCCGAATTCTAGAATCTTTGGGGGGCGACGACTCGGCTCGACTTCACTTGTCGCACAAGCTCGTCCACCTTGAAGAGGCCAGCAAGACCTCTCGACAAGGCGACTCATTCCACTGTCTTTCATGGATTCGTTCGCCTCATACTGACCTTCACGTCTTTCCTTCGCTTGCCGTTTCTCCTTAACCTCAAAATCCGGCCTCCAGAGCTCGAAACCCAACTTTCTCGACCATCCTTGTGCCTACGTCTCCTTCGCCACTACTTCAGTCGGCGTCGAACGCTTCAACGACTTGACCACCCATTTCCTTTTTTACCCATTTCAGAAACCGCCTATGGGTGTCCGAACTCGACGTGCCGCCAAATTCTCGCAAGAGAACGGGTCCCCGCTGTCCGTGGCCACCTCTGCGGACGAATCCTCAGGCAGTTTGCCCAACGGCAAGGCCAAGGGGAAGGGCAAGAAGAAGATGAACAACATAGAGCAGCGGAGAAAGGGCGCCGTGAAAGCAGACTCGACCACCGCCGCCGATAGCCTCATGGCGCACGAATCCTTCAACCTCGACGAGCCGGTCCCCAAGACGCCCTCGCTGAACAACCATGGGTTCCTCGACCTGCCCAGGCACGACCAGAGGAACTTTGGGCTGCTTGTGCTGCTGTACTTCCTACAAGGTGTGCCGCTGGGCCTGGCGACAGGATCTGTTCCGTTCCTGCTGAAGAGCCATATGTCCTACGCCGAGATTGGTATTTTCAGTCTGGCCTCGTACCCATACTCCCTCAAGCTACTATGGAGCCCTATCGTGGATGCTATCTGGAGCCCAAAGGTCGGCCGAAGAAAGAGTTGGATTCTGCCCATCCAGCTCCTGTCTGGCATGGGGATGCTGTGGCTGGGCTCCGAGGTCGAGGACATGATGGCAATGGTTGGCAAAGAGAACGGCCCGACCGTGTGGAACTTTACGGGGTGGTGGTTTTTCCTCGTCCTTATGTGCGCCACCCAGGATATCGCTGTCGACGGGTGGGCTCTCACGCTCCTGACCCCTGGCAATGTCTCCTACGCCTCTACGGCACAGACTGTCGGCCTGACAGCCGGCCAGTTTCTTTCCTACACCGTTTTCTTGGCCTTCAACTCAAAGGATTTCGCCAACCGATACTTTCGCGCCGAGCCCCTGGACTCCGGCCTCATCAGCCTCGGCGGATACTTGAACTTTGCGGGCTGGCTCTACATCATCGTCACCATCGGCCTGGCCACCCTGAAGAGGGAAGAGAGGACCAGGAACGAGGATGGCATTTGGGATGTCTACAAGATCATGTGGGGCGTGCTTAAGCTCAAGAGCGTCCAGACCATAATGATTGTCCATCTTATTGCCAAGATCGGGTTCCAGGCGAACGACGGTGTCACCAACCTGAAACTTCTGGACAAGGGCTTCGGCACGGACAACATGGCTCTGACGGTCCTGATCGACTTCCCCTTCGAGATTGGCCTGGGCTACTACGCCGGTGTATGGTCGCAAAAGTACACGCCGATGCGACTTTGGTCCTGGGGCTTCATGGGCCGCTTGGTAGCTGCTGTCTTTGCGCAGTTCACAGTCATCATTTTCCCAGAGCAGGGCGTCACTTTCTGGTATCTGCTGGTGGTCATTGCCGAGCACATCTTCTCCACGTTCATGAACACCATCATGTTTGTGGCTGTGTCAGCCTTCCATGCCAGGATAGCGGATCCAGTCATTGGCGGCACCTATATGACTCTCCTTGCGACGTAAGCTGTTCTCTGACCCTCGATGACGATAATTCACCTGCTAACTCGTGACATAGCATTTCCAACCTGGGCGGCACACTGCCACGGTACTTTGTCCTCCGACTTGTGGACGAGCTCACCAGCGCCACATGTCACCCTCCCACTTCGATCTCTGACACAGCTGCCAACGTTAAAGGCCCGCTTGTTACCCAGCCATTCTCTTGCTCTGTCCAGGCCGACAAGGAAAGGTGCATCAACGGCGGCGGAACCTGCGAGATGATCCGCGATGGGTACTACTTAGTCAACATCATGTGTGTTGTCGTTGGTCTCGTGACATTTGTTCTGTATATCAGGCCCAAGGTCCTGCATTTGCAGAGCTTGCCGATGAGAGCATGGAGGCTGTCGGCAGTTGGCAAGTAGCGGTTAGCAAGAGATTTACATAGAATATTTAGATGAGATTGTATAATACGAGGAAAATCATTCGCTTTCTGACACTGAATGTCTGCTTTTCCGCTTTCGTCAGACTTTTCGACATTTACTCGTCCCCTCATTTGTCAAAGTTCCAACTTTCCTTGCTGGCAACGTGTCCAGTGGGTGGGTTGCTTATCTCCTACACCGAAGGCTTGTGTCACGGCTTTGAGGTCATGGCAACCAGGACGTCTTTACTCTCGTCATGCGGTTGATCTCGCTCAGGACTTGCGGCAGAAACGCCATCACCAACCGGATTCCCCTTTCGAGTCTCTCATGAATGCATTGCACCCAAGACCACGCTTTGGTAAGTGTTTTGAAGTGCATCGAGAGCATGTTATGCACACCCATCTACTGGGGCGCGAGGACATGCCCTTTCCCACATTCTCTTGCCTTGTCAGGCATGCTACACAAGATGAATCTCTTTCCAAAGACATGTCGAAGGTTGTGGTGCCAAAGTTGTGGGTTGTGGAACAGAAGAGCATGTCCACTGCTGGCACAAGGCCGCGTAGGTTTGACATGCGTAGAGCTTGGTGTGACTGAGAAACCACATGACGGTTCTCGAGTCACTGCTTGAACCTCTCTCTTTAAGAATTGGAACAGATTCTTGCCCATCAAAGCTTCTTGGCTGCCAAGGTAGTGTCCGCCTGCAAGCTTTAGAGGAAGCAGCCGTGCCTTCCCCACGCTTAGACCCTGCCGCACCTTCCATGAGCGACTGTCCCTTCACATTTAGATGGCAAAAAAGTCCCTGTTTTCCCATCCCAGTAGTCCAATCGTCAAGTCGCATGATTTGAATCTCGAAATACTAACTGTTTTCCAAGAGCTTAGGGTTCGATCTGGGGGCAGAGGGAAGCTGTGGGATCACACACAGCTCTAGCAAGAAGTCTTCCAACAAAAAGTCAACGCGTAAGTACAGATCTCCTTATATCTCCCCTTCCGCTTGACGATTTGACTCTGGGCTTGCTGTGACTATGATGTGGCCAGCCCCAGTGGGGTATGGCAGCCTCCTTTTTTGTACACCTCCACAACTCTCAACTCTTATGGCCAGTGGTCTTCACTCTGGTACCTCAAGGACATAAACCCTTGGAGTCTGAGAAGCTCTAGGAAATAGAGCTTTGGGATGGGTGATGTATGTTGGCACAACACATGCTTTATAACAAGACTGGTTTGTCGTGCTCAACAGGGCACAGCAACAAACGGAGCACGTGTACATAGGTAGCTGTATGCTTTCGACGGTGACTTTAAGTATTCATGAGTCAAATACAAATATCATCCCATCTGAGGTACCGCTTTGCTTCCACTGAGAGTTTGCGCGATGATATCATGCTGTTCTCATGATCCTAGCTGTATGTGGAGAGAAGTTATGACTGAAAGACTTTCCAAGGATCCACATTGTGAGCATGTACAGCTCCGAAGCTGTTTTGGAATGAGTCTCATTAGATTTTTTCTCTGTCACTTGAGCAACAGCTACATCAATTGTCTTAGCTGTCATTTTCATGCTCACTCAATCCAAAAGGCCTCCAAAGTTCCCAGCCCCGACCTGGCGTACATAAGCAGGAGCATTTCCCTGATACCCGCTCCGTGCTACCGGGTTGCCCATCCGCCTAGTCCCTAAGAGCAAGACTCAATATCTCTTGCATTGCTTGAGAACACGGTTCCATTGGTTGATGCGCAATGCTTCAATAATTGCACTTAAGAATGCCATGCCAGCGCCGATACCGTTCAATACCACAATCCCCAGCATCATGGCACAGGCCCTATTGGATTTCATGGTATCACCAGTGCAACGCAGCCCTGCATCGCCCAGATATTTGTGCGCGTGCTGTGGCGAACGTCCAGATTAGCTTCACCCTGGTGAGCAAGGAAGAATGGCATGGTGCTATCCAAAGTAAGGGAGCACCACGACTTACAAAAACTGCACCGGCGCTTGCTGCGACGTAAATCAATCCAATCCACACAAATAAAAAATTGAATCCGCAGATTTTATGGCCAGTCTTTGACATGATATCGTTCGCGTCGTACTTGGCGCACAAAGGAATGAAACCGGTTAACGTGCTGAAACCTCCCAGAATACTGACCAAGACGACCAAAACTATGAGTTCGTGGTCTTGGGCGCCCGGCGGCCACCACGAAACCTTCGTGTTTCCGGCGAGATAACATGCTAGGCCGGCAGCGGTACCTGTGAAGCAGAACTAGAGCTGGGTTCTCAGCACATACGAGCCAGAATGTTTTGGGATTGGTTAAATCGTACCTCGATCATGCGAGCAATTAAAATCCACCTGCGAGTCTGTGGTTTTATACCAGAGTCCTCCAGGTCCACCATTCCATCAGGTGGAGGTGGTTTGGGCCGTCCCATTGCGGGTTTTTGACTGATCTATGTGCGTTGAGGGCGTCGCCGTTGGGGGTATCTGCTAGTTGGGGTATGGATGACTTTTCTCGAACTGCGTAGAACAGAGAAATAAGAGTAAGAAAAGACTGTGAAAACTACAAGTTTCTTAATGTTCTGGGATCCGTGCGTTGTTGCTCTTAAAACGTGGTTGAAGCAAAAGGAAAGAAAACTATATTTTGGAAGGTCAACAGGTGAGATTTTATACGTGGGAACCTTGGGGTCACTTTGCTTGAAAAGCCTCTAAATGACTATGCGTGTTCCTCTGACTAGGGCAAAATAGTGCACATATGGACTGCTGTCATGCGATATGTCCCGTCACCAGTCCACTGAGAGCTACTAGCAACACAAGCAAGTGATTTACCGGTAAGCTTGGGTAGGTAGTCATCCACTTGAAACATGACTCCAGTGCACAAATTCAAGGACATGACCGTACGGTTCTCATCAAGTCCGTCCCTACCAGTGTGCAGCCACATCTGCTCTCCGATACCCCTGCCCCAAGGCCACGCGAAAGTGAAGCACAAGCGCTGTATGAGTGGTAGCTCTGTACGACATTGTTTGGTCTTCCCTCGAAACAATCAATTCTGACATCCAGCAAGGCTGGAAGGAACATAGAGCAACAAAATTAGTGAAGAAGGAATGGGACTGTCACTCAATTTGCATGTCCCACAGGAACATGTGACTTACATCTATAGCCCCTCGAATACGAGGGGCTTATGAAGTCGGCTTATCTGCAAAATCCTCATGCATCGGTATGCGTGCTTCCTGGAAGTAGCCCGGTGGACGAGGGACATCTAAGGCCGTTCTATGAGTCCACGTGGAGCAGAAGAGGTGGCCGTACCGGTTATACAGCCACAACTGGTATCCATGTGGACGTTTCAGAATCTTGATCCACAACATGTCATCTGTTTCGATGAGAGGCTGTGAAGGCTTACTAAGTGCTCGCCATGACACCCTTGCTTTCAGCACCATGAGGCTCCATGGGTACTTCAAATCGGCGTGACATTCGCATGTATTGGGAAACCAATGACCTGTGTCCTAGTCACATGTGCGATTGGGTTTGCAACTCATGATTTTTTTTTTTCCAGGTAGGGATTTTAGGGATTTTCACATTGGCAGAAGCAGAAAAGAAAAAAAAGAAGAAGAAAGAAAAGAAAAAAAAAAGCCGCAAAAGCCGAAATTGTCCTGTTGCTTATTAAACACCGGCATCAATTCATCATCGCTTTCAATCACCACTAGCTTCACACCAGATACATGCAGTCAAACGAGTAGTGTTACTTTTCACGGTATGGTGACAAGACTGTTGAGATTGATTTTTGTAATGAGTGCGAGAAGCCCTTCGGTAGTGGAAAGGCCTCGATCGTCGTCGGACAACGCTCCTGATCCATGCGATTTGCCCAGTAGCACTCAATAGATCTCTTAGAGATGGGAAAATATCCGTGCTTTATGTTGGCTATCAAAAATCCTAGCGCTCGGATGCGTTCTTCAGCCAAGTTTTTGCATCTAAACAATTTGTGTTGGCACGTTACTCCCAAGCCACCAATTGACTACCCTGCCATTGCTCCCTTCCCTTTTCTTCTTTCTCTTTGTGACCAACTTGAACGAACTTGGTGAACATCCGCCTCCTGCCGTGGGCTCAATCATTGCCCAGGCATGCCTGTCTCCTCCCGTGGTAGAGTTTTACCCACTCTAGGACGTCTACTCCCTTCTCCTTATGCGACGGCATTCCATGACACAGCATGCGGACGCCATGACACCGCCTAGACAAACCATTATCATAGCTGCCATTAGCATTACACAGCCCTGGTATGTACCCATATTCGCAAGGCAATCTGTGTCTCCGGCACCCAGGTTTATGATTGTGAGCTGGAGCACCCCGCTGGTCAGCCTCGCCATGAAAAGACAGGGAGAACGGAGTAGCAATCCGAGGGTGGGAGTGCCTCTACTTACAGCTATTGCACCACCGGCTAACATAACGAAGATCGCGTCAACGCAAGGGGCCGTGTATCTGAAAAAGCGGCGTTTAGAGCCCTGATTTCCCCACCGGTTGAAACAGTTGCACGCGGATAAACCACCAATGAATGTGGTGGTGGCGCCCAGCACTCCCATCGTGAACAGGAAAGGCACCGCGCCGTGGTCGCCCGTGGCGTTTGGCGGATAGACTGGATTAGGGGGTTTGAAAATACGCCGGCCCATTATCCCGGCAGCAGCAGCCGTGAAAACGAGCTGGAATCCGGTGCTTAGCATGATATGAACTCTCGTGGTTCGGGTCAATCATCTCATACCTCAAGAGAGCGAATAATGACTACCCACCAGCGAAGACTGATCCTTGTGCCGGGGACCTTGGATGTTGTATCGCCATAAACATTCTCCGGCGAATTTGCATGTCGCTTTGACGAGGATCGGCCTTGATAGCTCCCGATTTCAATGTTCACTTCACCTCTGTCATGTCGCCTTGACTCGTGTCGTCGACCCATGGTGAGATCTCGACTGGTGTCAGCGGAATGTGCGGTGGATGTTCACTGAGGTTCGCGGAGCGGTGCATAAACTGAGCTTGAAGTTGGGCAAAACAGAAAAGACTTCGTGTAGACCGGAGATTGCCTTGCAGTGCTCTCACCTGTGTAGACTTGATCTTGCGATGCGCCTGGGAAGAGAAAAGAACGAGTTCCATGTTTTGGAAGGCAAACTTTAGGGGAGACTTTACAGGTGGCAGACTTGGAGTGACTGCTTTTGTCTCGGCTTGAACAGTACTGCAGTGACTGCACTCGTTTTTCCAAGTAAGAAAAATTACTGTAATTCACACATAAACTGCTGTCATATAATAAAGCTCGTCAGTTATCCAGCGACGGAGCCAAATCGAGCAAACCATTTCCTGTAGACTGATGACAAAGAAGAGAGCGTTAGGCTTCCATCGTCAGTCCAGCCCTGTCCTGTCCCAGACGAAGATGATCCAAATTGATATCTGCGGATACTCAAGTATACCTGAGTGTAAACTTTACCAGTGCTTCTCACTGATGTCCACAGTGTTCACATCCACTCCGTCCTTGAACCACCTCTCCTCCTCGCTGATCTTGACGTCGTTCGTGCTGTTCTGCCTCTTCCTCATCAGGCCGTTATCCGCAAAGGTCCAGTCCTCGAGACCGTACGACCTCCACCACTGGCCAGTCTTGTCGTGCCACTCGTACCAAAATTGGACGGCAATCTGCGCAGGCATGTCAGTAAAGACCCCAAAAGAAGTTCAGGGTGGAAAGGAGGGTGACCTTGTTCTCCGTGAAAGCAAAGAGCTCCTTCCTCAGCCGGTATCCATTCTCCACGGACCACTTCTCGGTCAGGAACTTCTCGATCGCGTCTCGGCCCTGGAAGAACTGGTCTCGGTTGCGCCAGATGGAGTCTGGGGTGTATGCTAGCTGTTAGAAATGTCAGCGGGGCCATGCCTCACTCGTAATATTTGTGCTTGTCTCGTGTGCTGTGAGCTATCTTAAGATTCTGTGTTCTGAGGCTGCGCCAGAACCGCTGAAAAGCACCAAGACGAAGGCTGACCTTCACGGTAGCTGGGTCCCTGTGAAAGAGGTCAACGATTCGTCCGCCATCCTTGGCATGCGGAACGACTCACTTTGTATTCCAAGCATCTTGGGCCGCCTTGACCTTTTTGTTGGCGGTCTCCTTCGTGAAAGGGGGAAAAGGTGGCCTCGATTCACTGGACATGTTTGTGGTATAATGACGGAGGGCAATGGACGACTTTGCTGTTGTTTGAGAGTGCGGGTGTGCCGGATTCTTCTATGGGTGAGGAGATTGAACTTGTACAGTTTTCAGTTGACAAGTCACAGAGAACGGAAGGACTGCACATATCGATACGCTAGGCAGGAGGTTGGCATAAGTACTCCGGGGGAAGAGGCCTTGATTCGGCCCGGAGACCGGCATTTGGATGGGTTGGAATGGGCGGAGGGACGGAGCGGTGTGTGTGGGGCAGTGACGGGATTTCGGTGTCAGTACAGAGGGGCAATGACCTGCCGGGCTGACCGGTCACAGCCCGACATGCATAGCGACCAGCTATGTAGGGCTAAACATGGCCTCAGGGCTTTGGATTACTTATCCGCCATGGCAGAAACCACGCCCTCCGAGAGGATAGGGCATCTCATCACAAGCTGACTTGCTTGGCATGCTTGCAGACGGGTGGCATGGTGCCCGTCGAGGATCTCCGCGGAAGGACTGGCTGGGGGCTTCAACATCGCACGAAGCCACGAACCAAATCCAACAGAGTATGAAGGGCTGCAGCTCTGTGTAGCACGGCAGATCTAGTTGATAGTAGCAGGCACCGGTGTGGAAGCTGCGAGTGTTACTGCTTCTGTGACGCGAGAAGCCGAGACATTCGCGTCCTCCGGCCTTTGCTCCTTTGCACGTTCAGTCGCGAGGTCACGGGAACAGTCGAGGTTCTTGGACCCGGTATGTGCCGCATTGTACGGGTCCCTTGCCCAAGATTTGGAATAATGGCCACCGGTACTCCGTCATGAGCTGCTGTGGGTTGGCCGAGCAATCCGCTCGGACTTATCAAGAAGTGGGCTGGACAGCATGTCACTCGCAATGTCCGAAAAGGCGTGATGCACAGGTCACCAATTCCCAGCAGGAACAGCTCAAGCTGACCGATGACTTGCTTGGTTCGGTAAGTGCATATTGCCATCAAGGTACACATCTATGCCATCATCAACCAGCTGTGGAAGCAGCAGAAACCGTGGCCCCAAGAGGAACCGTTGGACGAAGACGCGATGCCGAGCTTCGGAGGTGCGAGCTGTTGACAAATACCGTGCAGGGGCAGCAGGGGTCCCGCAAGATGTCATGGCGGGGCGGGACAGTCCAGCAGCTGAGAGCAAGCAGGCGAGAGAGCTTGCCGATCAAACTCAAAAGACCCCTCCACCGTGCGCGACCTTCTTTAAAGCCAGAAGCTCTTGCTCCCCTCCTCAACAACATCTTGACCGGAAAACCCTAGAGCTTCTTTCTTGACATTGAAACAAAAACCCAAATCCGTCAATCACCAAGCAAAACAAAAAACACATTCAAAATGGCATCCCTCACCGGCCAGCCCTTCCCCGAGGACGTCAGCTTCCTGTACATCCCTTACTCGCCCGACAAGGCTGGCCTCAACAGCTGCGGCCTGCCCATCAAGTACGATGCCAGCAAAGGTACGCACTTGCTACCCAGTCCCGAGCTGTTCCTTCTTCCCTTTCAGGAAAACTAACTTCCTCTCACAGAGTTCAAGGAGAAGAAGGTCGTCCTCGTTGCCGTCCCCGGCGCTTTCACCCCCACGTGCGCCGAGAAGCACATCCCCACCTTCATCGAGCAGAAGGACGCCCTCAAGGCAAAGGGAGTCGACCAGATCGTCGTGATTGCCTACAACGACCCGTTCGTGATGAGCGCATGGGGCAAGTCGAACGAGGTCAAGGATGACTTCATCGTAAGTAAACAGTCCAACTCCCCTTTGGTCGCTTTGAAACAGCGTGTACAGGCTATGGAGGGACAACCGGCTCACATGCAAATCCCCCGAACGCAGGTATTCGCGACCGACGCAGAGACCAAGTTCTCCCAGCAGATCGGCTGGACGCTCGGCGAGAGGACCGGCCGCTACGCCCTCATCGTCGACCACGGCAAGGTCACCTACGCCGAGAAGGCGGCCAATGGTGTCGAGGGAACGGACGCCGCGGCCGTCCTGGCCAAGCTGTAAACGGTCCCTACGAGGAAGTCCACTTTACGTCACACACAGCGCGTAGTAGACATTTTAGACAACTCCGCTCGACTTAAAGTCGGTGCATGAGATAGAGGAGCCTCTCAATTTGACACCCATCAAAAGTTACCACTCTGCAGCTTGTCTTGTGCACCGGAACGCAATGTAGTCTTCGGTGAATGTCGGGATATGTAGTACTAAGGGGGATGTGCATCGTTGTTCAGGTCGCTCCGCCCACCGCTCGACACCGGACTGTTGGGATCGTCCCGTGGACAATCGCCCTCCAGACACATATATGTCAGTAGAAGCCGGCCTTCGGGACCGTCATGTCGAGCTGCTCATCGTCCGACCAAGGACTCCCGACTGACGCGACGGCCCTCAGGCACCGACTGGTTGTCAGCTGTATTTGGATGGTCGGTGTGATCAATGCACAAGTCTCATTTCTATGAGCTACCCGTGCGGAATCGTGTCCCCTATTCCATGCAACCCGTCCCTTTTTTTCAAGACGTCTGTAGGCCGCCTAGCTTTGTAAAAGCACTGAGAACCCGACTCCAGCCCTTCCCTGAAATCTCAATTGCAAAAGTTGTGCCGAACCAGAGAAAAGATGTCCACGTATGCACTCGACTAGCACCCGCTCATCTTGATTCCTTTATCGGGTGGTGGCCTTGACCTTGGGGGCAGAACCCTTGGCTCCCTGCTTGCCGACGATCCGTTGGGTCTGGCCCTTGGACGCCTGGGCGGCGCTCTTTGCCTTCTCCGACTTCTTGGCGGCGGCCTCGGCGGCCTTCTTCTCCTTGCTCTCCTTGATGGCTTGCTGGCGGGCGGCGGAGCGGGCCTCGGGGCGCATGGATCGCTTCTCCTTGATCACATCGAGGGAGGCACCGACGATGGCACGCTGGGACTTGACGGTACGGCGGGTTCGCTTCTTGGCGGCTTCCTGTTTTGGGTGTCAGCTACGGTCACAGTCGAGGGCCCCCTGGTGCTGGACTCTTGCTCGATGTCCTGGGGGGAGATTCCCGAGTGGGTCTGGCTTCGGGGCGGTTCGCGGGCGTGGGTTGCGATCGCGAATCGGTTCAGGTTCGTACCTCAGTGATACCCTTGCGGTGCTGGCGACGGTACAGGACGGTCCAGGCAATGCGACGGGGGTTCTTGCGCTGGAGGAAGAGGGACTCGGATTTGCCGTTCTGGAATCGGAAGACCTTGGAGTCGCCACGGACGTAGAGCTTGCCCTACAACAGTCGCAGTGTCAGCGTTTTGTTCCTCTGCCCAACGTCTTTTTCCCTTCTGAAAATTCCCCTCTTCCATTACGGTTGCGATAACAAATTGTGCCCCGATAACCACGACACGGCTGCGTCTGGCCCGTTCGTTCCTCCTCTTGCAGCCTCCGGGGGCTCCCATCCATCCATCCGCTGTCCTTTGTGAAGAATTCATCGTACCTTTCCAGGGTAGATCCTCTGGCCCGAGAATGTGTCGTCGTAGGTCCTCATCTTGAATGTGGGTGCCGATTGTCGGTGGTCGTACGCAGATGAGGGTTGTTTCGGGACGATGAGGTTGGCTGGGCTGACGGGCAGGCGAATTTGAAATTCTGTTCTGGTGGGCAGCGGCTACCCTACGGCGAATCGGCGGAAAAGCGGGTCTGGCAAATGCTGGGACTGGACAGGAGGCCAGAAAATTGTTAGTGCATCTCGGTGATGCAGCTGGAAGACAGCTGGTCCCAGCTGGGTTTAACAAGGCAAGGAAGGCTTCACTTCTGCTGTACTGAGTGAAGTGCTTGGCATCCATCATCTCAACTCGACTCTCGAGTTATTTTCTAGTGATCATATAAATTGGACTTGAATCTCGCCTGAGTTAGTCCCTCTGCTGGATTTCGGGCAATTCCCAGTTTTGTCCTGCTGTCTTCTAGCTACGCTGCGAGGACCCCTCCACAGTTGAAGCACCCATGGTCGGTTCCTACGCTAAAGTCTCCCAAAACTCAGCGATATCTCCTGGTCGAGTTGCTCAATTGACAGACTGTGACAGAACTGATTATCGTTTAATCTCCCTATCTTGGAACACCTGACTTTGGAGGCTCGAGAACCACTCTCGACTTGCCCATAAATCCACGCTGATGGTCGGCCCTGTCTCATGTATCCTCTGACCAGCAGCGATTGATCCCATTCGATTTATGCATATATATCACCATTTCTCTGATGCCACCCGAGGCAGATGAAGTAGCCTCTATCGTCCTACATCTGTTCGACAGGCTTCCTGCGAAGAGGAAGCCATCCGTCCGCGATAATGGCACCCGAGAATGGGTGCCTCTGGCTGGGATAGTCGCCAGACATGGCGACGGATCTTTGAAATGTTTGGCCCTGGCGTAAGTTCTTCAACTCTTTTCGAACTACTACATGGAATGTGCGTTACCTTTCCAGCCTGCGATTATTCCCATCGTGGTCATGTGGTCGCTTCCATGTGCCTTGCTGCGCTGTTGGAAAACCGGTCACCGAGTACAAGTGCTGGAGTTGCAAGACAGCAGGCATGACACCAGTGGAAAGTGGCTCACAATTCTGAGGTGAAAATACTAACCTATATCAGGACCGGCATGAAGTGCTTGCCAGCATCCAAATTACCCTCCACTAGAGGCAGGGTCTTGCATGACTGGCACGCCGAAGTCCTAGTGATCCGGGCCTTCAACCACTTCGTTCTGCAGGAGTGCAAGGCCATGGTCACCGACGGGAAGGACTCCCCATATGTCCGCCGGATCACCAGCCCCACGGCGAACGAATCATCTGGGAGAAGGCACCACTTCTGCTGGAGAGAAGATGTGACGCTGCACATGTACTGCTCAGAGGCACCCTGCGGCGACGCATCCATGGAGCTGACAATCTCGGCCCAGCAGGACGCGTCCCCGTGGGATAGCCCTCTTCCGCCGCACCTGATGCCCGAGGGGGCGCCGGCATCTACACCGGAGCTGGCCCTCCTCGGGCGCGCATGCTTCGACCAGCTAGGCGTCGTCCGCCGGAAACGCCCGCGCGGACGCACCGCCCTCGCTGTCTAAGTCGTGTTCCGACAAGCTCGCGCTGAAGCAGTGCACCTCGCTTCTCGGCTCGCCCGCGGCGCTGCTCGTCTCGCCCACCGGCGTGTATCTCTCCTCTCTCGTGCTGCCGGAGAGCCAGTTTTCCGCCGCGGCTTGCGAGAGGTGTTTCTCGGCCCGGGGCAGATTGGCGCCCCTGGGTGCAGTCGAGGCCGGGTGGGAGGACGGATACGGATTCCACCCGTTCGTAGTGCGTACTACGGGGCTGGAGTTTGAATACTCCCGCCGCGGCCCGGGACATAGCGAGGGGCTGCGGTACGTGGCGAGCAATCTTGCCATGGCTTGGTCTTGCAGTGGTCTGGCTGAGAACCTGATCGGAGGCGTGCTTCAGGGGCGGAAGCAGTCGCATGCACGAGCAGGCAGTGCGGTGTCAAGGGAAAAGATGTGGGCATTTGTGCAGGAGATTGCGCGCCAGGTTGAGTCAGACAGGATTCCGCCGACCCTCGGGACGTACGGGGCTCTTAAGAAAAGCTCTGTACTGGCCATGAGAAGCAAGGTGAAAGAAGACGTGCGAAAGGAGGCGCTTAAGGGCTGGGTTAGGAACACTGGCGACGAGGACTTCGACGGACCAACCTGATGGGACAGTGCTTGCATCTACGCCGGCTCAATACTGGAGAACAGGCTTTAACTCTGGATCAACGTAAAGTCAAGCTGTCTTCTGAGCGTGAGGATACCAGGGCAGCAAGAACTCAAGATCATGAAGGCCATAGTTGTCGAATGCATATCTCTTCAAAGACTCTGACGCCTTCATACCCGAATATAAACCGATGAGAAGATAAGCACATGAAACTGTGAGGGGACGACTTCAGGACATCGAAGAAAAGCAAGTGAGCATGGCACCTTGCTCAAGGCCCCAGTGTACTTCACTATAGCATCGCCTGTTCGTGCTCAAGCTGTACAGCACCTCGCCCATTCCGCAGATACGGATATTATGACGTTGGTTAAAGGACAGTGGGACCAGACCATGGCGACTCATCACGCGTTCTGCAGCCGTCCTTATTGCCCGGGTCAAAGTCCGAAGTTGCCGGACCAAAAAGCCACTTTAACACGATCTGCTAACTCTGTAGACCTGGGCCCATGTCTTGTGTGTACTCAATGATATCTAAGGCGGGCAGCTCTATTCCGAGTGCAATCCGGCCGGGAGTCTTGTGCGTCAGTAGCATAGCACCACAGGCACGAGAACCTAACTGGGTTCATTTCATTCATTTTTGGTCGGTTATCCCAAATGCTAGGATTGTATCACGAAGCTCATGATCTGCCGTTCCCTTTGACCCTGGCCGTATTCATTATAAAACAGGATAATGCTTTCTCGCGGGATTCGCAGCGATTCACCTCCCACCGCCGGTGCTCGTCAGACCGAGACACCCCATGGATTCTCGCCTCCATATATCAATAGCAGTGCAGGGTCCTTGCTCGTTCCTCAGCAGTCCCCCTTTCGTAGCTTCGGGTCCGTCATCCCACAACCCCAGCAGTGTGTTTTTGTTTTCCCCACTGGACGGGACGTCTACTCGACCTTGGACTCGCCCTCGAAGTTCTCGCCGGCCACCAGGTCGGGGATCTCGTCGTCGTCGGCCTCCTTGTCACCCTCCTTCTGCTGCATGCTCTGGTAGGACTCGGCCAGCTTGCGGAGGGAGGCCAGGGAGTCGGGGCCGAGCTGGTTCAGGATGCCGGGCACGAGCTCGGTGAGCTCCTTGTCCTCGCCGTTGCCGTAGATGGCGAAGGTGTTTGCGGGAACGGCGGCGTGCACTGTTTGATTGGCCGTCGCATCAGAATCATCACCTCATTATGTATTGGCCAATGGCCTATGCCCTGCCCTCCCGAACTGTTGGCTCGGGGCAGTCTCGAGCTGGGCCAGCCTCGAGCCGTGAGGGAGGAAAGGAAGGAAGCGTGTGGGTCCGTGTCACATACCCTTTGGTGCGGCGAAGTGGATGACGTTTCCGTCGCTCTTGAACATGTTGACCTCCTCAATGGCCTGGATGGGCTGGACGTTGAGCTTCTTGAGGGCCTGCTGGAGCTTCTTGTCGTCGGTGGCGGACCGCTGGGGCGCCCGCTTCATCTTCCGGCGCGGGGTACCCTTCCCACCAATACGGGCGGAAGCACCGAGCTTCTTGAGGCGCTCCTGGACGTCGGCCATCTTTGCGAGGGGGTGTGTGTGAGAGGAAGAGGCGGGGTGTGATCGGGTTTCGAGGGTTGGAGATGGAGATCAGGGAGGTTCGCCTGACTGTGTGTAGCCTCGTGTCAGCCCGAGCTGTCGCAAAGAAATGACCCCAACCCAAGCTCTTGTGCCTGCAGTCTCGCCCTGCCCAGAGCCTCCATAATTTTTTGGTCCTGCGCCCTCAGGCCCTCCCAAATCCCGCCCTGTACTTTCCCGTCGCCGATGAAATCGCACCGTCAAGACATGGCCCAAAATTCAAGCGTACTCACTTTTGACAATTCGCTCGTGCTCGTCGACGTGATGGCCGCAGGGAGGTTGGTGAGGTGCGTGGTTGGGTTGTGTGGTACGCAGTGTAATTTTTGCTTGCGACCCCCGGAAAGTCCACGTGATCCGGCCTGCATCCGGCCCCTCCAAGACAGTCAGTCAGTCGGACAGAAGAGGAGGTTCTAGCTTCGACTGGCAGGCGTGAAGCGAGGAGCACGGACCACTTCGGTCACTTTGTGCTCATACGATTGATGAGACTGATTGACTTTAGGATATTTCGCTCGTATGGCAATCCTGACTTGACACACCGAAATGAGGGACAGGCGAAGTAGCGGGTATATGAGAAGTGAGGAGAATCTCTTCCATGTAGAGAAACCGCATTAGGCGGTATTGATGCACACAACCTCATGCCTGAGCCTCGCTGCTGACAGTCCCACTGCAAACCTCATACAGCCGGCTCACAGGATAAGAAATATGTGACGCTTGTACGTCGAACTGAACCCAGTCCCCGCCCCCCTGGAATAGAATGATGTCCTGGACCGACCAAGACCTGAGGCAGCACCTGTGAGGACGAACCCGAATTCGAGAAGATCCAACATATATCAGTGCCTCCTTTTCCTGTCCTCATGACCCGATCCCAATGCTCCCTGACGCCGTGTGAAAAAATCCGCCAGATGCCAGCTGATGCCATAGTAATACAATCGTACAAAGACGCCTCATTTCTGCGCCGGCAGACCGGCCTCCTTCCTCAATGCCTCGCGCCGTAACCGCTCCTCCTCGGCGGACTTCCTCACCTGCAGCCGCCGCATCTTCTTTTCTTGCTCCGCTGCCTCAGCCTGCACGACCCATACTGCAGTTTGTTAGCACAAGCTACTTTGCCTCTCTTCGTCTCCCTGGCTCAGAGCATTGATATATCGCCAAGATGAGGTAGACATACTTGGCTTATCGCTCTTGGAGTACTCCTTCAGCTTGCCCACAAAGTCGTCAAACTCCCTCTGCCGCTCGGCCCTGTTGGCGAGGCTCTTCTTCTGCAGGTCAGGGTTGTACTTCTTGAAGAGCTCCTCCTCTGTTGGGGAGACCCAGTATGTGAGCGCTGGCCCGCCCACGATAATTGCGCCGCCGCTGCAGAGATCGGTCAGTCGACTGGCTGGCTGGCTGGCTGTTGGGACACAAGCGCGTCCAGTGGTTTTCTGGAAAAACAAGACTCACCCCAGGATCATCTTTGCCCACATCCCCCAATTTGTTGGTTTCTTCGACATGGTTGGTAGTGGTGGAGTGTGGCACGAACGATCCAATGAGTGAGTGAAATGTATCAAACCACAGGATGAGTTTCAGTTCAAAGCAGCCCTGTCTACTCAAATTCGGGCGTCGTGACGTCGTTGACACTGGCGCATGGCTGCTGGTTCACTGCAGAAAACGGCGGCAGCTAGACAGAATTGCCGCCCGGGCTGTCAGCGGGAGACGGGAGCTCACTCATTGGACGGGCCGTCTGGCTAGGGGCCCACCCCCTGACGTTCAACCAAAGTCGACGCTGCATCTCCAGTCTCGACCATGATACAGGTGAAGTATGCATGCTTACTACCTGCTCGAGTGAAGATGGGACGGACGCCAGGGGGGGATTTGCTCGTGAACTGAGCACGTGTGCGCTCTGGCGAATCACTCTTGCCCTATGGCTGCCTCCCTAGGTAGAGTACCAGAGTACCAAACATCTCGCCCCCAAATATGCAATGCGGCCTCCCTCTTTGTTGTCGAGGTTCCCCACGAACATGGCCATCACTGAGGCAGTGCAAAAAACCGCGCCCTGGTATTGGGTTCGCTCCCAGTCCCACGGGCCGGAAGCCCGTTTCCATTTGTTATTGCGTCTGAAGTTGAGCAGTTCGATGCAACCTTGGGTCCCTACACCGCCTGTAAACAGGCAAGCAAAGCCCCCAGGTTGTACGGTAGGTTGTCGAGGAGCGTCAGGGACGATGCAAAGCCACAGGGAGCAATCGCGGTCGTGAGTGGTCGGACAGGGCAATCTATCTGAGCCAGACGCGCAGGCTTAGCCGCATTGTGTTTCCCTCGAGGAGCATTTAATTGTGGAATTTGTTTTGAAAACCATTTAGCTTCGATGTTTGTATGGTTTGTCGAGGAGCTGGGGCCAGGCCAGCGAGCCCTCTCGCCAAGTCCTGCAGGTTGGTGAATCAGGATACTTCATTGCCCGATGGTGCTGGCGGGATGAAATGGCCAAGCCCGATGAGATTTTCCTCAGGGCTGAGATCCTGAAACTGTAGGCCTACGAGGGTTCCTGTCGGGTAACAGATTTGTAATACACCATCGAACTGTGCGTGATATCTAATGTTCTGAGGCTGTCATGAAGGACTCCATCCCTGGTTATTGTATCACCACAATGACCAGTGCTGGGTTCGTGAAGGTTTACTTGGTGATTACCTGAGAAGAGTTTGGTTGCTACGAGGGCAGTTCCTGGTTAGGGCTGCGTGGCTTGGCTGGTGAGGCTTGCTCCCGCGTAACCTGGTCATGTATATTGCACGCTGCCGGGAAGATATTGCGCCGGGACAGAGCCTCATCAAACCGGTGTCATGGGGCAGGGATCTCCCAAACACACCCTTCAGCGTCGGGAGCCCAGACAGAGATTCAAGGGCAAGGGAAAGCTTTACGGGAGAGTCTCAAGGAAGGTTACCGAGATGCCCTGTTCGTAGATCATGCTCGGCCTGTATTCTAATGTCTCTGGAATGGGATGAGGACAAGCCTCCAGCGCAGCGGACCGTTAAGTCTCACGCCTGAGTCAGCCCACGTGTTTCGAGCCGCGTAGGGAGGCTCTGACGCGGAGGAGCGAAGACACGGGGGAGAAGGATGAAGCATTGCTGAGGACAGGATGACACTTGGGGGTTGTTGACCGCTGCATACCGTACGATGAGCAGTTGGCGGCGATGGCTTGACAGGCCTCTTAAAACAGCCCCATCCGTTCCAATACGCAGCGTAGAAAGCAATGAAGCTGGAGGATTGCTGGTGGGCATGAAGAAGGGGAGGTCTGTGAGGGACAACCTTGTGCTGGCGACAGGCAAGTCTCCAATCACGGTCTCGGCATTGCGGGATGCCAGGGCTGCCCCAGGGCCGCCCCAGGGCCTGGGGAGAAATGTCGCTTTAAGCCGACATATTGCGTGTGGAGAGCGTGTGCAATGCGTTAGGCAGGCGGAGATGATTTGAGGCGCAAAAGGTCCTGGCTTGTCGAGGCAGACTGTCACAGGCAGCTGAAAAGAGAGTTCGGCAGTCAGAAAAGAAGAGACGAGGAGGGTTTTGCCAAGTCTCGTCTGAGGGCGATCAGTTCGTGACTGGGGGAGACAACGCGTGGAAATTCGAGACACTTCATCAATGCGCTTGGATGAGTCTGTGGGGTGCTGAGCTGTGCTGCTTGCTGTCGGACTCGCGGCATTTCCAGAGGGCATGAACGCCCCTGCTCTTTTCTGGTTAATGGGACTGGATCTATTTTGTCAAAAGAGTAACTGCAGTCCCTCATGTATAGCACATAGAAGTTGAAGAACGTATTGGTTAGTCGGTGGATGGTGTTGAAGAACGACGGGAGGATCGGCTTGGTGGGGGTAGAAGGGGGTAGAAGGGGGTGGGAGGGCGAGGTGGGTGTGTGTGGTGGTAAAGATCTTTCTGGTGCAGCATCAGATCACCACCCGGTCCTCGGGAAGTTGCCGTGCCTGCAGTAGTGTCGTCTACACAGCTGGGTAGTAAGTACCCAGGGTGTGTATCGGCGGCGGCGAATACTGAAGGCTTGTGTATGTACGGCGACAACAAGCAGCACCAGTGTAACATTGATCTTATTCTTAGCGCCCCCAATGTACGTGTACTGTACTGTCGACGGTACTGTTCTGTACGAGTGATGATGATGATACGGAAACACAGGACTGCACCCGCACGCTCAGAATAACACCCTCACCTTGGGTCATGGGCAAGGCTGCCTCCGCCCGTGACTGTGATGCCTGAGCCCATACTACAGCTTAGCTATGACATGTAATTTGTGCCGTCCCCTGCAGTCTCATCGATGATACCGCAGATAATTAGATGAGATAGATCTCTGTGCAAAGCCACCCAACGAACCCAACCCAACCCAACAGCCAGCCTGCCAGCCTGTCGAGGCGTCTCTCAGCGGGCTGCCCCTCAGCCGGACCAAAACACATGGTGCCGACAAGACTCAGAGAACGGTACGTGCTTTTAGGTTTCCCCAGTTTTGGAGGCCACCCGCATCTGCAGAGTGGTCCTAGCCCATTACCCAAGCTAGGTAGCTTGCTACCAGGTGCCCTGGCCTGCCCGCATGCCCTGCCACAAGCCCCCTCCCCCAAACCTGCAACTGCAACTTGCAACTGCCCCATTCCAGACTCCACCACCACCCGTCCATTCATCCTTTCCACCTCCATGTCGCCTCCTGACAGTACAGTACGCATTTTGGACGACTGGATACCCGGTCCATTCTCTTAATTCCAAGCTTTTGTTTTATCATCTTTTTCCTTTCTCTCTTCACTTCCCCAACAATACTCCTTATTCTTTGTCTGTTCGCCGAAGTGGGACGTCCATCTCCACACTGCTCCAACCACTCACTCCTTTGACCGACCGCAATCGCATCGCTGCTCAGCGCAGCGCATCGCATCGCACGGAGCATTCTTTCAGTCCTTGACAGAGACAGGCTTGATTTTCGACTCGGGCACAGCGCAACCCTCCCGCTCGTCACAGGAGACCACCAGTCACACCAGACAGCTTCAGCCTGGCCCACAACAGTCTGAGACTTGTGCTCCAAGGCAGTCCGTCGTCCTATTCCCGAAGCTACCGAATCACCACCGAAGCCGCGAGGAAGAGGAGCCACCCGCAGGCGACGACAGCCGCGCGCAGTACTGCCACGAGCAAGAGCACCGCACCCAGTCTGTCTCTTCCGTTCACCACCGCCGTTGGACGTGCCCTCTTGTTTCCAGACTAGCACCGCGTCTCATGGAAGTAATACAGCTGCTACTTTTCTAAAGCATCACACGTCGAATCGGACAAGGAACGAGGGTCCGATCGACTAAAGTCAGGTGCAGCCCTCCTGCAACCGACACGACGGTGGACAGCGAGCTCACGAGAGCAGCAAAGAAACAACTAGACGCACAAATGGCTTATAACGGAGGGTACCCAGCCCCGCGTCCCTTCAACGGCCCAGGAGCACCACGGCCGCCACCCCAGCGCCAGTACACTCCTGCGCCGGGGCCACAACAGTACGACCAACAGTACGACCAGTACCAGGATGAGTACGGTCAGGGATACGACGAGTACTATGATCAGGGCTATGGACAACAATACGACGACAGGAACTTTGCCCCGCGAGGCCCGCCCCCGCGGGATCCCTACGGACCAGGCCCTGGCGGTCCGTCGAGAGGACCGCCTATGAATGGAGGCCGCGGCGGTCCCATGATGAGACCTCCACCCGGCCGAGGATACCCTCCCAACGGTGCGCCCGGTCGAGGACGGCCTCCCCATGTTGGAGCTCCTAATTCGGATCCTACGAGTAAGTAGCAACAGTGTTCTTTGCATTTTCTTTCTGTCGGCGGTAACGTCTAACTACGGTCAAGTGAACCGCTCAAGACCGCCCATCTTACCCCCTCAAATATCCCCAGGAGAGCCAGGATTTGGCGATAGCCCATTCCCAACATTCCCAGGCCAGAATCGTAAGACAAACCTGGACAAGGAACAACAAATTCTCAGCCAAATGGGCGCTCTGGATATTGACAACAAGAAAAAAGTCCCGAAAGGCAGGGCCCCAACCCGAGGTGCCTCCATTGACGACTACGGTCCTCGACCGTCCATGGACTCCCAGCGAGGGCCCCCTCCACCGCGCAACTACCCGCCGCAGGGCTTTCCAGAGCAACGTCGAGGACCACCGCCCGGTCGAGGAGGTTATGGCGACTACCCCGAGCCAGGCTTCGGGCCACCCTCGAGGACGATGACGATGCCATCGAATATAGGAGGCATGCAGGAGATGGCACCACCGCCGCATCGGTCAGACTCGGCGCCCTACGGTCCATCTGGCCGGGGGATGCCCGGGCCGCGACCCTCAACCGCGCAGGGACATCGCCCACCACCCCAGCGGATGCCCCCGCCAAATCAACCAGGAGCAGGCTATGGTGGCCAGGGCTATGATTATGGTCCGGATCAAGGATACGGATACGACGATTACTACAACGAGTACTATGACGACCAAGGAGCGAATGGCTATCAGCAACAGCCGCCTGAACCCGACATGCCCAACTTTGATGCAGCTCCTCGGGGCCGCAACTCTTTGGATCTGTCCATGCAGTCCGGCGCCCCAGAGCCCCAAAGAGGGCCCGGCCGGATGCCTGGGCTCAACACTGCGAAATCCCAGCCTGATCTGCGCCAGCCACAGCAGGCAGTATTCGAGATGGCGCCCGACGTGCCTCCAATGCCTCCAAATGGAGGTCAAGGTGGCTACGGTGCAAGGGCGAACGGCCCAAGTCCTCCTCAGGGTGGATTCGGACTTCCCAGCAATCCTATGCCGATCCGCCCAGGCCACCAACAGACACCGCCAAATGCCAACCCAGACGCCTTGCCGAGTCACCCGCAACCGGTGAGGGCAGGTCATATGCAGGGTTCTCTGGTCAACAACAAGCCACTACCGGTCCGCAACTACGGCGGCACTCCCACTCCGGTGCCTGCCCCTGCCCCCGCCCCTACCGCAATGCAGGGCGGTGGCGCACCCCGCCCTGCACCACAGGCAGAGGCCCCCGTGACGACCGAAGAGCTGGAGCGTCTAAGGAACACCGTCAAAGTGAACCCACAAGACCAAGCGACAGCACTGCGTCTGGCTAAGAGACTGATCCAAGCTGCCGATGTTCTTGTGCCCAACGTGGCGGATCCCAAGTCGCGCCAACGAGCCCGCGAACGTTACGTTCTGGATGCGCAGAAGATCTTGAAGAAGTTGTCGAATGCTGGCAACTCCGATGCCATGTTCACACTGGCCGATGGACTCGGAAAGGGGCTATTTGGCTCGGAGCCTGACAACAAGGAGGCCTTTACGATGTACCAGTCTGCAGCAAAACTCGGCCATGCGGCAGCCGCCTACCGCACGGCCGTGTGCTGTGAAATTGGCAACGAAGAGGGCGGTGGTACACGTAAAGACCCGCTAAAGGCTATCCAGTGGTATAAACGTGCCGCCATGCTCGGCGACACCCCAGCAATGTACAAGGTGGGCATGATACTGCTCAAGGGGCTGTTGGGACAGCAGAGGAATCCTCGTGAGTCCATTGGCTGGTTGAAGCGGGCAGCAGAAAGCGCGGACAGCGAAAATCCACACGCGCTGCACGAGCTTGGGTTGTTGTACGAGTCTGCTGGACCGAACGACGTCATCCTGCGTGACGAGCCGTACGCTTTCAGGCTGTTTAAGCAGGCTGCGGATCTGGGATACAAGTTCAGTCAGTACCGTCTGGGATGCGCGTATGAGTACGGGCTTCTGGGCTGTCCCATCGATCCGAGGCTGTCGATCATGTGGTATTCCAAAGCGGCGGAACAGGGCGAGCACCAGTCTGAGCTTGCGCTTTCTGGTTGGTACCTGACGGGCAGCGACAACGTGCTCGGCCAGAATGATACCGAGGCGTACCTGTGGGCGCGCAAAGCCGCCATGGCTGGTCTTGCCAAGGCGGAATATGCCATGGGATACTTCACTGAGATGGGCATCGGCGTTCCTGCAAACATGGAGGATGCGAAGCGATGGTACTGGAGAGCAGCCGGTAAGTTTCTCCTCTCCCTTTTCAAACTTGCCATAGAACCGTGTGTGATGGCTGACATACACTATAGCCCAGGATTTCCCGAAGGCCCGTGAGCGCCTCGAAGAGCTGAAGCGGTCAGGTAAGAACGGCCCGCGCCAACGAGAACGCATCACACGTAGCAAGATCGGCCAGCAGAACGAGGGCGAGTGCAGCGTGATGTAGGGCGTCACGGTTGCACCTGATCTCTCTGTACCTGCTGGGCTCGAACCTGCATTGCCGGCAGCACGAGATGCGGAAGCTGGCGGCATGATTGTGACTGCCTATCGAGGCTTGCCTGGGCCCGCGAACGTGGCAATGGGTAGGAGGACACCAGGGCTGGGTCTTCAAACACGGCCCGCCACACCCACACCTTTGCCTCCCATCCGGGCGGCAGATGGCGCGCCAGTGGTCACTAGGGCTGTGACGAAGGGGTTGTCGACCACACTACGAATGACTTCGGAGCAATCACAGAGCCGTGGGAATGTCGTGAGGGAAAGATATCAAGCCCTGGAGGAATTGCAAAGGAGCCAGAGTCTACAAAGAAGCCTCAGCCGGCCGATGATGCTTTCTTCGGTGAGAAGCTTCAGCTACGAGCTACCGACGCAGATAGCCGAGATGGAGCGCATGAGCAACCAACGTAGCTCTCCGCCTCCGATTCCGCCGCCACATCAGACGCCTCTCTCGACACCTAAAGCACCGGCGCCCTGTCGATCGTCCACTCCCCGGCCTGGGGAGGACACCAGGGGAGGAAGCTCGTGATGGCGTGCTCGGTACCGATCGGTAAGCACAATGGCCAATTGACACGCCGTAATACGAAAGCACGAGCGAAATGTTTCTTTGGTGCCTTGTGCTAGACACAGAGGCGTTCTATTTTCTCTTTCCAATTTTCTAATTGCATCGGATTGGCTTGCATTTCCGGGAGGGGGACCTGCACAAGGCGTCTGGGTCTGGTCTTGAATTGATTCAATTGGCGAAAGGAGAAAGAAAAGCAGGCAGGACTGGCATCTTGCGGATCAAACCATTAAGACACAGACTTGAGAGGGATCGTTGAAAGAGCGCGCTGCCCGGGATACCCACCTGCCTACTCGTAGTAGTCTAGTTGATAATCTTTGGAAATGCAAATACTATGCTAAAAGTAGCCTGCGACGGCCAGCGTGAAGTTACGTAGTCGTGTTGGCTATGACACGATGGGCGTGGCACGGGAGGCTTGCGGAATAGGAGATCGTCCCCCTGGAGAGCAGTTTGCATGGAGTAACTCACAAGTGTGTGTGACAGTGTACGGGCTGAGTCTAAGCCAGTCAATATCATCTACAGCGCGGGAAGACATTTCGTCTTCTGACCGTGACAAAAGGTGGTCCTCCAGTTGGTTTGTGGCCCATGCCGCCACAAGTACAGTAGACTCCGTGTACCATAACACCGGCAGATGGAGACGTTGTACGAACCACATTCCAGTTCCATACTTGCTAATTGTATATCCAGGTCGTCGCATCGCGCCGCTCTTGGGAGTATCCGATGCAATATCCACACCGTGCCCGCCATCTGACAGGACCCTGGACCAAAAAGAACAGAGGCTTGGCCTCCATCTATCCTCTAGCCCTCGTTGACAAAAGTTTTGTAAAGGTCTCCGACTCCGCGTCGGGAACGTCCCCCGAATCCCGCCAGTCACGTCACCTGCCCACCCACCACGGGCCGCGCGCTACATCGAACAGCGGGCCGTCCTGTGCATCATCATCACTGCGTCCTCCCCCCCTTTGCCTACCGCCACCACCACCATAGCCTTGGCGCCCCTCCTAAGCGCTCTTAACAGCCTCCTTGGCCTCGTCCTTGACCTCGCCGACAGCCTCGGCGACGGTCGGGTTGTCCTTCTGGCTGCTGCGCCAGAGCATGATGCGGGTGACCTGGACGACGCCGACGACGCCGAGGAAGAAGTTGACGGCGGCGAGCAGGTAGTTCTTGGGCTTGATGATGAGGCACCAGCGCGTCCAGATGAGGCCCGTGGCCGTCAGGGCGCCGTTCTGCTGCAGCGAGAGCTTCTCGGCCGGGCGACCGAAGTCGGCGACGCCGGCGAGGACGAGGGCCCACTGGTGATGGGAGAAGAAGCGTTAGTGAGAGGCGAGGGGATTGGGGCTTGGTCTCGGTCTATTCTTTGTACGTACCTTCATGACTGGCGCCCAGAAGTGCACCGTCTTGAAGCCGATGGGGCTGTCCCACATGCGCTTGAACCAGCCGACCTGCTGGGCGGCCTGCTGCTCAGCGCTCGCGGTGGACTGCCACCTGCGGCCCCATTGTTGTCGCTGCTGGCTGCGGAAGGCCTGTTGGAAGCCCGAGGCGCGCGAGAAGGCCTGTCGGGTCTGGGCTGCGGCGGACGCGGAGGAGAAGAGCGGGCGGGAAGCCCGGGTGAAGGCGGCGGCTGAGGAAGACATGGCTGTGTCGCTGCTGCTCTCACTCTCTCTGTGTATGTTGCGGGATCAATGGATGGATTGACGGGACAGAGGAGATGCTCGAGAGCAGAGATTCCTGGACGGCGAGCGAGGCGGGTCTGGCCGGAGTGGAGAGTTGGGGATTGTCCTGGCTTGGATGCTTGTCGGGTCTTGTGTGGCTCTCGTTTCTCGCGGTGCCAATCCAGGCGAAGTCAGATCAAATCGGGGTCCGATCTAAGGAGCGTTGGGGGTCAACCGTAGGGTCGGAAAAAAGTTGGGGGAGGAGCTTTGGCGTGCCGGAGATAAGAAAATGTGACGCCCCGTCCCACCTGCCGTTGCGCCCAGAGCACGCCTCACGTACCTAGGTGGGCAGCATGTACCTCTGTACCTGGTAGGTTACGGGGAGGCTCCTCGGTGCAGCCTTGTGCAGGGGTTATGCAGCTCCCCAAGTCCACCTGCAACCCGTCCAACGACACTCGTCACTCGCCTGCATTTCTCAAAGCTCGCCCGCCGCCCCCCAATCCAACAATTGACCACCGCACACTGCACCCCTGGGAAGGAAACACAGAGAGGGCCGACCACAAAACATGGCAACCAGATACGCATTCACGCGGTCCCTCAAGGAGGTCCGCTTCCTGTTCTGCCAGACCTCGGAGCAGAGCGCAGCCACCAGGTAAGCAAGCCGATTCGGGCGCCTCGTGGTTGGTCAATTGGGACCAGATGCTCGCCGCCCACGACACAGCCAGGCCTGGCTGAGGTGGCCTACACATGGGTGCATGGGAATGTCGAGAGAGAGTTGAGGCTAACACGACGGATCCCCCAGGGCGTTCCTCACGAAATCCTACCCGACCATGAAGAAGCACAACCCCTCGATCCCCATCATGCTGCGCGAGGCTCAGGGCACCTCGCCCAAGGTGTACGCCAGGTACGAGTTCGGACAGGAGAAGAGCCAGTCATTAGAAGGTACGTCACCCCTTACAGAGGAGCCAGAGGGCTTCTACCTACGGAACCCTGAACCGGGCGGCAAGGCGCGTGGTGCGCGGTGCGTACGGGCAGATGGGCTGACCGTGAAGCTGCAGGTTTGAACGACAAGCAAATCGAGGATGCCGTCACGACGCTGGTCAGGAACGAGTCATAGCGTTCGGGCGGCCGGTCGGATGGATATAGCAGCAGGCGCAGGCCGGAGTCGAGGCAGACGGGGGCTAAGACGCGCCACGGCTGTCGCGGGTAGACAAAAGGTCGGCGTGTATAACCCAATCCAAAAGAGCTGTGAATAAGACATATCATGAACAGATTGTCGGAAGAAAGCGAGGCTTGGGCGGATGAAGGTATGTTGGCTACTAAGTGGGATATCTATCCCCAGAGGCACTTGACGATGCCCCGTTTCGGTCTCCTATGACATGCCTATGGTCCCAAACCCGCCAATTTCGTGGGCAATTCGCCGGTCACTATCCAACGGTCAAGCATGAGACACGACACAGTTAGACGGACGAGCTTCAATTGTCTCTGCTCATCTCTGACGGTGATATCCTACACATTTATCCTGACATGCTGATCGCCTGGCGATCCAAGGCCATGAGGCCACACCCTTTTTTGCTCCTTTCTCATGCTCCTCGTTCCTCAACCCATAACTTCATTGACCTGCGTATCCACCGCAAGCCCTTCTAGACATCACCTCCGTTCTCGTGTCCAAGTTGCGTCCTCCCTCAGGACGTAGGATGCCCTCAGTGACTCACCCGAGCCACTGACTGCCGATTTTGTTCTCATCGTTGCCTTCCCGGAACCTTCTGCTCTCCTCTTCCTCTCTCCTCCTTCTCGAACCACTTCAACCTCCCTTCCGCTCCTCACCAACAGGAGCCTTTCCACCACGCGTTCCCTGTCCACCGGATCTCCCGCCCTGTCCTGTGGCGCCGCCACCGGACTTGCCAGAGGTAGAGCGGTTGTTGTTGCCGCTGCCGTTCTTCTTCCCGCCGGCCTTCTTGCCAGATCCCACAGTCGTCCACTGGTCCTCGCCCGTCTTGGCCTTCTCGCCCACGCCCACACCCTGTTTGTCAGCCGCCTGCGCCGGTGCGTCGCCTCGCTGCGCCAGCCTGTTGTTGTTGGGCGATGTGACCGGGGCCCTCGGGGCGACTATAGTCTTAGGTGTAACAGCGGTGACCGTCTTCGAAGCCGCGCCTGCAGCTGGAACAGAGGCCTTGACGGCCCACGAGGCTCGTCTCTGGGGCACCGCCGCCGCCGCCGCGAGCGTCGGGAACTCCTCCTCGTCCACCAGTTTCGACGCAATGCTCACGGCCGACGCAGCCTGTGCTGCCGTCTTCTTTGTGCTCGCCGGGGCCGCCGATGCTGCGTCAGATGACTTCGCACGCTCCTTCTGGCCGCCACCGCCACTGCGATCGGGGGCAGGGCCGGTTCGCTTCTTCTCCTTGGTGGGAGGACCAGGCTGAGTCACAGTTGTGGGGTCGGTGACCTGCTCTGCCGGCGTGACGAGGCGCTGCTCGACAGGTCCCTTCTGGCCTGGGAGAGAGGGCTTCTTCGTGTGGAACGGGATGGCTGTGGCAGAGAGGACTGAGACAACGCTCGCAGTCGGAGATGGCGGGATAGACGAGGGTTCGAAGGACTTGGCCGCGGCGTTCAGCTTGCTCCTGCCACCCTGGTGGTCTGCCTTCTTCCTTGGCGAGGGAGTGGGGGAAGTCTGGTGCGAGGCTGGTTCGCTGCTAGGCTTTTGCGGAGTCTTGACTGCCTTGTCTCTCAACCAGCCCTCCGGCTGCGCTTCGCCCTTCACAGTCGTGAATGGATCGTCGCTCTTGGGGCGTGGCCCTCTTGAAGCAACAGAACCCCAGCCGGTTGGCTTCGAGTTGGGGGGCAGCAAGGGCAGGGCGATGCGTGCGTCTTTGGTGGTAAAATGCATGGCGCTTGGTTGCCTGTGACGGGCGTCTGGCTCCTTCATCGTGGGCGGAGCCATCGCCGAGTCCCTCTTCACCTTGTCGATGGTGAACTTCTGGTTGGGGAAGAGGTTCGCCTCGGGTGAGCAGTTGTTGTGATCCTTGCCAGCGGGTATCTCGAAGACGGCCTTCAGGTCCGTTGGCGCCTGTTTCTGGAGTGAGTTTTGCTCATCACTGCAGTCGCTCTTCTGTAGAGGCTTTTGTGGCGATCGGTCCTTCTCCATGCACACTGAGCCGCCCGCGTCGATTTGAGAGCTGGATTCCTTCGAGTCATCCTGCTTGTTGACGACAGCCTTGCTCTGAATACTATCCGCCGACTCGATTGGCTCGGGTTCCGCCTGCCCCTGGGTCTCGGTTGCGGGTCCAGGGTGTTGAGTCTTTGGCTTCTTCGTTGGGGACTCCTTGACAGAGACCGCCCGGACCTGATCCTCAGGTCCCGCGCTCTTCGTCTTTCCCGCCGGAGCTGCAGATGCTTCCGCAGTGGATGGTTGCTTGCGCTTCCTTTGCGACTTGTTGTTCTTCTTCTTTGCCGCAGGCTGCGAACGTGTGGGCGATTGGGTTGTCATACCAGCGGCGGACTCAGGGCGACTATTCGAAGTTCGTGATACGGGGCGGTTGTTGGAAGCTTGAGACGCTCCACGGGAATGAGCCTCAACGGGAGTCATTGAAGAAGATGTGGAGGTAGAGATGTTGTTACTGGCCTTCGACTTGGTCTTCTTGGCCTTTCCGCCCTTGTACCATTGTTTCTTTGCCTTGTACTTCTGGGGCGCTTCCTCGGCCTTGGGAGACTCAGGTGCCACTTCAACACTCGTTCCTTCTGCAACGAGCGCTTCGAATTGTTGTCCAAGAGCTTCCATCTGAAGTGCTCCACTCAGAGCACCGAATCGATCCTGCAGGTTGGATGGCTCCTGCTCTGGGGTGTCCATCCATTCCCTTTGGGAGTGGGCTTCGGGGAGACTTGTGTCGAATCACTGTATTGATGTCGAAGTTCTCAGTCGCCTCAGTCAGCTCGGAACTGACCTTGCTGTAGGAGGTGGGGCCCTTCTTGATATGCTTTTCCATGGGCTGTGCTTGTCCGGCAATGACGGGAGGCTGGAATTCCTCCCCCGGCACAGCAAGGTGTGCGGTTTCCTTTCTGTAGCATGACGAGACCGGACCATCATCTTTGGCAACAGCTTCTGCGTCCGAATCCTGAACTGCATCACGTTGAGTCTGTCCACCCTCTTGGCTGGCACATTCACTCGGTTCTGGTGAGTCATTGCAGACCTGCCTCTCACTGGGAACGTCCCCGACATGGGGCGAAACGCTCCGTGAGCGCGAAGATCCAGTCTCATTCGGCAGGCAGACCTTGATGCCCCTAGCACCCTGAGACGAGACGTTGCTCAAACTGTCGGCGGCGGCGGCCTCGTCACTTGAGATGTCTTCAATGACCTCTTCTGCGGGCGGCTTGGATCTCCAGTCTTCCTTCAACGCCGTGACACCATCAGGCCTCTTGGGATATGTCTTGGGCTGGTACTCCAACCCGTTCTTGGGTCTAGACTCCGTCTTGCTGGGCTTCCGGTTCTGATCCGCACTATCGGGCTCCCATATTCCACGTTGCGTCGGTTGCTGGGGAACAGGCACCATATTGGGGAAGAATGGGCCGCTTGCCTCACCAGCCCAGAAAACAGGAGGCTGTTGTTGACAGTGACCTAAGTTGGCAAAATTAGGAGTGTCGAAGTGGATGTTGTTCGGCTGCTGGTTTCGATATGGGTTTGAATCACGGCTCAGAGTTGAGCTCGAGCGGCGACGTAGGCCCTTGGCCTCCCAAAGACCCCGAGGAAGACCAGTTGGGTTCTCGTGAGGAGGCGTATAGTGTTTTGAGTACCATGCATACCAAAGGCTGGTGACCTGGCCCAAGCCGGGGATATTTCTTCCCTTGTTTGGCCTGCTGCAGAGGTCTTGCATAGCCCGAACGGCATCGCGATCGGAGTTGAACCTGTGAGCAAAATATTCTTTAGCACCCCCTCCTTCGTGCATCGCCGGCTCTGCGAATCAACTCTGAAAACTTACACCACAAGAGATCCGGGTCCATCGCAATGCACGACCACTCTCACAGCTCCCCATTCACTCATGTAATTCATGAGGGCGGCCTGGACCCTGTCCGCAGGAAGTTTGTCGTGCTTGACAAACAGGCTCCTGGATGATCTCAAACATTGGTAGCACGGGCAATCGACGAAATCGTAAGGGACTTTCCTGGTTTTCTCGCCATGTCGGTTGTTCTTGCATTCAGGATTGGGGTTAGATGCCGGGGGCGTCGGATCAATGGCCAGACAGCCGTTCGAGTTCGATGACTGTGGTCCGGTCGGCGTATTGCTGTCCTTGCGTGACTTCAAGGAGTAGACAGGCCCATGAATTGGATCATCGCGGACCTTGCTGCGCGAACCGTTGGAGTTGACGCTGTCGCGACGGTCGTTAGGACGCCTCTTCTTGTTTCCCTTATCACGAACAAGCTGCTTCTGGGGATGAGGGATGTACCCATTGGGCCGATACACGGGAACATCGACATTTTGCTGGCCCATGTACTGAGGTGGCGTACTCATGGGGGGTGCCTGAGAATGACTCAATTGAGGCCGGTCCATGTAAGGCGGACGCACTGGCATCTGGTTCTGAAAATCCATAGCGGGCAGGCCTAGCATTGGTTCCATAGCACCATCCATTTGAAGACCCTTCGCTGGGGGAGGGAAACCATCCGGGTTTGAGGGCACGCCTTGGGTTGAAGTTGGCGGGATGAAGCCTGCAGGCGGTGGCTGCATGCCGTTATTGGGCGGACCGAAAACCTGCATCATGTGCTGCTGTTGCGAGGGCCCGATCGGGGCTCTCTGCTGCAGGAATGACCGCTCCCCAGAGAAAGCGAGCATGTTGGCTGGAATCTGCTGGCGATAGGGACCATATCCTTGGGGAGACCTTGGCGGCCCCCGAAAAGGCGCCTTGTTTCCGAACATGTTGCGAGGCATCGTGCCAGATTTCTCTGGGAACGTATGTTGCAGTCGATGTGCGGACTGCGAAACCCCAGCTGTCTCCGTGGCGGACACCGCACGAGGCGGAACGTTGTTCGTGAAAGGGTTGAGTATGGAATCTTGCCTCTCTCCAGGCGTCGATTGGGATGAAAGTTGTCGCGCCGTGATCTGAACACGATCGGCCAAATCTTGGTTGGTCAGGAAGTCGTCTTCGATCTTGTCTTTGCGGCCGTTGTTCTCGGAAACATCCTCAGCTTCCTTGACGGGCGACGGCTCGACTGTGATGCGTGGAACCGCAGTCGCGGGTGCAGACACCGTCTGAAGGGGAAGCTGGGGGGCTAAATCCGTAATAATTGTAAGGCCTTGAGGCTTCGTAGCAGTCTTTATGGCAGCGCTCTCCTCGGGGATGGTAGAGAGAGTCTGAATGGGCGACGGTGGAAGGGGAACGTCAGTAGGACCTTCACTTGTTAGATTGACAAGCCTGCGCCGAAAAAGAAGGGAGGAACTCACTGGTTGAGGCATTGGCAGTAGTACCAGCCGCTGCCGCCATTGGTTTCCGAGCCGACATGGGCTTGCTCTCTGCGGCGTGAGTGTAGAAGCGCGCAACGTTGGGCTTCTTGCCAGTGAGACGCTCAAAGTGGTATAAGAAACACTCGCGCAGGAAGTTCTGGCCAACAAGGTCGAGAGCCTTGAGGTCGTTCTCCCAATCAAACTGGCTGGTGACCGCCGTGAGGATGTCGCTCTTCTGGTTCCACTTGACGAGAGACTCGCGGTTGAATGCGGAACCAGGCAAGGCCTCGAGCCAGTCCAAGACCCAGTTGTTGCACTCGGTTGCGACCTGCTTCTCAACCTCACGCCAGTTGTGGCGCGCGTCATTCGCGAGGAGGTTGATGAGATTCCACAAGTTGACGACGCCAGAAATGTACAAGGTTGCACTGTCGAAATACTCGTAGAGGTCTTCGAATCGCTGGGGCGCGACCAGTGTCTTCATTTCGTCCCAGTGCTTCTCGCGAATGCGAGCTGCTTCAGACTCGAGTCTCTCGTCGTTCCAAAGGACCAGATTCCGACCCGGCAGTGGCACGCCTTTGGTGAGTAGCTGCGGCGGGCGGGCGCCGTTATTCGTGGACCAGCGACACTTTGCGTTTGGGGGTGTTGAAGTAGAAGCCAACGACAGGGTCGATGAGCATCATACCATTGCGATCTCGTACATAGTACCACTCGGTTCGTGAAGGGCGATCGTCCGCAGCGGTCGCAGACAACTGGGACGCGATCCACTTCTGCGAGTTGGATGCAATGACGGTAGCCATGTTGAAAGGAGGACTTTGTGTGGGGAGGAGTAGTCAAGTATGGAGTGGTCGCAAAACCAGCGCGATTGCTTTAATGAGAGGGGATGGAATGTAGCAAACACGACAGACTTACGGTACAGAAAGGGAGTGAGGATTGTCAGATTCGTGGGAAGGTGTGCTGTTTTGCAAAACAAGCTCAAATGGTAGTGGTATGGGGCACGAAGGTGGGTGTAAGCTTTGTGACTGCGTGAGGTTGAAGAAAAGGGGAGGGGGGCAACAACCTGCAAGTCGAATTTCGTCCGAAGCGCACCCAGGGCACAACAGCCAGCACTGCCCTAAAATATTTTGTTTTCGAAGTGAGATTTGATCAGACCTCCACATGCCCTCTATAGCAGCGTTAAACAGAGACGAATTTTCCGCATGGGTGCCTTGCAGCAGTGGTTTCGTTGGGGCTGTAGAATTTCTGTGGATGATCTTGGCCACTCGGTGAAGTTTCGCATGGCAGTGGGCACATGTCGACGGTGAATCTGTCTCAGTAAGAAGCAGTTCCGACAAACATTTCTCATGCCGGGCCTGAGGGTAACCTAGGCCAACCGCCTTCGACCTTGTGGCAGCTGTAACCTTTCAGATGGAGATGACAAAAGGCCCCTGTTCATACTGTGTCTTAGGGACGAGGGCACCCTTCTGAAACTGAGACAGCGCAATTCTCCTGGCATAGTACCTTTGTCCCAGACCCAACGAGCCTATCCATCCAGTCTTACCCAGGGAGAGTCAGAATAAGAAGTATGCCACAGAACACCGTCCTGCACCAGGAACATGGTCTCCGTAAAACATAATTGCATGCTGCAGTTAGGCTTCCAGAGCAAGCTGTCCTCCTCGCGACCTCGAGTGATAGACTCCATCGTTGCAGCTCAACCCTTTCACGCAAGGCACTCGCCCCTTCGAGATCTTCCTCGTCGACCTTCGCCTGGCGGCACAAGAAACTTCCCCGTGAAGTCGTCCATGTGAGATTGACTATTTTGCATCGCATTGGACATTCGTACTTCTAACCTTGATCATTAAACAGAGCGCAAGTATCACAGATCAATGCCAGAAAGGGGGAATCTCATTTTGTACAGAAGCTGCCATTGGAGCTGCCAAGAGTGCTACCACACCGTACTTATTTCTTGGGGATCTGGTCCAGGGCCTTCAGTATTTTGGATTCGTCCGCTCCGGCGATTGCCTTGCCATTGTTCCAATCCACCGTCTGCCTCATGTCAGCTGGGGTCACAAGAGGAAGAAGCAGGCAGGCACGATGAGTTGCACGTACCACAGGCCGCTGGAAGGCCTCCGCACTCTGCTTGAAGATTTTCAGCGCCTCGCTCTCGCTCGAAGCACCCTTTACGACGCTTGAAATCGCAGACTTGCCAACATATTGCAGGATGGTCTGGAGCTGGTCGGGTGTTGGAGGGTCTTCGGTGATGTTCAGCTCGAACTCGGCGCGGTGAGGGGTCGTCTGTGCCGAGTGGTCGCTGGCCTGGTCTTCTGTGGCATGCTCCGTAGCATTTGCCGATGCCTGCTTCAGGAGAGTGGCAACCCGGACTGAGGCCGGCGAGCTGGCCTTGTGGAAGAGGGTGACGATGTCTTTGGTCTTGTGCTGTGGATGGAACAGTCGGATCAGCGACAGAACGTTTCTTAAGGGACAACCGAGGTAATTGGCCAGTTTTCTCGGAGTCGTAAATACTTACAAAGCGGAACATTTTGAAGAATTGGGGGTGCTCGTTGACGTTATGAGTAAAGAATGTTGTCGAAAAGGCCAGGAATTGTAGACAGGCGAGGTGAAGTTGAGGTTGAGGTATGATGTCGTTGCTTCCCTATCGGGGTAGTCTGGGAGCTATGGCCACCAAATGATCTGTGAGTCAATACGACAGGGAGACGTGGGCTAGGAGCTGTGACAGCACCAGGTTCTTTTCTGGACTGAGATTTATCGGACTACCATTGCTCTTTACGTGTAACATAATTCTTGTAAGCACAGCGCATGCAGTTCTCATTGAATATCGCATGGTGCCAGGTGGGATTCAGTCAACATCCACGCCCTAGTCTACGCTAGGAGTGCTCACGGCATCGGCTGTCTCACAGGTCTTCGCCCCGTTTGCGTGCCACAGTGATAGTAGCTCACCTCTCCAAAATTGTAGCCATGGGCGGTAAGAATGTACACTCGAAGTTCTATTTCTGGATAGTCTTGGTTCTCTGGGCGGACTCCTCCCACCTACCCCCCACACCACCATGACACCACTCCAGCCGGGCCAAACACTTACAGATGATACCGGAACGTCAGGTTCTCCTTGTCAGTCAACCCAGCGTAGGCCTGCTTGTCCGTCACCTCGTCAGCCCTCCGTCCCCTCGACCTGTTCTTCAGCGCGTAATATCCCCCAGCCAGAGGGGAAAATCCAACCAGCAGGGCCCAAGCGATAACCAGAGTGAGTTTGGCACTCCTAAAGCCGGGAGCCTCCTTGGCTCTGAACGTCTCTGGTCCGATAATATTCCCAACAGCAAAGGCGGCGTTCGCGGCGGCCGAAACGTAGGCGCGCTTGGTGTGCCCGGCAACATTGCAAGACAGCCACTGGAATACAATGATAGTCGCCCCCGGAAGTACGTTGATCAAGTACATTCCTACAAGCAGGCCACCCTTGTTCGAGTGGGGGAGGAAGCAGAGAAGGCCCGCGCCAATGGTGCCAACCGCCCCGGCGAAGGTAATGACGAGCCAACGATGCCCATAGTACCGCACAAAGGAGGCATTGCACATCGTCGCGATGATGTTGACCACACCACACGGCATGTTGAGAAGTGCAGCCTCTTTAGATGTATAGTCGAACGACTTCAGGATCGTGGCGGAGTATGCTGTGACGACCCCGGACCCGATGAGTTGCAGCGTCACGTTGATGAACAGGAGCCAGCAGCCTATGTCGAGCAAGCCCTCCAGGAGCTGCCCCCGGGTGGAAGTGGGTGTTCTGGATGCCGGTCTGGTTGACTTTCACGTGCTCTAGCAGCGCAACCTGGTCGTCGTTGCTCAAGAATCTCGCGGTCATGGGCGTATCCGGGACCATGAAGATGACGAGGACACCAAAGGCAATCGTTATGAGACCTAGTACCAGGAACATGGTCTTCCATCCACTCAAAGCCGCATCAGCCGATACATGCTGGAAGCCGAATGAGATCAGTCCGCCGAATATCTGGCCAAGTCCCACTGTAAGGCTGTCAATAATCTTCCTTGCTCTGCAGTTCACATGCGAGATCAGACATCCACGTACTGCCACTGTACCAAAAGGAGAAGCGCGTGGACTGCTCCTCATAGGTGAAGTATTGGCTGGCGATGAGGATCAAAGCCGGGAGGATCCCGGACTCAAATGCTCCACTCAACACTCGCAAGGCAACGAGACCAGCGTAGTTCTCAAGGGCGGCATGGCAAGCGTTGCAGAGGCCCCATCCGATAAGACAACAGCCCAAGAACTTTGCGACGGGCAGTCTGTTGAGCAGCCACACGTTCGGTAGCGAGAACACGAGGGAAGCTATCCAGAAGTCGGCATAAGCGTGCGAGTACTCATTACCCACGAGGTTGATCTGCTGCGCCATCCCCATCTGCAGCATACAGAGTCAGCTATCGAAGCAACCAGGAAGCAGTCCCATACGGATATGGGGATGACTGTGTCACGGTGTGGCCATAGTCTGCCTCAAAACCCGCTGCCCGATGAGGCCTTTGAGGCACAGGCTACAGATGGGGGATATATCTTCTGGAGAGCGTGTAGATTGTATCTGAAAGCCGCTTACGATGTTTGCATACTGGGCCTGTTAGTAAATGGCTTGCACAGATCTCATCCCTCAGCCCATTTCCGGAGTGAGTGTCTTACATTCAACAGAACCTTATCGAGGAAGTTCAGTGTGTAACAGCAACATAAGAAAGGGATAACACGGAAGTCAACCCTTCTCCTCAAAGCGCGGGTGAACGAGGGTTGTCTAGACAGGGACACCGCCGCGTCATTCTTGTGCTCCTTGAGGAAATCAAGTGCTTGGTCGAAGCGACTGTCATTGTCAGAACGGTCCGCTAGCACCGTGTCGTTATCTTTTGGGGTTCCATCGGATTCATGAACGCTGATGCCCTTCTTTTCCACAGAAATGTGTGCCATTGTAGCGACCAATTTTCTAGATGGTGTAACTTGGTTCACTGAGATACGCAGGAGGTGGAATATGTTTATAGACAGGGGAATGGCTAGGGGTCTGAAGGAGCGGTTGGAATTTGTCCGTGGTTTCGATGTTAAGTACATCCCATGGTCACATTCTCTGCATAGTCCCACTTTCCTCTGCAACATGTCAGTCTTCCAAGCTAGAGGCCTCTGGGAGCAGCGTCCTGCCAGGCATATGCGCGTGTCGAGTCAAACCGAGTCATAGATAAGCAAATATTGGCTGGGTCCATAAGGCCGCAGTGCTGAGAATGTGCCAAGGCCACCATGGTGTAAGCACTATCAAGCCCATGTAACGTCCTCTCAATGGTGAGGGGGTTGCCATGCCTTTGATTCCAATGAACCCTGCGGCAGCTTGCATGTGTGTGACCGCACAGTATGTGAGTTCCCGGGATTTTAATATTTCAATAGAGGGGAGCGACGCAGAACGTACGTGACTCCGGTTGAGGATGGCGCCGATATCTCCGTCAAGAACGATCCTGAACGGAGTGCTGGCGATGTCACTGCGTTACTGCTTTATTTGAATCTCTGAAGCACAAGTAACAGTGAGAAACCTTTTGCGAATGCTGAAAGACAGATGAGCAACCCAATTGATCGAGTCTCATCACCAAATACTGTCTCCCACCTCCTTCTCAATCAGTTGATTTCGTCACTCTGCCACTAAGAACATCAAGATTGACATTCCGGTCACCGATCCCCATTTTTTTCCGTTTAAGATAATTGATATCGTAATATAGCTCGCCTCGTTTCTCACCTTTGAACCAGCATTTTTAAATTTCATCGGTCGCTGTAACAAGCTATGAGGGACGCTTGATCGTATTTTGAATTCAATGTCAGCAAATTTTGTTTGTCATGAGTAGTTCGTTGAGTATATTCCAGGCACTCATCTCGCGACTGAATTCCCAAATGCAGAAATTGCGACTTTGTCTCACGTCTGGTCCTTCAAGTGGTAGGAACGATGGCTCTCGTTGGGACCACGGACATATGATCTTTACATCCCAGCGAGATCGAGTTTCCTCTGATGTCTCCTAGTCGGACTTCTTCCCAGTCCTCCGATAACAGAAAAACAGAGCATGGTCCTGGATCGCGGAACTCCAGTGTCGCCAGATTCAACGGCAAGTCCGCACTGATCTCACCCTATCGCACCTGTGGTCAGGGTGCACTTGATGATTCCCAAAATGTTTTTACTACATCAGTAGTTTTAGTATCAGCCTCAGAGCTTGGCGATGCTCGACCAAGTCCTCGTCGAGATCATAGAGGTCCGTAAAAACAAAAATGTCAACCACACAGCCTGAGGCATCGGTTGTGACAGCATGGTAGTGCGGCTGTGGGGTTACGATGTTTCGAAATTGGTGATGTTTTCTTTGAATGAAGTTACAGACTTCTTCTCTACAGCTGCAATCACAGCTTGGACAACAAGCTCAATCTGCGAGAAACAGCAGAGAGGCTCATTTCCGTGTTATCCTACTTCCTTCGATTTCATTCTCTTTTCTTTCTTTTCACTCTCGGGGTATGTTAGTGACCAAAACCCAAAATTCACGGAGCTAAGTGTCCAAAGAGGGAGGGGTGGGTCTTGAGAAGGAAGTGCCCAAACCAGCAGTTGCTTTTGAGGCAGCTAGCCTCTGCACCGTCCCTTCAAACAGGCCGCTTGCGGTTGCCAATCAACACAACTCGTCAGTGCCTCACAGTGACCAACTTCGTTCTATTAACTTCCGTCAAACAGTGAGTAATTACGGCTTGTACTACCCTCTCAAGCTCATTTGATATACCTTGCGGCTCAACTGACATCAAACGCATTGCTCTAGGGACTACAACAACTCATTCCAATCATCGCTGGCAGCAGTACAATCATGCCACTGCCGTCTTTTCCATTGAATAATGGGACCTTGTTGCCTGCGGTCAGTACAACTTTCCCGACGGCGTGCAAATGGATCTTGGGACCTTGGACTGATTGTAGCTGTGAGGCTCCTCATCGTGCAGATCGGATTCGGTACGGGGACAAAGTGGTTCAAGCAGGATGGCAAGGGCCCACTGAATCAAGATCTTATCTAAGTCCTCAAGGCTGCCATTTCCTCTGAATTCACCCACATCGACACAGCTGAGGCTTATGGCACCGAGGAAGAAGTTGGCATTGCCATCAAAGAGAGCAACGTTCCACGCCACAAGCTGTTCGTGACGACCAAGGTCCTGGACTCCATCGACGAAATCGGCTCCGCCTTTAACAACAGCCTTCACAAGTTGCAGCTTGATTATGTTGACATGTATGGCCTCCCCACATCTCCACCCTTTGGTCATTTGATGAAAGACAAAATTGATCTCACGCTTGCCAGGTACATGATCCACTCGCCGTACTGGACAACCGGCGAATTGAAGTTACAGGACGCCTGGAAGAAGATGGAGGCGGTCCGTCGTTCCGGCAAAGCCAAGGCCATCGGCGTGTCGAACTACCTCCGCCCGCACGTGGAGGCAACTCTTGCCGTAGCCAGCATCGTGCCTGCCGTCAATCAAATCGAGTTCCAACCCTACTTGCAACGATCCGAAGATTACATTCCCTGGCTGCGGAGCAAAGGCATTCAGGTCTCTGCTTTCAAGCCTCTGACGCCTATCGCTTCAGCTGCTGGCGGCCCTCTACACGCTGTCGTGGAGAGGACCTCCAAGAGGCGTGGGGTGTCTGTGAACTCAATTCTGCTTCGGTGGCAGGTGCAGAAGAACGTGGTGCCCGTTACCACAACGGGGAGGGAGAATAGGCTGAATGAGTACCTGGCAGCTGCCCAGTACGAGCTTACGGAGGAGGAGGTTGATGAGATCTCGTCCGTGGGGTTGACTCATCTTTCCAGGAATTGGGGCAAGGACTTCTTTGCTCCAGATGATAGGACTTGATCAAGGAGAGATCCGGAGGCTTTGTCTGGGTTACATAGACAAAATCATTCCGTCGCTTTGAATGCTCGGGCGAGAGATAGAATTTTGTGCAATGGTAAAGATCCATTGCAAGGGCCTGTTCTAGCACAATATTCGAGCCCCTGATCCATTCGGAGAAGAAAATATGCTCGTCCATCACATATCTGCATCGGAAGCACCTGTGAGCAGGTGTTCAAGGAATCAGCTTGTGTTGCGCTTGTGTCATGTTACGAAACATAGCCGGGTATCGTATACTCTCCGTGTCCAGAGCCTCTTCCACGCGTGTGATTATTGCAAGAGTGCCAGAGTCACGATGAGCTCCATTCAAAAACGGTTTGAAAGCATGGCGTTGCATTTTCCCCCAGCGTACCTTACCAGGAACCGGAGCGTGGGGTTCCACGAACATGCAGGTTGCTGCAAGTCTACCCGGCTTCGAACGTCTCATTTGCGGGAACTTCACAGCATAGCCTGCATGCTTTCTCAGCGCTATACTTCAAATTATCTAGGCAGATTGGTTGGTGGTCAGCGCAAGGGAGACGGGCTACCTCCTTAAAACACAGCCCCTATTTCGATGGGATCGGTCAAATCCCAGTCGTATCTTGTTCTTCTCGACAATCTCAACCATTGCTCAAGGTACTTGATAGCACATTCATGGTTGGCTCACTCTCGTTCTAAGTCAGCCTCAAGCCACTCGTTCGCTCACCTTCTGCCCACACCGCCTGGGAGCTGCTTCGGCAAGAACGACAACTCGGGAACGTTAGCCACGAGGAAACCGCCTTCAATATGCGGCTTATCAACGTCCATACGTACAAGCTCCAAGATTTCATGGGGGATTTATCGACGTATCCGAGCTATGCAATCTTGTCGCACACATGGGAGAAGGAGGAGGTTTCCTACCGAGATATGCAGGAACTGTCCGTCGCCAAATGGAAGAGAGGGTTCAAGAAGATTGAAATGTGCTGCCGACAAGCAGCCGCTGATGGATACCATTGGGCCTGGGTCGACACATGCTGTATCGACCAGACTTCAAGCGCGGAACTGTCCGAGGCCATCAACTCGATGTACAAGTGGTACGAGTCTTCTATGGTCTGCTACGCTTATCTAAGCGATGTGACCTCGGTCGAGAAATTCAAACAGAAGATCAACTCAACGTTGGCTGCACCACGCTGGTTCAGGAGAGGCTGGACGCTTCAAGAGCTAATCGCACCCCTTCGCGTCAAGTTCTTTTCGAACGGATGGCGCTTCCTTGGCTCCAAGCAGGACCTCTCCAGCCTCCTATCGAAATGGACCGGAATCCAGGTCTCGGTACTGGAGCACCAGGTCACTATCCACGATGTGTCAGTGGCTAACAGAATGCATTGGGCATCAAAGCGACGGACAACCAGAGTTGAGGACATCGCATATTGTCTGCTTGGGATTTTCGACGTGAACATGCCCCTACTATACGGTGAGGGTATGAGAGCGTTCGAAAGGCTTCAGGAGCAGATCCTCAGGACGACGAATGACAGCACCATTTTCTTGTGGCAGCTGAGGGACCGGAATGAATATCCCTCTAGACAATGGCTGCAGACGGCGAGAACGAACAGATTGGGAAGCATGTTTGCATCGAGCCCAAGAGAGTTTGACCGGATATGCGATGTCGTTTCCCTGGCGGACGACGACTCTTCTGAGCCTCAACTAATGCCACGAGTGAAGGGCCTTCGAATTACCCTTCCCATGAGACAAGTTTGCGAGAGTGATTTCGACATTTTTCCTTTGCCCGAGTCATGGAAGGATACCCTGGACAGTTCGTACCTCGCAGCACTACCATGCACGTTCACCCAACCCCCATGGACGGGTAACCGGGTGGTGGTCTTCCTTCGTGCTTACGACGCCAGAACTTCTCCACGGGATGGCCTCAATTTCATAAGAGCCACGACCTTTGTCTTCGCCGTTCCGGAACTGGAGGTCGCAGAGTGGAAGCGCCACACGTGTCTAATCCGCGGGCATCTAAGCAAGCCGGGGCTTACCTCTAACGAACTGCGTGTGCGCAGTCACGTTATGCTCGGCCCTGGGGCGCCTTTCTCCGTCGAAATGATCGAGGTAAAGAGGAAATACTCCGAAGGTCATCTCTTTGATTCGTTATGCTGGTACATGCTCCATCATCATGACGGGGAGCAACAGTATGTTCTGGCTTGCGGTCTCAGACCCGACGAGTCCAAGTCCCCTGTGGCTTTCTTTGAATGCAGGGAGGCGCCGCAAGACCATGAAGATTTCCACATGCTGCTGGAATTGATCGAACGCAAGGCCAGGCTATCGGCGCAGTGGAAGTCCTTACGCGATGCCTATGGTCCAGTCGCCGAAGAGCAAAAACAACTTGAGAATGGGCTGGTGTTGGACATAATTCTTAAGCGCGAACGAGGAATTCCTCAGAGCCCTGTCGACGAATTCAGGATACAGCTTGAGTGCTACACACCGCCTCGTATTGTGTTGTGTGCGGTTCACCCAAATACACGTCTTCAACTTATTACCTATGGCGGCTGAAGGGCCAGCGCTCCAAGCTCCGGCGGATCATGAGGATGATGCGAGGAATGCCACTCGCTCGAAATGGACCATTGCAGATCTCGAATAATTGTCCAATAGATAAGTGTCATGGGTCAAATTAATCAAGAAATAAAGGAACTTACCAGTGTCTAGTGGCCTATAGTTGGCCGGGCAGGGTGGATCACGCCGGCTACATACATGAGTACCTGTGTAGATACATGGTCCATGTAGCACAATCCCGCAATATGCGGTGAAAGCTGGGCAGCCAAAGGTGCAGATTGGGGAGCTTCAGAGCGTGGATTTTCTGACTCCTCTATGCTGTCTGTTACGAGATATGTTGTGAGGTATCAGCATCAGTAGACATACATCCTGGGAACTCAAAGAACCTTGACGCCAGCTGGCAGCCTCCCAGAATCAGGCACACTTGCACCTTGAAAACAAGGACCTGAGCCCTATCTGATGGACCAGGCCACATTAAAGGCACACTAAGACATATAACCACACCGCCTTCAGAGGAAACCAGTGAAAAAGAGCAACTCATCCAACGGCCATGTAGATCAATCGTAGATCGCCACTCTCCTATATTGGGCAAAGTGGAGGTTGCGGGTTCAAGTCCCGCCATGGTCTTCGCTGACATTTGTTTTCTCTTTTGGTGTTTTGGACTTTTTGGAGGCCGTCAGTAGGAGTGTGGACATGGATGGCCTGAGGGAGGAAGCCAGCTGGGAGGCAGCACTCGAGACTGATTCCTTGCCTTGCAGCAGAACATTTGCCCAGAGCAATCATGATCCTACTCATCAACACTGATGCCACTGAGAATCTTATCTTGCTATTTTATCAAACAGAACTATTGTACAAATTTGATTTGGTCGGTCAAGCCGGGGGTCACCTGGTTCAGATAGCTCTCCCACTACAAACGGCCGGGCCCACACTAACCTCGTATACATTGGCAATCACGGTAACAACAGGCGAGAAGGCCAGCGGAGAATGTCGTCTAGAAAACGTTCCCATATCTGCTGGGAATCGCGCTTAGGCTCAAGGGAACAATGATTGATATATCCAAAAAGTAGGCTATGTCCTCCCCAATGCTAGATTATCTCACATGTTTTGTTACCCTCCCCCATCGATCTCATTACGCCTTCTTCCCAGACTTAACCTTGGCACTTTTCTCACTTCCAGACGGGGTACTTAGCCCACCAAAGACGATGGCGGCCACCCCAGCGATCCCAGCAGCACCGATGGCGTACGCGACCTCGCGCCCAGCCCACCAGTACACACTCGTGAACAAGATGGGGCCGAGCCCACGGCCGACCTGGCCCCAGCTCCTCATGACGCCGAGCTTTCCGCCCCTCTCGCCTTCGCTCGCCTCGAAAGATGCCAGTGCGTTCAAGCCTGTCACGACGGTCGCGGAGGTCGTGGCCAGGAAGGTGGCAGCCAGGTAGAGCATGGGCACGCTCGTGAGACGCCCGAGGAGGACGAAGGCGAGGAGGCAGGCGAAGACTCCCGTCTTCACGGAGAGCAGTGGGGGCAGGCGACGGGTCACGCCACCTTGTAGGATCGACGCGATCAGCCCGACAAAGCCTAGGAGGCGACCGTTCTTTGCCGAGGAGTACCCGAAGAGGTCGTAGGTCATAAAGGGCAGCGAGAACTCCATACCGGAGAAGAACAGCAGGAAGGCGAAGTGAGTCGCGTTCAGCACGAAGTGAGAGTTTGTGCGCTGGATGGGCTGCTGCTCGGCGGCCTTCCCGTTGGTCTTCTCCTCCTTGGTGGCATGGCCGTTCGTGTTGTCCTCAGACATCGAGGGCAGCGTCTCCGGCAGCGAAGTGTACAGGTAGACGGTCTCGGTGACGATCAAGAACAAGCTGAACCCCGCGGCGGTCGCGAAGGGGTTGGCGGCCACGGTCGGAATGCTGCTGAGCCATGCGCCGAGGGCGGGGCCGAAGGTGAAGGCGATGGAGAAGCAGGCGCCGATCAGGGCCATGGTGCTCCCTCTCGTGGTGCTATCGCTGATGTCGGTCGCGATGGCCGTCGCCAGCTGGACGTTGCCCTCGGACAGCCCGCCGACCACCCTGCTCAGGAGGAAGGTGCGGAAGTCCACGGCCATGACCCACAGCAGCACCGAGAGTATGTTGCCAATCATGCTGGCCAGCAGTGCGGTGCGCCGGCCGTACCTGTCGGACAGTGTCCCGATGATGGGCGACGCGACAGCCTGGAGCAGGGAGAAGAGCGAGCCCAGGGCGCCGCCGAGCAATACGATGTCATAGCGAGAGTCGATGGGGCGCGCAAAGGCGGCCTTGTAGGCATTGAGCTGGCTGAGCACCCATGATAGGAGGGTGTCCTTTGGAGGGGCGGTCGGGTCGGTTGGGGCTTCGGAGTTGCGGTAGAATTCGAGGAGCTTGGGGAAGAGAGGGAGGATGAAGGTGAAGGATATCTGGCGCATTCATGTCAGCAGATGGGTCGCGAGCGAGGCAGGGCAACAGATGCTATATTTACCAAATCCAGCAGGAGAGAAACGAAGACGACCTTGAGTACCCTCTTGCGGGTGGCCGCATCGACTGATCCCGCCATGGTGGTGCTCCAGGCGTTGTGGAGGTCAAAGCGAAAGTGGTGAGGAATGGCAAGAAACAGCTGCAGTCCGGTAAAGTCAAGAAGCCAAGTGTGCTGATCCGGGAGCGAGAGACGGCGATGGACGGGACGAGGGTTGACAGAAGGAAAGATGGGATGATCGAGAAGAAACCGAGGGAAAAAAAACTAGAGGTACACGTTAGCAGCTTACAACAGGTGTTTTGTGACGAAATGCCTGGAGACTTCGACGGAGTCGGTTTTGTTTCAAGCTTCAGCAGTGGTGGGGCTGACGTACGCCAGCCTTGTGGCATCAGTGAGTCGTATCCGTACAGCACGAGGGCCGGGCGGTCGCTGGGAACCCATGTGCCCCCTGCTCCTCGCTGCAGACAGCTGTCATTTTAGGTATCTCGGGGTCTCGGACGGACCCGTTCAGCTGCAGGTCCATCAATGCCCCTGATCCTAGCGCAGATCTCGACAATTCGACCTCATCTCTTGGCCCACACCACATCCGGATGCTCGTGGGGCTCCGGTCTTGACCTGCCACTTGAATGATTTATCGGGGCTCAATTGCATTTCGGTAATTGCACTCTGCGAATTACAAGACGTCGTTTGGTCATCACGGGCGATGACCTCGTGACGAGGGCCATCTGCAGCTTGATTGAAGGACGGCCAGGGCATTACTGCTTGACTTAAGGCGCATTAGATCCATGTTTAAAATAGCATCGAGTCGCCTATTTTCGAACCCAAACAAGCAACAGTCAACACTGCCTCACTCCGGATGAAGCACAACACCTTCACGGGGCAGTTATCCCACGTCACAAAAGCCGTCGCAAAGCTGAAAGTTCAGTCCGTCAGAGACCAACATACTGCCGGCGGAGATCGCTCGCTAGTCATCCACCAGTTTCGTAGCTAATTGTAAGCATAGCCATAGCTGTTACTGGTCAAGCCCCAATCGACTGGACGAGGCGTATGACACTACCTAGGTAGGTGACACAATACATATGAAGACCGACAGCGAGAAGACCCGGAATTTTACGGCTGGGAAACAAGATGTGTCCACCCTCTTCGCCTTATGATGTATTTGGTATGACTTCTCTCGAGGTTCGTCCTCTGGTGTTATCACTTTTGGTCCCTCGCTCACCAATTGAGAAGAGATACCGTCACGGTTCACATCATATCACGGACTGCCAGCGTGCTTCCGTGGAAAACAAATGTGCTGTAAGAAACACCAGCGATCATGCGCTCACTTACAGCAGTCAGATCCCTTGTCTGGCCTACAGACAGGCTGCACAGTCATGAGCAGCAGGATGCACAGAGGAGTCTTGTGAGTTGGGCAATGACGACGTAACGTGATGCGTAGACCAAGAGAGATTCTGCGGTCGGGAGATGGTTTTAAACACGCCATTGATCATTTACTCGTGCTTTAATGCGTCGAATCTCTATATGACATGCTCTAGTTGATAAGTAGTTCCCTGTTTCCCGCACGAGCGGAATTCAGATTCCTTCACTGCCCATAACAAACCACCCTGGACCGCATCAGACGCGTCCAGGTCTATACGCCACAAGCTCTAGGTGACCCTGCCTCCTCTATATATCTCTCACAACCACGGCTCACACAATATTCCATGGCTTAACCCGCCGCAACCAGGCTCATGTAGACTCCCCAGACAACACCGGCCAGTGAACCAACCAGGTTCCTCCCCTCGATACTCTTCACAACAACAAAGTTGAACAAGCTCACCATGGGCCAGAGGCTTAGCCCGGCCTTCATGATCGGGTAGAACTCTACCTTTGCCTGCTCGAGCACCAGCCGCCAGTCGACCTGGCTGTAGTCGATGGCCTTCCCGCTGGTCAAGAACGCGATGTCTGACGCGTCAGTGGCGAGGGCCCTGTGAGCCATAGCCTGCTTGATGCTGTGGAGGAAGCAGCTGAACATCACGGTATTGAATGCGGCGCCGATGGTCTGGTCGAGGATGAACTTGATGATGGTGTTGGACACATCAAGCTTGGTCTCGACGAGCTTGCCCTCGCGGGCCTCCCGGTCGAGCTCCTTGTCATTGGAGCCGGATGCTGATCTGATGGCCTCCGACGATGGGACGGTCTTTGTGGCTGGGAAGGTGGACTCGAGGAAGTCTTGCCCTGCAGAGGTGTGAGCGAGAGAACGCGGGTGTGCGACACTGAGTGCGGCATGGCAGCCAGCGCCGGTGAGGCTGCGATATATGTTATGGCTTCGAGACGTACACAGGAAGTTGGGTGGGGTGGACACCACGGTAAAAAGAAAAAATTGGACTACGGGAATCCAGTCGACCACGAATTGTTTCTAACACACGGTAAGCCGAAACACGCGGTTGAGAAGCTTCGAAGTTGATCATACATCACTCCGGTAGGCTGTGATGGCCTGGGCCAGGATGTTTGATGTTGCGCTCAGCACTGCGCTCTGGGCGGTGGCCGAGACAATGGGTGGGAGGGCCATCTTGACACTGGTCCTCGAGCTAGCGCTGGTTCCTGAGCGAAGTGTGAACAGTTCTGTCTGCGCGTGGATCTGCTTTGGTTTAGATTATCCCCTTGGCTGGGTGCAGGGCACAAGCATAAGAGTCTGCTGCAGCCTTTGTTGCTCCGGGCCAGAGCAGCTGACGTCATGGAACAGCGTCGAGCACAACAAAGCTGTCTCCGTCTCCACCCCCAACCACCCCCCTCTATACTCAGCTCGAGCAGGCCCCTAACCCGCGGAAGGACCGTGCCGATTGCAACGCCGTATTTCGACTCCCGCCTGTGCACTGCCCGGCAAGATTTCCTTTGCCCCGAGGCAAGACAGCATTTCTCAGTCGACCGTCTCTTCGTTCATTCCCCTTCAGTCTGACTCACGAGCTGGACAGTCGACTGACAACCTATCTCACCGGACTGAAATGGTCGTCTGATCGTGTTGAGGCTCGAGGTAAGCAGCCGTCTCTCAGGTCCAAGTCTCATCCCGCACGTTCCGTTCCGTTTTTTTTTTTTTTTACATGGCCTCAGCTCCGGCCCACCGTGCCGTGCAGCACGGCGCCGTGTCCATTCTCCCGTCAACCCCTCAACTCCGCAACCGACGGCCGAGGTTTCTCAGGCCCCAAGCCCGACCAAAACCCGTCCATGTCCCGAGGTATGGCGGGATTGCGAACCTTGATCCCCAACTATGCCCAGGATTGGCGCTACTGGCCCTTACCATTACCTCGTCCATAAAGCACCACGTTTCCACCATAAGGTCTCAAGATGGTGCATTCGGCTGGTCTTGCGCCGCATCAGAGAGCATTTGCACAGTTATGCTTCTCGTTGCGCTACCTATGCCAGCGAGGCTTACTACACTGATCTCATCGAATAGCTGACAATCATGCTGCAGTCTTCACAGGCCTCACATTCGCCACGGGGTTCCAGGTCACCCGCGTGTCACCCGACCTCGTCATCACTGTCCATCTCTTTCAATCTCACGCCAGCTACTTATTCCCAGCCGCCGTCACCGGTCTCTTCCGTCTTCTCATCCACATCCTCCACACAGTCCAGCATGGCATCATCAAATGAAGCAGACCCGGTGTCCACCGAGGTTGAGAACCACTACTTCAGTTCGAACCCTCCTCCAAAAGACCTCCCTAAGCATACCACCCAGGCCGAGGAGTTCATCAACTTCCACCATGCTGCCAACCGCCGCGTGTGCCTCGTCACGTCAGGCGGTACCACCGTTCCCCTAGAGAAGCAGACAGTCCGTTTCATCGACAATTTCTCTGCAGGCACGCGTGGCGCCACGTCGGCCGAGTACTTCCTCGAGGCCGGCTACGCAGTGATATTCCTGCACCGCCAGTTCTCCCTGCTCCCTTACTCCCGCCACTACAGCCACGCGACGGACTGCTTCCTGGACTTCCTGACCGAGGGGCAAGACGGGACGGTCGTCGCCAAGCCCGAGTTCACGCCCAAGATGCTATCCGTGCTGCGCAAGTACCACTCGGCTAGGAGCCAGAACCTGCTGCTGACGGTGCCGTTCGTGACGATCGGGGACTACCTGCACGAGCTGCGCGCCATTGCGCGCCTGATGCAGCCTTTGGGTCCGGACGGCCTGCTGTACCTTGCCGCCGCGGCGTCCGATTTCTTCCTGCCGCAGGACAGGATGTCGGAGCACAAGATCCAGAGCACGGGTGCCGTGGACGGGGTTAAGAAGGCGTCCGACAAGGCGGAGACAAAGGCACCGGCGAAGGGGAACTCGAGCGAGGAAGAGACATTCGACAACTTTGACTCGAGCCCCCAGGTGCCGAGGAGCAAGAGGCTTGTAGTGGACTTGGACCCCGTGCCGAAGTTCCTGAAGAACCTTGTCGACGGGTGGGCCCCGCAGTGCATGATTGTGAGCTTCAAATTGGAGACAGACCCAGGTAAGCTGACATCGAATACCATTGTAATTTTCACATCTATCCGATCATTCTCCCAATTCGAATTCTTTCTGCTTCCCTACTGTACAATTTCGCATATGGTGCTGATAACCTCTCTCAAGAAATCCTCGTGCACAAAGCGAAGTATGCCCTCGAGCGGTACAGCCATAACCTCGTCATCGGCAATCTGCTGTCTACCCGCAAATGGGAGGTCGTATTTGTGTCGCCAACCCGTCCGGACAAGTGGATCCGCGTGCCGTCTGTCCAGACCACAGCCGGTCATAAGAGGACGATCAGTGAGACCGAGAAGGAGAAACCCCTGGATCCTAGCACGCTGCCCGAGGGAGATCCGGAGGTCGAGATCGAGAGTATCATCATTCCTGCCCTAAAAGAGGTTCACACTGCCCACATTGTAGAGGCTAAGGGCACTGAGAACGGGGAGAAGAAGGCTTGATGCGCGACACTGCCAGTGTTGGAGAAGGGAGAAAATTCTTTTTATTCTCAGACCTTGGAGGCAGTCGTTGGCAAGTCACTTGCTGTAAATACGCGAGTAAGTATATATACATATTATACATTATAGAAAGGTCACGCTGCTCAGGCTGTGATGCTGCCTCAACCTCAGCAACTCGGCGATGACATTTAAGAGCGCGCAATAGGTACCTGGGCTGTCATCAAGTAGATCTGCCAATTGTTGACTTATGAAAGCTGCAAGACATCTAGGCTGATGAGATCAAAAGAGGCAACGATGTTCAGATGACATCTTATGAGTAATATTTTGGCGGAGCATCAACCTAGGCGCAAGTCTATCAAAGTTAGCAAGTCTGACAGGATAAGACGTTTTGGTAAAAGACAGACAACCTACTTTGATTTTCTTAGCCGCACTTCAATATTATCACACTATGTGATACCGCACTGGACTCCTCTGCCGTCGCCACAGGACTCTTGTAGGCTCTCCTTTCCACAATAGCATTAACAGCCCTATGCCTAAGCAACAAGATAGATTAATACTGTGCTGCTATTCTCAAGTATCTCGTTTGTTGCTTTTGCTGGGTGGTAGAGAACACTTTTCCTGGTTAATCTCATAATAGAACAGCCTTGAAAACTAATGGAACTACATATAGGACAAGTAGTATAGTGTGCCAGTCTCGGTTATCACTATTTTACGTAGACGTCTCGCACTCATAGAGACAATTCCTGCTCTTCTTGTCCACGTAGTTGGAATGGTCGCCGGATTATCGATGACAACACCATGTTGGATATATCTAGTCAAAGTCTAGACGATGCCAGAAAGAGCTTCAAAGCGTTGTAGACGGATGAGTATGTAAGAAGTCTTCTATTATTGCGATCGACGAGACTCTCCGCTCGCGTAGCGTCACATCTTATCTCAGTTGTCATGACTCGGACCCTGAAAGCCCAAAGCTTGGTAGGATTAAGGTACGAGCCGAATACACGGACTAGCACAATCCAGCCTTGTAGGATTGATGAAGTTCATTTACCCAATCATTCACAAGAAATCAGAGTGCGTACTGTAGCAATGCAAACGAGGCTGACTCGCAGATGCGGCATACTTTGCATTACCTCAAGGTTCGTATTGCAGTGCACTTGCTCTGTCCTGTGCCGGCCGATCCGGGCTCTGGACTAAATAAGCATACAGATAAGCAGTCAAAATCCTGGGGGAAACCCACGTGAGATTTTCACAAGAAAAAAAGGGTGCAGTATCCGCTCTGGATTTCTTAACGCCCAATGAGCTTATCGCCACGGTGGGGCGCCAATCTCGTGATGGTCCTCAAATGGATACCATGGGATTCTAGCTGGACTTGGCCCTCCTCAGGCTCCCGAGGCATCGTGGCGAGATTAAAAATGTCGTGCTCCCCGTGCTCGACGGCAAAGGAGCTGGGGCGCCGTTCCCGAGCAGCCCTTCTTCTTGCACGATAGCGTCAATTTCGCGGCTCAAAAATGGCCATCCGCTCTTTTATTTTCGCCGCCGCGGCGACGACGCTCGCTTCGGCCCAGATCACGGTCGACGTGACTGAGACGCATCAGGTGATCCGCGGCCTCGGCTACTCCGAGGCGTTCCAGCGGTCTCAATGGGTGTACAACACAATGTCGGAAGAGAAGCAGCAGGAGATGTTCGACCTCCTTCACGACCCGGTGACGGGCGCCGGCTTCTCGATCCTGCGCATCGGTATTGGTTCGTCTGCCAACAACTCCAAGGACTGGATGGCCAGCATCCAGCCAGAATCACCTGGGTCCCCAGACGCAGAGCCTACTTACGTCTGGGATCGGAATGACTCTTCTCAGGTGTGGTGGGCAAAGGAAGTCCAGAAGAGAGGCGTCAACCTCTTTTACGCAAACTCGTGGGGAGCCGACGCATATATGAAAGACACGGGCAACACTGACAACGGAGGCCTACTCTGTGGCGTGGCCAACACATCCTGCGAGACAGGTGACTGGCGCGAACAGTACGCAAATAAGCTCGTCCAGTGGGTCAAGTACTATGCCGAGGAAGGCATCAACATCACCCACCTGAACCCGCTGAACGAGCCCGATATCGCGGTCCCGTACGCCTCGATGCAGGCGGATGGCCAGCAGACCACGGATATCCTGGAGAAGCTCGCCCCCGCGGTCGCAGACGCGGGTCTGGATGTCAAGATCACCTGCTGCGACTGGGCTGGCTGGGAGGACGGCCGGAAGATCCTGAGCGGGATCCAGGAGACGGGTGGCGAGAAGTATCTTGACGTCGTCTCAGGCCACGGTTATGGACAGCCGCTTTCAGAGCCTTACGATACGCCCTTGGAAGTCTGGCAGGGCGAGTGGGCCGAGCTCTCCAGCTACTTTGACCAACCGTGGTACTCTGCTGCCGGCGATCCGAAGGGCACGTACGGAGGGGGAGAAGGACTTACCTGGGCGAACAGGATTCTTCATAGTTTCACTGTGTCGAATATCTCGGCTTTCCTCAACTGGATGGGAGCTCAGCCATCGAAGTAAGTCACACTGGCAATGGGACTATCTCGCGTCAAGTCTCCCGTATACTGATGCGCAACAGTGCTGCTACCCCCGTGATCCGAACAGTCAATGATACGAATATCCTTTCCAAGCGTTATTGGGCGTATGCTGCCTTTGGGAGGTGGGTTTCGACCTTGCGTGACGACTGCCTCCAATGGTGTCTTTGCTTTTACTAACTGTTCACAGATACGCTCGTCAAGACTCATCCAGAGTGACAGCCACATCTACTACCGACAACATCACAGTGGCGGCATGGGTCCCTCAGACAGCAACATTCCCTGCCGGTGGAAACCTGGCCATGCAAATCATCAACAACGCTGACGAGGAGAGGACCGTCCCAATCAACATTGACCAGCTCAAGGAGGTCACCAACTACACCGCCCTGTTGTTGAATAACGACTTCGACCTCACCGAGAGCGATTCCGTTGTTGAGGCCAACGGCACAGGTATCACTGCAACCATACCTCCCAGGTCACTCGTGGTTCTCGCGATGGATGCTGTTTGGCCGTGAGTTGGCTCCTTTCCACCTGTCTTGCCCCACAGGAAGCCATGCCGTGAAACTCTCAGAGTAGATGTGCTGACAAACCACAAGGGACGGCATGGTTGTGAATGCTCAATCTGAGGAAAACAACGCCTCCAAGCTGCTGGGGATCAGCCTGCCAACGTCGGGAAGCTCCTTGGGGTTATGGATGTTTGCTACTGCCGTGATGTTCATAGCTCTATAATCCTAATGTGATAATACCCTCCCCGTAATGATACTTAAATGATCAAACAACGGTTCAGAATCACTGTGTCCATGAGATGCACTCGCTGATAGGTTTTACGCTGGTACCTTTTGAGGCAATTTAGTAAGAGAAAGGATATTTACACATGAAGAAACGGATGGTATACAGATACAATATACGTCTAGTGCACTCACAACCAACACACCCACACCCAGCATACCCAGTACACCCAGCATACCCAGCATACGCAGGACACCTACAACTAATACACCTATGCCCAGTTCATATGTATACTATAATACTAAACTTATATACTATTGGTATATAAACTGGGAGTAAGTGTGTAAACTGGGTGTGGGCTTGGGAATTGGGTGCGATTGTTTCGCTTTAACTGACTGGGGGAATATTATTGAAGAGGTATATGTGTACCATCTGTTTTCTTCTGTGCGAATATCCGTTCTCTTTTGTAATGTGCTTGCGACTCGTTGTGCTCTGGTTGACTTAGTACATAGCATAGTAGAATAGCCGGATCTTGATTATAGAAGACTAGGGAAAGATATGTTTGTTGTGGTCGGTACCAGAGCGGCTGCTCTGCTCACACGTTGCACCCAGTACATTGTGAGGTTATTGTTTTGCTCACAGTACCCTCTAGAGCGAGCCACCAGGCCAGAGAGTGGCATCACAAAGCAGCAGCCATCCACCTGCTCCTTTCTCTACAAATCATGTGAGTATTGGAAGCAGGAAGCAGCTGGGTGCATGGGATTGGCACGTCATACGATGAACAGGAGTCATTGTAAATGGGAGCGCATGTCAATTGGCTGACTTATCAAAGTGAACATGCTGCAAGACTTGGCACAAACATGACATTGAGAAGCGTTCCATACAAACAACATCCCTTGCCCGCCGCCATGCCATCCCGATGCTCACCAGTACAGACCCAAAAGCTCCCCATTCCCAATGAGTCTGACAAAATGTTGGCGCTATGAATCCAAACGTCACTCAAAAAGGCGAGAATACCTCGGCAGAAGACGAACATGTCCCAAGATTCTAACAATAGAGGATGTCAGCTGTCGTAGTTGATTGTAGTCAAAACTTTGAACCCCAAATCCAATATCATCGCTCCTCGCTACCCATCCTACTGGCTGTCTGACTCTGCACTCTCGACGCGACCCGACTCGGCATCCCGGCGAGGCCACTTCCTAGATCTCGTAAAAGATTACCCAGGCTCTCCACCAGCGGCGGCAGTGGTTCTGTGCGAACAGGGTAGTTATCCCTAAACAGGCTTCGCGCGATAGATAGCACCTTGCTCGGGTCCAACAATGGCTCTACTGCCCCCTGCGATGTCTTCAACGCGGGCACGCCACGGTCAAACTGCAGGAATGCCTTGGTGTCTCTCGTCTCCTCCTCGTTGAGGAGAACGTACTTGGTGGGCCCGCCGCCCGAAACCGAAGAGGCTCTTCTGATGCCGGTGTTCGCTTGCTGCCCATCCCCTGACTGCAGGTAGCCCGAGTCTGCGTCATCGACACCTTGGGGAGTAGGCGAGCAGAACAGCCCGTATGTCCAGAGTGTCATACTGGCAAGGTAGACGGCGATCGCGTTGAACCCTCTCAGGCTTGCTGGAGGCAGCCTCTTCGCATTAGCGAAAACTTGGCCTGCGTGCCAGATTGCGTGTCGTGCATCAGAGGTGTTTGCCCAGTTCTCTTCCAAGGACGTGCCCGCGCGGCGCGACTCCTCTTCTCCGGACTTTCCCGCGAATCTTTGAATCTCGTCCGGGGAGACGTGCATGATCATGAGGAATAGCTCGACGACAATTGCAAGAAGCGTGCTGTGGTTACGAGGGGTACTCGACGTATGTATAATCGATGAGAAACCACTGAGATCCTGGTATAGTTCCTGGTGTTGTGATTTGAGCCATAGACGATTGGTGCCTCCCTTGCTTGCCGTTGCGAAGAAACGAACAGATTCGCGATAAGCCCAGACTTGGCCCCAATAGCCGTTGAGGACGGCACTGTAGCATAAGTCAATGTCGATGAATTCCTCGAGTTCATCCAGGACGTCGACACAATGAAGCACTTCAGAGACGCGCGGTAGAGGCCTGGGCATAGTTGTCTTGGAGTGATGGACCTGACGCCACGCTTCCGCCGTTGGGGTGCACCACAGGTCGCGAGATGCGGGGAGAGTAAAAGCAAGTTCGCTAAATGAGACCAATGGGTTTCTTTGAAGAGAAATGGATGTTTGGACGTCGTGAGAAAAGAGGTGGAGTATGAGCCTGGATTGGTCAGTTCGCGCGACTTATAATTACGATAGGCTACGGCTTACCTCTTATAAGATTCACGTGATATAAACTTCTTCCACTTCGCCTCGAGAGCCTCGGGAGAGTCCGAGTCCAGCGGGAGCAGGGCGGAAGAGTCAGCTGGGGCAGAGAAAGCACCAGCTCGTCGGAGCATCTGAGACCTGTTAGCTGGTGCGTCGATGTTACCATACTCCAAGGACACTGACGGTCAGGAGAGGCTGCAAGAAACTCTCTGCTATCTCCATTTTGCGCTTGAATCCACTCCATATCCCCACATCCAGGGTGAGCATAAATGTTTGCAGAGCACTTAGATTCCGGGTATGGGCATTGAGCTTCTCGAACTACATGTTTGGGTTAGTATTCTGGCCATGCTTCTATTCCTCTGTGGATTCGAGGACGCTCACCAGATCCGCAACTCCCAGCCGCACGACCTCGTGAATTGCGAGTCCAAATTGCCATATGGCTGGCACGGAAATGAAGCTCGCGCCGCTCGATATGATGGCTGCCAGAAGCTCTGGGAGCGCGTTCTCCGGGTCGAAGGAGGCAGGGTGTATCCAACTATCAAATTGGTGCTCATCCTGGACGAAATGTGCTTGAAGAAGGTAATTGAGGAGGTCCAATGTGGGGAAGGACGGCACCTTTGCCGGATCCTGATTCTGGGCCAGGACAATTGAGAATATCCGATCCCGTTGATGGGCGGTCATCTTGAGCCTCCGCGACGGTCTGTCCATGAGCTTCCCGAATGCGGGTGATTGTGAGATGGACTGCTCATCTATGTGGAGTCCCTCCTTCTGCTGCTGCACGTAGTCTTCCTTCTTGGGGTCCCATAGCCACGGTGACCGCTTGAATGCGGAGTGGCCGCGTGAGGAGTCTCTAATCGTGTTCCTTGGAGAGGGCCTCGTGACCGGATTGGTCGTCGAGGATTGCGGGCTTGGCCCTTGGATGTCGAACTGTGGAATAGAAAAGGCATCGAAATTCATATCCCAGGACATTGTAAAGTCCATGTCCTGGAGGAAGTTGCTCATTGGGTTGAAGTAAACCATGTCGTCGGATATGGGGTCAATCAACGAGGCGTGCTGGCCCATAACATCAGGCATGAAGGGCGTGGGCGCCATGGCCTCATGCATTGGCATCTGAGCGGGCGGGACGTTGTTGCCCATGGCCGAAGCGACAGTGCCACTGTCAGAGGGCGAGTCGCCTGTTCCAAGAAATGGGTCAGCCAACGTTGCTATGGCCGGTACACGGCAGCACAGATCTGCTGGTGGGAGGGAGAAGACAAGGCAGACCTTCTGTGGAAGTCTTGTACTGGCAGGAGCGCCTCGTCGAGGCCTGACAGGCAAGCTTTTTGGCGCGGCATCGCCCGCAGGGTTTCTGGTCATCACATTTGGCCTTTGCAGAGGCACAGGCCTCGCAAGCCTGGGCAGCTCGGTCACTGCGTCTTATAAATGACTTCGACTTTCCAGCATCGCGATCATGGGTAGCCTCATGTCGGTTTAGAAGATCACTGTGGTAGCGGACAGGTTCATCCATCAGTCAAGCACTAAGATTGGCATTATGAATTGTTTGTGGTGAAACAAGGGAAGCAGCAAGAAATGCAGACTCGCAGAAGGGTAGCTGGCTGCAAGAATGGATGGAGAGTGGCTTGGGACTGGTGGGCAGTCATACGCTCGGTTGAATCTCTTGGGACACCTGGTGCATTGATATGGTCTTGCGTTCTCGTGCGACCTGAGATGCCGTGTGAGGTGATCTGCTCTCTCGTAGACGCGCTTGCAAATGTGGCAGATATGGTTGGAGGAAGAAGCAAAGGAGGTGACGGAGCCGGCGACTGGAGGAGATGCCTCGGATCGCTTCACCTTCTTCTGCGGCGGCGAGTGCTGGGTCTGGGTTTGGTTCTGTGTATCGGATGGAAATACGGATGACAGCAGCAGATCGGAGCCTGCAGCGTCGCACAGGATGTCGATGCCATTCTGCTCCGTCATGGTCAGTCGCACAGGCGTGGGTGTCCGGTGGTGCTAAAGTCGAGGAGGACAGGAAGCTCAGAGTTCCGGGTGGAGGAGGGGGGGACCGGTAAGTGGATGAACGCGGTGCTGCTTGATGGTAGTCTAATGAGAACTGGCTGATTCGCGTTGCCGATTCAGGGGTCCTCTGCCCTCCCCTATTGGGACCCCAGAGCCTCTTTGGGCACCCGCCAGCACCGTCCCCAGCCGCCGAGCGTTTCAATCGCAGAATTCCGTCCCAACGAGAGTCCGGCTGCACGGCCACCCGAAGGCAAAACGGCTTTACTGCCGTATGCAACGGCAATGAGCAACCACTTACTGCCCTCATTTTCCTCTCCTGCAACAAGCACTCACAAAGCCTGGCATGCAATGCCCTTTTTTTTGGGTCATGTCCTACGAGAGCCAGGAGCCTCTGTCTATCCACCTGATCTGCAACGGCGGTCTGAAATGACCGTACCAGGGGAGCGGCCTGTGCAAACACACAAGAAAAGAGTAGGTATCAGGGGCAGAGCCTTTGTGCTTCAGAACGCTGCAACAGCTGTGCAGCTGGGCAACCCGGCAGCCCACCCATCTGCTATGCCTAGTGCGTCGGGTAGCCCCACCCCCGCAACGACCCAAGCAGCCGCGGAAAGTTTAAATTCCCCGGTCGTCAATGAATGCGGTGGGGAATCAGACTGGTTGATTCCGCGGTCGAAGAGGCTGGCTTCCACAGCTGATTCCGTTTTGAGACCTAAATAACGCCCTCATGACGAGGCCTGCATGGACTAAGAACCTTGGCCTCGTAGAATTTCCTGTCAACTATGAATCCTCCCATGTTAGTTAACCTGTTGTAGGATAGTCTCTGCGGAATCCCCCTTCCTTCACCTTTTAGCCTCTGGGGTAACCTCCCGTGGGATAGTCTCCTCTAGGATAACCTCCTCTGGGATAATAGGATTAATTTCCTTTGGGATAATCTCCTCTGCCATAATCTCCTTTGAAATAACATCCTCTAGATTATCGTGTGCGTATAGAAGGTGATTCTTTCCAAGAGTGAAACCGCCCAACCGCCCAACCGCCCAACCGCCCAACCGCCCAACCCCCCCGGCAAATTCGCTGTGAAGCTACGATGTCATCCTCTGCCACCAACCAAGGTCTTCGAATACCGCATTATAAACTTCTTCCCTGATATAAATATCTGTCTCATTGCTGTGCCTGCATTGCTTGACTCTGGAGTCTGGAGAGGAAGAAATTTGGTCGTTATTCTTTTCTTACCAACGGTCTCCTGGTGAATTCAGTTCTATTTCACCATTAGAGTCGGCGACATAGCCAACACAAACAGAATCTTGGATACCGATGGAAAGATCAAGTGCGCCATCTTCGACAATCCTACACAGGCGCCTAGGTACTGTAGTCCAGTAGACAGCAATCTGTAAATCGGATCCCAATTATGATGTGACATGCGCACGTGGTAAAACTCAGGACTAACTTAACTAGCTTGCATCTGCGTTCAGTATGACACCTCTTCAGGGATGAGTGGCCTACGTGCTGAGGGCATCACAGCCCTACGCAGTATTCACGTCTCCGGGGCAGGAATTCACCATTGGGGAAAACAAACAAGTTCAAATTCGACTGGCTTCCACAGAATATCTCTGAGAGCACCAGGATCACCCGAAAGGTGCGGCGCACGTATGCTATGTGAACGGATGAACCACCAACGCGCTGCGCGATGCATTCCATGTATGAGATATGCGATGAAACCACAACGTGCAGGACCGCCCGGCTCTGCCAGAATCGGGGCGGCCCTTGAAACCCAGACAAACACCGGAGCCCCGCGAGGGACGGGCCTCTTTTTCTGCTTGCAACCACCGATGCAAATGCTGACGTGGATGATGATGCAGATCAATGCCGCCCCCTCTGGCCCACCGGCCGGGCGAGACACCAAACAAGTCCTACCAGTGATCTGCCACGAAAACCGCCCCGTGCCATGACCTCAGGAGACTGTTGCAGGGCTTCTGGTAGCCCCTACTTGCGGTAAAGACCTCTCAACCGCCCCATCTTCCTCCTCACACCCAGCCCCGAGCCCCTCTCCCCGCCGTCCGTCGGCGGACTGCCGCCGTCGCCGTCGCCGATCTCCAATGCAAGGCTCGGCCTCGCGGACCCGGCAGGGTGGTCCTTCTGCAGCTTGCGTATCTCCCGTCTCTCGCCTGTCAACGACCCAGACCGCCTCACGTCGACCAGGGAGTTGCTCAGCAGCCACGATGAGGGCCCGCCGGCCAGGGTGTATGACTTCGCCCTCCTGTGGCTTTGCCCTTGCTGGTTGTCCGCCGTGGCTTGGCGGTCTCTTGTTGATTTTGACCGCGTTATGTCCGGTTTAGATTGCGACTGATGCTGTGACTGATGGTGTGTTTCCTGTTGTTGGCCCGAGTTTTCGTGGTGTGATGATGTGGACTCCGGAATCGTGACGGTCCTGTTGTCGAAGTGGGGGTACTGGTTCCGACGGCGATGCAGCTTATTGGGTCCTGGAGGCGGCATTCTCTTTGTTTGGTCCAGGATGAGCGGACGGGTGAGGAGTGAGTCCACATGAGAGGCCCGAGAATGAAGGGAGCGTATTGATTCCATGTCCGGGTCCGGGTGCCGGGACGATCGGAGAGACTCGGCGTCCGCATCGGCGTACGGATCCCCAAGTAGCGAGTCCATGTGTGAGGTGTGATCGTCCAGCTCGGTAGCCACGTGCGTTCCCCCGATGACCTGCGAGGGCCGCGTCGCAAAAGGTGGCGACATGGTGTGGTCTCTTTGAGCTGTGAAAAGTTCAAGATGGCCGTTGAAAGAGACCTGAGAGTCGTAATCTCAACGTCGACAGCGAGGCAACACTTTGTCTAATAAGAATCCTTTGGACCAGTCTAGTCCAGTCCAGCCCCTCCACAATGTTTTGGCACCTGCAGAGCTGCGAGAAATGAAATATGCGGGAAGAATGTGGTACGACTGGAAAAGGCAATATCAGCCTCCTCAGGGGCTGTCGCAAGCCGCCTCGTTGTCGGGATTTCCTGTCGCACCACGAAGCGCTGCCACAATCTCGATTGCGTCAAAGTCGGGAGGAGAAATGGCCGTGGAAGCTGCACTTACGCCAGTAGGGCACGGTGAGTTGAATGAAATGAGAAACGACCAAAGTGCAAAGAGGCTGAGAACAATGCAAGTGAGGTGAGGTTAAGGAGAGGTTTCTGTCCAGAATCATGCGAGTCGAGTCGGGGTTGGGTTGGGTTGGACTGGCCGCCCGGCCTGATTTGAGGCTTTGAGAGAGAGAGGCTTTGCAGCGATGCTGCAGTGGGCGCAACCCTGCTTCCCCTGCCACGCCTGCCTTCCCGTACACGCCGTGCTTGCCACCACCAGCGACCAACCCTGTTTCTCCACAGCTCCCCCGTCAGCCCCCGACCTGAACCGGCGAGCACTGGCTGGCTCGGCTGTCCTCGCCCAGGCCTGCCAGGCCTGCCAGGCCTGCCACCAGGCCCGGATGCCTTATCGCACCCTGCTGATCGGCGCCACTACTGGGCCCTGACATCCACAGCACGCCTGTAAACAGCATAGATTCGTCCACTCGTGGCAAATCCAGTTGCCAGCAAGGGATGAGCTGGTGGTCATCGCTGCTGCGATGCCAGTTTGAAAAGGCGGTTTACTTTTCAAACTGTTTTCTGCTTGAGATGATGCTACGGTGGGAGCAGAAGGGAATTGTATGGTATTTTGTCCCGACCAAAGTGTGATTAGACACAGCTCTGTGACCGGTCACCCGCCATCCGCCAATCTGACCTCACCGGTAGACCCCCTTCCTCACCAGCCCTCTTACACTACTACTTGAGTCTGAAGAACCTCAAACCACAAGTCAAAACACTCACCCACAGATCAAGCTAACACAACACCCACTCACCGCTAACCGCAGATGCCGTCACCCATGAAAGCGCCTCGGACCATGTGCACAGCCTGTCCTGACTTTCAATAAATGGCCCGAGGGACACAGGCAGACCCCTCGTGACCACAGGATCGTCTCTGTGGGCAAAAGATACCCGTTGGATGTAACCCTCCCTCCCCGCCGCCAGAGGACCCTGCATGCATAGGTACGCAAGGACAAAAACGCTCGACAGCGAACGAGAGCCAATCGACGGTAGCCGTCGCCGCTCGGTACCGTGGTTCGGCGCTTGCCCCGGATCTCAAAAACCCACGACGCAGATCATCAGATCATCCGTGAGCGGACTCCCACATGCAATAGACTACCGTCTGGTGTTGCTTCTGTTTCCGTGGCATTAGGTGGCCAGATCTGAGAAGCTGCAACATTTAACAAAGGCCTCATCACAAGCCTGTGCTAGGACGGAGTGAATTGATTACCCAAGTTGACTGCAACTCGACGCGCAGGTGCCAAGAGAAATCACGAGAATTACTTACGGGGTTCCAAAGCCTACTTTTTGTTGCACCTGGCCTTGAAGCCACATCAAATTTAATATTTCACACTGCACACGAAGTTCCATGCTTTCATATGTGACAACTCATCGCATTCATGCTATCAAGCTGCTCAAGCCAATGGATGCCAGTACAGAGTGGACCAGCATCGTATTTCCTTGGTACACCTGTGTGCGTCCCTTTGCTGGGTCTTCCGACCGAAGCTGCATCTCAAACCCCCCCGTAGACCTGAAACTAAAGCAGAAATGTTGACCAACACGTCGGGTATAATGTCTGTATGTTATCTCCAGCAAACAAAGAGAGGCAAGAAGGACACAAAAGATAATCCGCCACAGAAAACGTTGGACGAGATGAGCCCGAAATAAGCAATACTCCCCTTCCACTGCTGCAAAATCTCTCAATGGCCCCTTCGGCCTGCAAAACAGTATTGAAAACCCGTAGACCTCATCATGATTTGCGACCGTTACCACGGCCCCGTGAATCCATGGAACTCCGTTCAAGACCGAGCTGCTTCGTGTATAAGACATGAAATAAAACAGGAGACAAAGAAAAGTTGATTCAGCCAGGGAGGGCCGAAAGGAACGTGCGTGTTCCACGATGCAGAGTCGCCGACACTGTGCGAGTCCGTGTGACTGGCGCGGGGCGATCGACCGCGGATCAAAGGCTGATAGCCTGAGCTCGGGAAAGCATGCCTTGGATAAATGATGCTGTACAACGCCGATTCGATGCAAGAATATACAAGTTCCGTGATACAAAAACCCAGAGAACATGAATGAAGGACGATTGGTTGTGTAATGAGACGTACTAGCCCCAGATTGGTGCATTCCTGTACGCCGGTGAATTGTAGCTGTGCAAGATTCGGTAAGGCGGGTTGCCCATAGCGTGTTGCGGTCCGCTCCCCGTGCTGAAATTTCGGCGATGTACAGAAGGAGGTTTGGACCATCCATGGGAGGTACCGTATTCCGGGCCATGGGTAGCCCCCTGCATTCTGTTGCGGCTGAACCCCTCAACGCTCGACTGGCGCCTCAGGGCGGCATTGTTCACGTATGTCTGGGCACGGGACATATCATTGTGAGCCGAGAAGGAGTTGTGGCGGCCAAGGTTAAGCGATGAATCCTGCGTGCCGAGAGAATTCTGACGCGTGTGGGGATCCCAGTCAGCAGTGCGATATTGGAGCGTGCCCGGAATCGACCCAGCTCGTCGGACACTGTCCAGAGAGCGCTGAGTATTCAAGGCTGGGGCTCGAGGCGCAGGAGACGGGCTGTCTCGAGTGCTTCGACCAGATTCGTAGCCCCGATCGACGAGTGCTTCCGGGAATTGAGGACGAAGAGCCGAGCGCGGAGGTGGCGGGGGAGGCCTGCGCAGTGAACGAGTTGCCAGGCTGACCGGGGGTGGACTCCTTAACCTCCTTGACGGCGAGCTTGCCCTCGACGTCGGGCTCGAAGGGGACAAGAGTCCGGAAGAGGGAGCCGAGTAGCTTGACGGCATGGTATTCAGGCTGTATGTTCTCCATGGCTGACGCGACCCCTGCGTTGGTGTCATGGTCATGGACCTCCCAGACCACTCTCTTGGCTGGGTCTGGGAACCGGTCGTTGCTTGAGCAGCAATATATGGATGGCTGCGTAGGCTTGTGCTCGCCGAAATCTGACCGAAGTTCGTTGCCCTAGCAGGCATGGTATTGACCACAGTCTCTTGCGTAGGACGTGGGTGTGGAGCCTCCCTAGGCGATGATACCGCCTTTGGTGCGCTCGGCTTCTTGTTTGGCATCATGGAAGCGGCGGCTTGCTTGAAATTAGACTGCATGGAGGTGATTGTCTGCCTGATAGAATTCTCCTTAGCGTCCCCGGAAGAAGTCTCATCCTCCTCATCCAGCTCCTCGTCGCTATCATCGAAGAAAGTCGGGGTAGGAGGAAGTTCGTCCTCCTTGGAAAATTCAAGACTCCCGACACTGAGGATTGTTTTCAGGGTCTCTTGACTCAGTTGGGCTTTCAATGCAAGCCGCTTTGCAGACATTGGAAAGCGGCCGGTGTGTTCATGCAGCTTCTCCTCGACATCTTTAGGGATCGCTGGGACTTGCTCGTCCACAGCATGCGTCACATGCACTGTCAGTGGTGCTCTCGAGTGAGCTGAGCCCCTAAGGCTTAGAAACCTGTGCAATCTCCCGTGCTTTTGTGAAGTGCTCGCGATGCTCAGCGAGGACGCAGACTCATCAGATTTTGCACTCCCTGGGGTTGGGGGAACAGACTCGGATTTCTTAGTGTGTCGACCCTCTGCCCGAGTGGTGTTGATGGCCGGAAGCTGCTGTCGAGCCCGCTTCTTCCCCTTGCTCTTTGGCTCTGCCTGTCCATCCTCGGCCGCGTTTGACTTTGCTGGCTTGACAAAAACGGCATCTTTCGGGGGCGGTGTCGGGGCCCGTTCATCAGCAGAGCCGTCAACATTAACGACCAGGGTTGTGCGATCGATAATTTGCCTTGATTCCACAACTTGAACCTTGGTTCCTTCTCTTGCTCGCTCTGCTGGGCTTCGCCCTGTGTCCTCTTCAGCAGCAACAGGCTTCCGCCCACTTCGGAATGAGCGTAAGGAGACACTGGAGCTGTATCCGGAATCGGCTTTGGCCAGAGAACTATGAGATTTTGAAGAATCCGACACTGCGTTGGACACGAATCCGCTGTCAGACCTTTCGATAACTTGCACACCACTCTGTGAGGTAACATCTTGACACTGTGATGGCAAAGGTCTTGCACTGGGGTCTACTCTGACGTCCAGCACCTCCGCAGTATGAAGTTCAGTCTCGCTGTCATCTTCCGCTTCAAACAACTGGTCCTCGGCCGCGGTGTGCTTGGACTGTGTTTTCAATACTGGGCTGGGGGGAGCTTTGCGCTGGGATTCGACCGGATTGGAAAGAAGCCCCAACGGAGAATTGATCTCGATTTTGCCGCTCGGAACATCCACGGACAGCGTTGGCGCGTTAACTTCCGTGCGCGTTACGGGCTCTGGATTTGCCGGACAGCTGCTTTTCTCCTCCAGTTTCTCTGCAGCTGCAGAGTTCTCTAAAGGCTGTTTGTGACGCAGCTTTGAATCGGTGATATCTGTCTCCTCGCGTGGTGGAAGCTTTGTGAAGTAATCCATGGAGGTAGCCAGGGGCTTGAAGTCATCGACCTTGACACGGTGGGGATCTGGAACGTCAGGAGTAAGATCGGGACCGCCATTGGTGATACGTAATGTGCCGAACTTAAAACCCCCGGTCGCACTGTAATCACGTTCGGTAGGCGTGACCACGCGAGGAATGTCTTCGGTAACGCGAAACGGGGTCGGGATGGGAGGCAGTGGCGGAAGAGACACAACACGACAGTCTGCCCCGTCGAAAGACGCCTGTCTCGATATGTTTGGTGTGGCCGGGAGGCTGTGCCGATAACTAGTCCTGGTGGTGACAGGAGCAGGGCGAACAGTACGTGTGGCAACACCGGGAGTTTGGACTATGGAGCGTCGGCGCATGGGTGGATGCAGTGTCACTTCAGAGTTCGACCGGCTCATTGGGGCGCTCGTTGGCTGGACGGGCAGCGAGTCCCGCCGCCAGGCTGGCCTCCTCATGCCGTCGAGCTTTGGCTCGTAAAGCGAAGTCGTCGTGTTACTCCGAGGTAGGGCAGGCACCTGCTCTGGCACGAGGCTCAATATCCGCTGAGCTTCGTAGGACGAGAGATCATATGCCCATGAAGCACGCAATCCGCCGGGTGGGCAACTGCGAATGGTTATCAAAACATGGACTATGGCAGAAGAGCGGGGTCCTCGAGAAACCTACATGTCAGGGCTGGCGGGACCACCGTGCACGTTCAGTTCTGCCCCGAGGTTGTTCGCGGTCACAGAGTTGGCCCTTGAGATTGCTGGCGGTTGTGATGGACTTGTTGGTGACCCGATGACAGTGTTTCGTCTATACCTGCGGCGCTCCGAGGACTCCTGGGAGGATTTGGACCGGAACAGACTCCGACGCCGCTGCGGCTTGGGCGGGGCGAGGAAGGAGTTTCGCTTCTCGCTGTCGTTGAAGTCGTCTCTGTTGATGTCAATGGACAGCGTAGAGGTTGCAGTCGATGAGTAGGGGATGCTGAACAGGTCGGGCCCAGGATCCGAGGAGCGGTTGGAGGGGCTCATGTGGCCATTGGGGCTCAACAGAGGAGGAGTGCCTTGGTGGCTGGCTACCTTGGGTTTAGATAGCCTGTGGAACGGACGGCCTTGCGGCTCCTTTGAGGGTGCGTTCCCCATGTTGGCCGGCGGCAGGATGTAGTTGCGCCTGCGAGGCCGAACAGGATGGGTGCAGCGGTCATGCGAGGGACGTGGCCGCCATTCCGTCGTCAGTCAAGCGCGGGAGCGTATGATGGGATGATTGGACGGTGACGCAAGGCTGAGGTCGACGGCCCTAGGTGGATAGGCGAGAGGGGAGGGGTGAGGGCGTGAGGGCGTGAGAAGGAGAACGAGGACTAGCAGCCAGGGATATCGGTGACGGACGGGGGATGGGCAGGATAGACAGGATGGACTAGACAAGAGTCGAGTGGATCAACGGCGCTGCGGTGCGGGCGGAGTGGGCTGTGTGGTTCGGTCTGGCCTCGTCTGGAGTCTGGAGTTTGGAGTTTGGGGAGTTTGGACAGAAGTGATGTAGACGACGAGGTGCAGCAGCGAACTGCAGGTCTGGGCAGAAAACCAGTTCTCGACGCCCGCTTTACCGGTTCAAGTCAATTGAGTTATAAATTAATTAACGAAGCGGGCGGCTCTGGGGGGTGGCTCCGTGCTAGTTTCGATCGGGATCTCAGCCGGGACAGGCCTTGGACAGGATTCCCCACGACTTGTTGGTTCTGACTTGTCCTGTCCTGACTTGGTCTTGGACTTGGACTCTGGCCTGGGCTTGGAACTTGGGCTTGTTGGACCCGGGCTTGGTGCGGTGGCCGAGGCTTGAGTGCTTTGAGCAGTTCGATGCGGCGGCGCCAAGGCCGTGGTTGGGCAGTCGACAGAAAGGAGCAGCCAGCCAGCCTCACCCGGGAAAAGAGTGGATGGGACAGGAAGATGTTGCAGGAATATGCTGCAAAACAGGGAAGGCAGGCTACCTATAGTACAAGAAAGCAGCACCTATACCAGGTGCTGCGCTCTTCCTCGAGGAAAATAGGCAAGGGGCAGAATGGACTAGGTACAGTAGGCGATATGGTTGGTGGCAGGAGAGTCAGTCGAAACGTCAACCCGCCAGTTTAGTCAGTCAACAGGGCGGGAGACCGGGAGACTGGGAGGGAGGGAAGGGGGTTGTGGATTAATGCAAAATGCAGAAGAGAATGGACCGACAGACGGCCACACACAACACATGGACCAGTCCAGACTAACAAGGTGAGGTGTCACGTCCCCGCTCCCTGTTGCTGGGCCTGCAGGCGGGCAGTGGGCAGCTGCGAGAAAAGAGTGGTCAGGAGGCAATGGCATCTGCGCCGCTGTGCAGGCACGATATTGCTACTGCAGGTTGTTGGAGGACCTCCTGGCCCCCGATGTCTCTGGCTGCTGGCGCTCTGTGGCCCCGGAGGCACTCGTGGTCCTGTGCGTGCTCCACCATCGGCGCATTTTAGAAACAGGGTAGGAAGTTGCAGGAATCCATGGGTTCTTGGGCGGAGGAAGGTGCGGCCATGGGACCCCTGCTCATACCTGAGGCGGCGAGCAGTCAGGCCCCCACCTGGCACGCTCCTCCTCTTTTCCGCCCCCGGTACCTGGCGCATGTACCGTCGACCACCGCACATTCCACCGTACCAGACAACCAGATTGCCATCATTCTAATAAACCTGACGAGGGTGACTGCCTTTCTCGCCCACATATCTGATGCCTGGTATCTCATATCTAGTGGCCTACTATGTAATCAAACAGTATCTGGGCACCGCAAATGAGGCCATCTCCGTGCCCGTCTCGTCAATCTCTGGTCAGCTGGCCCAGAGCCTTGTCCCTTCTTGATAGGGTGGCCCCGCTGTCAGATCAGAATATCCCGGCCAGCCATGGCAATCTCCATCTCCATCCCGACTCGCCACCGCCAGAAGACAATGCCATTGTCATTTTGTCAATCCGGTTTTGCATCCCTCCTCCCAAAAAGCCGGTGTCGGGTGTCTCGGTGCCAGGCCGTGTTACCTACTGTACTGCGGGACAGTAACAATGCGGGACAGCACTGCGGATACACGATCGTACGCCGCCGCATGCCACCAGCACATCATCACATGGAGTTGCCAACACGCCGTTCGCTACCGCTCCTTTACTCTGCGTCCTAGCACATGATTGGCAGCTAATCTCCGCCTTGCGACTCCTGCGACACTGCGACACTGCAACGGCCGTTGCTTGCCCAGTGCGAAGCCCTGGCCCTACGCCCCAGCTCTGCCAATATGTAAGCTCTTCTGGGCGATGCCACTATCCCCACCCTCTTATTATCTTGTCCCAGCCAGCCGCGGCCGTTGGCTGCTAGGCGCTGCCGATGCGGTCCTGTCCCGTCCTATATCGTCCCCACGTTATATCTCGATCTCGGAATACAAAACGCCCGAATCCCACTACAGCTCCCAACCTGGCGCTTCGAGCCGTCTTCCAACGGATGGCCTTTCCCGATCCTGTGCAGCTTGCAGACGACAACTCGCGGCTTGCAGCTTGCAGTTCTCAGCTCCAGCTCTCAGCTCAGGCTCCTAGCTCCAAGCTCCAAGCTCCGAGTCCCAGGCATACACAGTTCGTCAGGAGAAAGCGTGGGATTGCGCTGTGGTACGCACCCGGGAGTCTTACGCGTCTAAGCGGCGCAGTTGATGCATTTTCAGGAGCTACGGCATGGCTCTGCATGCATGCAGGCTTTACCTACTGTACGGTCATGGCTCGCGGTGCCGGTGTCTGGTGTTGCGTTATCACCTACTGCTCCCATGTTCGCGCTGCCGTTTCCAGGTGCATCTGTTTCAGCTTACTCCTGCCCTCCAACAATTTAGGTTGGCTTGCAGAAGGCGATATGCAATGACGATCCAACAGGTGCCCGGCACGCCTCCTCACCGTGCGTTTCTGTTTCTCCATCAATACTACGGTACAACATCCGACCGCTTCCGGGCCTTCTTGGAAGCCTTGGAAGTCGTTGCACGGAAACAGTTCATCCCAGACTAATAACGACAACCTGTCATAATCGCGGGACCGCGAAATAAACCCGAAGTGTGAGCGATTTTTGCCCAGACCAAATCAGACCAGAATCGCGAGTGCGTGCTACATACCGGTATGCCATGGCCATCCTGCTAAGAACTCCTGGGGTAACGGAGCCAGACCGCCTCGAGTTAGTAAGCCCGGACGCCAGCGATATTGAATGTCACGGCAACAGCACCTGCAACAAATCGCCGTTTCCAACCAAGCTTGCAGCCCTGCAAGGTTAGGGTCGTATGGACGGCCACGACCAAGCATGGTTAGAGTGCACCCCTCTCGGCGTCTTGGTGGCTTGCCGGACCGCACCACTTGGCCGCCCAATCAATCTCCGTGGTTCAACTTCACCTCACTTTCTCGAACCAAGCTCAGCTGTCAAGTTCGTCCTCGAGGACGTCATGGTTTGGGCGGGTTTCTTGGAGAACTGGGTTTTTTCAGACGATTACCTTCAACCTGCTGAAAGCTTGCGAACTCCCAAGGATTGATCTCGATCTCAAGCTCTCGGCCAGACTGGCCTGTCTAATTGTCAGGATACCCCGATAATCAACTCGTTGCTCTCACCGATCCTGGGCGCACATCATCCTGTCTGCCTGTCGGGCAGCCTTCTCCGCCTTCACCTTGCCATGCACCCCACTTTCAAATGTGCCAACGTCAGTCAGGGGGCAGGGGCTCGGAAGTGGGCTGCGTGTGGGAGGCTGCGAATGAAGCTGCTGCATCGTACTTCATGTGTACAGAATAGAGCTGCAGACTGAGTACTGTGGCCCAATTCCTAGCTCGCAACGCACAACATCCTCATGCAACGAGAATGAATATCAAAGCCACCATTCTGTCACGGAATGCAGTGCACGAACTTCGCGGCCACACGCTCGCTGCTGTCTTCACCGCAGCCGGGCTGCAGGCCGAAACTCTTTCCGTGTGGTGTGGGCTTTCCTGCTTATTACCGTGCTGTCTCTTCGGAGCTCCGCCGAAGCGTGGTCACGCCTCCAACATGCAATGTCAACGGCGTCAACTGCGTGGCTTGTGCAGCCAACAACTGTCTTGGTGCAACAGGAGGACCAGGCAGACTAATCTAGCCTGCTGGGCAGGTGAAAGGCAGGCGAAAGGCAGGTAAGGAGGCGGCCTCCAAGTGTGCGGCCAGCGTGGGCGGCCAAGCCGGCGCCGCGAGCTGGAGCTGCAGGAAGGCGTCTACTAACAGAAGCGACCCACCGGCCGCTGTCCGAGCGCCACCGTCGATCTCAACCATCTCACAAGGACCGACCCGTCTTATCTATGCTCGTCGCACAACATCCGCATCCTTAAAGTTTTTCTCAGCGCTCCACATGTTTCTCAGCAATATCTCGCAATAGCACGCGTAAGGGAAAGAAACTTCAAGGCTGACTCGTCGGAAACCCCGGGCTTGATCTCCGGCACAGGATCGGCACATGTTGTAAATGTGACGGCATCTAGACGAAACATATGCCGACATGTCAGAGTGTGTGGGCAGACATCCGCGCGTCCGTTGAAGCAACCTGTGAGCACTACATCACAGGTTCAAGATATGGTTCATCCATGGATATCATCGGCCTGCAGACGAGACGACCTCCTGCGGCCGCCATTTGACCAGCCACAGACGCACGTTTGGCCAGACAATGTCGTCCAACCTCAGCTGAACAGGACTGAATCGGCTTTACCAGTTAGGCAGCCCAGACTTGCCTAGCAAAACTCAATCGGTGGCCGCACTCTATTTTCACCGCCTACTAGGGAGACCGCAAGGGAGACTGCTCCTTGCTATCGGTCCTTTCCCTTCTCTTACAAGTGTGGAAGCTAAATGTCTCGCAGATGATGCCCATAATTGCAGAAGCTTTGCAATCCCCACCCCAACGTTATCCAAGCAGGCCGGTCAAGCGAGCGGGCCATCATGACGGCCTCCCGTCGGTTGGGACGGCGTCATCTGGTTTGGCCGCGTCTTTCAAGAACCATGGGCTTCATCATGGTCGGCCACAGGTGTCGGCAGTATCATGCCCTTGTGCCTGTTGTATGTCGCCCCGCCGCCCTGCCCTGCCTTCTACGGTCAAAAGCTTGGTCGAAGTCGCATTAGACCAGGACGAGCGGCGCTAAGAGGTAATGGAGTTATCTCTGCGAGGTCTTGAACCATCAACACACCTTGTTAAGGTCTTTAAAACAGCTGGCTCAAGCATGAAGTGATGTTGATGAGGCGACGCAAGCTTCCGAAGGTAGACTCAAGGAGGTCGATTCAGCGCGCGCTGTCAGTCTGAATCCACGGATTCTCCGACCAGAATTTTGCCACGTCATGAGTCGCTCACAAAGCAATAGAGAAAGCGGTGAGTTTTCCAAGAGGATTCTGGCCTCCTCTGATAATGTCAGCATGGCGATGTATATCCCATCGGACCTCTGACTGGGTCCGCCTCTGTTCTCTCGAAAAACCCCTCAGTCTTTTCCGAATTTTAGTTTCGCTTGCGTTTCGCACTCCATTGAGCTGCACGTGGGATTTCGGGGACGCCGCCCACGGCCCAGCCTCACAAGATTCCCGGGCCGACCCTGAGGGCTTGCTGCACGCAGGATTCGAAACATTTGACGAATGCGGGTCTACTGTTGTTATTTCATGTTGCCATCCACCTATGTACAAATCTTTTGCGGTGGCGTGTGGCGACCCGACCGTGGGGGACCGAGCAACCCCTCCAATATGTTTGGACCACGCATTCCAAGCGTCAGTGGGGCGAGGGCATTGCAACGTTGTGTAGGGCCGTGTTCGTTTATCCTCCGGCGGAAACTGAGCAATCAGATGGCCGGCGTCGGGATCTGACGATCCGGGTACGCCGGCTGATGAGCCAGGTACACGCAGTCGCAGGCGGACAAACCATTCAGATTTTCGTCTAGGTCTGCAATGCGCACAGACTTTCCAACGCCTCCGCACGCACGCAGCACTGCAAGCTTGCCTCCTCATGCGACGGCGACGTTGTCTATGCGGGCAGCCAGGTTGCGCTCGCACTTCAAACACAAGCAGTCAAACCACGGGCCGTGGGATGAATGATGCTTTGAAGCAGTCCTACGCTGCTGCCACAGATTGCAGTGGGCCGTGGCGTGATCGTGCCGTCGCTAAGATTTCGATATGTATCGGCTGCAGAGATTGTAATCCCCACTCGAGCTGTGGAATTGACTCTACCCCGGAAAACTTGAAACAAAACCTGCAGAGGTTGTGATATGTCAAATATAACGGCTGGGGAATAGGCGTAAACTTCATCTTAGGTTTTATTGGAAACTTTGTCAAGCACGTACTTACCCACGGGCAACGATGCACGGAATATGAACAAAATGCTCCCTTCCTCAAGCCTTGGCCGTTTCACAACCATAAATAGTATCCGCGGATGTTTCTTTTTGAGATTTTTATGAGATGAGACGAGCGAGAAGTATCTGTTACATGTTGACACAAGGTGTCCAGGTGTACTGGGAGTGGGTGGCGGTATTTTCGTTAAATTGGTGGAAATTGCAGTGCCGGTGATCGGACTTTACCAAGATATCGGTTTTGGCGGATCCCTCTGATGAACAACTTCCTCTGTGGATCAGACACAGTCGATGAGACAAACTACGTGGTGCAGCAAATCCCCGCGCTGCTGAAGGTATCCGGCGCTATGAATTGTTATTGGGGGAAGCACCTAGGTGTCCAGCTAAGCCATCTCGCACTATTCCCTGCGTCATCAAGTCCTGAGGGTTGAAAGTGGACTCTCACTTCGGAGGAGGAGTGGCAGACCATTTCACTTCCTACCATGAAACTAGTCGCTGGTGACTTTGTAGAAATTCAGAATGTGTACCGAGAGCTTGAAGAATATTCATGATGTTTCGTTCCGAGATCAGCTCAATAAGGTGTCACTGACAGATCGTATTTCTGATGCCTCATTGGCAAATAAAAACAGTGAAATTGATTCATGCCCATCTGATCATCGATACGAAATGCCCACTCTCAAGGTTTAGTGTGTGGTAATTACTATATCCACTTCAATTTGTCACCGTCTAGAGATGTGAGCTCGAATTGCACCAGAATGTGAGGTGTCGAGCTGTAACATTGGAATTTGATAGAGATAGACTAGGGTCATACTGCAGGAGCTCTTTTGGGCTGTTGTGCACATGTGGGTGAAGTGACGATTTTAAGTGTCAGATAGGCCCGGAGCAAATCGTTCTGGCAATTGGGAGGGTTCTTTCAATGAATGGTAAAAGACCTGAATAATTGAGCAAGATACTACTGCCACATTTCGAAAAGATAACGGGCTGGAGCTAAATATTAAATAGTATATATTCGACCTACACGTGCCTGGGGCCCTAAGAAATCATCTTGAAGGCACATTCGCATAAATCTCAACAAGCTTCCAGATGCTTTCTGGAATTCCGTACCTCATTCGCCTGAGTACTATGCAATGTTCTCGGCCGTAGACTGTCAACTCACACAAAAATGCTTATACCAATATGCTAAAGGAGAGTGAGTTTTGGTATTACCGGTCGCTATTTATCAACTACATCAAGCCTGCCAATAAAACTCCAAAAAATACTTCCTGTGTCAGGCGTGAACAATCTCGAGACTTCGGCCTAAGTCCTGCTTCGCAAGAGCCCAAGGCGATTAGGATGTGAGCCAACAAGGCCAGGAAGGTGACCATGCTCGCAGTCTTCGTCCCCGCTGCAGCCACCACGGCAGTGTGACAGGACGTCCAGTCTTCCTACAGGTGACATACGGATGGGATGAATTGGCTTGCAACGTTTGAGCTGGTCTTAGAGCAACTATGTCTGTCTTTGATAAGTTCTAACAGAGATGTACGCGCAGATATAGACAGGTGGCTGATTTTGACTCTGCCGTTTTTGAGATGAGGTCAAGAACGATTTCGTACATACCTTGGACAGCTTTAGATTAACAGCACAGTACAGCCACAAATATACTCTAGAAAGGAGACGGAAAGTCCATGCTGTTAATACGCAATTGGTGTTTGGGTGGCTGGCTCGTCTCGAGGCCTGCGAGCCTTAGCAAGAGGCATACTCACTTTGGTGCTAGCACAGCTTTTCAAATGACGATACGTCCTGTTAGGTGGAACAGCTCTAGCAAACGATTTCAAGTTCTGACTCTGGTAATTGCTTCTACGCCTGCCCGCGAATGGTCTTCCTGTGGTCCTTTTACCGCTAGAAATAAACTGAAAGCTTTTCCGTCTCAACCAACGAGGTCTCAGTTCTCCGCCATCTTTCCCTGCCAGAACCAGCCCTTCCCTTTCCTCAACACCTTGTTCTCCTCCCTCTCCTCCAACGGAAGGGGGGATTCGCCGCCAAGCACATACCGTCGGTGCCAGCTACCAACAAACAAGCCCCTGGGATCCATCTTATCCCTCACGGCCCTCCACGCCTCGAGGTCTTCGCCGTACATGTCCTCCACATCCTTGACGTTCACCTGGGCGAAGTTCTTGGCCCAGTGCGGCTTCCCACCAAGGTCCCGCATTAGCCATTCAAATGCCTCGTAGTAGCGCTCCAGTGAGGGCGGGTCAAGGTCGTAGGGCCTGTAGAGGGTCGCGTTGAGGTACAGGGTCGGCCCGTCCTTGCAGGTCGGGTCCAGGTAGGGCCGCGACTCGACGCCGGTGCCGTCTATGTTGGGCAGGAAGCGCGAGGTGTCGGTTACGCGCACCTCGAGGGGCGCGTGCACCCACAGGCCGCGGCTGCTGAAGGGGATGCGGTGCTCGCAGTAGTCGCGGTCGCCCGGCTGCAGGTTGTTGAGCCAGCACGACAGCCTCCTGATGGCCTCGGGCCCCTTGCTCAGCGGGATGGCCCACTCGTTGACGTACTGGCTGTACAGGCAGTTCATGAGCAGGGCCTTGCGCTGCGGCTGCACCGCTGAGGTGGTGCTCCCGTCGCGGAAGCCGTACTGCATGCCGAAGACGAACCACTCGACCCACGGAAGGACGCGTGGGACGTATTGGGTCAGCCAGAGGAGGTTGTGGTAGACCAGATAGCCGAGAGTACCGTCGTAGCCGTCACGAGGGGGATCGCGGTGCGGCTCGGTGGTGACGTTGGCGGTCCAGACAACGGACCGGCGGGTGTAGGGAAACCACCAGACGCGGACAAAGTGGCCGCGGTCCCAGAGGGTGGAGGTCCAATCGCGGAACATGACAGCATCGGAGTCGATGGTCTGAGTCCACTTGAGTGAGTAGGCGGCGGAGGTCTGGAACTTGATCTCCACGATGATGCCCAGGGCGCCAAGCGACAGCAGCGCGGCGCGGAACAATTCGTTGTTCTCGGTGCGGCTGCAGGTGCGGGCTTGGCCGTCGGCGGTGACGATCACGAGCTCGACGATGGACTGGCTGATCAGCCCATAACGCAGGGAGGAGCCGTGAGTGCCTGTGGAAATGACGCCGGCGGCAGACTGCTCGTTGATGCTGCCCAGGTTGGGCATGGCCAGGCCCATGCGGTCGAGCTCCTCGCCAAGCTGCCACAGGCGGATGCCGGCCTGGAAGTGGACGATGTTGGTGTCGGTGTCATGATGGATGATATCGCGCAGATCGTCGAGGTTGACGAGCCACGAGGAGGTGCAGGTCAGGTCAGAGGGCGAGTGGCCGGCGCCGGTGGTGGTGATGCGCCGCCTGCACTGGCGGGCGAGGTTGACGGCCTTCTGGACCTCGCGGACGGACTGTGGTCGGATGTACAGCTCGGGCTTGCTGGTGAAGGTGCGGGCCCAGGTCCTGTGGGCATGGCTGGTGGTGGCGCGGAAGGGGATATCGTCGGACGAGTGCTTTTGGATGGTGTCTCGCACCCGCTGGTCGAGGCTTGAGAGGTCCATCCTGGTGTCGATCCAGAGGTGAGAGCCGGGACAAGCCGCCCTTGGGGGCGGGCGAGACGGGGCCTATGGGGCAGTTTTGTACCAAGGCCTGGGCTGGTGATGAGTCGTAAGCAGGGCTGAGATTGAGGATCGGTCGAGCTAGAGGATGTCCACAGGCCAGGATGGGATGTGTTTCGACGATGGGGTCGCGACGCTGCGAGTCAAGATGCCCGGCTTTCATGCGCCTGTCCCTCCTATGCCGCTTCGCAGTAAGCCTCGTTTGAGGTAGGGAGTAGACAATGTCGGTCCTGGGCCTACAGGCCACAAATATTGCTCATTCGTAAGCAGTTTGCCTCAGGTCTAGAACGTTATCGAATGGTGTCGTGGTGTGTGGGTGACCACGGGACCAGACAAGGCGCTTCCGGGTCCTTCGGATCTGGGCAAGACGAGTCACCGGTGAGCGTATTTCGATGCTCCGACGAGATTTTGGGTAGACGCCATTGTGTCTGATTGTGGGTTTTGATATGTGGGAGGGTGATCTGCTGAAGGGGTTGGAGCTGAAGATGAAATTGAGTAAATAAGAGGCTCACAGTTATTAGGGCACAATCACCGAGGACAAATGTCGATGATTGCTGCATTACATCGATCAACCAGTTCCGGCTAGCGCCATCTGTCAGGCCCAGGGCCCAGGGCCCAGGCTAGGGGACTCAGGGCGATCATCCAGCCCGCCCGGCCCCACTTTACCAGCACCTACCGCCCGTGACAATGCTCCTGATGAAGCGCACAATGCGTGGTGGACGCGGATGGCGGTGTGTCGATTCACCCAGGATATCCCGTGTTCCGCTCCATGTGTATTATCAGTATCCCAGTATCTCACGCGTTGAACAACACTGCGAGGTGCAAATGCTTGATGCGCTCGAAAGAAAGGGTGCACAAAGGGTGTAGAGCGTAGTATACGCCAGCCCACCTAGTACCTTCCCTTACAAGAGAGGCTGGCAGAGTACCAGAAGGATCTCCTCGACCTGGAGAGGCTCCGGTGTGTTATCTTCCTCAGATATGCTACTAATCTGAAAAAGGTCTATTGAGATGGTACAAAGATATGAGCTCTAGTTTAAGTATTTGAAAATTAAAATCGAGGGTGCTGAGAGGTAGGTGAACTGTATGTCATTTTCATCTTCGCCCGGTGCTGGTTGAGGGGTCGAGGTTGGAGGGGTCAACAACACGCCTGACAGCTGCTGTCCGTAAAGGGCAAGGAGCTTGGGCCGGCTTTGACCGTCAGGAATCCAGGATCTAGCTCCTGCACTCGTCACTCGTCACTCTCACTCGTCCATCCGTCTTGTTACGCAGAAACACCTGCTTTGCAGCAGACCAGCCATGTCTGACTGTACTTTCCACCTTTCCACATAGGTAACACAACGCCCCTGGAGGGTACACAGACGCGCAATGGCTTCTCCCACAGACTCAGACTCGATATTCACCACCAGCAACCCGCCGGTCGCACGCGAGACCAAGGGCTCGATCCCAGCGCATACGATTGCGACCCCAACCTTCGGCCCCGGCGGATCCTTCAGCCTCGTCGTGTCGATACACATCGACGCCCCGCCCGACACCGCCTTCACCGTCCTGACAGACCACACCAAGTGGCCCGAGTGGAACCGCTTCGTCCCCAAGCTCACCGTCACCTCCAGCCCGCCGCCCGCCGGCGCCGACCCGGACGCCGGCGCCCTCGAGACGCTCATTCGCAGAGACGACGGGTCCACCTACCTGAAGAAGGACACCAAGATGAACTTTGACGTGCACCTCGACCCGGACAATACCGACCCGGCCAGCGGCAGGAAGCAGGCCATTCAGGTCACGCTGCTGGAGCCCTACGACCGCGCGGGCAGGAAGGGCTGGCGCATCGCCTGGAAGCCCACCGGCTACCCGGGCGTGGCGCTTCGTGGGGAGCGCGTGCAGGAGTTCGTCGACGACGGAAAGGGGGGCACCGAGTACACCTGCTGGGAGACCATGTACGGCTTTCTGGGCCCCGTCGTGAAGCTGACAACTGGCGCCAAGCTTGAGAAGTGCTTCCAGTACTGGGCTGAGGATCTGAAGAAGAGGTCTGAGGAGCGCGTCAGGGCTGAGACTGCTCCTCCGATGGGCGAGTGAGGGCCCCCTCGATGAGGGATAGTGAGCGTGTTAGAGGTCTCGAGTGAGATGCGAAGTTTACTAATTTACATGGCATGGACACATTGCACATGTCGCGTTTTGGAAGGCGTGGGCAGCCCTAGATGCGTCCCCTTCAAGAGGCTATATTCTGTCTCGACTCTTGGTAGCCGTATTTATATCTAATGCTTAAACATAAAGACACCACTGTCAAGACTAGGTATCTTCCTAAGCGTGACGTGAATTGTTCTTCACGCGACTTCCCCTAACCCCTCTTCACGTCGATGACCGGGGCGGATTCGACATAGACAGTCAGAGGCGGCTCCGCCAACCCAGCCCCCCTGGCGGTCTTCTTGAGCTCCTGGTGGCTCGGGTCGGTCTCATCGTAGTACTTCATGTCGTCGAGGCTGTAGAAGGATGACTGCGCAACGATGGTGTAGCCCTTGGAGCGCGGGTCATCGTGAGCGATTCCGGCGCTCAGGTATGCGATATAAGGCTTTCCGTCCTGAAGAACCGCGTTAGAGACTATTCATAGCCTGTGCCTCGTTCACTACTCGACTTACCCTGTTCTGCTCCTTAGCAAGCTTCTCATAAGCTGCAAGCAGCTTGGCCTGGTTCTCGGCTCCGTCGAGCTTGAACATGGTGACGCGGTTGATGAGCTTGGACATGTTGTCGGTCTGGGTGAGGATAATGATATCGGTGATAATAATACTTGAGGTGCTGGTTTCGAGTCTTGGTTTCTCTGTGCTCTGGTGTCGATGCTCAGTCTTCGTCAGTGGGACCTCGCCCGCGGCTTATATACAGGCGGAATTGACGGAATCGCATCTAGAGCTGATGGGGCATAATTGCCGAGGAACGGGAACTGCCCCTCTTGCTCGATCCGGATTTGCGACTGGGCCCGCCCAGTCGCGCACGACAATGACAACCTCCGGTATCACTCAATGCTCAGGCAGACATATTGCACGCAAAAAACGCATGAATCTGACGAGGCCTTCATGTCCGCATGAATCTGACATGGCCGACCGGAAAATTCAGCCTGCGCTGCATGAAGCGAGGTAGCAGTGTGTGCCTCGAGTTACGGCCCTCCGACGGGATCTCGGCTCCTACATGTAGCTGAAAGGGCCCGGAAGGATCCGGGGATTTCGGTCCCGACCGACTCCCCCGGCGCGGACTTCCCCCACCACGGGGCGGAGATTGATGGAGGCTACACTAAGAGCTCTTGTGATACTGTAATAAACCTGTGGTTCGACTCCGGTCCCCGTGTCGCTTAATCCATTATCAAGCACACCGGCCTCAGTACAACTTGACAATTTCCCCCTTGGCTCCGTACCAGCCTGGCACCTGCACACAGGAGGTATGCAACACGACCGACATATAGCACGCACTGACTTTGTCTCACCTGATTGAATTTATTGTTGTTCTTACTAATACCAGAGAATCTAATAGGTATTAATACTAACCTTTTTAAATATTCAATGCTGTAAGATACAATATATATAAAGCCTCGCTTTATAAACTACCTTGCTTTTAATAAATAATCTTTAAAGTCTCACTATTAACGTAACCAGCTTCTTAAGGTTTAAATTTTAAAGTATATCTTAAAGCCTATTTATAAGGATATTAGGTGCTGTTTTCACTATGTAAAGTCTTACTTTATAAAAGATATTAAAATTAAAAAAAGCTAAGGAGTTTATATATTTAATTTTAAAAACTTAAAAAAATAATTTCTTACTTATATATGAGGACTTATAAAAGGGTTAAAGTGGAATTATAATAATTTAGCATTTCATTAAAATGAAGTTTGCTATATATATAAAAAATTTTAAGGGATCAGCATCCAAATGAGAACGCGACTTTTCATCGCATGTATGGTGTAGCGGTAACATTCAACCCTTCCAAGGTTGAGCTCAGGGTTCGACTCCCTGTGCATGCACACGGTTGTCTTTTGTCAAAAAAAAAAAATTTCATATTTTTCTTTTCTCCAGTTTTCTTTTGGGATGGGGGAGGAGGGTTATGCTTGATGTATGCAAGGCTTTACCAGTTAAGGCTGGTGGCTGTGTGGCAGGGCGGTTGGGCCCTGCAAGGGGTCCCGGCAGAAGCCCCCTGGTTGATAAGGCGCCGCCTGTCGTTCAGGGCGCCCTCCAAACTTATCCTTCCTCCCTTTCTTTCTCAGGTCAGCCTACGCTTAATTCCACATAATATGGTGCACATTTCAAGCCTCCGTACTGTGAAGCCCCAGTGACGTCTCATGTTAGCGAGAGCGTTTTCTCGGTTGATGTGGGTCTGGTCTGGCAAGATTTGAGAAAATGGCAGGGGATTGAAGCCTGCTCGCCGCTCCGGCACGCCAAAAGCGCCGGCGGTCGGAGCCGAGTGTCAAGGTTGCAACTCATCGAGGCTGCAACGGCGGCAAATGACTTGCCTAGGTACCATATTGACAATCATCCTTGGTCAGCCTCTGTGGGACACTACGAATTGACCGCTGAGGTGTAGCCTCTATCAGATGAACTTCTCTAGCATGTTCCACTTGGGATGATTGACTGGGACAATCAACCTGGAATAACGTACTTGATGCATTCTCTGATGGGTCAACTTCCCGTGGGGTACCCTCCTGTGGGATACCCTCCTGTGGGATATCCTCCTGTGGGATAATCTCCCATTGGATACTCTTCTGTGGGACACCTTCCTATAGGATACTCTCCTGTGGGATAATCTCCTTGTGGCAACATTCTTTTGGGATGGATATTTAGGATTGGTTGGTGTGGGACACCTGGTCATGGGATGGCTTCATGTGGGATATTTTACTGTGGCGTAACCTTTGTGAGATAATTGGTCTCTCCCTTACATTGCTTGTTTAGAACTGTCATGCAAGAAACGTCGATCAGGTACTGTCAGTCTTAGCTCCCTTCTATGTGTTATTAGACTGCAATGTCACTTTTATGATCCCTGCAAGCTGAAGGAGAAAATAGGAAGGAGGGAGTAGGAAGAAGCACCCGAAGAGGGGTTGCATTTTGGCGGGTTTTCTCTTTCTCCAAACAGCACTCTGATCTGAGCTTACTTTTTTTTCTTCCATTTCTGAACTTACTAACGATTATCAACCATCCCGAGCACAAGGCCATATGTCGTAAATGCTCCGCTGACAAGTGCCCGCTTCCCTCCCTCCCTCTCAGGCCAGCCCTGCCAATCGAATAACAAGAATGCATCGTGAGAGCCCCACCCCAGCAGCCATATCACAACGAACCTTGTTAATATGCCCACTCTCAAATAGACGGGCCGAGACCCTCCATGAAGCAGGTTACATGAGAGCGGCGAGCGCGGTACTTTTGGAAAAAAAAAAAGAAAAGGCATGTGTGTGGCACGAGTTTTGCGGTTGGAAATTTGCTGGAATCGGAGGAGTCAAATGGCTGCTTCCGACTCGCAGCACATAATGAACACCGCGCTTAATCCAGGAGTATGACTCCGCCAATTATCACGTAGAACCAGCCACCCAGTCAGTAACGAGCATACAGAATGGCTCCGGTGACTTCCGTCAAGTCCCGAGGGTCTTCGAACGTGATATAAGACGGAGAGATGCCCAGCTTGCCGTGGTCGAGGTTCTCAGTCGCATCTAGTGGGACACACAGGCAGACACACACGATACTGTCAATACACTACTCTATTCATCACAATGTTCGCACCCATCACCGCCCTCTTTGCCGCCGCGGCCCTGCTGCCGGGGTTGGCATCCGGCGCCACGCTCAGTGGTCTGGGTACAATCTCGGTGATCAACTCCAGCTCCTTCACCACGGCCACACCTGACATGTCCATCGGCTGTATCGATGCCGCTGGCAGGCTGGTCATGGACGGCTGTGCGACCTTCGAATTCCGCGACGCCTACCCCAACGGTATCTTCACAAGCGACGGGAACTGCTCCTTCACAGACTCGTCACAGCCGGCGAACACGGACAACCGCTACGGTGCCAGCAGCTATGCCTGGTCGTGTTGGTCCCACGAGGCCGTGGTTACTGATCAGATCTACACAGTCGTGAGTTGACGTCTCCCGTCATCATCTCGTGCCCTCCTTCCAGAACCTCCTTGCACCCGGTTCCGTAACTTTCGGCTATGTCTCGGCTGTGAGATCATGACTGACCATGAGCCATTTCCAGGATGGGTTTGCATATCCATTCCTCTGCCAGGGCGACGTCAACTGCTACTTTGACATTCCCAGTGCACCATCGAAGGGAAGCCAGCAGCTGCCGGTCTGGAGGTACACGTGGGGCAGTGCACAGCCGGGAATCACCCCTGGTCATCTGAAGGCCCTGCTCCTGTGGGAACCCGTCTCATCCTCGTGAAGCGGGATGCAATGAGGTGCCGGCTCGATGAGGGGCTTTGTATGAGACGGAATGTCAAAAGAAGCAATGTCGTAACGATCGAAATTGGGAGTTCGGAGCTTGATTATTCCCCACAAATGGGCTGCATGCCGCACGGCCTTCCGGCTTGGAGGGTGGTACTGACAGGGGAAAGAATGGGTAAACTTTTGGGCGAGTCGACTGACTTGGAGTCCCTTTTTTGCATGCTTAAGTCGGGAACGCGTGAACCCTTTTCAATGTTTATCCGGTCCCCAAGGTTTTCTGAGCGTGGCACTTTCAGGGAGGTGGCGACGCTAACCTTGATATTCGAGTACTTTCTCCTCACAGTACCAGCAGAGGAATAAGGAACAGTATCTCAAAGTGCGTGCAGCTATTGGAGAACAGATTTAGTAGTAGTAAGAGACTTCTGAGGTCAAGATACTAACGGATAAAATGCACCACCTGAATCGGAGGAACTGTGACGTTCGTGTGGTGGTTGACTGGTCAGGAATGCTCTTGTACCCGGGGAGGTTGCAACGTCAACCTATCTCCCCTCTTCCTTTGAGAGCTGAAAGTTAAATGCATGAAGAGACAGCCGTGCAAGGAGAAGGTTACAATGTAATAAGCATCATCCTGTGACATTCCGTAAATTTCCTTAAGCACCAATGACAGGCCCTTTGATTACCGATGGGCTTACCGAATGTCGTCCTTCAGACATTATTTCTCATGGACGTGCTACCTAGGTATGTGCCTTACTAGGACGTAATTTTTTCATTTCAGCCTGTCCAGGCACTTCACGAGGGCAAAATAAGTGATGTCAACATCTCGCATGGTCAAGGCGCATGTATACGTCAGGGAAGGACCCTTTCTGGTACAAAGAGCATTTGTAGGAGAATGGCATGGACGTGCTTGGTGAGGTCACTATTAAGGATTCCCTTGGCACGCTGACCACCTGACCCGTGACCAACGGCTCCCTAACTTGCCAGCCCTGCGGCGTCAAGATTCTTGACCGACTCTCACCACCGCTATAGGCAGTCCTGGCAAGTAGCATTAAGAACTGCCACCTATTAAGCTCTATTTAGTCTCAAGTTATTCAGAGAATAGCATCAAGGGTAACCCCCCATTTTGACTGTATGATGGGTACCATTTCTGACTGTTATCCTGTTGCTGATGTGCCCTTGAACCAATCGCTGGCTGCCAAGGATCCTCGTCAGGTCTAAGGAGTACGACTCTGACAACATGGGCATGTCTTACGTCTACATTCAGTTTGGACCTTGCTGACATCTATTCAGATAGTGTTCAGGCCTATGCGGCCGACGCCTTCAATGTTGCCGATTGTCTCTTTGAGCTCCGGAGTGGTGATGCCACCACCCTCAGCACCAACTGCATCTCTGAGCTCCTCCGGATTGTAGACCAGCAGTCAGCTACGATCAACATGGCTAGCAAGATCGAATCCTGCTTTGGCGAGGGTACCACCGCCAAAGGAGCTCCGCATCCAGGGCCTGTCCCAAAAGCTGACTTGCGTCGTGAAAAAGTATCCCCTCCTTCATACCGCGATGGATCCAAGGCGGTCACGAACGCGACCCAGGACTTGGCTCTGAACAGCGCCCACCACCTTCATCTCGATGTCCAGGCCGGTCGCAGCAGCCCCGGGACGCATACCAGCAATGCCACCTGAGGCTCCAATATTGGCAAGCTGGTCACAGTCATACGGCAGCTGGACAAATTGGTATATCGGCTGGCTAAGGCTTCTGACAACTCCAACACAGAGGCGACTGTAGTCCGTCGTGACCTGGCCCTCAGTGTAGTGACGCACAAGTAGGATCAGCGGGGTGCCCCTGTCCAGTCAGTTGAGGAGCATGGTCATGGCTCTCTCTGTCCCCACCTGGTGCTGCTGGCATTCCTATCTCGAGTGATTCCAGTTGATCGCCAAACCCTGAACGCCTGGGTTTACATGGGATGATTGGACTTATCGCTGTGCAGTGGAAGAGGACCTTTGTGTATTCTGCTGCCCGCAGAAGTGACTGCAAGAATGCTGGTGAGACGGCGGCCACAGCGAGGATACAGTTCTCTACTGTCTACATATGGAGAAAATGAGTACTAAGTATATTATAAACCTATGTAATGTATTTGAGTTTAAGCATTTACCACTGTATGAAGGGACTGGATGCATACTGCTTAAGAAGCATATGTGTACAGATTAAAAATGAGACCACGTAATGTATTTGAAACTCAACATATTATGAAAACTAGTAGTAGATCCCTTTGAATGTATTTATAACATTGATAGTTCGAATGGAATGCTAAAATTGTGCCGTAAATGAGAGATAGTTATCAAGTTTCAATACATTAGTCACCTTCCTTAACGCGTGCGGTATACTCCCTGCAAGCAGTGTCCAGCTATATTCGAAGCAATGTAAATGTCATCGACACAAGGTAGGGGTAACGATGAATTACAAGCAAAGTGGTAATTAGACGGTGCGCCTTCTAGGACAACATGGTAAACTCCATTGGGTATCTATGTAATGCCATCACGACGACAATATATACAAAAGCTCGATGTTGGTGTCTCCAAATCTTACATGCGTGCGTACTGGCATAAACAGCATCCAGCCCATCCCCCGTAAAAAATCCCGTGCACGCCAATTCTAGTGGCCCTTCGAAGGGCAGGCGTCGCACCCACATCGTGGCCTCTTCCTGACCGCCGGGCACGCAGGACAGCCGCAGACCTCGCGTCCGCTGACGTCAACCATCTCAAAGGACTTGTGCCGTTTCTCTTCCTCGCCCACTACCGTCTCACTGCGGTCATCATCGTCGTCGTCGTCAACGTCGGGTTCCTCGCCCTCGCCATCATCATCCGCCACCCGGATCGTGAACGCCCCCGAGTCGTTCTCTCCAAGGCCGTGGTACAGCCCACCGAGGGCCGCTGTGGGTGCGATGGGACGCCCTGACCTCGACGACTCTATGCTCCCGCGCTCCGTCGTCCTCCACCAGAACCAGTACAGCGCGCCGAGGCCCAACACGCCCAGGCTGGTGGCCGGGTATGTGAAGTAGGGGAACTGGTCGTCCTCGCCCATCCCGCCCTGCGGCGGCACCCAGGGCAGCACGAGAAGCAGGACGTTGCTCGCGGCCGAGACCAGGATCGCGGCCCGCGGCGCCCTGCAGGGCGTGGCCCACCGCTCGGAGGGGGAGTCGTGCAGGTGGAGGAGGCCGAGCGAGACGGCGACGCTGATGACCGACACCGGGTAGCCGCCGATGTCGACCAGGAAGTTGTAGATCTTGCCCGGGGGAGGGAGCACGATCATCGCCACGGAGACTAGCCAGTGGAGCAGCAGGCCGCGCGAAGGGGTGCGGGACGCGGCGTTGTTCCGCGAGGCCGCAAGACCGCGGATCTTGCTCGGGCTGCTTGATCGGTCGGCAGCGGCTAACTCGTGGCCTCGGTCCGTCAGCCAGAGGCGCGGCAGGACGCCCTGCTTGGCGAGCTCCTCGTTGACCCTCGCCTGCGCGAAGCTGGTCGCGGCGATGTTGCCCGCGGCGGAGACGACTACGAAGAGCGGCAGGACGTGCTCGCCGAGGGTGTCGCCAAAGACCTTGCGGAAGAAGGTGCCGGCGACGACCACGCCCGCGGAGCGGAACTCGTCCTTGTCGACGACGAGGAAGAAGGCGACGTTGACGGCGAGGTAGGCGGCGCTCACGAAGGCGAGGGCGGCGGGCGCCGCGATCCTCAGCGTGCGCACCGGGTCCTTGACGTCGCTCAGGACCTGGTTCGCCGTGCTGTACCCCCGGAAGCAGTAGATGACCTTGAGCAGCGCAGTGGCGTAGTCGTAGGGCTGCGTCGATGTGCCCTCCCAGATGTCGCTGAAGTTGCGCTGCGCCGACGACGACGGCGCAGTGCCGCTCATGACCAGGTCGACCCTCCGCCCCTCGATGATCGCCGACTCCCGGTCGGCGCCGACGCCCATGATGCCGCCCGCGACCCCAGAAACCACCACGATGACCAGGATCGCCATCTTCGCCACCCCGAGGGTGTTGATCAGTCTCAGCCCCATCCTGGGGCACCGCGCGTGGACGTAGCACAGCAGCGACACGGCGAGGGCGGCGATGAGCCGGACGTTCCACCTGTTGGGCTCCGTGCCGGTCGCGTACAGGGCGTACTCGCCCAGCACGATGGCGTTGGGCGTCGAGAAGCCCAGCAGCACGACGTAGGACATGAACATGCACGTCCCCAGCATGTAGGGCTTGCGGAAGATCCGCTCGAGGTACACGCGCTCGCCGCCCGAGCGCGGTATTGCTGTGCCCAGGTCCAGGTATACCGCCAGCCCGCAGAATGAGATGAGGCTGCCGATGACCCAGAGCAGGAGTGTCACTGTTCGATGTGTTGTTAGCAAAATCCTGGTGGTCTGATTTTAATGTTACCGTGTTCCAGGAGCACCGTGAGACCTCAGTGCCAAGTCTCAAGAACAATGGGGAATCTCAGACATAGGATGAACATACTGCCAACGGACCCGACGCCGCTGAAGATGGCCGAGGGTACAGTGTAGGCGCCAACGCCCATCGTCTTGCCCACGATTATGTTGATGGCGGACAATACGCCAAGCTTCCCTTCGTCCAGTTGGGCTGGTGGTGTTTGAGGGGGCAGCCCCGGCGAGTGCGGCAGGAACCACGTTTGGTCCGTTGGTGAGTCTATCGAGACACTCTCATCGTCCTCATCGTACGCGTACCCATCATTCCCGACCACTGTCGACAGGCCACTCTTCGCTCCCAGGCCCGCAAGTGACCTTGGCGGCTCCAGGAATGATCCATGCTTCGGTGTTGAGCCCGCCCGCCTGCCTCCCGGTGTTGGTGTGATGGGGGACCGACATGACAACGTAAACGAGTTCCTTAGTGGCGATGCGGCGGTGGAGAATGCGTTAAAACTGCTGAAAGAGGCATTCTTAAAGGTAAGTGGTGGTGGAGCCATCCGGATGGGCTGATGATGGCGTGTGGGAGGGAGATGGGATGTCTCAAGGAGGCGCTTGTGCTCTGGGCGAGCACGTCTCTCGCAGGAACTTGCTCAGGTGATTACTGGACCGTATGGAGCTTTCCAGACGGCCGGTTGAGCAAGTTCGGTTTCGAGAGAGCACGCTTGGGAGCAATGAATTATATTAAGCCCTCGATCTCGCTCTGAAAGTTGGAGGGAAAAAAAGAGAGAACTGCGATCAACGCGATGAGAAGAAAGAAAGAAACCCACACAAGACCTGTTCACGAAGGAATGAGGAGAAGCCGGACGGATTGTGGGAGACACAGACAGGACCGGATGGCACACAAGACCACTCAACGATCAAACATCGTCTGGACGAACAGCACGGATGCCAGACAGACTGGATCAGCAAGGCTCTTTGACTGGTCGGCTGCTTGCTGCAGAGTGACTTGAACGGCAGGGGGAAGGGGGGGGGGGGGAAACTCTGTGATTGCGCCGCGAGCGAGCGCAGATCATAGTACGGATGGGAAAACGGATCTGTTGGCAGACACAGACAGGACATTGCGCTCTGTGATTGCGATCGCGCGATCTCACAGAAAAGCCAGGGCGGAGGGCCGGTTGTTGGGGATGACGAACAGATGATGCCAGACAGACTGGATCAGCAAGGCTCTTTGACTGGTCGGCTGCTTGCTGCAGAGTGACTTGAACGGCAGGGGGAAGGGGGGGGGGGGGGAAACTCTGTGATTGCGCCGCGAGCGAGCGCAGATCATAGTACGGATGGGAAAATGTCGGCGGCCATCTGTTGGGTATGACGAGCCGATGAGATCTCGTCGCATCTCACAGTAGCCAGGGCGGAGGGCCGGTTCCAATTTTGGACGAGATGGCGGAGAGAACGAGAGCAGATCCATCGCCTCGACTCGGATCAACGTCACAACAAGGGACTGCGACTGTTTGGTGAAACAGGCAACACCTCAAACAGGACGTCTCGCGCAGACGGGTTGATTGGCTGGGGTCGGGCGCAACGCCGTGGTGCCCATGTTCGCCAGCCGAGAGGACGCGCTCCCGAGTCAGCGGACAAGCTTTGCCCAGGCGCGGAAGCGAGGGCGGCCTGCAGAAGCCAAGTTCAGCCTCGAGGGGGTGCTGCATCTTGGAGATCGACAGTCAACGTTCCTGGGGGGGCAAGCATTGGCGGTCTTGGCACAAAGCTGTGACAGCACTGGAGCCCTGAAACCACGCCGGCGGGGACGTTTCTGTGGGGCGTGCAACAGGACGCCACTGCAGCACAACAGGATTGCCCGCCGTGGGGCACCCGGACCGCATCGCGGCCGTGGGTGGTCGCTGGACTCGCCGCCTCTGCGGCCGTTTCAAGCTGGGGTCGATCATACCAGCTCTTTGGGCACCACTGTTCTGTTGTAGCAACGTGGAGCAGACGGCCTCGGCTGCTGGCAGCTGGGCCAGGCGGTCATGTTCTGTCAGTCCCGCCTCCCAGGACCAGGCTGATTTGCAGCCCAGGGAAATCTTGATCGCCCGTGGTCTCTTGGCCAGCGATCTTCAGAAGATGGCTGCCGGGTAATCAAATGTGGGCCGCTGCAACAGCTCGAATGCCCACAGCCCACCGGCGGGGACACACATCTCATCCATCTGATGTCTGCTATCGGCCATCGTTGAGTTGGTGTTTTCACTGTCGACACGCTATCTACTCCCGCAGGCAGGCCGCGTCAACCGATGTTCGGATAAGGCCTTTGCCGAGTTCAGATGAGGAAGCTCGGATGAAACCTTGAAGTGACGCACCCGCAGGTTGCTTCGGCAGTCGCTGAGGTTAACTTTTGGGGGTAGCGGGCGTCTCTTCCTTTCTCCGAGATTCAGACGCCCTGGCCCTAGTTGACCGATGGGGAGACCACGAGCAAAAGGAGCCTCTGCCCCACGGGGGGAAGCATTTTGGCTCTATCAAGCTCCAATAAATCGGATTGAGTGTCAAGATTGCCTGGCGGCACCAGGTACTCATTTCTTCTACACATTCAACGCGCTTATCTCTAGCTGGCTACCTGAGGCAACGGCAAGATATCCCGGCCCCCTTCTCTTTGAAACTGTGTCTGCTTAGACGTAGTAACGTGTTTGAATTTCAGGGAGTAGATAGATCAAATGCCGGCCTGGGGATAGCAAGTCCCCCTCAAACAACATTATCGCCACCCCAGTAAACACGCCCGTCCGTACCCTGAATCACATAAATCGGTTCTTCGCTAGATCTGACCGGCTGCGGGTATTCGACGTCCACACATGTGTAGGTACCCGAGACTGGAAGGAGCTCAGTCTGTGCAGTCTCCGAGCGCACAGTCTTGGCATCCTCGGTGCCGCGTCTCGACCGGCTGCTCATGGCTTTCGAGCCCGATGGCCATTTGTGCTCATGGTTGCTCCACCGAGTCCTTATTCGGCTCAACGATTTGAGCTTGAGGAAACTCGGGACCGCATTGGACAGCCGTATGACGATCGGCCAACAGACGGGCAGACAGGCGCAGAGTATTCCCATTGCGGCTGTCACCTCAATATGTCAGTCCGGAGCCCACTAGTAGTCTCCCATTGGCTGTGTGGTGTACTGACCATGAACTGATGACCAGACCTCAGTCCGGTCCCAGGCCGGTGAGCGCTTGCCAGGCTCCCATCCTTCGTAGACCTTCACTATACCCGTGACAATACCGCTAGATAAAAGAATTAGACACATTTATTTTGGTCTCACCAATCAGCCACAAAGTTTTGTCTAGACTTACCACGCGCCGATTAGAAAGACAGATGCGAGCCCGACCCTCTTCTGAACAGACAATTGCAGTTTCATGACCTCCCTCATCGGCAGGATGATTATCCAAATATCGAGCACAGCCTCGATCACGCCAGCCGTAAGCCAGAAAATGTTGTAGTTGATGCAGTACGGCGCAGGGCTGAAACTATTCTTCCAGCTCCACTCTATCGGCCAGCAATTGAAGATGGTCGCGAGAGTGGTGGCGGCCCAGAACAATATCACCACAACGCCTACGACAAGGACATGGCGCCGAAGAGATCGAGAGATTGCGAATATGCGATAGTAAATCAGGAGTATAGATATCTTGGCCGCTCCGACAATGCTGAAATAGAGAACATCGGCTATGAAGGCAAGTTGTAGATCTTTTTGATTGGCTGCCGTGTACACGTAGTCGGGGTCTGACTCCGAAAGCAACCATGCTGCGTCCGGATCCACGAGCGAGGCTGCGAGTTTTGAGTTGGTCAGTCACCGAATAAATGTGTAATGCCTGAGGATAGGAGCTTGCATGTTTTGGTCGGCAGAATGACTCAGAGGGAACCTTGGAGAGGAAGCCGGAATGTTGTGCATTGGAAAGAAATCGACGTACCCGCCAGAACAAAGGCACCTGCTGCTACAGCCGAGACAACCGCAGCCAGAGCCAGCCAGTCGTCCCACCACAGACCGGTCTTCATACAGTACCTGGTATAAAACCGCATGGCAACGGCTAGCACAGAGACGCCGATCATAGCGGCGCTCACCGCCGTGGTCGTGTCCGACTGGGCCTTTGCGCTTGCATTGCTCTCTACCATCGTGAATTCACTCGGAATATGATACAAGGCATGGGAACCATGTTGGAACTTCTTGAGCTCCCCGCTTGGGATATATCTCACAGATTGACTGCAAGAGCACTGCTGCCTACGGGCCCGCTCCTAGAGCACTATCGCATTCTGACCGCGCTGGTTCTTGATTTAGATCCCTTCGGGTGCCGACCATGTACAAGAGTGGACACCACCTGCATGTGGTGGCTGAATTCGCGCTCAGCAGCGGAGGGGAAGTCTCTTGCGGCATGTCTATACTTAGCAATCGGGAATGCTATGTTGCATTGGAGGTCTGCTGATATGTGCGATCGCCTGCTCTGCTGAAGCGAAGGATTGATATGGGTGGGGCGAAGGCCCTAGTGATGAGGGTCTCGACGGCAGAAGCCACGACAAGCTTTGCCCGAGAGGGCTTGGTATGTTGATGAGTGGATTTTGCCGTATGGGTCCGCGTCTAAGAACCCACTTCAGAAATTGTCACCCCTCGGGACACGCCATCAGCTGAGCCTGGGATGTTGCACTGTCACGTACAGTCCAAGATGTTTTCACATTCCTCAAAAAGCGCTCGAAATTCGGCCCTCGAGCCAGTCCATTGGAAGAGTTCATACACGTTTGGTTGATTATGTTTGCTAATCTTTATGGTCATTTTCACGTAGACCACTAAACGACACTGGGCTGTTTCGATCTACATTCTCTGCTCTTAGAGAAGATACCTAGTTTCAGAATAACTATCAGCGATGGGGGCATCCATGTCAGCAAATGCGTTCCCTGTCGAAGGCAGAGTAAGTCCATCTCTTCCAATCCAGTACCCGACCTTGATTTCGGCCTAACGAGACCAGACTGTCCTCATCACGGGAGCCTCGCGAGGAATGGGCCTGGAAGCCGGGCGACAACTCGCCGAGAAGGGCGCCAGCGTGATCATAGTCGCGCGAGACGAGAAGAAACTGGCAAAAGGCGTCGAGTACATCAGCGCAGGGTCGATCTCCAAGGACCAAAGATTCCACCACATCAGCGCCGACTTGAGCAGTCCTGAAGAAGCTGTTCGCGTCATAGCGGAAGCCAAGCTGTGGAACTCGGGCTCACCGCCGGATGTCGTGTGGTGCTGTGCCGGAGCTTCCCATCCCACGCTGTTTGTAGATACTGAGGTGTCAAAGTTCCAGTCTCTGATGGACTCAAACTACTTCTCCAGCGTCTACATGGCTCATGCTGCGCTACGAGCGTGGGTGAGGCCGGAGAAGGAGGCTTGTGCCGACGAATCGCCGCCCGCTGGGGGAAATACCCCAAGGCATCTCATCTTCACTGCGTCTTTTCTCGCTCTCTATCCAATCGCGGGATACGCACCATATAACCCAAGCAAAGCCGCCCTCCGGACACTTTCTGATCAGCTGTCACAAGAGATGAATCTCTACTCCGCGGCGAATCCCCATTCCCGCCCGGTGAAAGTGCACACAATTTTCCCAGCAACAATATTCACGGAGTCATACGAGGCTGAGAACAAGATCAAGTCTGACCTCACCAAGATGCTTGAGGAGGCTGATGGGGGGCAGACACCAGAACAACTGGCCCAGGGAAGCATTCGGGGGCTGGAAAGTGGTTATGAACTAGTCACCACGGACTTAATGACAAGGGCTGTCATGTGTAGTACGCTGGGTGCTAGCATTAGAGGTGGGTTCTGGAAGGGTCTCATCGACTGGCTCCTTGGTAGTTTGATGTTGTTGGTGATGGTCTTTGTTAGGATGGATATGGATCGGAAGGTGAGAGTCTGGGGGGAGCGTTACGGAGACTCCGGAATGAAAACGGAGTGAAGTTTACCAATTGTCATTTCCGTGCAGGGGACTCTCAACCCTAAGTTAGAGTGAACGAAAGCACAGTTCACTCGTACGCATTAATTTAAAGCCGGTTGAAATAGCGCATAAATACCCAGCCAGCGCATGCACAATGTGTCACTCCAAGGCCTCTTCGCCGCCCGCATCTTCCACATAATAAGTCTATTGGACTGACTCTAGGCTGCAATATAGATAGGAAATTCCATCGACCAGGGCAAACAGGAACGTATCGTTAAGTACCAAGGTTTGGCAGACTATTGTTTCCTATCAGACTCGATGGTGTGTGACATGAACTGAAGTCTTTTAGGAGACTTTCATAGTGTACAAATGATGCAAGAAATACTTCGTCATTTGAGACAACAACAATATGTATGCAGCTGACGATGTGAAATGACGCGTTGCTCCAGTTGTGTAGCACCATCGAGTAAACCATGAGCAGATCACCACTGCTCATGTAAAGCGTGGATCATCAATTCATTATGTTTTGCGCTCCGCACTCAATACACCTGGTTAAAGGTTCCCTTGTCATATAGCTGGGTCTAATCAACATTTAAGAGACAGTTGTACGCTCTGCGTCCATGCCTGAGGCCTGAAGGATCTGGTCAGAAGGGTGGGAATTCCTCTGTAAGCCTCAGGCAAATTGTAGACCTCGTCAGGGGTTCATCAGACTGTGTCTTACAATTTAATGGCATTGGTAGTTATCAATTGTGGACTGCGATTATGTATTAGTAGAGCCAACTTAGGGCCCGGTCACTTGGAGGCGAAAAGAGGCCCTTCGCAGAGATCCAACATGGGCAAGAAATCGTGGCTTGATAGATAGCATCGTGTTTGATATGACAGGATAGGGCATTCAAACGATTCAATACGAGAGGCATTGCTACTGTAGCTGTGACCTCGAGAGCTCGCTGTGCAAGATTTGATAGCTGCCTACCTAGTAGTATCCGCGATGGGGCAGCACCTTCCAGGTCGACCTCACTACCTTTGCCCGAGTTGTGACGTCGGCCAGGCACCAGCTGGATTTTCATCCCACCTTACTTTGCCGCGCCTGACAGCTGTAGTGAAGCTTGCACCACTCGTCCACCACCGCCTCTTCCCCACGCCTCCCACTCACCTCAATCTGACATTCTGTAATCCCACATCATCTTCTTCTGTCCCCCACCATCACCCTGTCTTTGGCCCTAATCAGGCCATCTCATGAGGTCAAGCCCCTAAGTCGAGCAGGTAAAGAAGAGGATCTCACCGTCAAGCTCAATCTCGTTGCGACAGGACTCACGCGTTATGGACGCGTACGTCGACCGCAGCGATGTTTTATTCTCACGAGAGTGAGTTGAACCTCTGGAAACGCCACTTATCGCTCGAAGCGTCGCTAACGTTTGCCTTCAGTCCTTGCGAGCCCTCAGTATGGCGTCGCGACGGTCTGGTACGCTGCCAAAGACCCGCCAATCCTCGTCGCCACCAGCTGACACTGATCTCACAGGCTGGTTGCCAATCTAGGCGTCTATACGAGCAACCGCAAGGTCAACCGCAAGTCCATTGAAGGCGTCAACGTTCCTCAAGCATGCGACACCATCGAAAAGCCTCCCGGGGCTCCAATTGCCTTGCGACTGCAAGGAAACCTTCTCTACGGCGTGTCTGGCGTGTACCTCAAGAAGCACAACTACCTCCTCGAAGATGCCCAGAAGATGTGGACACATATGCGGGCTTTCTACCGTTCTCTTCAACAGTCTGCATCGAACGAGATAGACACCAACGCTGGAAAGGCCAAGTGAGTTACGACTAGCCGAGACACACGGAGAAGGGACCACACCTGCTTGCTTTCTTGCTTTCTGACACAGTACAGGCGATCCCAACTTATCCTTGGTGATGACCCCAACTTCGTTCCGAGTTTCGACCTGCCTCCCCTTGACTTTGACGAGAACGGAGACCTGCTGCTTCCTGTGTGGGACTTCAGCCAGCATACCAGGCTATCCTCACAGCTTTCACCCCTTGACCGAGGCAGTGGATCTGTCGTTTCCCCAGGAGGCGCACCCCTCATCAATCTCAACATTCGTCACTCTTCAAGCCAAGATAGCCTAGGAATTCCTCCGCCTTTCGGTGGCAAACCACAAAAAGACGACCCCGACTTCGAAATGGTTTTCGGAGAGGAAGAGGTGCTGCCTTTTGAAGACTTCGGCCTTCTCGTCGACGCGGACGGAAATCTCGTCGAGCAGCCCGAGCCGGAGTTGCCTCCTCATCCCCAAAGCGAAGCTGCCATGGTTGGCGAAGCTACAAACAAAGTTGGCGGCGCGCCTGCCTTCCCCGACGACGAACCCATGTTCATTCCCGGCGACGAAGATCAGATGATCGTTGGTGATGACCCCTTTGCCGAGGTGGCGGTCGGCCAAGCCCAACAAAACCCCCAACAAAGCGAAGTGCCCCTTCCTTCTGAGGAGTTAATCAGCTCCGACGAACCTCAGCAGCCCCAGCAGCGCAAGAAGCGAAATGTCAAGCGCCTCGCCCCCGACGTTGCTACTCATGTGGGCCGAGAAGAATTCAAGGGTTGGTCAGAGAACTACATCGCTCGAGTGGAAGAGGCCCGCAGCGTCCATCACGAGGTCACAGCAGCTCAGGCAAGAAAGAATGCGTACAATCTCACCTTTGGCATGGGCGTCATGGGCATTGGCGTCCTTAACACCGTCCCCAGACTCGAGCATCCGCTGGCCGAATTCTTTGCTGGTGATGAGCTCAAGGCCATTGTCATGGGCGATGCTGAGGCGGAGGCCGAGGAGGAAGATGAGGAAGAAGCTCGGTCCCGTCGTCGCCGATCTGCCTCGGACGCCTTCGGGGAGGACGAAGACGTGTTCAACGAACGCCGGGTCCGCCCTCGCACTGACGAAGCCGAACCCGAAGCTGAAGAGCAAGATCCTCAGATCGGCCGCAATGCGCACGAGCAAGACGGCCGAGGAATCGACGACCCAATGATGATGTTCGGCGATGACTTGCCTGAGATTGGCCGTGAGCATCACGGCTCCGCCATGTCTGACCATCATCGCTCGTCCAACGCGCCTTGGAACCGTCCCTCGTCGGCGATCCCTTCCTCAATTCGCAGTCAGAAGGGTCGCGAGGCAGGCAGCCATGCTGTTGAGGGCAGCCCACTCGTGGGCCGAGGCAGCATACTCGCCAACGACCCGCGGTTCAATGATGGCGACATGATGTCTTTCGGCTACGACGGCCTGGACCGCAACATGAACGACGCCGCACACGAACACAGTTCCCTCAGCGAGTTCGGCGCTGCCGCTGGCGTCGGTACACAGGAGGCCAACACGAGCCAGTTCATGCGCAACGCTCTGGACCGCGAGGGTCGCAACTTCCTCAGTTTCGTGGAGCGTGTTGCCGTCGAGCGTGGCGAGCAGGACGAGGAGGAAGAGAACCGCCGCTGGGTCGAGTTTGACAGCCTCTTCGAGGAGCAGGACCAGACGAAGCCGGTTGCAGCGCAGGCTTTCCTGCATGTCTTGACCCTCGCGACAAAGGGCCAGATCAAGGTGAAGCAAGAGGGCATCAAGGAGAAGATTGCGTACGGTGAGATCCGCGTCGGTGTTACTGCTCCGTCCGTGGGGCAGCCGGAGGATGCGCCTGAGCAGGCTGCGGGTGGAGAGGACGACGAGTAGTCTATCGCATGATCATGAGGGTTGTGGCTACTCGATTACTGGACTGTGGTTGGATGGTGATCCCGGCCCCTTTCTCCGACTTTCCTGTCCCTGCACAAGGACAAATATGCACACGGCTCACATGTTCTTCGAGCTCCCAGCTCGATACATTCCCAGGCATGGATGGCCATGAAGGCCTCAAAAACGATGGGGACGTCTGCCGCTGTGCTTGCAGGGCTATCTGGTTGCGATTTTTTTTTTTTTTTTTTTTTTTTTGGTACCGTTGAGGCGGGACGGACGCTCGACAATTGGATGGACAGAAGGTCAACAGCAATTATTTTTGCTCTGACCCGCAAGGCGAGGAGCCTGATTGGGAGTCCACTGGGCCCCTTTCGTAATTGGATGAGGCACAGTGGTATCTTCCGCAAAAGATGTTTTGGCAGAGAATCACGGATGGCATGTCGAGCGAACAATCTGGCTTCTAGCTTCAGAACCAAGTCAGCACCGTGATCGGTGTGAAATAATGGCAAGATGGAAAATCGTCATTGAGGATACCAGGTCAGGCCAAAAATCCAAGGATGAATCAAAATAGCTTCTCATTACAACTCGTATTCTCATGCCGTCGTGAACTATCAAAACAAGACGAGAACGATTCTCACATCATTCGTAATCGTCGTCATCGCCAGCTCCCTCTCTGTCTGTGAAGATCATATACTCCGCCAGTGTCTCCTCTGACACTTGGCCTCCCATGGCTTTGATCCAAGCCTGGTGGACGGGGTCCAGCATCGAGTCTTCAAGTGCGAGGGACACGGGCGACGGCGGGAAATCGAAAATGCGCTGCTCGCCTGCAAGAGAGTTGGCATTGGCGGACTGTTGCTCGTAGTAGAGTTGGTATAGCACTTGCGGCTTTGAGGAGCCCTCGGAGCAGAGGGAAGCCAGCAGCAAGTCAACACTGGCTTCGAGAAGAGACTTGGACTCTGGAGTGTGGATGGTGCTGAGATAGAGTATGCCTTTTCAGTCGCCAGCGTTAGCAATCTTGCATCATCTAAGGAAGCTGAGAATGACTGGGTATGGGTGTGATCATCAGAAGTAAGAGTTTCTTAACTTCATAGCTGTAGCTCAGGCAATGTAGATAAGGATTGTATAATTTTCATCATGAAAGACAAGGGATTGGGGATCGTGGGGCGTAACTTACTTTGTCCAGTTGGGCATTCGCCGGTGTCACTCGAATGTGCGATGGCGTAAATCGGGTACGTTGACTCAACTCCCCCGCTGCTCTTCACCGACTTGGGCGGCAAGGCAATGACCGCCACTGCGGGAGTAGGGGCTCCCTCTATTGTCGTTTCGAACAGTGAACCAAGGGGCGATCCAACAATCGCAACCAGTCTGCTGACCTTGGTACCATTGCCAGCGGGTACGTCATCAGGCCCTCTGAATAGCATCTTTGTCTTGACGACTGTGCCCTCTGAGAGCTCGAGCTCAATCTCTCCACCATCTGTGCCATCACCTTTGAGCTCCTTAATGCCTGTGCCGAGCATGTAGATACCGCCGCCTACCGCACCGGCCCGGCACCCGACCTGGGCGATCTCAGAGCCTCCACCCCACTTGGGGTAGACAGCAGCAAAGCCAGGCCCGAACAGGCCCATCGACGTCAGGTGCCGATGGATCGTCGCCAACCCATCCTTGGTACTGATGCGCCCGTCGAGCGACAGCGTCAAGGTGGTGATGTACGTTCGCAAGCCCTCGTCCAAGCCCATCTTCTCCGACAACAGTTCAGCGAGTGGCCTGTCGGCATACTCCTGCCACTGCGGGAGTGTGGTCTCTTCCTCATATGACAGGACGAGCTTCAGAAACTTCATGAGCTGTCGCTTCACCCGAGCGGAGAGGTCTGTGGATGAGAAGACATCCTCGCGGGTGGAGGGTATCCGTGCTAGCGTCGGCGTTCCGTCTGGATCAGAGGCTGGCTTGAATATGAAGAAGCAGCCGACAGCCAGGAACTCCAGCTGCCGATAGCATCGGGAGGAGACCAGTTGGGAGAGGAGCTTGGAGTTCGCGTGGACGATGTGGGGTGAGAGGGAGAGGGCGTAGGCGCGCGGGAAGGAGAGCTTGATGCTCGAGTCTGGGACTTCTTCTGGCTTGGTCACGGCGGCAGCTGTGAAGACCGAAGACGAAGGTGCTTTGGCAATCTCTGAGGCCCAAGCATCGGCTTCCTGGAGGCTGAAGGCCGCTTCTGGTCCACCGTAGTACTCATTGGGGTCTATGTGGAGGATCTTCTTGTCTGATCGGGAGAGTGCTCTTCATGGAGGAGGACGACTAGGTTAGTTAGATGGGCTTCCTGACGTTTTGCACAGCAAGACGGGTGGGTCGCAAGGGACTTACAATGCCAGGAGCGACTGCTGCAGGCCTGTGCCGCAGATGATCACGTCCCAGGTCGTCTCGCTCAGCGACTCCATGGTTGCTGCGGTGCAGTCACGGTGATGGTCGAGGAGGAAATTTGCGCAAACGAAGCTGTCGTTGAAAAAGGCAGCAAATTGAGCTTGCAGGCGGCGGGGACGCGAGCTCTACCGGAGCGCCTAATTTTCCGCGCAGGAGCCCCACCTACCCACCGTTGGGCGACTAGCGTACCAACACCTGGTGAAGCTTCTGGTGCAGCGAGGCGTTTCTCTTTTCCCCCTTCCTTTTTCGACATCCGCCCAGCGAGGTACAGTTGCCTACTATTGCGATAGACAGCATTTTGTCCTTAAAAGTTACCTTTCATTAGGCAGCTTCATGCTGGGCGGTAGACCGAAACTTCCGCCTGTATCTACTGCTCTTGATTCTCAACGTGATAGAGCGGTTCGAAAGGTTCGCGAGACATTTTCTCTTCACTCGTCCATCCATGCATCATCGTTCAGTGGCCCTACAATTTCCTGGGGTGAGGGCACACGTCGCAAGCCAGACCTCGTCTGCAGACCCCTTCAATTTTCTGGTCTCTATAGCCGTTCTTGTATGAGTGACTGGTCATCCTGGAACACAACGCCATCGGGTGTGTTGAATGTCGTCCAGGTCTTGGGTGGCCTCCTTGCCCACCAAACAAACGCCATCATAGTCTGGTGCATGCGCGATACTTGCCCAAGAGCGCGTGGAATTCAAGATGGACAGCCGCACAGGCAGGTCCATCATGGGCGCGGCCTTGATCTGCCTACCTGCAGCGCTCATCTTGCGACACCATCTCTTCCCAACGAAGGCGGGCAGAATCATCAAATCACCCAAGCAGACGGTCTTGTCCACTCTTCCACCGGCGGAGCTCTCATCTCTTCCTTACCCTCCTGACGCCCTCCCAGGCGGCCGCGATGTTCCAACTCCGTACGGCAACGTCCATGTCTTTGAGTTCGGCCCGTCAGATGGCGAGAGAGTCTTATTGCTACATGGCTTGTCGATGCCGTGCGTGTCTGGTTCCAACACCGCAGTCGCTCTCGCCGGAAAGGGCTATCGAGTGATGCTCTTCGACCTCTTCGGCCGTGGTTGGTCGGATACTCCGGACCCTCGGGACGTCGACTACGACGAGAGGCTGTTTGCAAGCCAGATCATGATGGTCCTGGCGAGCTCCGAGGTCAGCTGGACGGGTAACGCTGTGGCGGGAGGCAAAGGGGGATTCCACCTGATCGGCTACTCGTTTGGTGGAGGCCTGGCTGCCAATTTCACAAGCTGGTTCCCACACCTGGTCCGGTCATTGGTCTTGGTCGCACCGTCTGGCCTCCTCAACAAGCAAAGTGATACCAACTGGCGTGCGCGACTGCTCTACTCGAGGTCTTGGCTGGCAGAGAAGCTGCTCTACTACATCTACAGGCGCCGGCTTGAGCCTCAGTACGCGGCTACGAAGGACGGCAGTGACAGTGACGGAAGCAAAACAGGCGACCCTTGGGACGATGCGATCATATCACCGGCCCGACCCAACGTCACGGTAGCATCGATCACGTCGTGGCATCTGCGTTACAACGAGGGATTTGTACCGGCCATCATAAGCACCTTGCGCTACGGCCCGATTTATGAGCGGTATGATGAATGGAAGAGATTGGGCTCGATGTTATCTGCAAGAAGGGAGAATCCCCATCTGCCAGGCCTAATCCGCGGCAAGGTGCTGCTAGTCTTCGGCTCCTCTGATCAGATCATACAGGAAGACAAGCTCATACCAGTCGTGGAAAGTATCCTTGGTGGTGATGCTTACCAAGTGGGAGTATTAGAGGCTGGTCATGAGGTTGGTATTACCAAAGGTGCTGAGGTGGCAGATGTTTCAATCAAATTCTGGAAAGAACCTTTAGATGCTAGAACAGGCACACATATATAGGACATCAAGATCAAGCATGAGCAACAATAAACAAGGGGGAAGTAGCTCAATTGGGAGAGCGACGTATCCTAGGGACTGCATGCTTGGAGGTCTTCAGAGGACTCCCAAGCTCGTAGGAACTGGTGACGGAGGTTCTATGTTCGATCCATAGCTTCCCTAGTTAGTCTTTTTTTTCAGCCTCGGAAATATGACCCTCTTGATTGTCTATGCACTGGCTGCATATTTTTGCCAATAGAGTTTAGAGAACTACCGATCCCTTTAGACTCAATCTTGTCTTGACCCAGTCATTCTGGTCACTTTTGTTCTGCCTCGGTATTGAACACACTCAGGCAAAACTGATTCTCCTCGCTTCATCTAGCATTCATTGAGGTCGTCATGATCACCAGGACTGATCATCTAGTGCCATCAATCTCCCCGTCGTATGGTTTGCTCCCATATACAACGTACCTATTGTGGAATCTGGTCAGTTTCAGCCCACAAATACCTGATCCCATATCCACCGCTTTTATGCTTATGTTTCTCACTCACATTGGCATATACCAGCGTATCTTCGGGTTCTGAACATCCTCTTTGACCTTCTCACTCAGCTCATCCATCTCCGAAGGTGACAGCTCCCCAGCAGCGGCGAGGAGCTGCTTGAAGCTGTCGATGGCACCCATGCAGAGCATGTTCGCGAAGTAGACGCCCAGGAGCTTCGCCTTCTTGTCCTTTGCCCAGGGGCTGCCAGGGACGTGGATCACCCGCTCTTGGACGTCGACGAACCCGGTCTCCGTGAGCTGCTGCTTGTACAGGCGCGCCTTTTTCAGGTCGCGGCCGCACTTGGCGGCCCCAGCAGCTACAAGCCGACACCAGCGCCCCAGGGCGGTGCCTTCGAGGGCCTCGTCGTCTGGCACGCCGTGTGGGTTAAAGCAGCCCTCTTGGAACTCGACCCAGCCCCCAGCCGTCAAGCCCTGGAGCGCCCTGCGCATCACCGTCTTGACATCGTTGAAACACGCTGTCATCCCCCGTAGGTGGATGTAGTCGAATTTATGGGGGAAGAGCCCTGTTATGTATCGTATCAGCTCTCTCCACTGTGCGGTCTATCTGATTTCGAGCCCAGATGCCTGGCATGTGTCCTGCGTGCACGCATGGAACGGAGAGTTGTACAATCCTGTGATTCCGAGTTCTCCATCACGAATTGGCAATTCGGCATCCAAGACAAGGGTTGTATCAAGCTGAGATCTGTGCCAGTGACCTGGCAGGTTGGATTCTCCTCGGCTGTTACAAGGAAGATGTTCAGCTGAGCTGATCAAAAGTGCAAGCCGATCACGAACCGATGTAAGCGATACCTACCAAATTGTAAGGCCCAGATACCTGTTCCTGTTCCGACTTCAAGATGAAAATGTCAGCACGCTCTCCGCAAGGCCGAATATTGAGACGACGGCATACTGTCGAGTGCATGTTCCGGCTCTCGTAATGGAGCCGCGGCAAGCTTTTCATCAAGCATGAGGCGGTAAAGGGCGTGAGAGAAGTCTGGTTGCTGTGTTAGCTCGTCACTACTGTGAACTGGACCACGGGGTATATTGAGGCCTACCAAGTCGGTGTTGTTCGGCCTTCGGATTTCTCGCATCAGTCTGGCATCGATACTGGTACTAGTTCAAGTAAAGATAACGGGTACTGACACGGTCGTTCGGGAGCATGTATTCTTCCGAGATTTGTTAGACGCAGCTATGCGAGTATCGAGCACATGGAGCAGGGCTCAGCTTCCTCACCACCAGGCATATATCCTTGGTATGTCCGGCCGTCTTCTCCGACACAGGAGTGTGGGTCAGCAATCGTACCATCTCCGCTTCTGCCAGTATGCATTAGTCGGGCTGCTGGGCTGCGAGAAGCCACACAAACCCACATCGTTTCGGTTTCCGTGCCATCATCTGACGGAGTTTCGAGGCTGCCTTGTGATGGTATCTGCAGAAGACTGTCTGCGATAATTCTGTCATACTTCTCATCATCCGTGGGTGTGAGAAGTGATCCTGGGGTCGGATTGTGCTGTTTGGACATCGTGAACCGTTGTGTGTGCTAGTAACAGGTTTCGCTCTCTCACCGGCCCACTGGCTCTGCTGATGACCAGAATACGATCCTCCGTACCATCTGACGACTCACAGCTTAAGGACAAAGGGATCTCATTAGGCGAGCAGTCTAGACCGGAAAGGGAAACACGACCCAGCCAACTGCAGAAATTGTGCAGCATTCCAGTGTCCTGTGCGCACGGCTATATGTTTACAAGCGTGGCGGGATCGACGATACTATCTCTGAAGCCAGAGCTCCTCTTTGTGGGAAGAATTTGGGAGAAATCGGCACTTTCAAATCAGTCCCACTCAGCTGCGCGCATTTTGTCGTGCCGTAGCACCTTCCCTTCCCCTCTTCAAGTTCTCTATGAAGCCAGGGTAGAATCATACAAGAAAATCACACGATGGGGGGTGTTCCATCCAAGCCCGGTGACCCGTCGAGGCCGCTTGAGGTCATTGGAGCTGGATTCTCACGAACGGGTACGATGTCGATGCAACTCGCCTTGGAGGAACTACTCCGAGGCCCCGTTAGTAAGAACTCTCAGACGTTCCTTCGATGCTGCCTCTATTCCTGGAATTCCACCAGGACACTGGCTCATTTTATCACCAATCCTGCACAGTATGAGTCCTGCTGACATCAATGACCTAAGTGCACGGCGCAACGCACATACTGTTCCGCGAAGATTGTGAGCTGCACCCTTCATCGATCACCCTGGGGAGCAACAAGCCCACTGTTACCCCAGGAAATTGGCCCCTGGCAGCAACACAGGGCTAACGTGCCGTGTCTGGGTCGCAGCCTTTGGGAAGAAATGGACCCAGGTCTACGAGGCCCGCGAGGCAGGAGAGAAAGCCAGGACGCTCAAGCTCCTGCGCGAGCTGGTGGCCGGGTTCGCCGGGGTCACCGACCTGCCGGCCATCGACTTCGTCCCGGAGCTCCTGGAGCTGTACCCGGACGCCAAGGTCGTGCTCGTCACGCGCGACCGGGACAGGTGGTGGGACAGCTTCGGAAAGGTGCTGAACATGGCGCAGCTGCGGTTCCTGTCCGTGCTGGCGGCCCCGATGCCCGGCCTGCGGTGGTTTCCGGGTACCGTGGTGCACTGGCACAAGGGTGCTTCTAGGCTCATGGGGGAGAAGAAGGGCCCCGGGACGCCCCTTGGACCAGGTGAGTCGGTTTGACCTGCGAGGGGGGGTGTTAATACGTGGATGGATCCGATTGGGCTCGACTGACCATGAGTTTTCACCTGTTATTAGAGCTTATAGAGCTGCATAATGACATGGTCAAGTCGATCGTGCCACCTGACCAATTGCTGGTGATGAGCATGAAGGAGGGTTGGGACCCTCTTGCCCGATTCTTGGGCAAGAAGACGCCGGAGAAGCCATTCCCTCGTGTCAACGATGCTGAGGCCGCTGAGACGGTTGCCAATGGAATCATCGTGAAGTGTCTGCTTGTATGGGCGGGCATATTCGCAACAGGGGGTATAGGTATCTATGCGGCAAGGTGTTTGATCAAGCGGTAGCCGAGTAATTTGTCGAGAACAAGGGAGGAGGTTCCCATACCATCAAGAATTACGTGATGTAGTCTTTGAATAGATACATTCACCCCTCTAATTGGGTATCATTACCAGGGGAGTATCATAAGCGGCCATCTCTTACGCCCAAGGACTTCCTCGGTTGTCCACATCTACCTCCGAATCCAAGAGACATGCGACGTGGAGGTTTCGTCTCCATTCACTGCTATCTCCTTCAAAAAAGCCTCAGGCTAACGCCTGCTGGATGTCCTCCCACCTGCTCTCCGCCATCGCAGCAATCTCTCGTATTTCTTTCGGCCCAAGCACCCTTCCGCCGCTCTTCGATATCCCTCGTATTCTCGGCTCACCGGTTGTGCGATCTACCACAACAGTGACGCTTTCGTCACACAGGCTTTCCTCCAGCCTATCCGGGTCGACCAGTACAAAAGACTTGCTCTGACTGACGACTTCCGCCTCCCGCTCGTTGAGCACAGCAGCCGTGCACGCGATTGGCAGCCCGCGAACGCTGAGGGCCCTGCTCTCGGTCCGCGAACACAGCACCATCTCCCTGTCCGGGTCCCACCACGCCCGCGGCAGCTTTGTGTCCCTTAGGGCCGCGAGGATGGCGATCCAGGCCGCGTCGAAAGGGTTGCCGTCGAACGAGACGAACAGTACGTCAATGTACAGCGTCCAGTAGGCCTTGATCTCGGGCTCCTGCTGCTCTGCCGCCTCGTCCTCGCCACCTGCCATCTTGTCGTCCTCGTCGGCGTCGAAGCTCGGCGGCGTGTACCACACCCTCAGGTCCTCGGCGTCCAGCAGGCCCGCGCTGTGCAGCAGCGAGTACACCCTTGTGCTCAAGGTCTGCGCCAGCGTCGTGGGCGGCACGCCGGGCAGGAATTGAGGCGCGCAGCCCGTGGCCAGCTCGATGTTGGGCACCAACAGGTCGTAGTCCCGCAGCTCCCGGGCGCCCTCCTCCCTCAGCTCGGCGTCCTTGTCCTCCACCGACTCCAGCTCCGCCTTGCTCTTCGGTTTTCGCCACTGCGGGACGCTTGTGGACGGCAGGAGCTCCCCGCGCACTCCGCAGATGACGCTTGTGTCACCGATCCTCACCATGGCGCTGCCGTGGGCGTGGGAAAGTGACGAGGCATTTACGTTGAGTGGTCGGGCTTGGTGCGGCGCGCGGCCGTTTGTCCGCGTTGGTTTGGCTGCGGTGGCATGGCTGGGTGGTTGGAGGTTTGCGAGGAGGTATGGGTGAGGGGAGAGTTTGGCAAAGGTTTGCGGCGTGAAGGTGGTCGAGGAGGTCATCGTGAGTGGGTCGAGGCCCCAAATGGCCCTGGAAGTCAAGACCTGTGTGGGTTGCTGCGATGTGCTGCTGTGGTGTGTTGGGCCATTGGCGAGGCGGTCGCACGCGAGGCAGACCGTGGTTGCAGCTCCAAGGGACGAATTTTCGTCTTCAGCCTTAGCGGGGCGGCCGACAGACTGGCAAATGATGCAGTAGCGGGTATGCAAGGCCTGGAGCTACCCCGCCACTCCCTGACAGCGAGCTACCAGGGAGCTTGATCGTCAGGGCTCCCTGGTGCAGCACCTCAAGTGACGTCTTACTCCGGCAGAGCCTCATTATCTCTTTTTTAGCCTCTATTCAAATGCCATGCTTGATCTGTCCTTGGCACTAACTTTGAAAAATTCCTCATCATCAGAGCAGTTGTTACCAGGTGCTATGGAAGTCCATGGATTTCGTGAGAAAAGAAACTAGAAGGAAGACGATCGCAGTTTCTGCCCCGCGCATGTCAATCGCAAAATGGCCACCGTACCTACAGCCTACTAGGTAGATATGACGTAGAGCTCCAGTCTTTTATATTCGGTCCTGCAGCCCAACCCTCTGCACTGGACAGCCGTGACATACCTAGGCACATAGATGATCCTCCATGACGGAAGGCCTGAGGGCAGGCCAGGCTGCTTGTCAGATTTCCAAAGCGATATGACGTAGATAGTCGGTGGTGGGATAGACTGCTAGCTATATCAATGTGCACACTGGTGAGGAAATCGCAGGTTTGTTCTTCTTCCCATCATCTACCAACTTTTGAAGATTACAGATTTTCTGCAAATAAAATCCGAGAACACCTCGAAAAAAACAGCTATCTCGCTATTACAAACCTCTCAAAACCACTTTGTTCATCAACACCATCACCATGACTGGCACATCATCTGTAGGCCCCATCAGCGTCAACGGCGCCGGTGACCAGCGCAACGTTAAGAACTCGGAGCTCGAGCACGCCGAGCGTTACGAGGAGGGCAAGGTCAACTCTCACAACACCGACGACTCCAGTAAGACTCATTTCCCAACCTGACTTTGTCTGTCCGAGGCATACTGATCAAGACCACAGAGGACCAGCGATCCATCGCCAACCGTCTGGCCGCTGAGGAGAAGAAAGACGATGAGCCAAAGGATGACAAGGAGACCGCAATGTCCAAGAAGGACCCTACACTTCCCGTAAGTTCAAGTTAGACACCATTGTGACCCCATGAAATTTCGCTGACAAAGATGCATCAGGCCAAGGCCCACGGCAACGAGCCCTCCAAAGGCGCCAAGATTGATGCCGAGCTCCAGGCCGAGGAGGAAGAGACCATCAACAAGAAGAAGTCGGGAAAGACAGACAGCATGCCCGGCAAGAAGAACTGAGTCCAGTCCAAGTGCAACAACGGCGATGACTTCATGAGGCAGAAACGTCCGGAGGACGGCCACGGAAGCACACGACGGCACGGAGCATCTTGATTTGGGTTGTCCCGGTTGAGCAATGGCGTTTAGAGGCATAGATTCAACGTAGCATGCGTGGAACGAATTGACATTTTGAAGCTATGGAAATGTGTGTACTGGACTTCTACGTGAGAACTACTCAGCATCTGTCGAGATCGACAACAGTGACTTTTTACGACGGGGACTTCACTCAAAGCGCCTGGTACTGATGAACATCCAAACCCCAAGGGTAGCAACCGTCGCAACAAACTCTCATAGCGTCGGTGATGTTCGCCAACAGGTTCCTCTCGGGTAGCAGAGCCGGCTCTTTAAGTCGAGGCGCAAAACGCACGCAGTCGGGACTACCTATTTGGTGCCGATGTCAGCAAATGAATCTCGCACCGAGCGCATCGATGCGCCGGGAAAAGAGTGACGATCGGGAGGTCGGGCGTGTGTTCAGAATATGTAAGAAGTGACTATCACTTAACCGCATGATATAGCACAGCAGGCGAGCCGGCCATCATACGGAATCAATCGCAAATTACTCTCATCATGAAAGGGACAAGCCCTCCCGGTCGGCGGGGAAATAAATGGGTGGAAAGAGAGCAATCTTACCTTTGCGCGTCTGATGCCAATATCATTGAAACCTTTGCCACTCTGTCTCACACTCGCGCTCAGGCACCAGGGCCTTGAGAAGTGATTGATCAAGAGGCGGGTTGCTGTTGTTGATGTTGATGTTGAAGGAAAGTCGCCGGATTTTGCACGGCAGAGATTTTTGAACGCGCTCGCTTAAAGACGTCTACTTTTCTTTTTGTCTTAGGTGCGTGGCACGGGCCACACTAACTGAGACCCAATAGGGCGACGCGCCCTGGCCGACCCGGATCCACTCCCGAAATGTCAACGGCCGGGTGTTTACCGCCTTTAGCTGGGGGCCCTGCCAAAGCCTCGGCGCCGGCCCTCGCGCCACTCTCACCGGCAGCCTGCTGAGTCGCTCGGCCCGCCTCCTTCGTCTCGTCTCATTGCAGCGCAGCACCAATACGAAGCTGAATAAAGACGCCTTCACCCCTGCCCAATCCCACGGCGAGGTCACGAGGTCGAAAACTGGAACCTCGCCCAGCCGGGGGAGACAGGACAGGGAGAGGGAAAAAGAGAGAAGGCCGGCAGCGCCGTGACAAGGGGCGTCTGATGAGCCTGCGCTGTTGCCCTCTGCCTCTGCCGCTGGCTGCTGGCTGCTGCTTGACGCACTGTCCGCTCCTAATTGCCGATCCCATGTTTTCAGCTGATCAAATAGATCCCCGCGTGGAGCCCAGGATTGGCAAGATGGGGACCCGCAGGCATCGGCCATTGCGACATAGATGGGGCGATAAGGGCGGCATGGCAGCTTTGGGAAGAGGACCCCCGGCTCGGACGGTCTTGTTTTTTCGGCAGCTGTCTGTTAGGCTGATCCGTGATACAGCAGACAGCAGGGGCCGCCGGCTGGGGGTTGGTGGAAGAAGAAACAACCCAAGCGGTGGAAGGAGACGCAATTAAAGCCGGAGGAGCAAGAGCCAAGTCACGATGATGATGATGATGATGGGCCAAGCTAGCTGCATTGCCATACTCCATAATCCGCTCCCTCCTCGTACTCGGATGCTCACTGGAAGAACGGCACCGCTCCCGTTCCGTAGCAGCCCTGGTTCCTTCAACCATCGTGAGCCTCTCTTTGTCTAGCTTCCGACGGGTCTATCTCCGCGGGCAGGGTGAGCGCAAGCGAGGACTAGCCCTTGCCCAACAGAGCTGTTCTTCACAACGGGGTGCGGCATGGCATGGCCAGACATACGAAACCACGGGCATACACAAGGTGATTCGCCAGTCAGTGCTGGGCGGCATCTGACGCGATACTACCCGATCCTGCGCATCTGACTGACGCTTGCTGCAGATGGACTGGTAATTATTGAGTCACTGCCCATCTCACATTGTCTAACCCAAAGGCGATGGGCGATGTGAGAGCACCTCACAACTTGCGGTGTGTAGCAGACGGTCAGATACCAGGGCACTCTCCGCGACCGTTTCCCCTCCTCCCGCCTCTCTCCCCCCCAATATGTCTACCCCCGGCTGCAGGCACAACTCCCGGGCGCGTCCGAGGGTGAGGGACAGGCTAGAAGAAGCCTTCTGGAACCGACCGAGGACGGGAACCGGCAGCCAACAAACAGTTACCTTTTACCTGCGGGCATGGCGCCGGGGAAGGGGGAAGGGGGCTTGGGAGCAACGCGACTAGTGCCCAACGATCCGTCCTGCCCATTGCCTATACGGGGGCGGCACGGCAATGAGCCGCTCCTTCCAGAAGCACGGGAGACGGGTCGACGTCAAAGCCCCCTTCCCAACCCCCCCCCCCCCTTTGTCCCATGCCAGAAGGACTCCCATGCCGAACCAGGAGAAGCCTGGCGAGGCGGATCGAGCCGCTCTCAGCTGTCAGAAAAAGAATTTATATGGCAAGAGTTCCTTGTGTAACTAGGCCAACGACGTTCCCGTTTGGGACAGAAAGAAGCAGACACCCAGGAAATCGCCCCATGTGCCGTGTCTGAGGCTCATCGATAGGGCTGGGGTTCCCATTGAGACACAAAAGGGCAGAGAGGGTGGCAAAGTATGCCCTAGGCATCCCGGGTGGTAAACGTCCTCCGGGTTCGGTCGACCCCTTGCTTGCTAACTGCCTTGAGGCTGTTGCACAGCATACGTAATGATGCTTGTGTGGCTTTTATTACCCGGTTGGCGGATTGTGTTCATGTGTTCGATTCTTGGCTGCTGTTCATCCCGGGCCCGCGCGGGCTGGGAAAAGAAAATATTAGGGCGGCCGTTGAGGCGCTCGCAGCCTAAGGGAAGGAAGGGGTGAAGCCGATGGGCTGCGGTTTGTCTGTGCGCCTGTCAATACACGGCATATGCGCGGCACGAAAGAAGGTCAAGCTGTGGGTAAGAACAAAGAAGGAGGAAGTTTTGCATTCAATCTAGAGGACCATTACCATCCCCCATGCCCCTGTCAATTCACCGAAATATTCGTGAAGACGCCTGCTACATACAGCCTTGTTCCTTTTTGGACCCGTGCCCCCTTCCGATCCTTGCCCCGGTAAAGAAATTGGTGAAATCGTTAGAAAGGAACTGTAGCGTCTTCTACTTTTGCGCCCCGTGAGGGGTCAGGTAAGAAATCTCATGATGATCTGGAAACCTCATGATGGTAGGTGTCACCCAAACCTGGACCGTCAACTGTTGCCGTGAAGCTCCATCTCTGTAAGTGTAACAAGCGCAGCTGCCACCCGACGGCAGGGACCATGTTTTGTTGGCGTTGGAAAACCACGACACGTAAAAGGAGAGATAGAGAAAAAAAGTAGTGGAAAGAGACCCGAGAAAGTTTCAATGCCGGGACGGTTGGCCCGGGAGCGTTTCCGTCGAGTCCGTGGCTCGCCCTCAACAAACTCAACAGCACGGCGTACCGCAGTTTCCACATGCACGACCGGGGATCACCCAAACCTCCTTCCCATTGGCAGCGCAGGTGGGACAGCGCACACCCGGGAGCTATAGTGTGAGAATTGTCAGATGATTCCTAGTATCTCGCCCGAGGAGCTGTGTCGTGCTGGGCTGGTGCTACTTACCGGCATGGACTGAACGGGCAAGCCGGGGTGTGTTGGTGAGGGAGGTGAGGGAGGAATCGGAAGAGGCCCCAGGGGGCAAGGCACGACGACGGCGGCGGTGGTGTCGAGGTCACGGGGAATTGTTGGCCGAACCATGTTTTCAGATCTGTGTTGTGGTCTGAGTGATAGGTTCCAAGCTGTGGAGGCCACTGGCGGCAGGTGTTGCGGTCGTTGTTGATGATGGTGGTGGTATTGTTGGTGTTGGCGGTGATGGTGGAGGTAGTGACAAATGTGCTGGTAATGAAGAGACCGGAACTGATCAAGTGTTTGTGGATAGATCTGTTGGGACATGGAACTGATACAGTCAAGGGAGGGGAGAGGTTGGAGTGGAAAGGAGGCGGTGGAGGGCACGGGAGTTATATATCCATCCAAGATATTGGAGTGGTTGTCCCCCGTTAGGAACATCCATCCTTAAGCTTGCAATATTGCAGGGACAAGGTCTGAAGACGAAAGGGTAGTAGAGGGACCAAATAAGAAAAAGAAAGGAAAAAGAAGGACGAATTGCATGGTTTCGACCTGTCCGCGACGGGGAAGCAAGACGGGACCGGACGTTTTCCTGCCCTCCTGCAGGAGCTATGGGCAGATGCGTAGCCCGCCTGGCGCAGGCCTCATGCGGTCTGAGCAAGTGATTATGGGAGGTTCGGCTTGGGCACGGTGAGCATACGCGCACCGAGCAACACGGGTGGGCTCCTGCAGCTGGTGTGAAAGCCTATGGTGACGGTGTGTGTGTGTGTGCATTTCAACGGGCCACTCGGCCCTTGAGGAGTCACTGCCGGGGCGCGGCGAGGCGTATGCCAGAAGATAAAGTTCGAGCTACCACTCCCACGTACGACAATCCCGTGGTGATGGGCACTTGCACCACCAGAAAGCGCGGCGAGTAGTGTGTAAAGTAGCAGCCGGATGCTTGAGCGTTGGAGCCGCCGCATGGGGGTTCGACTTGACGGCTGAGGGAAGCTTGAACTCGTTCTTTTTTCCTGAAGTCAGCGTTGCATTGCCAGATTTAGTGGATCTGCAAAGCGAGATATCGATTCCACCCGATCAAGGAGGTCTCTCCCAGGTAGCGACAGGGTTTGGGAACCGGGCAGCTCAGCTCAGTGTTACCCTGTGCCGGTACATGGTGAGGACTTGAGCGTCGGGCCTGTGGCTGAAGATCGAGCTACTGTACCTGGGTAGAGTGAGGGACAGGGGGGAGGGCACTCGCAACATATGTGCTCGTACAGTGGTAATGAGTACATGCCGTCTCCATGTGGTGGAGTAAGCTCACCTGCGTTAGTTCTTGGGACGCGTGCCAGGGACGACCACCCGGTCAGTACTCAGCACCCATTCAATGGGAGATGTGATATTGTAGACCCAGGACCGTGTTTGTACAGTACAGTACGGGTGACCAGCCATCTGCCTCGCTCGGCTGTCCTGTGTCTTGCACGAGAGACAGATGAGATCGGGACGGGACGGATCAGATCAGATCAGATCAGATCAGGCCTGGCCTAGTCTGGTCTGGCTAGACGAGTACTGAGTACCAGAGGTCTCTACTTGTAGTACAAGTAGGCTTTCGTGTCTACGGTCCTGGGCCCGCGCAGACACGCGTGATGTTTGCCCGCGGCGGCGGGCCTTGACATCTGGGATGCTCTGTTACGCCCGCCCGTACTCGTCTACGGCGTCCGTGCCTCGGGTTTTACTTTCTCGGGGGCGTCTCGCTCGGTGGGCGGCGGTGGAAATTGGATTTCTGATCGGGAAGAAGCCGGCGGCTGCCTGACTTCGGCTCGGCCTGGGCGGCACGGGCATAGAGGCACTGGGCACCCACTGGGTGGGCATCCGCCGTGACGGGGGCTGGCGACAGGGTGATGGGATGCGGTGCAGGCGGCCAATTGATTGATTTGATTGACTGACTGGCTGGCTGGTTGACTGACTGGCTGCACACGGTGTGGCTTTTGGGGCTGATACAGAGGAGCGGGCGGGCGGCGGCAAGTGAGGTGGTCGAGACGAGACGCGGCCGACATTGGTGTGGTGAGCAGAGAGGGTCGCTTGTCATATCTCACATGCTCGTCCGCCACTCGGGCTTGCCAGTCCTGTCGCTCTGTCAGTCCATCAGTCCTCGGTCAGTGTCTGGAGTTTGCTCTGCTCCCCATCTCCCCTGGCTATTTTGCGCGCAACCGGCTGTCCCGGTCTCCTATCGACCCGCAATGCCTCCTTTTCTCCTGTTCCAGTCCCCCTCGGTGTCGTGCCACCTGAAATAAAAATAAAACTACCTGGCACAGCACCTGGGCGGCCCTCTCGCTGCAGAGAAAACCTCCTTTGCTCTTCCCCTGCTAGCAAGTCGCGCCCCACTGCCAGGCAGAGCACAATGACGTACCTTACGAGGTGAGGTGCCTAGACTAGGAAGGAACATCGGACTGATTGGGACTGCCGTAGTAGGCAAGGATGGGTTGCAGGAAAGGAACGTAGAGGCAGCTTTTAGGATGGAGCCGTGCCTGGGATTCGGACTGGGCCTTCAAGCCCAAACCACTCCAAAATGTCTCTGTCCCCCAAGTCTCCACCTCATGTGCCCACTTGCTTCTCGAAGCCATCGCAACCAACTTTGAACCGCCTCCATCCATCCACTCTTCCACTGCGTGGGTGCTCCTCGGCCGTCTGGACTTCCAAACTTCCGAAGATCGTCCACAGCTATTTTTGAACTTGACCCTCAGTACCTGCGACGATGGTCATGGCCGTCGTTTCCCTCGCCTGGCCTTGCAATATTGCTCTTTCCGCATTGCACCTCATCCCACCCCGTTCACCCCTTTCATCAAATTCATCGTATTGTCTACAATTGATACTGTGCTCATGGTAGACCGCTCTTTGCTTGCGGATGGGATGCCTTGATGGATAAATAGACTTTCGCTTGTCTTCTCCTTTCTCAGCGCCTGCTCCACCGGGCACCGGGCAGAGGATCCTCACGTATCTCTCACAGCTCCAGCACCCCTGCAGGCCCGATGCGTGCTCCCGATTCCCGACCCAGTATCTCGGTTTGGCCAGCCGCAACAAGTGCTGCCTACGGCACTGTTGCGGTAATATCGCATGCCTCCACCGGGCCACGGCTTCCAAGCTGCTCTCCGTTTGGACATTATTTGCGCCTGGTGGAAAGCCATTTCGGATTAGGACCGCCAGCGTCCCCAGGCAACTGACGAGCCCTGCCACACCACGGGCGCCTCTTAGCAGTCTTGGACAACATGACACCCGTGTCGAGCACGCCTTCATCTGCTGCATCGTGTCTCCTTGCGGATGGATCAGGTGGGCAAACGGCCTCGTTCGCGATCGCATCTCGGTTCTCTTTCCTTGTCTCGTCACTCTCTCATCTCGTGCATGTCACGGCTCCATCCATAGCACTATCAACACACTAGCCGGCGGCTGCCCCGTCCCAGCTGCTCTTGAGCATCGAGCCTTGACTCGATCACTATCAGCGAGGCTGTCCCGACAGCCCGGCTGTCCCGTCAGCTCCACCCTCAGCGAGGCCCTGATTGACACTTGATCTCGAGATGATCTGATTCCGAGCGCCAGGATCTGCCTCGTCAATCTGCGATTTCCCCACAGCGGATACCACCCTACCTCATGGCTCAGCAACTGGGTCTTGATCATTTGCTGTCTCCTGTACGGTGGTATCCGTCACATAAAGTGCTGCACCCCGCTGGTGTCTCTGGGCCAGAGATGCTGTGGGAGGCCGTGACGGGCGGTTACTTTCGGCTTCCATTGTCGCTAATTGCCAGACCAATAATGTTTGACCCGTCACGTCAGGAAATCGTTTCATATGCCTTGATGTCAGTCTATTTGGGTACCCCAACCAAAGCCGGGCCATTGGCAGCAGACGAAGCTATTGTCACGGTGAGCAATGAGGCTATGGCTTCTTGGCATTCTGCGGTCTCAGTTTGCCTTTTGCAGCTAGAGACTGCTCAGGAATACACCATTCGAGATTGACATCCTGTTCCCCCCGCTTCTTCGACTAAAGGAAGGCAGGACGTGATCAGGCCATCCTTCGCCATAGCTGTAGGATCTACCATGTACGGGAGGCACCATAGTGCAGCCAAAACCACCGAGTGAACCTCAAGGGGCACATTGAACTCCCAGGGCAGCCACCACGGTGCTCATTCGCATACACGCAGAAGGCATCTTTGGCTGAGCAGAGCCGCACCTGTTGTGCTACAAACCCTACCCCGAACTGTTGTTCAAATGGCGGCCCAAGATTGCCATCACCAGATGCTCCCCATGTGCCGAGGGTCTGCATGGATGTCCCATGCAGCCTGTTGTGGCATATAAACGCAGCCGTCAATCACAACGTCCATTGACCATCAAACCATGTTCTACACTCGATCGCAAGCTCTTTTCACGCACACAGATCACCTAGGTGGGTCGTGCCGGGGCCCACTGCGGGACTTCCGTGGTGATGCGACACGCCGACAACATTTGAAAACGCCGGATATTAGAGGTGCTTGCGAAAGACCAGACACCGACCTGTCACATTGTGACATCTCACTTCACAGCTCGAAGTTATGGGTCGATTCGGGCACTGAGAAACAAGGCAAAATGTCAATGACTCGAAGCAGCAGGACTCTCATCCGACTAACGGCGGCCTCCTGCGCCAAACCAGGAGAGCAAACATTTCATCTTAATCCATGCATTGTTCCTGTTCCACACATGGTGCAGGGTAGTTGGTGGGCTGTCAGAGTTCTTGGTGTCCGACGTGTTTCCGCACCCTGCTAACTCGGGATCTCGACGGCCTCGCCATCCTCGCCATGTCTTGCTCAGCGTGATCACAAGATGAGGTGACGGCTCAGGAGCGGTTGGCGCGCCGGGACATCACGGGAGACGAGACTTAACTGCAGCATCCCTTGTTCGCAAAGGGACGAAAGTCGTTGGACGTTGCTCTGACTACACTTGGACCAACATCCCGTCTCCCAGCTACTCGGGTCATCATGTGAAGAACGGATCATTGGCAAGCTTCTGCACTACAACCCCCCTCGCGCTTGCTTCAAAAGGCTCGCCGATTAGCGAGATCGGATCAACGTCGCGCTCAAGGGTTTTTGTTGAGATACGGCCCACTAACGACGAGATCCGTGGGTTCTTGCATATACCCTCGCATTCGAACCGCAGCGCCGGAACAAATGAGCAGGCTCCTCTCTGTGATGGGAACGGCTCGGTCGCCTGCGGCAACAACAGGCTGGCTGCACTCACACCGCCAAATGCCACTCCATCAACTTTTCGAGAGAGAAAAACCAACTCAACTCTGGGGGTCTCACTGCGGCTTGCTTTCTTTGTTTGATAGAGTGGCACGTACCGGCGATTGGGGCCCAACCTTGCCTATGCACCAATGAATCACGCCGACGCGAGAGGAATTTTAACGCGAAGCCGTTGAAAGCATCTAGCCGTTGTCAAAGACCTGCCAGAACTGCAGATATGCACCGTTCAATGAGACAATGGCTTGTCACACCCTGTCGTGCGTGTCTCACTCGAACCCGCCTTGAGCGCCTACGGGACAGCCCGTCGAATGTTGTCTTTCCCAACAAAGAGATCATCGCCCCGCTCACGCTGGGTTGCGAATGTTGATGTGCCCTAGGTCCTCTTCGAGGAGCCCATACCGCCTACAAATTGTACGTCACCGTGGCTTTCCGCCGCACGACATCATGCAAGCATGTTCCACAAGAACAAGCGGGCATTCCTGCCGCGGGAGCAGTCCTAATTCCGAGTGGACAAGTCTGGGCCACTCATATGCCTTGTAAGTAATCGACCGCGTCCTTCATCGTGATGTGGAGTGCGCGACAGCATGATCGGCTCTACAATGGGCCGTTTTCCACCTCGTTTCTCTGATCTCACATCGTCATGGAGGGAGGCATGGACATTTCTGTCTCTGATCCGATGCAAAAGCAAGTTGCGGTCGATTTCTCCTCATAGCCGAGGGAATTCTACGATGTTAGCACCCGGCCACCCACCCAGGCGCAGAAATTACGCTGGTCCCGCTGACCAGCATTATTGGCCTCACGTGCCATCAGCCTGTTAACCACACTGCTTTTGTTTCGCAGGCAGAAATGAAGGGGCAACCTATCACAGGTACACACAGAAAGTCCAAGAACGCAGTGAAGAGTGAGATGTCAGCAAAATTCGAGCTGATAATTGGGTATCGTTGTGGTGAAAGCTACGCCCGATTTGAAGAATAACCGATCTTCTGCCTTTTGCGGAATCAGCGTCTATACGCGTCCAGACCGACACAGCGCCCAGTAATATTGCAAAATCCTGGCTCCAGTGCCTCTTTAAACCCTTCAAAAGTCCATGGCCGCAGTCAGGGCCAAAGTCTCGTGGGATCAAACAAAAGTAAAACTTGGATCCCAAGCTGTTATAACGCCACCTGATAAAACACGAACATCTTATACCTAGCCCGCCACTCGGGAAGGTGGGGGGTGGGGATGATGAGATCTGACACGACCGGTACATGTCGGAAACGACTATGCTGGAGCGATGGCCTAGTCCTGCAAGCCGACCATACGACGAGAGCGTCATGCGCATGCGATTTCAGCCTCATCCTTATCGGAACTTCTTCTCGATGTTCACTAGCAGTTTCCCAGCACTGGGCCTGCCGTGAGCATCCTTCAGGTCGATGAATCGATACCCTGATTGCAACCGATCAAGTCTGATGCAGGCCCATGCGGCCAGCTTGTCTTTAACAAGCCCCTCGTCCTCGATCTTGAACCTTTTGATTTGGTGAAGCATTAGCATATGACCTATCTCATGCACGTAACATGGGTAGTCGTTCTTGATTTGCGGAAGGGATCTGTGCCACTTGGCTGCACTGGTCGGGCCACCAAAGCTACACCATCACGCGTCAAGGCTGGTGGCCGAGCGTTTCGGGCGACAGAGCTGGACAGACAGCACCGCGATCTCGTCTCGGATAGCTGCTGCTGAAATTGACGATGAGGCGGGCAGTATGGTTGACAAGCACAAGCCGCACATGCAGCACTTGTGGAGCCAGGGCCACAGGGGTACGGGAAGCTCGAGGTGTTGCACCACATCACAAGTGTGTGGGCAGGAAGGCGAGCCGCACCATGCTCCGTTCTCCACACCGGTGAGCACTCCAGATCTGACAGCAGTGGTCCGAGCCTGAGAGCCTGGGGGCGTCTTCCTCGCAACCCCCTTCGCGCGCAGGGTCTGCCTTGCCAACGCAGCCCACGCTAGATGCCAGACTGGCAACTTGCGAATCGGTGGCGATTGGAAGGCTCCATCTCCCTGGCGATAGGCCGGATGGCTATGCCAACGGCGCAACATGATTGAAGGGTACGCTAACCGTGTGGTGTGTGTGGGTAAGGAAAGTTCCGGGGAGGCAAAAAGTGACAGGTGACAAGAGCCGGAACGGCGGAAACATGCAAAACTGCAAGGGGCAAAAGGGCTGCGCTGCGACCTTGGCAAGGCACTGTGCTCTGCTGGTCTGCTGATGATAACTCACCTTACGAAGCTGAGTTCCTCCACGACCCTGTCTATCCGGGGGAACTTGAGCTCTTGGCCCATGCCCCAGTCAGGGTTCTCCGTCTCGCTGCTCCTGGTCTGCATCTTGTGTTGGCCATCCTGGACGAGGCCGCTTTTGATGGCCTTCTTCTCAGTAAGCTCCTCGGGCGTCTCGACATGCAGCTCGCACTTGACCAGCGGCTGGAACGCGGTGCTGGCAGACGTGCTGACGCTCGACACGGTGCTGGCATTGCTGCTGGTGTCGTCGCGCTCCCCAGGCAACGGCAGAAGCTGCCCTGCGAGGATTGTGACGCGAAATATCAGCGCCCGGCGTTGCCCAGCCTCGGCCTGCGACGTCGTCTTGTCGCCGCTCAGATAGCCTTGGGGTTTGAGCACCCAGCCCTGCTCGGACTCGAACATGGCGCTGTTGAGCATGATGGCCTCGTCGACGTGCGCCCGCTGCCAGTTCAGGGCCACCATCTGGACCCCCTTCCGCCAGTAAATCGAGGGGTCGAGGTTGGTCGAGCTGACGCGGGTCGAGTGCGGGTACGCGCGCATGAAGAAGTCACGGTTGTGCGTGAACATCTCGCGGTGCTTGCTTTGATGCAGCTTCAGTATCTTGTACTCGTCGATGGAGAAGATGTGCGAGGGTGACTTGGCCGCCGGCGCGGAGAAGTCCTTGTAATGCTCGCTGTATGTGTAGATGGCCAGCTTCCCGAGGGTCTCGCGGATGAGCGACTTGGAAGTTTTGACCGCCTGGACGAGCTCCCCAGTTTCTGTCCTGGTCTCTCCCGCGAGTGTCAACCTTTCATCCTCTGATGCTGACCCGTCCTCATCGTGCCACGTGCTCGTAGGCACTGTGAGCTGACTGCCCCCCTTCTGCATGGTGTAGCCCGTCGGTGCTGCCTTCTTCACCTTCACGAGAATCTTCTCCATGAGCTCCTCAAGTCTCGGCGGCCGCGCACTTGGGTCGCACCCTTGGAGTGGCTCATCCAGAAGATGATCGCCCCACTCCTCCTTCATAATCTCGACTATCATGTCCTGCTGCTCGCCCGTGGCGTGGACCTCAAGGCTGATGACGAGGGGCAGTTTGTTCGTCTTGAATGCCGACTCTTTGATGACCCGGCACACCTCGCGCAAGGGGATGCGCTTTGCGAGGCCCAAGTCGCCCAGCCCCTGAACGGTGTGGGCGTGCGTCACCTCCGGCTCTATTCTGCGACCACGCGGCTCCCTCGACCTTGATCGTGACCGCGACCTGGACTCCTGCGCCTTCAGCCTCAGGCCCTCGGCCGAGCGCACGTGGCGCAGGGGCGGGGTGGGGTCGTTCGGGTCCAGCAGGTCACCCGGGTCGAGAGACGTTGAGCTGTGGCTCGCGGCGGGCAGCGCCAGGTGCAGCGAGCTCAGGCTGGCGCTGGCGAGGCTGACCTTGGAGCTGTGTGTGCGGTCATGCCTCCTCGATGCCAGCTCGTGCCACTTCTGGTCGATCTTTTCTGCAAATGACTGCGCTGCCGCCGGGAGAGAGTGGATGGAGCTCGTTGAGAGGGTGGAGGGGTTCCTCTTGTGCTTGTGCACGTCGCGCCTCGGCGATTTCGACCTGCTGGGGGTGGGCGTCCTGGGCCTTTCCGTGTATCCCTCGCCGTTCCAGACGTCGATCTCCACGCAGCGGCAATCATCCTCCAGGACCGACCGGTACGCGTCCGCAGACACCTCGCCGCTGAGCTGGTTGCCGAGTCCGATGTATGTGTTGTGGCTGCTGCTGATGAAGTAGTTCGTTATGGGTTTCGACAGGTCCTTCTTGGCGGCCGGCTTCAGGGCGACGCTGTAGTCGTGCAGCCAGACGTAGACGAAGTCACCTAAGCTGTATTTCTCCTTCTCGAGTGGACGGACGAGGCCGCCCTGTGACTCGACAAGGAACTCCTCCAGCTTTTCGCGGGTTATGTAGTCTCCTTCCCGGCCGCGGAGAGAGGTGAACATGCGCTCGATATGCCTGTGCGTTGAGTCTTTGAGCAAGGGCAAGTCGGGGTGGTAGTTGAGAGAGAAGGGGGCGGCTCGGAGGGTGTCGATCGGGGAGGTGGCCTCGCTCAAGTCGTCGCTGAAGGTGGCCGTGGTCGTCTCGTAGTCGAGGTCCGTCTTGAGCTGCTCCGACTTGCTATGCTGGTGGCGCGCACGGATCTGTTGCTGGTGAGGGCCGGGCCCGCCGCCCAGCGCGACCATCTGGAAGAAGTGCTTCCATGCCGTGTGCGCGCCGAACTTTGGGCTCGGCGTCGGTCCTCCAACTCTTGCCGCCGTTCCGTCCTCGATCCTAGCAGTGGCTCTGGCCCCCCTATACGGCCACATTGCCGGGTGGGTTTGGGCGCGCTTTCGTGCTCCCTGTTCGTGGGGAGAAGGGCGGATGTTGTCAGTCGAGCTTTTTCGTTGCAAGCACACGGCTATCGCGGGGGATTGGCTCGGGCAAGGGCAATCTGATAGGCAGGACGGGCTTTACGGGATAATTATTGCTGGCGACGGTGCGCACGAGAAAGAAAAAGTATGCACAGGACCTCTCGACACAGGGGAGGGAGGGAGCTCTTTGCTCTTGTCTGTTTCCTTCTTTTGCCTCTGCTCTAGGCCGGAGAACTTACGAGGCAACCCATGGGTAAAATGATATGATGGTTGGTCCGTATTTGCGATGGCGTATGCCGGCCCTGTCTGTTCAGGGGACGGGCGGAAAGACCGGGGGCCCGTCCTGCGAGATTCAGAGATCTGCGAGGCGTGCAGAATTTATGGGGAACAGGCTGCAGCTGGCAGCTGCAACCCCGTGTTCGTTTGGCGGGTCTCGCTGCTACTTGGGTGCCAGGCTGGGGAGCTCGGCCGGGCTGGACATGGCAGGTCGCTGTCGTGTGTGTGTGGCGTCCCCGGAAAGTCGACCAGCGGAGAGGAGTCACGAGATGAAAGTGGAGGAATAGAGAAGTGGAAGAATGCATAAACAAACTGCAAGCGAGAGGGATGGAAAGGGAGAGGAAGGTAAGCATTGATCAACTCCCCGGATTCCTCAGCCAAGGAATAGGGATGGATCGGTTCGAGAGGATGCTTCAGCTGGGGGAGCGAGTGGCGCCGTCCTGCAACTCGCCCGTTGCACTCAACAACACAGCGCAGCACAGCACAACACAGCGCAGCACACGGCGATGCCAGAGCCTTGCCCTTGAGCAGCGGGCGCCCTCCCTCATGCCGGCCTGGTCTTGCCTGGCTCTGTCCGTCTGTGTGCATCTGTCATGCTCTCTCGTTTGACAAAATAGAGTTGCGGAACAATTGGCCAGGGGATCCCAATGTTGCGCCCGCGATTGGATCTCTGGTAGGAAACTCCCGAGGGACGGATCCCAACTGCTTGGACGGGGACCAAGACCTGAGACGGGCTTGCTGGGAGCCAGTGGGAGCCAGTGGGAGCCAGTGGGAGCCAGTGGGAGGGCCGTTCCCTGTGGCATGTGGATCCTGCAGCCAGGCTTTCCAAGACGAGCGTCGACTGCCGACACGACAGGGCTATGCCACGCACGCACGCGAGCGAGCGACAGCACAAACTCACACACGACCTGCATTAGGCAGGTTCTACCTGCTGAGGTGCTGGTGGTGTGTTGAGACTTTGGTGGCTGAGGTCGTGGCCGCTCGCAGCTGGCCATGACAAGGTTAAGCTCGGTGCAGACGGTCTAGCCCACCACGGTAGCACCAGAAGCATCATTTCGCAGCTGTCTCCAGCAAAGTGTGGAGCAGTGCCTTCTCGCTGCGTTGGCCCCAGGTTTCCAGATGGGACGGTCTTTCCGCAGGGCTGATCAAACCGTCCGGTCTGTGGGGGCGGACTGTCGCTTCGACCTGGACGGTGCCGCAGCACCCAGCACCTGCATGCCTTCGTGCATGTATCATCTGAGGAAGTCGATAAACTCTCTTCTGGGCCCTTCCCCGGCTTCGCCTTCTCCCCTCGCTGGAGACCACGCGCGCACCCGCACACGGACCAACTGTTTTGACTTTGGAGGTGGTTGAGGGGCCAAGCCTGGCAATCAAAGGCGAAAGCTGCCCCTGAGTTCCTGAGCATGGGAGCCCGGTTTGGCCTGTGGAGAGAGCCAGACCCGCCATACTTGGTAGCTGATCGGCAGCTGTCCAAGTTCCACGCCTGTGTTTCTATTTCGGGGGCTGTCACTCTGTTTGTTGAGGTCATCCTTTTTCGTATTCACCGGCCTGCCATCGTCCCAGACACCTGCGTTGCTCTCTCTCTCTCGCTCTCTCTCTCTGGGCGACGCGAGGCTGCTCGGAGTGAGAAATGACGCGCACACACTAGGAGGACAGGCGGGCAGCCCAGACAGGTCGAATTGAGGCCAACGGCGCGGGATGACATGGGATGACTTGGGGGCGCAGCTGCAGGTGCTCGCAGCCCCGAAGCTGCATCCCTGACCGGTCCGCCCAGCTTAGTCTGACTACTGTGTGTCTGGTGCACCGGCTGGGCAGCCATAACGTCATTGGCTCGACGTGAGAAGCTGCGGACGTTCTTCAACGTCCGGCGGCCAGTGTCACCACACCAGAGAGTCGCAGCGCCGTAGCACTGCACGACCTGACAGCCTCAGCCACTACGCACTATCGATCTGCAAGAGCCTCATCCTCATCCCTATCCTGGCACCGACCCGAACACAGCGACCACGTCACAGTCTGACAAAGGGAAGCTTGACGCACCCAATACTGCCCCCGAATCTTGGCTTGCCACGAGCCCCAGAGGCGCCCCCCGACATGGCCGACAAGAAGACACGGCGGGACCACGAGTCTGAGGTCCGCTCCTGGGGCTTCGACCACGTCTTCACGTGGTCCGACGGCCCCAACGCCCACTACGCGCCGCACTCCCACGCCGGCGTGACGACCCACCTCATCCTCAAGGGCCAGTTGACCTTCACCTACCCCAAGGACGAGAATCCTACCAAGCAGACGCTCGGTGTGGGCGAGAGGTGGGACGTCGAGGCTGGCAAGGTGCATGAGGTCTGGGTGGGCGGCGAAGGGTGCACCTATGTCATTGGGGAGTGAGCAGAGACGGCTCGGGCCTGGGAAAGGGCGGAGTCAGGAGGTGTGGTTTTAGCTTGTACTGGGATTAAGATTGATGTCACGGTATGAGATCAATGATGATCCGATTGAATTTCTCTTCAAAACAGTGACGAGTCTTCGAATAGAGTCCTACTGAAAAGTTCAGACCTATAGGTTTGTGCGAAAGAAGGAAGTCCACACAGGTTGTTTCGGCCTTAGGATCCGAATCTTGAGATATAAGACGACAAGCCCAATGAATTAGGCCACCATGAAACCTCACAGAGTACAAATAATTGTAGTCTAGCACGATGAAGTACTCACGCCTCAGCAAAAATGAAGCTTGCTATACTGGACATTGCATTCTCCGTCTCGAACGGCGAAGGGGTGAACTTGATCAATATTATCCATCTAAGGATGAATGACGTACAACCACTCAGTACTGCAAATTGGCGACGAGAGTTAGGTTTATCGGAATGACTAGGAGTAATGTTTGGAATGTTACTACGTCTAGAGACTTTTACTTTCAGATATTCCAAGCTTTCTGGTAAGTGAATTGAGATTATGTGCCGACTAGAGTCACATGAAAGGTCGTTCAGCTATTGAGGCGAGATATTTGCTGATGAAACGAGGCAGTCAACGTCGAAAGAGGTAGGTGATACTCGCTCTATCAAGCACCTTATGCACGCACGTACGACTACTTTGGTTCTTCCTCTTTAGCAGATAGCTATACGTGAGCGTAGAACCCGAGAGGCACAGACTATAGTCTCTTCTGTACCCCTTATTTGTTTGACAAATCAGTGAGCATCTCAGGAACCTTCATAATATGATTGACAATAGTGCCACCGGGCTGACAGGCGTATACTCCTTGTGCCACAAACATTGCCTCAGAGATCCAATCCAATATTACAGTATGAGAGTACCGAGACATATGGCCTTCTGTTCTTACGACTTGAATCCTGACCCTGAGCCTTTACACGAACTACTCATATTTACGGGGACCAGATCTATGAACTGTATATATCAACAGTACCATGCTCCCTCTGTGAAAAAATGATATGGCATCGGTCCCATACGGTTCATAAATTGTAAAACAGGATCGTGGTGTAAGAAACTGATAGAATTGTTTTACTTTCGTGTGCCTCAACGGTCTACCTAGGTACAATTCTGTGTGGTTATAATCACGGTTTTCCTTAATTCACAAATCCAGCCGTGCCAATGCTGCCACAAATGAGCCATACGATGAAAATACTATCGTTGGACTTCTTCTTGCTCACTTTCTCAAGTACACAATCGGCTTAGCAGATCAGATGGGGTCATGGCATCAGCTGGTCAGGCAGCTTCCAAGCCATCCGTGGAATCAGCGGCACTTCATCCGTCATCGAAGCGCTTTACAACGAGAAGAACATCAGCTTTGAGACTATATACATGACCTTCTCTCTCATCGCACAATTTCTCACCGATTGGGCACGTCAGAGCAATAACATGTGAATGGGACGGTGGTCACGGGCTTGACGTACAGGAACGAGACATGTATCTGAGCACAGTGTCTCTGGCTGATCTTTCTTGCCGTCTTGGTGGCGCTGACGGTAATGTTCCTCTGATAGACAGTAGCTCACACGAGACGGTATGACGGCAGCAGGCAAGACTTCAAGCGCGCCTTGTTACCGCTGATGTTTGTAGGCCTTGACGGGTTGGATTCGGAGGGGCGTTCAAAACCTGTAGCCAAGAGTCTTGCGGAAGTCAAGGAAAGAGCCAAGGCTCTCGATGTGTGACTTGAAAATACCGAGAGTGGCCGGGAGTTCGTCGTTGGTGGGCGTGCGTGAATATGGTGACCGTGAGCACCTGTGTAAGGTTTGGAAGCCCCTAGCTCGGGGTTTAGCTCATGCCCGAATACATGGGTACCATTCACAGATACCATAATGACTGCCACCTGTGTCTAGAGGTATGGCGGCGCAGCTTCTTACAAAACACACTTAGGCACTCAGAGAGTACCTAGTACGTATAAGCTCGGAGCCTATCGTATGACGGGTTGGTGTTGCCAGAAGGCACGGGGACATCCACCCTCTTCCACTGCTCTACAATGTTTATATCGTTGCAACTCCAGTTGTATAAAGCATTCAACGGTATGTTTTCAATTTACTCTAGGAACTCCTTATACATTGCAAAGGATATATAGCGAATCAGACAAAAATAGTTTTGCATTTTCATGAAACGAAGAGCACAAGCTTTGGAAAACACAAGACCTAGAACTCGAAATACGAAGGGCCGTGTCTAGGAGGACATACATGCTCATATTCACGGTTGCGGAGGGAAAGTAACAAAATGATGAATGAACAAAGCAGGCCTGCTTGAATTTGCTGAGACGGAGAAAGAAACTGGAATACATATAAAAACAAAATCGCTGTCAACCACGGGTGACTGAAAAGAAAAGGTTGCGTATCTACGCATCCAGTCGTGAACGGAGCGCACCATATCTCGCCTTGCACTTAAGCCAGAGCCTCGCGGACCTTGGACTCGAAGTTGCCATCCTTGAAGGGGACGTTGGCGCTGCCGAAGTCGGTGTCCTGGAGGGCAGTCTTGGCCGCCTGGGGCATGGCGTCCCAGTCAGAGATGGGGTAGGTCTTGCCCACGGTGTCCGTGAACTGCAGCTCGTGGTTGGTGGGAAAGGTGGTGAAGTATTCGACCTTGGGGCTGTTACCCTCCATCTGGGGGACACCGCCGGCGGCCTTGCTGTAGCCGCTGTGGCTGGAGGCAGCCGCGCCGATGATCTTGGGGGTTGCCGCGTTCGGGTCGTCGATCTGGATCACGATGTTCTCGAAATCGTCTGTGGTGTTCAGTTAGTTCATGGAACTTCAGACAAAGGTGTTTAGGACGTGGAGTTGATCTCTGGAAATTACTTACGGCGATGGCCCCCGGCAGTGTTGCCATCAACAGGCTGGTCCTTTGGCATGTACCATGTGTACATTACAACCGTTTTTCCATCAACGGTTCCAGCGCGGGCATAGGTCTGGCCCTTGCTCTGGTCCCGGCAGCCACCCGTACCACTGCCGCTGTCCTGAAGTCCGCCGCTGGTGTCACCATTATCGGCAACGGCAGGGTCTGCCATATGTTAGTGATTATTACAGGAATCGGAGTGAAGATCTCAAGACGATCCACCAGGAGAAAGGTGAGGACACCGGTGAGAAGTGGAGTGATTACGTACAAGGCTGGCAGCCATGAGCAATGTGGAGGAGAGGATTGAAGGTCTCGATGATCTTGCCGAGGCCACCTGTCTGGATTCGCTGAGCGACGGGGGCGATAGAGTCGTGAGCAACTGTTGCGCGGGCCTCAAGGAGCTCAGTAGGAGCAGCGGCCACGGCGGAGGCGAGAGCCAGGACATGAGAGATCTTGAAAGAAACCATTGTGAAGAAAATGAAAGTAGTGTATCTCTAGAGATGCTGAAGCGACTGCAGACCGAGTTCGAGGAGTAGATGGAAAGATGTTTGATGATGATGATGATGATGATGACTGGAAACAAACAACTGCTGAAGTGCGTCGACGGTGGCCCTTTATACTTAATTCTCGATCAAGGTCTATCTTTGGATTATCTTGGAGGCCATCATGGCTCCAGCCGTTTACCATCTTCTTGGTAATGTCGTCTCATCTTAGAAGACAACGGTCAAACAAAGTTCATAAAGTATAGTCGACCTCGCCACGCTAGAAGCTCCAAGCAGTAGTACGGCAATATACTGTGGAGCCTTGTGTTGGCCAAGTCTGCTCGCGATAGGCCCATTAGACGCAGTGAACATGCAGGTGGAGTTTTCTATGCCTTGACGGGAGCCCCGTGAGGCGAATCGCAGTAGAGTCGATTCCTTCTCCCGGATTCTCGGCGCGATTTGCGATTGCGTGCGGCGTCCGAACTCTTCCTCTGCTGAAAGGGGCCCGCGCGCACGTCGCATTGATCGTATGCTAAGTTACTTCGTCGCTATTGTGTGTGTTGCGGCTGAGCTGCTATATTGATCGTTCTAAGGCTGGAGGTGCCAAGCCTTGTTTTCACTGTGCAGCCTAACGGTTTTCTGTCACCCCAGATGCTCTAAATTTGTATTCGCCTATTGTAAACATTTGAGAAACTCATTGAGAGAATATTTTCCAGATTGCAGCAAAGGGAAAGTGAGGATAATGGAAGTTAAGCATCTCGTATGAGGCGTCGGTTATAATGCGATTTGGTCTTGAGAAAGAACAATTGACAGCGTTTGCGTTTCCCGCTGCTTGGGAAACATGGAGATTAGGCGAATCACGATTCTCTAAACACCAAGTCACTTGCATGGCAGAGACGAAGATGGAAAGCCTCAGGAACACACTGGCCATGATCCTCCTGACGAGCCGTGACAGGGTCTGGAACGCCTTAGCATGGGCTCGATGCCTGCCCACTCGCGCGCTACTCTTGGCTTTCGGGCGCTTGGCATGAGCCGTTTTCCCGTCGCCATCAGCAGGTCATATTCTGTTCGATCTTATGCATGGAGGGTCGTCTTAACAAGAGTGACAGGTTGTTTGCTCGAGTCCGTAAAAGGCTGAAACGGCCAAGTCCCTGAGCCGTATACACATTGACTGGACGGCTGACTCAAGCGCACCTCAGAATAAGCGTGTTCGGCATTCATGATAGTATGAATCCGGAGTTTTTATTAACCGTAGGTTATTGACATGTCCTCCGGGGGTCCACCCAGTTAATTCTTCTCCAATGGGGGATGTGCCGCATTCCACAACGTCTGATCTTCACAGCCGCATGAGCTTGTTTATCAGCCACTTTCGTTCTAGACGTCTTGGATCCTATCGTCAGATCCGTGGCATCTGGGGTAGTTCGCTCAACTCCCGAGATCAACTGAGTAAGGAGTTGATTCTAGACCGAGCAGTTCGAACAGTCTGAGTCGTTTGTCGTCAGTTACCAAGGCCTTGCGAGTACATGCATCCAAGGGCCTTCACGAAAATTTTTCCCTAGCTCTTATTGTCTGTGTCGCAATTTTCCTCATGTCACCAATGTGCATGATGTATCCACTTCTGATGGCGTTGGGGCTCAAGTACTTGTGGCTGCGTTCAAATGTCTGATTCCAACCTCTTCACAACCCGCTGTCAGAGAACATGGATGGCACGGAAGAGCAACGACTAACGGATGTATGGTAGTTTGTTCATTCAACCAGGTTGCATGGAACAAGAATGTCAGTGATGCGAAACGGCCCGAAATGGTTGACTCAGCAGACCAAAAGAGTTGCCGGGTTGTTAGCTGCATAAAGGCCAAGGCTGGCAGTAGTGTGGTCAAGCGCCCCCCTTATGCCAGTGTTCACATTGTACATCAGGTGATGCTAACGTTAAATATTCTAATTTTATCCACACATAAGTCTGTAGCTGCTGGGTCAACTCTGGATCAATAGTCTCTATTCAAGACCATACTCGCCTAAATATGTCGGGGCTACCAGGTTCAACATCCTTTCACAGGCCGCCCGCACGTCCAACCCCTCCGGATGCGTTCACCAAAGAAATGCATTTGCCCAATTTCATTACCGCCATGATCCGCAGCGCTTTGGAATTCTGCGAATCATTTATCAGCATTCGTAAAGTGACAGTCAGTAAGGCTAGGATGGTGACACGGGAAGAATTGGACCCAGCATAGTGCATTGCGCGAGGCCCAGAAAATATTAGTCAGGGAACAGCTTTTACTGTGTGGGTTATACTGAAGCCTTGGTGCTCGGTTTGACACGCTCTCTTCCTATGTAGCAGTGTGCCTGTATGCGAGGGGTGATATTGCCTAATGGATGTATGACCTTTCCTTGCTCCAGCAGTGGAAGGTCCCCTTTGATCACTCACAGGACCACATACCTTCCTCTGCCCCATATGTAGCCCTGCTGAATCATATTCTTATGCGTTGCATACGAAGCTGCCCGTCGCACATTCTGTGGATCAGTAAAAACATCCTGTGGAAAGTGGACGTGAAAATCTGCCTCTTGCTGCAGCAAGGTCTTAGACACGAGCCAGTGAGCCTAATCCGGGCTCGATACGCGAGAAATTTTGTGGCCTAATGCTCGCATCTGATGCGAATTGACAGAAGCTGATGTTGTGTCCTCGATTCCTGGTGAACTTGATCATGAGGGCGCGGTACAGACATTAAACGTCACTGCTACATTTGGAGACAGTACCACCGACGCAGAAACCACCGAATTTTTCCCTAACGCTTCAATTTTAGAAGACGGTTACACAGATGAATAGCCTGATACTGAAGTTGAAGTTCTGAAAAGTGTAATGGGCTACCGAGGCCTCGTTTGCAAGGCAAGAGTTTGCTTCGACAATGTTTACCTAACCTGGATTCTTCGGCATGGAAAACCAGGAGCCATATGTTGGGCATAGGAAGGCACTACTATATGAGCTCCGAAATGGCACTTAGGAGTGTGAGTGCATCCAATTTACTTTGTCGTGCAGAACAGTAACAGGCCAATAGGGCAGATTTATGAGTTGATTTACATGCTATTCTCTGGCTCAGTTGGTCGGCAAAGCAAGGCGGGTCAGATAGTGAAGGCGCAGTTTATCGGGCACCTAATTTGAAGAGATTGTGACCCCCTCAATATTGCAGTTGAATTGTTCACCAAAAAGTCCATGCCCGTGGAAGCTGTGGCATTTCAATAAAACTTTGGTCTAATATGCGTGATTCCTTTTCTTGGCGCCAGTTCGAGTGGCCTACTGAAGATGCGAGAGATGACCGTGAGATCATACTTTCTATCATGCACACTGGGACTGCCTAGATTCGAAGCTGACAATACCAGTCTTTTTTTACATTTCATGCCTCAGCATGATCCACATGCTTCTTGTTGCTCGTCGAGAAAGATTTCGATTTTACAGAACCGGTGAGGCCATGCAAATCTTGCATTGATCATTTGGTGTTCTAACGGATAATCAGTTCGTTTGTTGCTCGTCGCATTTGTTCAATCCTTAATTTTGTTGTGTCGTAGTCTGCGTGAGGGCTTGGAGCTGCCCACGAAACAGCGCTTGATGTTCCTGCGGGCAAGCCAAATTTTCAGCTGTCTTGTTGTCTTTTTGTGTATATTCCAAGATCCTAATATAGGAGCAGCTAGACTATCCCAGGGAAATGAAATGATTGCGATTTGATGAGAGACGAAAGCAGGGCTTTGATACCCGGATGAGGGGCGCGGGATGGATGTCGAGAAGACTTCCTGGGTGGAGTATTGGGATGAGATCGAATTCTTGTACAATTCATGTGAATACCTTTTGGTCTCGAGCACCATCTCTCTGATCGCTCATGCAAGTGGACTTAGCGCCGAAATCCTATGTCTGCAGGAGCAGAAGATCTTTCCAATGCAATCGCTCATTCTTCTACGCTATCACAGCTCGTGATAGAGTGCCTGGTGAACTTCCTGGTTAGCAGCTTCATTTTTGTGAGCTATGATACCAGCCTTGCAGTCCTATAGTCCTGATGTTATGTGCGCCCTGAATGTTTCCCGGCGTCGGCACATAAAACTGTAGAACTGTTGAACTGGTGGGATGGTGCCTGGCAGAGAAGCTTGGAAGCTAGAGGCTCAGGGTCTAGGTTCGGACCCTGCAGAGCGGTCGTTCATTTCACACGGCAGCCCCACATATCGTGCCCGTTACCGGGCGGGGCCGCACAGGCCAGCGCTAAGTACGATGTAGGCTAGTGTGGTACGCAGCACGTACATAGCTCCACCCTTAGCTCCAAGCTTGAGCTCCTCGTCGGCCGGCGATTGAGTTCGTGCCCTCAACGAATTCACTCAGTCACCTCGGCTCTGCCCCACTGGTTGCTCGATTTGGCCCAGGAACGTCTCTGCCCATGGCCATCACGTCGCGAAGATGGCAGGAGAAGGTAACATCGTGAGCAAGGAGGCCATCCGGGGCAAGACGGTTGGTTTTATGTCGTCCTCTGGCGCGAGCTCCTGCATGCTCTCCTGGTTGCCGGGAGTGCCAGGGCTGATGCGGGTGGCTGGTGTTACCATCTCACTCCACAATCCCAACCACCGGGCATTCGCACATCGCATCCACCACTCACCCAGCCTCCTTCCTGGAGGCTTCCACACAAGTCGCCGTCATACCGGTGACATCGCAGCGACAGGGTCCAGCATGGTTCGGCGTGGTCCACCTCACCTCTTAGCTGCCAGCAGCACCGAGCTGTCGCCAACCACACCTCGCCAACTGCATCACGCAGCATGCAGTCTTCCTGACCTGCATTGCATATCCCGCCAGCAATTGGCCCAGCATTGCGTCCAAGTGGATGCTCGTGTTTACTGCCCTGCCCCGTCCTGCACTGCAATGCACAGCACAGTCTCTTGGTTGCCACCATCCACACACACTCGCACGCATTAGATCATTGCCTAAACAACGCCCCGTCATGACATCTGCAACGCGCGAAGCATGAACTTTCAAAACCTGAACTTCGACTACGTGGAGCCACCTCGTAAGTTCCCTTCACGACTTACTGCTCTGCTCTACCAACAAAAACGAAACGGAGCTGTCCACACGGTCCGGTCCAACTTGACTTACACTCGTTTGCTCTACAGCCTTTCAAGCTACGCGCCAATACCTCACTCCAGCAACAACTTCCACCTCGACCAGACTGCCAGGCACCTCGACCTACCATGGCCCAATAGACGACGCAGAACATGCTTCACTCGACCAAGCATCCCTCTCGCCTCAACCAACCCTCACCCCCCACGCCCTTAGCTCATCTTCGTCCTCACTCTCTCAATCCTCTTCGGAGATCTACCGCCCTCAGCGGCTCTACGGACGCCCTCTTGTGCCCTACGCCATGGCAAACCAGACCGGCCAGCCCTCGCGGCCATGGCCACAGCCACAGTACACGCCAGAACAGCTGCGCGTGATTGCCGAGGCACAACGTCGCCGCTCAATTCCTGTCGTCCCAATCGCCGGCAGGCCCGCTGAAGTGTTTCGCGACCAGCTGGCCCTTGAGGCCGCTCGCGTCACGCCAGGGGTCGACGATACCCCTTACATACAGTACGCCTTGGAAGCCATGACCCGGGAGCAACAAGGGCAGTCGAACGTGTCATCTATGAGCTCTGAGGGCCAGCGACTCGTCCCCGACCAAGGCCTGGGGTACCACCAGCATCAGAATGCTCCCATCACACCACAGCCCGCCTCTTCTCGTCCGCGGAACTTGACAGGGCCCAATGAGGAACAGAGCGCGCCACTTCTTGCGGCTCCCGACCTCACGCCAGCCTCTCAGCGCTCTTCGATGTCGACTTTGGTAAGAGGCAACAACACAAACATGGCGGTCCCACCCGCCCAGTCAGCACCGGAGGCGTGGCGACCGATTGAGCCAGAGCTGATGACAGACGGACGAGAGAGGATCAACCCGAAACTGGTCTTCAAACCCTGCATTCTACGACCGGCATCTATGATAACGTTGATGATCTTGTGTATCACAGTGATCGGCGCTCTGGTTTTCTGTGCAATCTACTCGGTTCGGTGGGCTGGACTTTGGGAGTACTCTGGCTCGATATACGATGGCCGGTACTTTTTGTTCCGCGTATTCCCGGCGATGCTAGGCGCCGTCATCCTTTTCTACGCTCAGGCCACCGCCACCACCATGATCCGTATACGCCCATATGCGAGATTGGCTTCGGCAGAGAAAAAGGGACGCCAGGACGCTATCTTTGACGAGCTCTACCCCACATCCTTTCTACGCCCGCAACTGGCAGGTACATGGGATATATGGGTGCCAATGCTCATCACTTGGGTCATGAACATCACTCTCCCACTGCAGAGCTGCCTATTTACCGTCATTTACGTGGACGGGCATTGGCGGTGGGCGACAGTTCAGGGTGTTGCCTGGACGCTGGTGGCACTGTACATACTGCTAGCCGCAGCAATCGCCATCGAGCTTACTCATTGGCTGAAGGGCAAGACTGGAGTGATGTGGGATCCCAGATCGATCGCGGATGTCATGGCCGTTGTCTCTCAAAGTGACACCTTGGCGGAGTACAAGGGCACGGAGACTATTGGTTCCAGACATGACCTGAAGCACGTCCTGGTAGACAGGAGGACCGACCTGCTCGCATACTGGACTTCGGCGGAACACAACAAGCACCACGACTTGTGGTATGCCTTGGGATCTGGCAGCTACCAGGATGCGTGGGGCTCGCCTGCCCTCTTCAGAGAAACATTTGAAGAGAAGGGCTCGGCTCAGGCACATGAGAAGCTCACGCCAGGCGAACGCAAAGCTCAGAGGAGAAGTCTGCTATGGGAGCGCATCGGCTATTCTTCTCCAGACTTGCCAACCGTCCGCTATCGATACATACCGCGATGTCTGAACAGCCTCACGCTCTTTTGCTGCATCATCTTTGGCCTGGTGCTCGTCTTGGTTGTCTTCGTGGTTTCTTTCATACCAAGCACTAGGATTATCAACGGGTTCCTTCCCCGTCTCTCAGCGGCTCCTGTAAGAGGCGCATTCTCAGCAGCAGACTTCCTCTACAGCTTTATCCCAGCACTGCTGGGTCTCATACTGTTCATGTTCTTCCAGGATATCGACCTGAATTTGCGCATTCTCCAACCATGGGGCGAACTCAGCGATCCGCCTTCTGGAGGTGCCCTCCCGGAGGCGTCTATTCTCGCTGATTACGCGTCCTGTTACCCATTTCAGAGCACGTGGCATGCCCTGCGAAACGGACACTGGCGTCTCGCCTATATCTCGCTTTTCTCAACGCTCTTCGTGTTCCTACCAATCTTTGCGGGAGGCATGTTCATGGCCCTCACACCAGAGGACAGCATCGTGCGCGTCTTTCCACAGATCCCGCTTTTCGCCCTTACACTGGCCCTCCTCGTCCTTTACTGGCTTGCACTAGTGATCCTTTACCCAAGAAGGAAGCAGTTCCGCCTGCCTCACAGGGTTACCTGCCTTGCTGAGATCATTAGTTACGTGGCAAACGAGGACCTGATGGGCGACGAGGCATTCCAGGGTATGATCAGGAACAAGACCACACTGGTTGGAAAGCTGGGTGTGGACCGAAGGGACGAGGTGAAGCCACGGTGGGTATTCAGCATCGGCGGCGCAGGCGTGAGGGACGACAGGCTTAGTGTGCGGAAGGTCCGCAAATTTACTGAGCCACGTGGTGCATCTAGAGGAGAGGGTACGAGGCTGATGAGTCCTCGTGGCACTGGGGCGCCGAGTCTAGGCACAGGCACACTAAGCAGTAGGAGAGAGGCGAGGAGAGCGGAGAGGGACGTTCGCATCAGCCCGCAGTACATGTTTGCGGGTCACAACCAGACGGACGTGTAAGGGATGAGTCTGGGAACTTTTTTTTCTTTTTTTTCTCTTTTTCTTTTTTCCAGCGCTCATCTGTCTGGAGCGGAAACTTTTACTTGCATGGCACGGAGTTCACGGGTTGCATTTTCTTTTAATTCTCAGCACGAACGATGGACGACGATTTTACGAGACGAAGACTTATGGATGACACGAACGACCTGACTCGTGAGACTCATACAGCTTTGGGGCAGACTTGGAACGGGACATAGAATTTCAGGCAGCTCTGGTCGATTCGGTTCGATCTGTAGATACTGCGGACAAAGAGGACATAATAAAGTGGAGGGTTCGATAGAGCCGTAATACATAATGATCTACCCTCAGGGGGCCCGTCCTGAACGCCATCGAAGATTCCAGGCGAGAAGGAAGACCACCACATGCCATCACTCGCGATGCTGTATTCACCGATGTCTCCTGGGAAACGCAAGCAATATCAACAGGTGTCGCAAACGCAAGGAATTTGTGGCTGGAAAAACGACCTTGACCCGTCGGAATCATTCCGGCAGCAATGCATCCACCCTGTGCTGGCCAGGGGAAAACAGCCACCGATACAGTCTCCCAGTCACAGCAATTCTCATCAGGTAATCTGAGCCCTCTGCTCGTTGGGCTACCTCCCACGCCTCCTTAGGGGGTAGCCTCTGATGGGAAATGGCGACAACCTGCCAATAGGCTTCAGGCTTGACCTCACCTCCAACTGGCCAACCCCCTGTATCTCACAAAGTACAACGTTGGCTACACTACATTGCCAGAAAAGCGACAGAAGGAGAAACACAACTCTTCAGGTACATCTTTATCAATATCGCCCCTGTACGCTCTTGAGTGTGGGCCTGGATCCCAGGGACCTACGCACGCTCTCCTTTTGTCGATCCCTGCCGGTTGTCATTGCATGGGCCTCTTAATTGCTTCTTTACCCGATGGCTGTTGTTGAACAGACAGATCTCGCTACCAGCCAGAACTTTGAGCCGCCTTGGCAAAATGCGGCCACGCGGCCGGAGCTGCAGGGAAGACTCCATATATTGATGCTGAGCCGGGGAGCACAGCGGGACGAAGGTGGTCTGCAGTAGCTTCCAGGCGATCTGCAGATCGCGTAGGACTTCCTGGTCGTCAAACATCGCAGACTGTACACCTGCATTCGTCTATCTGGCATCGAAGCGGCCCTTGCATAAGCGCAACAGTGCGTGCAGGAGAGAAATTTTCACGTCGAGGAGTGGAGAGGCCATTCGAATTCAGGACTGAGGCAGACTCCTGCTTCGTGCCGCCGGTTGAGGTCCCATTGTGCCTTCAAACGAACCATGACTTGTCACCCTCGTCGGCACACACGCGGCCGTATATGCGCACCTTGACGCCCTCCAGACAAACACAGGGCTGCAAGTAAGGCAAACATAGACCACGCGCGTGGCATGATTTACTCGGCGTGGCCTGGCGTGGCCGATTCTGTAACTATCCGCCGGATAGAACATGCACGATGCAGCACAGTCGACGTATGGGGACGCAGTCTGCCTTTTTGCGAACAAGGCGGCAACCTCTTTGAGAGACGGCTTTCCGTGCACAAGAACAAGGGATAGCTTGTGACAGACACATGAGCTGCGATAATGGAGAACGGGTTGATGCAGGCCAGCCTCTCTGCATGCACTTACCCTTCTTTCTCGGTCTCCTCGGTCAGATCCTGGGTTGGTAGCATGGCCGCTGCATGCTCAACAGGGTATTACGTCAACCGGAACCAGGCGAGACAGCGAAGACATGTCCTTACTGTTCAGTTCCCCGGTCCATCCAGGCAAGTCTGGGCCTGGCCCTCACCCTTCTCTCCTATTCACTACCCAACGTCGTCGCGAACACTATGTAGGCACTTGGCCTGTCACATTCGCTTTATTCCGGCAATTGCATGCTCGTACCCAATCGGTTTGTGTTCCCCGGCCGGGGAAAGGGGGGAGCGGCATGTCACTCTCTGCAAGGCATATCATACACGGCGTAGCGCGTCGTAGCGCGATGCATGCCATCCCGCCTTTCGGATGTGGATCCGGCCTCTGTGACTGGTCAAGTCCCTGGGGACCAGACACAGCCGGGCCAGTTCAGTCTGGATCTCTTATTCTGTCTTTGTTGGGTCTGGAATATCTCTCTGCCTCTCTTCCACCTCCTGTGGCTGTCCGCGTCTGGCCCAAAGCATGAAACCGCCGAGAGCCGACGGATTGTCTGTCTGGCCTGATCGGGTAGTTCCTCATCAGCTGAACCGTCCGGTCATGTTGACAGGTGATATCTGAGCTCAGCTGAGGAGGCATCGGGAGCGCGGTGGCTGTTGTGGCCATCATGTCTGCCACCCGACTCGTCGTTTTTGACAGAGGGGGCTGTGGATGAGGGTCAAGAACTGTAGAGCGCGCAGGCTTGGGCAGGCTTGGTGCTTGATCGAGCAGGTGGGAAGTCAGGCAGGCATCTCTCAACCGGCAGGAAAACTGGAGCGCCTCGATACGCGAGCGGGAGATAGACGCTGCCGTGCTCAGGTGGTGTTGCGCATCAGCCCCCTCCGTGCGCTCCAACGACTATGGTCCCGCCGTTGAGCAGGGCTGTCACCCAATGTGGATGGGTCGATGTCTCGGTGCTCGGTGGACCTCAGATGCGCATCGGAGTGGATGCTCCCTCGACCAAAATCAGCGTGAACAGGACTTGGATGGATGGACTAGCCCCTCAAAGGGAGAGCCTGATGGCCCAGAAGTCTGGCAGTGCCGCTTTCCCTCGGAGCTGTTGAGCTCGTGGTAAGTTGAGGCAGTGAAAGAACGAGAGGAATGGGCAATCCGCACCCCCCCGCTGTGCGGCTTGGCGTCAATCTGGCGTCAAGCTGGCGCTTGCTTTGGACAGCGGCCAGGCTTTTTGTCTTGCCGCACCGGTGCAGTCGGAGTGAGTGTTGAGGCGCTCATGGGTTTCTGTCACATTTTGCCTACGGCTCTACTATGCTACTTGTTTGTTCACACCGTCCTTCTCTCAATTTTGTAGCCTGATTGAAGACCCCTTGCTCTCAATTGCTTCTTCCTGACGGCCATCCGTGCTTCCCGGCTCCAGCCTCTCCAGCCTTGCGTTTCATGCCAGCTCTTCGATATGACATATCGGGAAGAGAAAAAAGAATCAACAATCCGCAGGGGGTAGCAGCGGCTCCCGCTGGCGTGACTCCTGATTCTCCTGCACCTCTGACGTACTTGTCTGGGGTGTGGGTATGCGCATGCTTGCTCGCGTTTTCTTTCTCTCCTGTCGTTTCCTCGTGCTGACCTCAGTCGAGTGCCTTGCTGCATTCCGAGACCGAGACACAGACCCCCCCCTCCCTTCTACTATTCCGACGTGTGAGCCGGAATGGAGGGGAGTCTTCGGGCACATGATCTGGGTACATTCCCTGGGCGGGAAAACTAGCCACGGTCCAGGTCACTGTACTTGTTCTGGCATTCCTGGCCACTTCATTCCTCGCACCGTGTTGTTGTTTTCTCCCGCGGCATATGCCTTTCAACGTCGATGGTCGCTAAGCAGCGGCGTCTTCTTGTGCTATCAATTACATATATGGCCGATCCTGCCATTTTGAAGCCTTCGTCAGCCCCCTTGACTATGTCTTGAGCTCCGTCGTGAATCCGTCCTTGCTCCTTCCCCTTGACTGATCGAGGTCTAGTACCAATTCGACTTGCGCAAAACTTCCGCAGCTGTGCCACCGCATCATCACTTTCAGCCGTTGCATGGTCCGAATCCTACTTGAACCCCGATCGCCATGGAGAAAACCACAAAGCTGGCAGACCTGAAGCTCGTCAACAAATATTACCCATCCGTATCCAACTATTCATATCCTAGGCACGATGCAGCTACAACACACCGCTGCGAGCAACCGGACACCGGTCGCTCTTCAGTGGGCTCGGAATGCTCTGTGCCCGAGATGGTCGAGGATCAAGAGTCGGACATCTCGATAGAGGACACCAATCAGTCTCACATAGCAGGCGACGAGACTTTTGATTCTTTCTGGGAGGATTCCGAGTCTTTCTGGGGCATCGAAGCGGGAGAAAAGAGCAACGCGGTGCTCATCGGCCCGATCACCCACTCAGCAGCACTTCAACAACAAGACGCCAGCAGCACAGTGTCGGAGGAAGGTCGGCACCATTCCCCACAGAGCAGCTTGCAGGACGTCAAATATGATGCCGAGCCGTGCTGGCCCCTGGTAGCTGCCGAGCCTTCAGTCGCACCGATACCGAGACCATCCAAGCCCAGCTACTCTCTGTTTCCGCCGCCGACAGCGCAAAACGGTCTGGTACTTCGGCGGCCGGCCGGGCAAATGAAGAGCGACGTCCCATGGGATGCGCGAAAACAGCTCCCATCAACTGTGGCGTTGTCTCTTCCAAACAGACGCAAGAAGCCAAGGAAGCTTCACCTCCCGGCCTCGGACGGTGCGATCAGCTATGACAGCTCGTTGTTGACGCAGTCGGCCCCCGGAACGCCGACCTTCCTGGTAGCTTCGCCCACGGCTGTCGCCTTTTCCAGACGAAGCCAACAGACGCTTCCCTCGCAGAGAAACTTCAGTTTATCAAGGACTCATTCAGATATTAAACTGGTCCACGACACGCCCGGCGATTGCTCCTCCCAAACCCCGACAACGCAACTTTCCATACCAACACAATCCTCCGACGTGCCTCGTGGCCGTCAAAAACACCAAAGGACTCAATCACAACTGCGGCAGTCTATTTCCGCCGCGGACATCCCCTCGACGCCAAGGATGACGCCGTCGCCCGTTGACAGCACGGCACCACCACAGACCCCATCCGGTGCCTCACGGCCCACCACGCCGCTGACACAGCAGACGGTGATGCCCGTGTCGGTCTTCGACTTCGACTCGGACTCGGAATCCGACACGGACAGCGCCGCCAACTTCGCGCGGCGGATCGTCAAGAACCTGACACCGCACAAGCGTTCCCGCAGCGCATCAGCTGCGCCGCGCTCGCGCAAGGGCAGCGACATCGCGAAGGAGCAGCTGAGGCGGATACGCGCCGAGACGGTCGCGTCCACGGGGGACGTCACGCCCACCACGGCGGAGGGGCCCGAGGCAGAGGACAAGGAGAACGAGTGGCCTGCCATGCCGGTCCTGAGGAAGCAGAAAAGCGAGGTCTTCGGGACTATCTTTGGGCGGAAGCGGTGATGAATAGCTAGCCTTGTGGTCGTGGCTTGCCGAAGTGGATGCATCATGTACGGATGAGCATTGTTATTTGTATGACTGGATGACCTGAGAGATTATGATACACATGGTTACATGCATACATAAAACTTTGTCAAAGCATTGGGCACACGGTTGCTAGATAAAAGTGCTGCGAGGGGTTTGGGTTGGGTAGAGGACGCTCATCCTATCTTGTGCGTTTGTTTGTATATCCTTCAAGGCAGACTGTCAAAATATGACTGAGCCATGAGCATCACTGTTCTTTGCCGAGGAATCGTATACTATTGACCGCGAAATTGTGGGCAGGATGCGCTTCTTTTCGGTCCATATGCCAAACGCTCTGACTTGGCAATGGACCCGTCTGAATTACAGCGTATGCGACTACGACTCCCTTGGTTGCTCCCCGGGGACTACGGACGAGATGAAGGACCTTGATTTCCGCGAATTTTCAACTGGAAGAGGCCAATATGACTGCATTCTTTGTCCATAGTTTCCGATTTTTGAGCATGCTCGAGAATCGACACCACACGTTGAGCTACCCTATTGACGAGGACCGGCCATTACTTCTCAGCAAACTCTTTTCTGGTGGATGTATACACGAAGTACATTTCTGATCGATCTACGCCGCTACATCGTCACGCACTGAACGATAATACGCACGAATATGAATGGAACAAGCAAATGAATTGACGCACAGCGCTTCAGCATGACCCGGGGAGGATGAGAAAAAAATAAAAACAATAATGATCCTCCCGCTTTTTAAAATTTCCACCGGCGCAAGGACTGGCGTGGGGCAGGAAATGTGTCGAATTTCAGGACATCTAGCACAAAGAAAAACCGCCACCAGCTGGTACGCAAGATCGAGTTGGGTGTGGCGGTACGGCTCTTATATACTGCTAGAATAACTAATGGGTAGATTGGTTATTATGGTCTTTTGGCCGGGAGGTGGAATTTGCTAGCAGTAATTCTATAAACCCTCACATTTGGGGCATGTTACTTTTTATTCAAAGGAGTACAAAGCCAAATGCAACGGCTCCGGGAGGGAAAGGGATTGAAATTCTAGTGGGAGTTCCGAAGGGGACCAACGCCACATGCAAAAGCTGTGTAAATAGGGGCAAGCCCTCCCATTTTCAAGCATTGTTGAGCTTCTTTGTAATCAGTACATCCTACTAGCCCTTCCTGCTTGAAACCCATCGCTTCGGCTCAAGCATGCTAGCTAGCCAGACGTGAATGGCGTGAAACCTGTTCCCGATAAAGCATTCATACGCCAACCATGCGGCCACCGCGGTAAAGACCAACGACACGATCTCTGCCGTGGCTGTTGAAGTGACAATGTTAGCAGGAAAGTTCTCACCGTGTTTAGTAGAAAATACCAATATTCATCTGTATGCCCAGGACGGCTTTAGAAACTTACCGAACCATTTCCCAATGTATTGCGTTGTGTAGACAGTGGAGTTTCCGTCGTCAAAGGAAGTCTGATGTCTTTGGAAGTCTTCGATAGGTAAAGCAAATAACCCGGCGAGGAAGGATAGCGGAGTAAAAATGATGGTGACGATAGTAAAGCCAAACACTGATGCACTCATGAGAGATGCAAGCCGCGCCTCATTCAAGCTTGCGTGCTTTTGTTTGAGATCCAACCTTAGTTCGATGGAGCGCTGCACACGTTGCGCGTCATCATCCAGCTTCTGTAGGCGTCGTTTAAATTTAGGCAGCTGTTGTTGTGGTCGCTGGATGATCTTCCACACCTCACCATCTTGAGCAGCCTCAGCAGTCTGTGGTGGCTTGAACGAGCCTTCGGGCCCATTTGGCCATGCATTTGGCCATGTCGTGAACATGAACTCGCGCCAGACCTCTTCCTGTTGTATTAGAATTGTCTGTATCATCGATAGCTCGTCTCGGATGTCCTCGATATGGTGGAGAAAGTCTTTCTCTTTTTCAATGTTGATGTCGCTCATGTTTTGCGGCGTCAGATAAATGTTTACTTCTTCTGATACGCGAGCAATGGAGCGCGCAAATATTGCAAAGATCCCAGGATCTCGGCCTTTCGGACCTCTGATTGTGTCCAGTGAGTTTATGCATTCCGACAAGAGAATGCCGATGAGATGCTTGTGCGTCACATCCTCACTGTGCAGGCGGAACATGAGATTTTTCATGATAGTGGGCCCCCACCCCAATTTCTCTGCCAGAAGTTCACTCGACGCAATGATATGATCATCAAAGCTCCAAATACAGGCTTGAGGAACCATGAGAATCGGGTCAGAGTCCTGCTTTGGATTTTCTCGTCGTTGGCCTGTCAGGTACCGGACTACGACCTGATCCATATTCCGCTGGTTCAGAATTTCTGGCCCGATCTCCGGATTGCAGTATTCGTCCAGGGTGGCTTCGAATGCCAGGGGGACTGTGAACCGACATGGCAAATATTTAGAAGTGGTTGCCGAGTGGTCGGCGTGCCGGACTCTCCGTGCAATTTCTGACCGTGGAGAATAGGCAAAATACGGCATCTTGCGGCTTCGCGTTAGAACTGGTCTCATAGTCAGGCAGTCTATGTGTTTTTCGCATTCACCGGGAGATACTTACCGTTATGAACGCAGACTCAACGCTCGAACGCGAGGGCAGCGTTATAGTTCTCAGTGAACATCCTGGCTCCCGACTTTGAACGTCCCGACGTGAACCGCTCTCGCCGCATAACAGTTCCATCTCAGTGAATTGTTGCTTAATCGAAGTCATGAAATTCACGAGGTCACGGCCGCTGTCTGCAGCTGGTATCCTTTTGAAAAACATGAGAGACTAGGCAATTTAATTAGCATGATCCAGATAGCTGTTGTAAGTACCTGCACAATCATATGGTCTGGGTGCCAACAACATACGAGAAGCCTAAAAATCTGCAAGAAATTAGAAAGCTTCTCGAAAACAGGGCGATACAAGCTTCCGAGCTCTGGCCGGGTACTCACTTCGTGTACTGTATCTTGACAGCCGATGCCTCCTATAGCACGCATGTGAACGCGTGCAGGCCCCAAATATGGCTTGCGGTCTATGACTCGGTACCTCGAACCGTCGACCCATCGCAAGTTTGGACCTTTCTTCCACGCTATCAAAGCAAGCGTAAAGAAATCATCATTCGCAGCCCTCGACTTAAATCGAATGTCTTGGATTGTCAGGGAAACATCTGCACCGCGATCAAGCAGATATTCCACGCATTGTAAACGTCCAGCTTTGTCGGTCAGGCACTCGGATATGAGCCCTTCTCTCACATAAGTCGCGCTCGTCGGCCCCGGATCTCTCATTGCAGTCAGCAGCATTGAGCATTCGTACGGAGATTGATCGTATGTCACATCAACACTGACATTAAGCTCTTCGACGAAGCAGCGGAGCACCTCGACACGGCCTGCGTAACACGCCAAGAACATTGGCTTCGGCCGGTAAGAGGGCCGGGGGTATTCGTCAAAGAAACGGTCCCACGTCTCATCCTGGTCGTCGCCGAACGCTTTCCTTTCAGCCTCGAGGAGGAATTTGACCACATCGGCATGGCCATGCCAGATTGCCAATTCCAGCGCCGTCATACCGACTGTATCTGAGCGGTCCAGATTCTTCATCCATTCGATTGTCACTTGACTTGGTGCCCGGAGATAGGATTTTGGATCAGGGAATCTCTCAATCAGGGCGCGAACTATATCCAGGCTGCCGCGCCGTGCAGCACAATGAAGCGGACTCTCCCAATCGTTGTCAAAGTGGAAGATGTCGGCGCCCGCATCGAGCAACACCTCCACCACCGGCAGGTTTCCTTCATTGCAGGCTGTATGAAGGAGCGTTGTGCCATAATCCCTTCTAGGAAAGTGAATTTCATCGACGTTCAACTTTTCCAAGAAGTCCTCAATTTTGTGGAGGTTGCCGTCGCGGACAAATGCATGCAGGAAGAATTCTTCACCCTATTAGTTTTCGTTTTTCTTTGTAATTTGATCAATCCCCGTAGGTGAATGTCTCGATTTGTGACTTACTACAGAGGTCTCGGTTGCCATCCGGGTCCCACTCTTCTAGTCCGAGAAGTTGTTCACAAATCGCTTGATCTCGGTTTCCACACAGCTCAGTAGAAATTGCGAAGGAAGAAGCTTGAACTCAAAGAAGTCAGTGGTGAGGTATGAAACCAGGAATCTGCTTGCTGCTCACCTTTCTTGATCCAGGGGTCCAATTCCTCTCTGAAGAAGACAAGCAATCCCCCTTTCTGGAGACTTTGTGCATCCACAATATCTTCCATGCTTTGAGTTCTTGATTTTATCTTCCCCGTCCATTTCCAGGGTTCACTCTCTTCCTCTGGTCTCATATCTATGCCCCACCTCTCAGTCACCATTGCACGCTCTTCCATGTCCATCTCTTCGTGCATTTTGACTTGGAACTTTCTATCATCTGAAATCGTGTCGTCGCTCAGGTCTTGGTCAGGTTCAGAGCCAGCTCCATGCTCTGCACTTGCCACCGTCGGTGTGTTTCGAGTTGATGTACTTTATCGTAAACCAAAGTCCGTGAGGAAGGGGTCAGTTGCCCTATCCTAACATGATACATGCGAAAAGCTCTTCACACACTCGGCGGAAGGCAAGCCAGGGCGGCGTTGCGGTGGTAGACACGCTGAGTTGGCCTCAAAGAACAAGATGTGCGCTGACGTGGCGCCCCGCCCTGCACAAGTGCGGTGCGGATCCCGTGGGTATCTGCAAAGACACAGATGGGCCCTGCATTGTGGGGTTGTTGCGGGAGTGGACTGAACAATTCTCAGACTGCTTGAAGAAGAATTAAGTACTGTGACCTGTGGAAACACCGGCCTGTTATTGATTCTGGTCTGCTGCAAGCTTTTGGAAGGGCTGGACAAAGTCGCAACTTTACAGTACTTCAATTTGTTTTGAGTACATAGAGGTTTAAACATAGACGAGATTTATTTTTCTGATCAAACCTCGTCCTTGAAGATAGGGTCACGGTCACGGGCTCAACAATATCCGTTGACATTAACAACGAGGCTGGAGCACATATAGAACTAGACCAGACTTCGATACTAGGGCCGGCGACGAAACCTTTGCACAGAAGAGACCTGCAGGGACTCTGGTGATTCCAAGGAACCCAACAAAACGGCTTGAAGTTTTGTCTTTAGTTTTTTTTTGGAAAAACAAAATCAGATTTCACGTTGCCTACTATTAACAACTCAAATCATCCAGGTCAAATGGGGAAGCCTATCTTTGGTTCAACACAGTTCTCAAATAATATACCAGCCAGTGAAGACGGCAAAGATATCATGGAGTGCCATTGCAGACCTAACCCGAAGTCTTCAAACCGAACCTAACGCAGTGGCGGGACCAACAACCTTTGCCAATTTCATCAATATACAAGCCCTCAACAGTCTATGAAGCAGGAAAAAGCAAAATCGTAGCCTATGCCTTCGGGAACCCCATTTCAGCAAAGAATAATCTCCTCAAGGCCGTCTTCGACGCTCTAACGCCACACGTTGCCATCCATCAAACATCCAAAAAAAGCCGGACCAACCACTCAAAACTTACCATCTCCGTGAGGGCTCGTCCGCACAACCATTGGTAAAGATAATTTAGAAATGAGGGCAACAAAATCTCCCTGCTTAACATGCCTAATAGTAATCCCAAATCCCATGTAGCCGCTCCCAAAGCACTGCGCAAGGCTTGTATCCATATAATAGATAAGAATGAACAACTAGAATTAAATCCTAATCGCATATTTCTTTTTTTTAAGTCGCTTCCACATTTTCTCACATCCCCGTTAGCTTGCTGAAGAATCTTAAGCCAGATATTAAGATCTTTGAAAGCAGCATTATGTTTATTATTAATTATGGTGACACCCCCCAAGGAGAAGCAGATACTTCACGCAGATAGAAACCTGGGAGGGGTCCAATCCCTGGATAGCCTTATAAAAGGCTTTAAGGGATTTATATGTTAGGTTCAATTCCCAGGGTTTGGCGTGGTAAATATATTAGTTGAATACTTCTCGCTTAGACCTTAAAAACGTTATTTTTGAGGTAATACGGCCCCGTATGAGCAGATCCGCACTATTCACCCCGGCCTTGATGCATCTATTTCGCAACAATATCTTTTTCTCCTCATCCCACTGATGCTTGGAGTCCAGCGTAGCGCCCTTGAATCTCTGGTATTTGGTTTTGGTGCGGTAATATCAAAAGTGTAGCCACAGAAGAGATCTATCCTGTAAGTCGGCATTTAGAGGGATCCCTGACCCGTCCGATGTCCAGTTAATGATCCACCTGGGGGAGGTAGGACAGAGACGGCGCGATCCGAGTCTCCAGTCAGTGACCCAGCTGGCGCAGCCAGACCCACAATATTCATCTATGAGAAGCATATCAAGACTATCCGTTTTAAGAAGCAATTCAACCGATAAATGGGTATACAGGCGGCCCAAGATAATTCTCCTCATAACTTCTTCCTGCAAGTCAACCAAGTCTTTTTCTCTCTCCGTCTTCTAATAGAGGTCTCCACCTAATAGAGCTAAAATACCTTCATATTTATCGCCAGGTTCTTTGCAATCTCAGCGTTTCAACTCATGCCACAGTAATTCTTGAATCGGGACTGGTAGCCATTTTCTATTAAACTTGCTCAACCAAGTCCAACTTAGTTAAATAAATCCATAAACTGATGCGGCCGCCACAGTGAAGGAAGCCACTAGTAGGTTTGCTCCGCTAGGAGCAAAAGCTTCCAAAAGGACACAACTCAGGCCCAAAAAGCCCCATTCAACACGAGGGTAGACGCGCCATGATGTTTCGATCCTAGATTGGTGCAGAGCAATGATTTCGCGGAACCGCTGCTCTCACTTCACCCCTTCAAGTATCCCAGATTAATTAGGCGCAGCTATGTTAAGCCATAAGCCGGATAGGCTCATCCAAGGCTGCAAGCTTTTGGGAGGGAGTCTAGGCATGAGTCCCTTACTGGCAATAGCGTAAAATTAAACGCTGAGGATAATTTAGAGCCAAGGGCATTCTTAATTACCGCAGATAACCATCTTATTAAGCAAGAGGATATACTCTTCCAAAGTCCAAACGCAGTTTACTTAGTCTTGACTTAATACCTTATCCAGACCTAAGTGAATTTAATGCTAATACCAGCTAAGAGTATACCAAAAAAGTCCAAATCCATTTAGCTAATTGCTTAAGTTTGGGTAAGGAAGATATCCATCGCGGAGATACTTCACGGCCCGATCAGTGGCGGGATCTCCTTCTCCAAGCCAGAAATATGTCTCTCTAGCGTTTGCGTAAATACGTCCCATGAGAGGCAATTGGTGGGACTTTTCCAGTGTATCTTCCTGGTTAATGTAAATGGCATCGATCCAGATTGCCAGAGGATGTGAAAGGTTGTCATGACGGTGGCGCCGGCGGTGGAGACGGTAGATATGAGATATGGCCGAGATGCAGTTTGAGGTAGCCTGAAGTTCCACGTGGCCGCGAGGGCAAATAATCGGTCTTGTTCGGTTCGGATCTCCCCAGCAATATGACAGGGCGTTGAGTTGGATGTGATCCGGGTCGTCCAGGTCGACAACCTGGAGCTTGCCTCGGATGTTGGATTCTTGCGCTGTTTCCACGACGAAAACTCGAATCTTGGTACCACCCAAGGCAAGTGAGGTCTTGTAAAGGGTTTCCCCCCTTTCGCGTTTCTGTCTCTCGAGCAGATGCGAGTCAGGATGAGCCGGCATGGTTTCGGCTGTGACCGTCATCTGAAGAAGCCCGGTGTCCTCTGAATCTCAAGCCTAGGGCGGCTGGAAATCTGTTTCGGGTGGTGGTGTTGCTGCCTGATGGCCTCTTGGGCATGTTCCTTCAGTTCATGAAACGCTCTGTGGAGCGAATTAGTAGAATAGCGTCAACGAATCTCCATAGTAGGTACTCTCAGATATGCTATTAGAATTTGCAAAGTTGATAACTTCCCATCGTGGTACAAGCGCGTTTGAAGCTCAGCGTGAGGCAACCGACAAGGGTACATCACTCTGAGTGAAACACAGCCGCAGGCAGCCGCCATATGTAACATAACAAGGGTCTCACTAACCACTGCAGGTTGCCTTACCTTGGAGTGTTGTGCTTCCCCAACTGATGATCTGAAGGGATTCGCCCCCCGAAAAGAAAGGAAGCAAGAGCCAGTGACCAATGACAACTTTTTTTTTTTTTTTTTTTTTTTACACTTGCTTAATCGCTTTTGCAATTCACATGTGGACAGACATTCAATCATTACGACAGTAAGTTATCTTGCCCTTGTCAGTCGACATCGGGCTCTTCTCATGCACCTGTCAGCAATGCGATTGAGGCTCTTAAGCACATGTAGTTCCACATCGGCGTGAGTGATGGGGCTCGGTACAATCTTCCTCGCTTGAGAAGGCAACAACAGGAATGGTGGCCATTTCAAAGAGTTCCACAAAGCCGAAATAAACTTTCATTTTGGTATCCAAAGACATATCAGATTCATAATCAGATCTACATTCCATTCTATCTGCTACCAACGATATGGACGAGCCGATTGACCATGGTCTCGACTTCTTGGAGGACCTCCAAAGACAATGGTAGGAATACCTGGCACACCCTTCTTATGGATACGCTACGGAACACCAGATTATCGGAATACATGGAGACCCTGTCAATATTTGCATGGGGCGTGTGTACGAATCCACTGGCCAAGTGACAGCCTGGCTCGAACTCATACCCAATGATCCACCGCAGCACGACCTCAACGACATCATGACGCCGCCCTGTGTGCCAGTATCGATTTAATTAGAACATCAAGTGATTTATTTCCTTATTCAAATCAAGACTTCGATCCCCAGGCACTTGGGTGGGTAACTGGTCTTCCGGCAGACTTTGACTCTAATAATGTTTTTCAACTCGGATCTAGTAGGAGCAGAGCTCGGAGCCTCTCCCTTTGAATACATCGAATGACGTGGGCCAGCCCGAAGAAGTGTTGTGGCACACACAGCCTTGGACGGCACAGGTGGCGGCCAGCACCAAGGCAGCTGTGAGACGTCATCCCTTGCTTCGCTCAAATACTTGGGCTCTGCAACCCTCTTGAACACAGCGGCCACTTTCTTTACTACCAGGAGCACTATTGAACAAATTCCCAGGGGCATAATCAGATATCATGAAATCCTCATGTGGATTTGTGACGATATCAATACTACGTGCCTACGGCAAGTGGTGGTACCACTTTTACACTAGTAGTGCAGTGGTGAAAATCGTGACAGGATTACCACATCCTCTTCTCGCAAATCAATCTGTGAGTGCGTGAGACACAGCCAGCTCCTGCGGCCCGCATTTGGTCCGTTACAAATTACCAAGAGTCTTCTCTCAAGATAGTTGGACTTCTTTCACACAGGTGATTACATTTAGTTCGAACCCTGTACCCGCAAGCCTAGCAGAGAAAATCAGACGATGACATTGGTCATTGGAAGCAGGAAAGCAGGGTCAACGGCCGAGCCAACCATCTTGTCGAAGACAGCAGTCTCGTGCTTTTGGAAGCTTCTTCGTACAAGATATCGGGTAGCAAAGTCCCTATACAAGTTTGCTGGTTTCATTTAATTTTTCGACAAGTTGGAAGGACCAATATTCTCCAAGATAGGAATGCTAAGAATGAACATAGCATACCCCTCCTTTTACTTCTCTTTACACTCGCAGCTTCGTCTCCTCTTCTAACCACCAAATTACCACAAAGCCATTCTATTTATTGTTGATCTGATCAGAAGAAACCAGCACAATTAGGGGTTAAAAATCCTGTTCTGCGTTCGCTGACTAGAGCTGAGCCGTGGTGGTGACAGTCTACTAAACTCCGACGTATCCCCCAATCAGACCCCACAGCTCACTTCTTCTTCTCATGAGTGTAGTTGTTCTCCCCCTTATGCTTGTGCTCGGGTTTATTGCACCTGCCTCCGAGACACTGTGGTCTCGCCGGCTCCTGCTCCCACTCACACTTAGTGCGGGGCTTCTGCTGCCAGGGACCGCTTCGAGGCACTGTTGGATCCGTGGGTTTCTGGTTTGCTGACCCGGATCCACCATTTCCAGACCCACCCGCGTTGTTGTCGCTTCCCCCAGTTGATGCCATTTCGCTGTGGCGACTTGGGTTGTAACTCTTGAATGGGTATTGATTCTTGTTGTTGCGATGTTTGGTAAGATTCTCTTTGCTGCAGATGCATTCTCTCAACACTTGAGCGAAGCTCGAAGAACTGTGGCCTTTTATTTGGGTTTTCTGCTACACACTGATCCAGTATTAGTTGTGACTTTCGTTATAGACCGTCATGGAATTGTGGTCAATGACTTTGGGAAGGGACAAAATAAAAGCCAATCACTAGATCAGCTTTGTCATTCGACAGCGTTTCTTGCTGCTCAGTGTTGCTCGATGCGTCTCAAATCGTACCGCAGCTCGGAAAGTAACTGAACGTTCCACATACTCTTCTACAAATGACTACTAAATAGCATGGCATCCGTCAAAGACGGGTCCGAGAGAATTTGAACGGTGACCAGTGCATTCAATCCTGATAAAGCTCAACTTTTTCTATCACTCTGAGCATCAATACATATTACACCGGCAAGTTCTCTGATTTTACAGTGTGTGCATAGGTCTCAACATAGTGTCTGAGATAAATTCACTATTCGTAACCTGTACCAGGAAATTCAATCGCAAAGCTTCACATCAAGACAAGTTGCGAGAGCGGAACCCGCGCGGTGTAGTAATTTGCTGGGAGAATTGTGGGAGTAGTGAGAGGTATTTATATTCGTTGATTTCTATAGCAAACAAAGCTTTTAATTGCGACTTATCCTTGTAGGGAGCGAGAAGACTAGATAATAGCTGTTGTTAGTAAAAAAGGAATGCCACGGAGAGTTAGGATGCTCGACAGACCACGGCTTGACGCGAGGGCTTCGTCATTTTCCAACAAAATGCTGCTTGCTTCCTGAACGTCTACAGACCCCAGGGGTTGCAACATTGAGAGAATTCGTGCCATAATTCCTAATTGCGCACCATCACGATTTCGTTCCAGCTTGATACTTTACTCCGGCAATTATCTATAACACAACATCTGGCAGAGATGTCGGTGCCAGAACGGGTCTTGAGTACTTTTGATTCCAGTGTACCTTCGCACAGGGGGATACGATCCGATCGCGATGTTCCCGGTGAGCCTGTCTATTAAGGTTATACGATATATTACTCAAGGATCGTCAAAGTAAATATAGACTGGAGGACGGACGTTTGTCTGTTCTTAGACTCGGAAAATGCTTCGTGGATAGGAGGGTCTGCTTAAGCTTAACTGAAAGTGCACGAGTCTTGCGAGGCCGGTCAGGCGCTGTCGACAGGGAATCCATGCCCGGCGTTGCTCACAAGGCTTGGCCCGGGCGTCATCACGGAGGCCGTGGCAGCTCATCCGGACCACTCCTGCTCGGATGCGAACACACTGAGGCCGCCCGGTCGGCGAGGCATGGGCGAGGAGGCTGGCCGAAGGGATCACACTAGTAAAAGGCGGGTGAGATTACTGGGGAGAGTGTCGAACGTATGAGTGGTTCGGGTGCAGCTTGTCCCGCGGCTTATAAAGACAGGCGGAAGAACTTGGGATTAAAGTTAGAGCTACGCATGGAATCCGTACAAGGGCTCCAATCCCTATGGATTGGTTCGGTCTCGTGTGGCTGGCGGATGAGCATGTAGATCATCATACATGTATTGTTTCCAACAGGAGAATCTCGATGGGGTAGTCGGGTAGTCATATTCGAGGTTTTTGATTTGAGACCTGTTTTTTTATTTTTTTTTTATTTCCCTGCGTTACGGTCGGCTACGGCAAGTCAATCAGCACGGACGACTCAGCCCTGCGCGGCGCCGTCGCCCTGAACAGCAGCGTCTGGCCGACCACCCAGGTCTCGACATCCCCAAAGTGCTCCCTCAGGGCCGCATCCACGTCCTCCTTGGTGTCGTCCCAGTTGCGGAAGACCCCCCACCAGTTGTTGTACCAGTTCAGGTAGAACCTGGTCAGCCACTGGTACCACTTTGTCTGCTTGGCCCCGAGCACCGTGCACCCGTACAGCACGCCGTTGTCGCTCACGAGCCTCGCCATCGCGCCGATGGCCCTGAACTTGTCCCTCCCCCCCGGCATGCAGTGGAACAGGTTGAACATGGATACGGAGTCGTACCTCCGGCCCGCGAGCTCCTTGGACGGCGGCTCGGTGGCGTCCGCCTCGACGAGGTCGACCTCGGCCCTCGAGGCCACCGACAGCACCCTCGCCTTGGCCGCCCTGAGCGGGTTCGGGTTCAGGTCCATGAGCGTGAGCTGGTGCCTGCTGCCCTTGCGCCAGATGCTGCCCAGCGCCGCGGCGGGCAGGTAGCCCGTCGCGACGCCGATGTCCAGGTGCCGCCGGGAGAAGTTCTCGGCGAAGAAGGGGAGCAGCACCGACGGGGTGGGACACCCCCAGATGCAGCGCATGTTGAAGCCGAGCACGTAGACGTCGTACCACACGGACAGGGCTGAGCGGGTGTAGACGGTGGCATTGGCGTCCTTGCCTGTGCGGAACAGGGCGTCGTTTTCGTAGTCCGCCATTGCGTGGGCGCCGAGTGAGTGCTCCCAAAGTGGTGGATGTGTTGGTGGTGTGGCTGTTGGTGTCCCTGTTGGTAAAGACTGGGGTTATTGAGAGCAGACTTGGCACTCTTTCACGGCGTTGGGGGGGGGGGGCTTGTTCTCTGCGACTTTCTCTTCTTCGAAGCGGCGATCAAAAGTTGGCAGTTGGCAGTCGGCAGCTCGAAGGCGAAACGATTTCTGGCTTCCATGGGATGTTATCATGTTGCTATAATGGCTCTTATTATGACTATTATTCTCATGTTGGTCGCGTTCCCCATAGCCTCCATCGTGTCTCGTCTTCACTGGTCAGTTGACTGTGCGCATGTGCCTAGTGTTCGGCTTGCATTAGAAAGTGGGTAAGCTTTCCGCACTGTGCAATTATACATACAGTCTGCATATCGGCATTGTTGCGACTCCTCCCTTCGACAGACCTCGCAAGTCAGCACACCAGATAAGTGCCTGCACCATGCACGTATATGGAGCCGCCTGGGGCTCTGCGGTTGACTATGGCTTCCCACTTCACCCTGGCATGGCCTTCTTGGTATGCAAGGGACAGACCCACCTGGGTCATTGGCCGGTTTCTCATGATGGATCCTCGGAAGATGGATTCGTAAAACTGAGGGGTATCTTGGAAGCAAATAAATCAGGCCGAAGGTGGTTCCTGGCCCTCGGCTATGTGTGTCAATTGGTCGTTCGATCGCCGCGTCGCATGCTCTGGAACAGGCGTGCTCTGGAACGAGGACACCGATGTAGAAGCTGAGCCGACGCGCGGCTTCCGACAGTAGACAGTCATCCTAGGGCGTGTTGGGTTAGCAAGCCGTGGTCGCGTCCAACTCGGAGAGTATCGTGGTCCTTACAGCGTCATGAAGGAGTGGTATCTCGTGTCTGGGATCTCCCTCTTGACATTCAGCACGAACTTCTTCACGTCATCTGCTGACCAGCCCAGGCCGTCTATGAAGACTGAAAGCGTGAGTGGCTCGATGATGGCATTCCAATTCTTGGCCATCATCGTGCCGATCTTCTGTAATTTCTTCCCTGGGTAGCAAGCATTGGTGGGAGCGCCATACTTGGTCACCGTGATGTTCTCGAAGCCGACTTTCTCAAGGAGCGGCTTGTACTGGGTCGGATAGTATAAGGAACTTCCAAGATCTTTGAGGCCTGTAAAGTCAGAATTAGCAAAGCTTATGATGGCCTGGGGCATGAACTTTCCTCGGGACATGAGCTTGTTCCATTTGTGGAAAGACGTGTTTTCAAAAGAGTGGTTGGGTGACTGCAGCAAGACGATCCACTCGGTGAATTCAGCCCATCCCCCCGGGTTGAGGTTGTCCCAAACAGCTTGCACAAGGCGTTCTTTTTCTGGCAGGTCGCCCAGCATGCGAGCATGGACGAGGTCGAAAGTCGTGTTCAGATCCCAGTCCTCGGTGGCGTCTCTGATCTGAAAATGGCAATTCGATACCAGGTACGGCGGCTTGACTGGCTCGAGATCAATTCCTAACACTGAGCTTCGTGGGTTTTGCTGGGCTGTGATGAGTTGTTAGCCAAAGACACATGGGAGCCTGCAGAGAGAGACATGCCGAATTCCTGCAAAGGGTTAGCGTCATGCAATAGACCCGAGGGTGGGTGGAGGAAAGGTGGGCAATGTCCTGAGTGAGGGTCGATAAAACATACCAACGCCCATAGACCGGGCCCGGTACCGATGTCCAAGACGGTTTTTGGCCGCCTGGCCGGGGCCAGATGGAATCTTCCGTCGAAGAGTTCTTTTATTATCTCATGCTGAAGCACTGTTTTGCACTTGGTCAGTGGCCGTCAGGGCTAACGAGTTATTGCTTGTAGATATGCTGCCGGGAATGCATACCGTTTCTGTCTTGTTCTTGCTAGTTCGAAACCTTGAGTTAGCCACAATCCTGGCAAACCCCGCAGGATCCTTTGATCAGGACAGTCGCACCTGATTGTTCGGTATGAAGCCATAGCCTGTGAGATAGCAGGTCAGCTTGGGCCAATGTTGAATTCACCAGCGCAGGCCGGGGAGATACGAGACTGACGCTTGTAGGACTTGCTGATCCTGTGCATGAGAGAGCGAAAGAATCCTGTTGTTCGGGACCCACTTCCTCTGGGATTCGATCTGATTGGATCCCAGTCAGCCTTCATTTGCTCCCAGAAGTGCGTGACATGACTCGGCAGTTGACCCCCGGCTGACCCCCGGCTGACCCCCGGCTGACCCCCGGCTGACCCCCAGCAGAACCCCCCGGCGAGGCTCGCGAGATCAGGCACCCAGTGCACCGCGCCATTCGCGCCTAATAGGGGGTCGAAGGGGAGGAGACTCACCGTTCCGAGGCTGCAGGAACGGCCTCTGCATCGTCGTTGGAGTCGTCCGAGTCGGAGCGCGACCAGATGTCATTGGACAGAGGCAGGTCGCCGTCGTCGACGATGCTGCTGTGGGGGTAGGTTCGGTTGGACGACGAAGTAGCGGTGAGGGGCGATTTGAGGGATGTGGAATTCCTGCTGGTGCTCGAGGCGTTGGTCGATGGCCGTCCCATATTTTTCGATGAAGAGTTGACCTCACTGCCGCTTGTTGGACGGCCGCGACCTTTGGTAAAATCCATGGACCGGCGGGCCGCTCCGAGAGGCTGATGGGGTCGTGAAACTTTAAGTCGGGTCTGAGAACTCGGGTCAGGGACAAGATTCAACGTGAATCTCATTCAGAGTCTGGGTACTCCTTGGTTTTTAAACCATCGTCCCGGGGGGAGAACAATGGGCCTCAATTTGTTTTGGGATCTTCTACATACGTCGAGAGATTCCAGGGTCCCAAGAACCCAGGACCTGGGCCAGGCCTCATTTCGGAGGGCAAGGCATTCCAAAACCGACCACCCCCCCCCCAGCCCGACCGGCCATACGGTTCACGCGTCCCATAATACTGGAAAACACCGCCACCCCGGCAGCCCTGGCAGCCCTGGCAGCCCTGGCAGCTGCCTGTGCTTGGTCGGCAGCCTGGCAGCTCACATTGGGCCCGCGCGACATTGTGTGTGGCTTTCAGGGCGCAAGCTTGTGTGATTAGGTGACACATCGGTCGCCTCGGATTCGATCGGCCGCGGCTGGATACGGTCCCCCAGGCCATGGCAGGCCATGACGGTCCAGTCCCGGCCCTGGCACAAATAGACTATGGACCCGCCCGATGGTGGGGACCGGTGTGCCTGAAGGTCGGATTTCTGTAGCAATGTGCTGTCGGCAACAGGTTCCGGGTCGTCATGGCCGCCTCAAGTTGGTTGTTGTCTCCGAAAGAGGAGAGCTTGCAAAGTTCCGGCAGTTGTGCGCGACGCACACAAGTCCCTATAGCAAGAGGGCGCCTTTCTTAATCATGCTGGCTTAGCAATCGTATTGCGGGATGGAACCCTGCTATCAGAGGCGCAGAGGTTCCATCGCCATCGTCGTCATCGGTGATCCGGCTCGCGTGCACATCTCGCACCAGGTGATGGCCATGTATATGTGCTAGCCTATGCAGTGCACTCTGTCCAAGCTCGGGCCAGACGGGACAAGTACACTGCATGCCCACCTCGTACATGCTCGGTACTTTGCGCTGCAGTGAGAACTTAAGTCTGAACAGAGTTGCTGACGACACGAACCCGGCCCAGGGCGCACGACCCGATTGGCTTGGGAAAGGGGGGAGGCCCCTCCCGCTCCACCCTCAATGTCGAAGGATGGGGGGGGGGCCCCTGGCCGGATTACTGGACCTCGACACGTGGGTTTCTGGACCCACGACTCCATTCCCAGCATTGCTTTGACGTCAGTCCACCTTGCTCGCCCACTGAGACTGGACCTGGATCCAATGCCGTGTACCTCTCTCTCACGACAGAGTGGGCCACCCGACAATCTGACAGGTCGCTTTGCCCTGACCGTTCATCCCCCTGAGCTGAACCAGCCGAGGCGGGAACCAGACCAAGACAACCACGCGTACCAGGCGTGCTTGGAAACAGTACGTAGCAGATGCTCCACGCGTACCGCGGACTGCCACCGAGTGCCTGAGTGGCTGGCAGCCAGCAGCCGGTGCACCGCGGGCCAATGTGTACGTGCAGCCAACTTGCAGAACATTGATCCGCGAGCCTTCGAGACTCATGTACCCGGCCTGCCAGTGCCAGTGCTTGCATGTGGTTCAAAAGAGTGCCCAGAGGGCGATCACCGGAGGGGCGCATTGATCGGCTCGCCTGGCACATTCGATAGCGTTACCGCCTACTGCAATATGGAGGGTCCTGTGGGCTTCGTTCCCAATCTGTTGGAAGCACCAACAGGCGCTTCAGAGCACTACCATTGGCCATTGCCCCCATACGCTCTACCGTCCACGGAGACACATCGTACTGTGCTCGAGGCCACGGCCGGACTGTGGTGTCTCCGCCCTCCCACATACAGCAGTCGTGAGCGCGTGATCAGGACTTGAGCAGCCTATCGAAGGCTCGCCAGGCTCGCCAGTCTGTCGTCGACATTGATGCACGATGGGGCACTACTCCACGAGAATGGATGGGGTTGATGGGCCCTGGCGGTCGAGGGGAACATGGCCCCGAATCAAGACCTCGTACATGATCCCCCATCTCCCGTCTACAAAGTGCCTATCAAGCACGTAGTCCTGCAGCATCATTTGTTTGTGTCAGCATATCGATCCGGTAGACTTCAACGTGCTTCGGAAAATCCAGTGACCAAGGTTCATCGACAATGGATGAGCCGATCGCTATCATCGGGGTGGATGCCAGGCTGCCTGGTGATGGCGACACCGCCGAGAGCTTCTACGAGTCACTGCTGGCAGGGAGATCGGCCAGGTCTGAGATACCCCCGGAGAGGTTCGCGATCGACTCATTCTGGCACCCCGAAGCTGAGAGGAGTGGCTCGGTGAGTTCCTTTTAGGGGCGCTTGATGTTACCACCGCCACCTGCTAACATACCGCAGACCCGGGCAAGACATGCACATTTCGTCAGAGGCAGTATTGCAGCATTCGATGCGCCCTTCTTCTCTGTCACGCCGGCTGAGGCCAACGGGATGGATCCCCAGCAGAGGGGGATGCTGGAGTCTGTCTACAAGGCTCTCGAGAATGGTCAGTCAAGTGGTAACTCCTTGAGATTTGGGTTCTAACATGAGATCAGCTGGCATTCCTATACCAAAGGCCGCAGGCTCTCAGACCGGCGTCTACGTCGGCTGTTTTGCCTACGATTATAATGACATAATAGTAAAGGACTTGGACCTTCCCTCCAAGTACGCCGCCACCGGTACGGTGGCGAGTATGCTCAGTAATAGAGTCTCGTGGTTCTTTGACTTTCGTGGCCCAAGTATCACAGTCGATACGGCCTGCTCCAGCAGTCTGGTGGCGGCTCATGAGGCGTGCATGAGTCTGAAGCTTCGTGAGATTGATATGGTGAGTGAGACTGTGTCTGGAGACCTGGGAAGATTGTGCTGACCACTGCAGGCCGTTGTTGGCGGTTGCAATCTCATGCTCTCGCCCGAGATGACGCTGAAGCTAGACGCAGCTGGCGTTCTTGGCCCGGACGGCAAATCGTACAGTTTTGACCACAGAGGCAACGGGTATGCCCGTGGAGAGGGATTCGGCACCTTGGTACTGAAGCGAGTCTCTGATGCAGTCCGTGATGGCGACGTTATCCGCGCCGTCATCCGAAATTCCTCCACGAACCAGGATGGCAAGTCTCCTGGCATCACACAGCCAACCAAGGCTGGCCAGGCTGCTCTCATCAAGCATGTCTACAAGAGAGCTGGGCTCGACCCCTCTGTGACCCGGTTCTTCGAGGCACACGGCACGGGCACTCAAGTAGGCGACCCAATCGAAGCCAGTGCTATCGCCGAGATCTTTGCGTCTCACCGGTCGCCAGACGAGCCCCTCTATGTGGGCGCTCTCAAGAGCAACGTGGGACATCTCGAAGGTGCGGCTGGAGTTGCTGCAATCATCAAAGGAGTCTTCACGCTTGAGAAAGGTGTCATTCCACCAAACATCTGGTTCGAGAAGGCCAATCCCAAGATAAAGGATTCGTGGCATCTGAAATTCCCCACCGAGGCAACGCCTTGGCCTCAGGCTGGCCTCCGCCGAATGTCGATCAACTCGTTTGGCATTGGTGGTAGTAATGCCCACGTGGTCATGGATGATGCTTTACATTTCCTACAGCAGTATCGGCTGGTTGGTAACCATCGCACCCTTGTCGCTCCAGGCTCGCGGGGCATCCGACAACAGCCACACATCAACGGTACGTCGTACTTGCACCTAGCCTCCAAAGCTGCGCTGATGTTGAATGATCAGGACACACCAACGGCACCAACGGCGCCAATGGTACCAACGGTACCAGTGGCGGCCATCGTCGAACGGACAGTGGAATAGATATGGGCGTAAATGATGATACTGATGCAGCTCTCAGCCAACTATTTGTGTTATCCACGAGCGACCAGGATGGCATACAGCGTATGCGAGATGCCCTCGAGGGATACCTGGCGTCAAAGTCTCGCGAGAACTCAATCGCCGACGATGAACGGTTGCTCAAAGACCTCAGTCACACGCTGGCTTCCAAGAGGACTCATCATGCATGGCGAGCTTTCACAACCGCAGACAGCCCCAGCGCTCTGCAGGATACGCTGAAGGTGATGCCAAGTGCGGCAAGGATCAAGTCCCAGCCTCGTTTGGCATTCGTCTTCACGGGACAAGGTGCCCAGTGGCCAGCGATGGGCATCGAGCTCATGGCATATCCGGTCTTCCAAGAAAGCATCCTGTCCGCTGACAGATACCTGAATGATTTGGGTTGTTCCTGGTCTCTGTCCTGTACGTCAATAAAGCCCCTTTCCTCTGCTCCACGAGAATCTGTCGAAGCTGACCGATGGCAGACGAGCTTTCCAAGCATGCGGGCTCACGCGTTGATGACCCTGAATTCTGCCAACCAATCTGCACCGCCCTACAAATTGCCCTTGTGGATCTCCTGGCTAGCTGGGGCATATTCCCCCACGCTATCACTGGCCATTCTTCGGGAGAAGTAGCAGGTGCCTACGCTGCCGGAGCAATATCGAGAGAGGCAGCTTGGAAAGTCGCCCACTTCAGGGGCAAGCTGAGCTCAAAGCTGATCCGATCGGGGTCCCTGCCTCAGACAAGTATGGCTGCAGTAGGTCTGGACACCAAAGCCACTTGGGCTGCAATCGAACGCGTGAACAAAATGGGTGGCCAAGGGACCCTGGAAATTGCCTGCATGAACAGCTGGCAGAGCCATACTGTCAGCGGTGATGCCAAGAAGATCAACACGCTCGTGGAGATGCTCAATCAGGAGAAGGTCTTCGCCCGGAGACTCAATGTCGAAATCGCCTACCATTCGCAATACATGAAGGCCATTGCGGACGAGTATCTCGAGGCGATGGGAGAATTGGAAGCTGGGACAAATCAGAACCCGTTCAAGTCGACGTTCTTCTCCTCGACCCGTGGCTCTTCCATCTCTCTGGCTGAACTCCGAAAGCCATCTTACTGGGTCGCCAATCTTGTCTCCCCTGTACGGTTTTGCGAATCTGTCACAGAGCTTCTCAAAGATTCTGTTGACGGACCGAAGATCAATGGATACACGAAGACGAAGCCGGCTCCTTCGGCACTCATCACAGACATACTCGAGATTGGCCCTCACGCCGCCCTGAAAGGCCCCTTAGCCAATATTTCCAAGCAAATCTCGGGCAGAGATGCAATCACCTACCATTCCATGATCAAACGCAAGTCGTCTGCTGTGCAGACTGCCCTGGAGGCAGCTGGATCACTTTTCTGCCAAGGCTACGAGGTCGACCTGTCTGCAGTCAACGAGGCCCGCGGATCAGATGGCCACAAACCACTAATGCTAATTGATTTACCGAGTTATCCATTCAACCATTCGAAAGAATACTGGCTTGAGAGCCGACTGAGCAAGAATTCCCGCCTGCGCCCGGCTGGACGTCACGATCTCCTCGGCGTGCCCATAACAGACTGGAACAAGAGTAACGCAACTTGGCGCAATTACATCCGACTGTCAGAGAACCCCTGGATTGAGGACCATAAGGTTGCTGGCGATGTGTTGTACCCTGCTGCGGGCATGCTCGTCATGGCCATCGAGGCTAGCCGACAGATCGCCCAAGAGAGCAAAGCCCTGAAGGGCTTTAGGTTTCGAGACGTCTCGTTCCATTTGGCGCTGCGTGTTCCTGATGACGCCCAGGGCGTTGAAACACATTTCTACCTGAGACCATACCGAGAGACCAGCTCACCTGGCTCGTCGACATGGAATGAGTTCCAACTGTGGTCGTTCAATGATGGCGAATGGAGAGAGCATTGCCGTGGACTAGTGCAGAGCGAGTATCAGGAGGAAAAGACCAATAGCGAACTGATGGTCCAGGAACAGTGCAGGAAAGTCGTTCAAGATGCTCAACAAGCTTGCGCGGCTGACATAGCAGTCGACAAGGTGTACCGCAAGCTCAAGCAGTCTGGGCTGGACTTTGGCCCTACATTCCGGACACTGGATGATATCCGGCTCGGCCAAGACCTGACGCTGTTCGCACGGGTCAACTCGCCGGTGTCGAAGATCCAAGAGGTCATGCCAAGCCATTACGTGCAGCCTCACTTGGTCCATCCAGCACTCTTGGATGGTGTCGTGCATGCAAACATCGCACCACTGGTGTCAAACTCCTCAGGCGCTGATCAGCCCAGGGTCCCGATCTACGCCGAGAGCATCTGGATCTCAGCCAGCCCGGAAGCTCACAACGCCTATCTGGTGGTGACGGCTCAACCCTCGGTCCGCGGGGAGAGCGAGACCGAATCGTCCTTTACCGCGGTCAGCCCCGAGACAAATATTCCTTCAGTCTACGCCTCCGGTCTGATCTTCAAGACCCTCCCGGGTGGTGCGTCGCAGGACGCCGCTGAGTCGCTGCACGATGCTTTCAACATTGAGTGGAAGCCAGACCCGACACTTCTGAGCGAGAAGCAGGCCTCTAAAGTATTCGGTGTCCCCATGGCCACCGGGGACAACCCATCAGAGTGGATGGAGGATTGCGAGGCGCTGTGCCTTGCGTACATTCGCCGATTCCTCGCTTCCATCACGAAGGACCGCATCGGCCGTATGGAAGAGCACCATCTGAAGTACGTGTCGTGGATGGAGCACATCGCCCGCCAGGCGACTGACAGGATTGTTCCCGGGATCGAGCACGTCGAGGACAAGGTCAGGTCGAGAGCTACGCCCGAGGGCGTCCTGATCATCGCTGTGGGCCAAGCGCTGGAAGAGATGCTGGGAGGTCCCCTGAACCCGCTCGACGTCATCTTCAAGGACAAGATCGCCGAGAATGTCTACCGCTACGGCCTGGGCTCTCAAAGATGTTACGAGCAGCTTTGCAGCTATGTTGATGCCCTGGCACACAAGAATCCAGCCATGCAGATCCTCGAAATCGGTGCTGGCACCGGCGGTGCGACCAGGCCTGTCATGGAGACGCTGACGGCCCAGGGCAAGCGATATGAGAAGTATTGCTTCACCGACATTTCGCCATCTTTCTTCGAGCAAGCCAAGGACGCCATATTCAAGGACCAGCTGGACAGCGCAGACTTCCGCGTACTCAACGTCGAGAATGATCCTCTCGACCAGGGCTTCGAGGCCGGCCGGTACGACCTTATCCTGGCTGCCAACGTGTTGCACGCAACGAAGAAGATCGACGTGTCGCTCTCCAATGCAAAGAGGTTGCTTAAGCCTGGGGGAAAGCTCCTGCTCTTCGAGATTACCAACATCGAGGTGCTGCTCAGCCATTTCTGCTTTGGTACGCTCCCTGGCTGGTGGCTATCAGAGGACAAGGACCGCAGGTGGGGGCCATTGATGTCTGCTGAGGGCTGGCGATACCACCTCTCGCAAAGTGGCTTCACTGGGCTTGACGCGGTCTTCCAGGACTTCCCTGGCTCTGCCCATCAGATGAGTTCCATCCTTGTGTCGGGCGTGCCATCAGAAAATGCGGCAACCTCCACAACTGGAACCACCTGTATCGTGACCGACGGACTATCGGCACAGCAAGTTGATGTTGCCAGGAAGATCTCGAAGGCCCTCGACGCGAATGGCTCGGCATGTGATGTTACGTCTTTGATGGCATTGGGTGAGAAAGACTTGAACGGCACTACCTGCGTGGTTCTTGCCGAACTCAAGTCCTCACTTTTCCAAGACATGACGGACTCCGTCTTTTCATCGATCAAGCGAATGACCAGCCAGTGCAAGTCGTTGCTGTGGGTGACCAAAGGTGGAGATGCACTCGCACCGGCGCCTGACATGGAGCCTGTTACTGGACTGGCCAGAGTCGCTCGGTCCGAGAGACCTGGCTTCCAGTTCGTCACTCTTTCGTTCGAGCAGAACGAGGCTCCAGGCACTATCGTAGAACAGTGCGTGCGGGCTCTCAGCGCCTCGCAGAATGACAACGAGAACTCCTTCAGGGTCACTGGCGGAGTTCCGCACGTGCCACGACTTGTGAAGGCTGAGTATCTTGCGGATCACATCCGATCCCAAACCGCTGCTCTGGGTGTGGTCCAGAATGCCCTCGGCGGAGAGGCTTCTCGGTCCCTGGCTCTGCAGGTCGGCACTCCAGGCCAGCTGGAGTCACTGAGATTTGAAGATGATCTGCTCCATGAAACACCACTTGCTGCCGATGAGGTCGAGTTCGAGCTTAAGGCCTGTGGCTTGACTGCCCTGGACTTGGCGTCAGTGAGAGGGAAGGTCAAAGAAACTCCCTTGGGTCTCGAGGCATCTGGCATTGTCACCGGGACTGGGCCAGCCTCCAAATTCCAGGCCGGAGATCGGGTCTTCGGCCTGGCGCTGAATGGTGCGCTTAAGACACACGTCAGGTCTTCAGATGGCTTCATGGCCAAGCTGCCTGACCGCCTGTCGTGGGCCGAGGCTGCGTCCATCCCCGTCGCTTACACTACTGCCTATTCTGTGCTTCATGAGATGGGGAGTATCCGCAAGGGCGACAAAGTACTCGTGCACTCAGGTGCGAGTAGCCTGAGCCAAGCAGCCGTTCAGCTTGCTCAACTTGCTGGTGGGGAGGTATTCGTTACGGTTGACGGGGAGGCTCAGCGTTCCTTGTTCGCAACAACGTATGGCATTCCGCAGGACCACATCCTCTCGGCTCGAGATGCATCCTTCAAGACTGTCATTCATCAGATGACCCAGGGCCGTGGTGTCGACACCGTGCTGAACTCTGTTGGGAGCGACTTGCTCACAGAGATCGTGGCTTGCGTTGCCCCATTCGGCCGGTTGGTCGACCTCAGTCCAGCTGACGACAACACCAATGCACGCATCTCGTTGAATGATCTCCAACAGAAGAACATTCGCTACGAGACTTTTGATCTCAAGTACCGAGCACTGAATGACCCTGTGCGGACCCAGCGTAGCTTCCAGGGAATGGTTGAGCAGCTTCTCCTGAGGGGGCCAGAGTCGACTATCCAGAGAACACCAATCTCCACCCATGCGTTCTCTCGGCTTGGAGATGCGTTCCGCCAGATGCAGTCTGGGACTCAGGTTGAGAAACTGGTTCTAGAGCCGCACGACCAGGATGTCGTCCCTGTCCTTTCAAGACGCGTACCGGCTTGTCAATTTGAGCCTAACGCAACTTATGTGATCGCCGGCGGTCTCGGTGGCCTCGGAAGATCTGTAGCGCGATGGATGGCTGGTCGGGGAGCAAGGAACCTGATTCTGCTGTCTAGGCGTGGCCCCGTGCAAGATGCTGCCAAGCAGCTTGTCCAGGAGCTCGAGCTTACCTGTGTTAACGTCGCCACGCCGGCTTGTGACGTGACAGATAGTGAGACCCTCAGAGATGTCATTGAGAAGTGCCTGGCAACCATGCCGCCTATCAGAGGATGCATACAAGGTTCCATGGTTCTCAAGGTAAGTTTCAAGCCGCACGTCGATGCCCTGTCTTACGTATGCTAATCTCAGTCAGGATAACCGCCTTGAGGACATGACTCTCGACGAGTGGAACGACGCCGTCCGACCCAAAGCCAACGCATCATGGAACCTTCACGATGTCCTAGGCCGCAGCCTAGACTTCTTCATCATCCTCTCGTCGACCGTCGGCATCACCGGCGGCCCAGAACAGGCCAACTACGCAGCAGGCAACACCTTCCAAGACGCACTCGCCCGCCATCTTGCGTCACAAGGCGCACATGCCGTCTCGCTAGACCTTCCCATCATCCGCGGAGTCGGATACGTGGAAGAGCGTCCTGAACTGCTCGACCACCTCCGCTCGATGGGCTGGGCCTTCATGGAGGAGAATGAGTTCCACGCCGCGCTCGACTACCACTGCCGGCCCGTCGAGGGCTCCGTGCCTATCGTCCGGTCGCAGGTGCTGCCGCGGTTCTGGCTCCCACAACAGACCGCCGCAGATGGCCACGAGCTGCCGACCTGGAGGCTCGACCCCCTGTTCAGCCACCTCGCCGTGTCGAGCTCCGCCACCGCGGCGGCCGCGGAGGGCACGACCGACGCGAAGAAGTCCGTCAACCACGTTGCGCTCCTTACAGCTGCTAAGTCGCCGGAGGAGGCTGAGAAGGTGGTTCTCGAGGCGCTCCTGCTCAAGCTATCCCGCGTGCTGAGCGTCGATGTGTCGAACTTGGATGCTGGCAAGCCGCTACATGCGTACGGGGTCGACTCGCTGGTGGCGGTCGAGTTGCGGTCGTGGATAGCGAAGGAGCTCAAGGCGGAGGTCTCTGTCTTCGACATGACCAACGCGTCGAGCATCTCCCAGGTGGCTACCACCGCGGCGGAGAAGAGCAAGCTGGTTGTGAAGGGCGGTGGGAATTGAGCATGATATGACTAGATGATGATATGACCCTGATTTCTCGTATTCGGCGTTCAGCGAAGAGTCAGCAGATTTATTTCCTTTACATTTCAATTACGTTGGGGAGAGATACACAGCGCATAAAGAATAGTTCTAAGGACTGGAGCACCTATATAGCACAAGATGAATAATTGATACAATTTTGCTCTTGACGTGAAGCTACTGCAGAATACTCTGCTAGATGTAGAGAACGCAGGCAACTCCTTTTGATTTCTTCTACAACGGTCAGCCCTTCTTCGGAGGTTGTTATCCGTCGGTAATACACAACTGTGCGAAGACGGTCTATCTTAGGCCTGTACATGGACCGGCGGAAGTTGACTTTTCCGTCAAATTAATCATGTACGACAAGTCAGAGGTAGGAGCAGCTACTGATGTTTTCATCGTGTGCCAGAGGTAATACAGCACTGTCCGTCTCCCGTTGTCTCTCATTTAGATCTTCTTGCCGGATCTGCAGGTTTGCGTCATCTCCTAAAGCCGATGCAACAGCCGAAACTCTCCCCAAATGTGTCCGCTGGTGGATTCTCCGCACCCGTCAGCTCCTCTGGAACGGCTTCGAGCTTCGGCCAACCATGGAGCTTAAGTGAAACCACAACTCTCACGGACCTGGAAACTTGGCCAATGAATTGCTTGAAAGCTCTTGTGTACTCTACGATTTTACCTAGGTAGCATCCTCACAGATCACCTGCCATCACAATGTCTTTGACCGGCCAATCCTACGTGGTCCGCTCTCCCGGCGGGCCAATCACGCTTGAAACTATACACTACGACCGGATTGGCGACCACGAGATACTCGTCCGGACTGTTGCAGTATCAGTATGTGCGTCGGACATCAAGGCTGCCGAGGGCAAGTTCTTCATGAAGCCGCCGATGATACTGGGCCATGAAGGGGCCGGGATCGTGGAAGAGGTCGGGGCCAAGGTCACGGCATTCAAAAGAGGAGACAAAGTCGTTCTGCACTACAGCAGCTGCAAGTCTTGTGATGCTTGTGTCACGGGCGGCAACCCTTACTGTGAGCGGATGGAGCAGCTGAACTTCGGAGGACTACGCGAAGACAACGACTCAACCAAGTTTGCCACGGCAGCGGATGGACAGTCACTGAGTGCCCTATTCTTTGGCCAGAGCTCCATGGGACAACTGGCCCTGGCCAGGGAAACCAGCGCAGTCAAGGTCGATGCAACGGCTGACGAACTCAAGCTCTTCGCCTCTCTGAGTTGTGGAATTCAGACGGGAGCAGGCGCGGTGCTCAACGTCTGCAAGCCTCCACCAGGTGCTGCTTTTGCTATCTTTGGCGCCGGCGCCGTTGGTCTGGCCGCAGTCCTGGCGGCTAGGCTATGCTCACCTTCACATGTTATCGTCATTGATATTTCACAGAAGAAGCTCGACTTGATCCCGCCAGGGCTTGCTACTCATACTATATGCTCGCTTGGGTCGGAACGAGGGTCAGTCGCCGCGCAGCTCAAGGAAATAACTGAAGCAAGAGGTGTTGATTATGCCTTGGACTGTGCTGGACTCGGAGAGCTCATTACAGAAGGTTTCGCTGCTCTCAAAAAGCGAGGGATGGTGGTCTCCATTGGGGGTGGGAACACACAGGCTTCCCTGCATACGACGGAGATGCTCGTGAAGGGAGCGACCTATAGAGGGACACACCAAGGCGACTCCGTGTCGCAAATCTTCATACCGCGTCTGATCAAGCTTTGGAGGTCTGGTCAGTTCCCTTTCCACAAGTTGCTCTCGCACTACAAGTTGGAGGATCTCCCCCAGGTACTGGACGATTTGAAGAATGATAGGATCATGAAGCCAGTGTTGGTTAGTACATGAACAAAGACTACAGTCTATGCAGATTCTTTTGCGATCCTAGTTCCACGATTCAGCTCTCTTCCCTCAGAACATATGGGGAGGCCGAGCACTTTTGTACATTTGAGTTAGATACGACCCCGCGTATCCTGCCCAATAACTCGTATTCCAAGCAAGCGGATGACCTATATCATAGACGGTCTATGACAGAGCACTGATGTGACTATACCTTGCAATGAACTCAGTCTTGACAGTAATCCCTCCCATCTCCAACTCCTCTCCGTCCTTGCTTTCGCTGCAACTAGCTCTTACGGCTTCGGCGCTGAAGTAGCTGATCTCGGGTCTTCTCGGCATTGGCTGGGTAGCTGCTGGAGACAGTGGCTGCTCCTCAATCACCGAGAAGCCTCCTGTCTTTGGCTTCTGGCTCTTCCGGGCCGAGGTGCTGTAGTTGCCCAATTGGCTCTTGGTTCGCATCGTGGAGATCGCACTCCTGAACAAGGGACGCAAGACGGGGATGCACGCGAGGATTACAGCGAGCGCTGCTTCGAGGACTGTCAGAACCATGGCGTGTTGGATCGAGAACGTGATGTCGCCGTTATCGACGGAGGGTAGCAAGGCGACTTTGACGGCGCTGATGATGCAGACACTGGAGATTATTTAGTGGTTAGCTAATCGAAAAAGACATTTAGGTTTGAGCATTGATGCCGGCTTGCAACTTACACGAGCCCAAGACCTAGGAGATATTAGCAAACTTCCTTGCAAGTTGGGTGGAAAAGACTTACCAAAAGTTATCATCAAAGTGACCTTTTTGTACATTGTCATCTCCAGCCTGATGAGATAAGGCATGGGTAGGACGAGCACGATGACATCTGTTGCAATGTTCAATGATCCCGCGACAATCCAGAGCTCAGTGGAGGGACCACAATGGCCTTGAGCAATGATAAGTTAGCTAGGACTTCATAGTATGTTGGAAGTAGGTGCGGATCAGAACTGAGGACCACAATGACCTCCTCGGGCCTTGCGCGCAACTCCAACCATCCCAAGCCACAAAATATGTAGATGGCAATGCGAGATTGTTTTGCCTTAGGGTGACACAAGAGGAATATGTCCCTACCGTTCTGGGTTTTGTCCCAGCCGAATGAAAGCGGTTGACAAATGAGAAATATAATCAATAGATTTCCAATGGCCCTGTAAAAGTTATCAGCCGGTGTCGATGCCATCGATCAAGGTTGTACGACTCACCAAAGCACAATGAGGGCCATTGTCCAATGTGCCGCAGTACGGAACCATCTGACCGTAAATACTCTGCAGCATAATGCGAGGAGGGAAAGTTTGCTAAGTGCGAGGCTCAACGTGGTCGTTATGCGAGCAGCTAGGAGATGCTGTAGTTTGTCAGTACCTGATGGCAGTGCAAGTGTTCGAAGCTACAGTCGTGAGGGCTCAACCAACAACCAAGAATGTTTCCGATCCGCTTTGGAGACCGAATCTATCGACTATCTCTGAAACGTGGAAGCCCAAGCCTGCATAGAGTATAGCTGCATCACAGAATTAATACCTTGTTTGGCGTAGCTTGAGCATGAACAGGGAAGCATACCAAGCACAATGATAACCGACAGGCCGACCGTTGTTAACTGTAGGTTGTTAGAGAACAGGCCTCTTTACCCCGGGGTACATCTCATTATTGTGTCTCTTACACATGATCCGATCATCAAATAGTCGCTAGCGTCCAGCCATCGCCCCAGCTTTTGACGGCTCAGTAGTCGCAGAGCCACGGCAGTCACAGAAAGCACGGCGAAGACCACAGCAACTGCAAACACAGTTATTTGCTCGGCCCTCTCGAGAGGAAAGCTGACGCCCATGATGATGGTATCGTCTAAAGGAGCGGAGTGACAAACGAGCGAAACATCAGACCAGCTGTGTGGTCGGAAGCAGCGGCGGAAACATAAACAAGAAGGTTATAGGAAGGGCTCCCCCCTTCTAAAGAGACTGCGCGAATGCCATTCGGTTGAGGATGCGGTCTGAGCGGGAGCAGGCACAGCATCTATCTCCGACTTGGCGGCCCCACGGTCTGACTTGAAACGGCAGGGCGGATTGAACTTTCTCCTCCATAATCCAGGGACAATGTTTACTGGATCCCAGTGTGACCCGTAGCGGTCCGAAGGATGTGTTGATTTTCGTGCGGCGAGGACGATCCTCTGACTCGTGGTTTCCGGGTGGATATTTTGTGACAGGGAGGCTGCTAGGCACATGCATATGTGCAGAGCACCTTATCGGTAGCATCGTAGGCAGCATGCTGCGCAGAACATTCGAGAAGATTACCTGTCTGGTTCTGTCTAAGACAAAGAAATCTCTCCGATGAAACAAATGTTGCGGCTGGTATTCAACCATTCATAGCTCCGTACACAAGCGAGCATTTACTTGCAAGACAGTTTTCGTTCTCGTATCAGAACATCGTTGATCCTGGTCACAGAAACGTGTCTGCTGTGCATGACTTGCAGTCTGCAGCACGTCTAATCTCGCGAAGGCTGTCCGGCCATGTGGTGCCAAGTGCCGGTCAGGGGCGTGTGTGAATCTGGGGTCTAAGGTTTCTAGAAGCCATAATTGTCGGGGATTTAAGAGGGCCGGAGGGTTGTCAGGACCACATCAGGGGTTTATAGCCGGAGCTAATCTCTTCACAGGTATCCGAGCGCTTTCTCCAGTCTGTGCCGGGCATTTCCTATCAGGATAATCTTTGTAGAGCACGTCATGTGAGCCCGCTGCATGACGTGCATACCCAAGTGGGCTGGATATTTTCTCCTTCCGATGAGCCCTACTCTTGCTCATCAAGACTACTTAAGTGGGTAGCAGGGCTCGCTACTGTGTTTACTTTCTCTAAAAGCTCGTGTCCAGGGAGACCCCATGCCTGCTTTGACGAATGCCATCATCCTGCTCTCAATATTGCAAGCATAGAGATACCCAACAGGGCATATATTGAAGCATAGTGGGCTGACGGAGCAAAGGCAAATAGAGGACAATACTTGGGAGATCAGAAATTCACTTATTCAGTCGTACAATGCTTTTACTGCTTTCCAATTTTTGAACTTATTCGCTTGGGATAAACGCGCCCCAAAGGCAATGTAATCTCCGGCACCGCACCGCCGTGATCGTGACTCTTCCTCCGGGCGCCTCGTCCGGGGTTCGTACCCGCTGCCCTGCCGCCGAAGCGAGGAATCTTCCGCGGCCCTCTTTCCATTCCAAAATTTCATTCCAAATCACCAAAATCTGCCAGAGCCTGTTCGGTGGGATGGGTGTCTTCCTTTTTCCGCTCCCCTGTCTGAATCAAATCCCGGAATTGGCGCAATGATGTTGACGAGTACAAGTCAGTGAGGCTATTGTAATGACAGAAGATGCTGTTGATTTTTCTTTGTTACATGCTTTACGTTGTAAGGTGTTGGGTCTAGGGTACAGGAAGCTGGTAGGCATAAAGTATAGAAATCTGACGATGTTAATCTGTCTGACCCTCGAACAGAAATTCATTCCGCATACCTGCGCACTTGCGTCCAGTCCATACAGCAAGGCAAAGTGAGGCTTAGATTTCAATTCTGCCCAGCACCACCCTCTGGGTCTCGCATTGGATCGACAGAAAGTGATCGTGAGCCTGGTTGTGTCCCCGCAGTCTGATCTGCTCCGGAATCCACCAGCAGCTCTTCCGCCCGCGAAGCAAGCTCATCGTGAGACCTACGCTCGCAGATCTCAATAACCCTGAGACTTGCCAGCGATGAGCACTTGAGTCGATTCAAAACCGGCACCATACACCGCTTTTACCAAAATCGAAGCTCTTTCTGTGGCCATTCAAACTTTTCTGCTTTCTTCCAGTCGAGGCCGCGTCGCTTAGGAAGGCATGACTCTGTACCAAACCCGGTCGAAACCGTACGAGTCGGTTGGCGCGATCCGCCAACCGAGCTCCATTCTTCACACTGAGCCTGAGAGAAAGACCCGACGAACGTGCCAAATTTGGAAATTGAGATGTTTGGGATGAGGTGCTACTATATTTAAATACATGTTCGCTTATAGTCAGTCGCCTGGTCACGTTTCCAGCGTTTTAGCAGTCTATGGAAGCAACTTTGTTGCAACCAAGTGATATTGACTCAACTCTTAATGAATTTCAGCCCTGCTGTCACCCTCTAAGTACCAAGTATCATGATATTTCCCAGGATTAAGCCCACAACAGATATTAGTGTGAGAGAGAATCTGAACCCAACGCTGTGCAGTGGTAACGTCCCCGGCCCAGATTCCGGCCCCCCCCTGATCCCGGCCACCTCATAAAAAACACTATAAAGCACTTATTTCTCTACTTTCTTTTAATTTATATAGATAATTAAATATAATACTAATTAAATATATTAAAAATATATAATAATTAAATTTATAATAATATTAAAATAAAGATTTAATATTTTAAAATCTTTTTTATTTTTATTAATATTTTATTAAAGAAATTAATTATTAATATAAACTTTTAAAATTTATATTATTTATAATATAATAAAGCTAATTTTTATTAATTAGGAATTTAATTATATTTAATTTAATTTATAAATTAAAGATTTTAATTTTCTTAACAAAACTTTATAAGGAAAAAGTTTTAAACTTTATTTAAAAATTATAAATAATTTTCTATATATATATAACTTTTATATAAGATTATTATATATTTATATATATATATAATATTTTAAAAAGAATTGTAAATATAATATTTAAAGAAATATAAGCTAAAATATAAGTGTTAAGGAATATATGGTATTTACTAATAATCCTTAACATTTCTTTTATTTTCTTTTTAAAATTTTTTATAAAATCTATTTTATTATATATAATAAAATGATATATATATATACTTTAAATATAATCATTTATATATAGTATTTTGAAATCTGTGTATTTTTAGCATTTAAATAGAATTAAATATAGAGGTTTAAAATGATAGTGTTTTTTGGTGGGAGTGCACCAAAAAGTGGGTGTCCGGGATCAGGGGGGGGCCGGAATCTGGGCCGGGGACGTTATTGTTGGCATGGCGCATCTGTACCATGGGGATTTCTGATGCAGTGATGAGGAGAAATGGCACGCACACAAGGCCAGTCTTGCTCTCGACAACACACATGGTTGAAACATCAAGCGAAGGCTTCAAATAAATCACTGATTTATGGACAAACCTAGGCCGCCTGAGGCTACACGTGGAAATGTGGAGATCCTTAGAAGCGTAGGGACATCATGGTTTACCTGTTTAATGCAATATCCAGCAATCTAAGGAGAGCTGAACATTTCATCATATTATCATTTCCCACGCTAACTTCTTCTTCATACTACGGAGCTATGCGAGACGTGGTCGCCTGGTTGGACCTCGGACGATGCCACATCGCATGGGAGTATTATTTGCATTGTCAATAATGCTGACATGGAAGGCCCGTGTCTGTAACATGGCCTGTGATGCGTGTAAGTGGCGTCATGGGTATTATGCATAATATGGGCCATTCCTTGGTTGCACAGAACGTCATCTGAACTTGTAGCAATCCGTGGGGATGGATCAGCATTGGATGTGTGCGATACAAATCCACGTAGTCGCTGCTGGGTTTGACCCCAACCCCGGGGGTTTTCTGAGCTGGCACGTTGATGCTTCGCTTGTCGAAGTGCTCTCATGCCCCTGCAGACGAGATAGCCATGTCACGGATGCGTGAGTTGTCACGGGTGCTGGCCTGGGGACATCGTGGTCAATGAAAGATGCACCATACAAATCAGCTAGAATGCTTGACGTATGCTAGTTGATTCGTGCCTGAACGGAGTGCCGCGATATCGGTACCTGGGCTCTAAGCTGGGGCACCCTCGGAAGCGGCGGAAGTCCGGATGTCAGCATCTCGTGATCTGCATGGGCTGGCAGTTTTGCTTGGAGGCTCCAGTGGTTAGCGCGCTCGAGTGGCTGGCCTCCTGGCAGCCTGGGTGCTCAGAAGAAAGAAAGTCGAGGTTTACAGTACAGATCGTTGTTGTCAAATGGAGATGACGTCGACTGGCGGCAGGGTGAGATAAAGAGATTGAGATGAGCAGCCAAAGTGCTTTTGATGCCCGTCACTGCGGTTCTGTATGCGCGTACTTTGCGTACAGGACGAAGGTACATTCCTGCAAGGCACGTTAGTACCCGGGCATAAAGTGGGGACAGTGGTCCTCTGGGCGTGGAAATCCTGATGCCTCAGGCAGCAATGACGAGACCTTGCAGGGATCACTCGCGTGCCGAAACACCGTATCCCCTGACAAATGCCGCCGGTCGACCACCCAGACGCCCCAAGGCTGGGCACATTGAGCCACTGAGGGTCCAACGGGCTGGACGGCTGGGACGGGTCGCCTGAGTAGCGGGCTGGAACATGTCACTTTCATCACTTGCTCAAAGCATCCCTGTCACTCCCTCCTCTTTGACGTTCCGCGCCTTCCTCTCCCAAGGCCCGATCTATTCTTATTCGAAACAACCATATCACGCTTCACCTTCAGCAGTCAACTATCTTGCTCTTTCTCCCACTTCTATACCCACCATCGCGACATCACCACATCACCACATCACCACATTCATCGACTTTCCATCTCCTTTTACGCACCGATAGTGTCGGGAGAACAGCAACTGCATCTCCTTTCGCCGTACTCATCGTCTACCCACGTCACACCACCACCGACCACGGAGATCAACCACGACAATGCTACTACGGCCCCTCCTCGCCGTGGCTGGCCTCTCTGCCGCCACCCACGCTTTCCTACTCCCTCCTGAGGTCAGCTCACATGATGCTGAGGTCGTCGAGACTCTTCCGTTCGAGAGTGCAGCCCTCGCACAAACCCAGTCACTCAGCCTCGACTGCCCCGGATGCCCTCCCGTGTTCAAGAACCACCACGGAAAGCCCAAGCACCACGAGCAGCACAGCAGCCACCTCGAACTCGACTTCTCCGTCGATCGATCCGCCGAGTCCGACCGGCTGATGCTGAATGGCTTTGAGCTCTATCCCAACTCCGACCCCTTTACCAACCTCCTCGTCGCTCCACAAGTTGCCGACAAGCGCAAGCACCACAAAGATCACAAGAACCACGAGAAACACATGAAGGGCGACGAGAAGCACGACGGTGACAACTCGAGGGTACTGCCTAGCCACCACAAGTTCCGACCAGGACACCAGGGAAGACCAAAGATCGTTGAGCAGCCACTCGGTTTCAGCCTTCAGATCCACCCCGTCCAGAAGACGGCCGATGACAACTTGGACCTTGTCGTCGTTGACCTCCAGATCATCGAAGTTGGCTCGGTTTTCGTCGAGGGACTCCCCAACATTCGCGTCAACATGATCAAGTCACCACAAGACGACCTCATGATTGCCAAGATTGAGCAGACCGCGTCCGAGAACGTCTCATCACCGAAGGGTGACGAATGCACCACCACCCTTTGCAAGTGGAAGGCTATTATCGCCGATAAGCTCGACAAGATGAAGATGCATGGCTGTGCTGGTATGATGGGCGGTAAGGCCGGCAACCACGGCCACCATGGCAACACCCAGCCTGCCAGCCACCACGACGAGCAGTACGGAATGTTCAACCGCCCTAATGGTTGGTCTTTGTTCTTCCGGAAGGTGACCTCGCACATCATCCTCCCTGTTCTTGTGGGCATCGTCGCTGGAGTCACGGTAGCCGTCGTGAGCATGCTGGTCGGAACTGTCCTCGTCGGTCTCTTCCGAAAGTTTGTTCGCGGGCAGTCTTTCTTCCCTCAGCACCGCTGCCGTCTCCACCCAGGCGGACGCCATCACAAGGCTGCCCAGAAGGAGGCTGCTGTCGACGAGGAAAAGTCGGGCTTGATGGAGAACCAGGAGGGTTTGCCTCCATCCTATGACCAGGACCAGGCCGAGGTTACTCATGTCGAGCGAGCTTAGGTTCCCAGATGAAACCAATAACGGCAGGATGCTAGGAAGTGGGTGAATAGGCTCGGCACACGGACCGGCTCCCGCTGCAAGAGGAAACATCGAGTTGATCATGACAGTGAGCAAGGGCAAGGATTTGGCGTTAGGGAATGGAGACCAGAAAACATACTGGCATTGAGGAGGAACTTAGCTTGGTCACTCCTTTTTTTTTCTGTTTGGGTCTGGATTACTGTCATCGCGAAATACCCACCACACTCCTTTTAGATTGGCATAGGACAATTCATATTTACAGGTTCATTGAGAAATCATCAATTCGCGGTAGCTTACCCGAAAAGAGAAGAGCAGCAGCAAAACAGAGGCATACTACCACAGGGAGTCTGAGCTCAACGTCCGACGGGTTGTCTAGCTGAGAAACAAAGAGGGAAGCAAAAGTTGCCTCCGTTTGCTTCAAAGTCTTAACGGCTAAGGGCAACCACACCGCCGGCCAGCTGCATAGTGACTGAAGCAAAGGCATTGTGATTCACGTCTGCATACTGCTGTGACAAGGATAGCCTGGGATTCAGGTATAGATGCATCGTAACAGACTGTTTGCACAAATATGTGGTACGGTGAATGTGGCATTCCCTCAACCCTTCATTCACGGGCCACTCTGATGAGTATTTGTTGCCCAGATTGCAGACCATTTGGCCTCTTCCTGTCTCTCCCTCTTCAGCAGCATCTGTTGGCTGACTTGACCAGCTCTACTGCAAATCGTGCCCACGGCTGCTCCACACGTTAGCCTGTGGAGGTGTCCGTTCATCCTCGCTTCTCTTTCTGCGAACATTCCTCAGGAGCAACTTATACAAACAAACACAAATCCTAGGACTCCACAAACATGATTCCCGCCCAATATAGCGCCCCCCAGGATCCCGTTGTGGACATGCTCTGGAAGCAGTTGACCGAGCTCAACGCCGCCGTCGATGCCACGGGCGACCGATGGATAAGTCTCGGGTCCCTGCAATGCAAGATCATGGAGATGGGGCAACACGAATCCGTCAAGGAGGACTTCGAGGATGAAATTCGCAATCTGAAAATCCTCCAAAGCAGGTTGGAGGGACTGAGAGACACCACACGCCGCACGATCAACGAGGCGGTTCGGCTTTTTTCTCAGACCTTTGAAGATTCTAGAACTGCCAGACGAACTCTTGCGCCACATTTTCCTCTATGTCAGGGGATGCAAAAGTATGTATAAGCTTGCATTTTACGACATGAACGGGGGCGATGTCGACCAAGTCAAGAAGCTGCGCTTGACGTGCAGGCGTTTCTGTGCCACGAGCTCCCATCTTCTCATGATCCATGTCAAGGTCGACATGACTCCCCAGTCGCTTGCTCGACTCGACCGAATCTCGCGACATTCGACAATTAGCAAAGGCATTCGTGCCATTAAGATATGCCTTGGACGCCATTTTGACCCCGACATCTCCAATGATATCCAAGCCTTCGCGCGCTACCAGGGAACCAGGATGCGAGGTTATATCAACTTCTGGGAGTTGAGTGTCCAGCATCGACACCTTCTTGGAACCATGTCGAGAGGAAACATGTCCATGGAAGCCTTGCAGAGAGCTATTGAGCGAGGCACCATTCTCGCTGATTCTTTCGATGAAGCGACCCGACGCGGTCTGGACGAGACTTGCCCAGAGCATGTCCTGCTGAGGGTGGCGCAAGAGTGTTACAGACAGCATTACGAATCCCAACTCCTTCTACAGCACGGGCCTTTCGTGCAGGACATTGTCTCTGCAATGATGCGAATGCCAACTGCCATATGGTTGAGCATTCAGGATGAGGACATTGGACCCGTTTCCGGACCTGATTGGGAGTCCGAAATCATCGATCCAGAGGATATGGAGGATCTGGACACGCTGAGGCTGAAGCTTCAGGCTCCTAGCTTCTCATGGAGTACAGCAAGGTACTGCGGGCTGGGGTCCCCGCCGGTCGACGTGATTCCAAACATATTCTTGTCCATTGGAGAGGCGGGGATTCGTCTGACTGGACTGGACATTGATGTTCCCCTGCCAGACAACTTGTCTTCATTTTCGAGAGATCAAGTCGAGACTTCCAAGATGCAGGCTTCTTCACAGCAGCTGAAGGCATTCGCTTGCCGCGCGCGTCATGATAGGCCACCTTCGACAGAGGCGATCCCAACTCTCATTCGCTTCCTGTCTACAATACTCCAAACATCTTCTTTACAACGCATCGACCTTTGGTTCGATTCCGGTCTCCAACCGATAGCCAGCATCGCACCCATACTGTTCTCGCGCTCTTGGCCGAGCCTGAAGGAATTATCCTTTAGCGGACCATTCCACTTTCAGGATCTGCGAAAGTTGGTCAATCACATTGGCAAGAATGTTGAGCTTCAGTGGAGCGGATATCTCATGGATGGACCCTGGGCCGGAGTCCTGGACTTTCTGCGAGATTGTAGGCTGCATGCTACTCTAACCCTCGGCGATGTGAACGGATCGATAGCCGGCGCCGAATGCGAGATCATGTCGATGAGAGAGTTAGACTACATCTTCAGAGAGAACGATGTCACGCCAAGTCTGGCGTCGGAGAGCAGAGCGTCAAGATATATCAGAGGCTGGACGACTCAGAACCCGGTCACAGATTGGATGAACGGAGACTTGGAGATGGCTGAACTGCCAAGGGATGATTCGGAAATTGGAGAATACCAGGAAAGCGATACCATATCAGATGACAGCTAGATACATGGCTTGGAACTTGAGTTGTTGCCACTGGTTTGCTGGATACACCACAGCGGCGATCTGGTATAAAATGAGCCCCATAGAAAATTGAAGAACGTTGGTGTGCTTCTAAAAGTGTTTCTATCAAATAAATATGGCTTCCTTCCCAACCCGACAGCTGGGCAGACGAAATACAGGCTGGCTACGAACACATCACAAACACAGCCCAGACATGTACATGCATGAGCAGGAGCAGTCAAAATTCGTTTGTTAATAAGAGAAAAGACGCGTCTCATAAACCTCATGTGGTGCATACCCATGTAAAGGGGCCTCAGCCACATTATGTGCTCAGAGCCGTTGCGCACAGAAACAAGCAAACACTCAATGAACAGTAAGGCTACAAATCATTACCGCACGATTTACGGTGTGAGACCATGATTTTTGGAGCGGCAAACACATAGCGAGTATGACTAACGAGTGAATAAGTCTCCAAATGAGCCTCAATCAGATGTCAGCCCATTTTCCAATGGCCAGGCCATTCTCCACCAACCAGGGATAGCAGTGCTGACTGCATGTTCACCACTCGGTTACTTGCTGCAGCCAGCGCCGAATCACCTCGAGACAGCTTCGTTCCGATCTTTTCCGGTTTCAATATTAGCAAGTCCAAAGTAGTGGTCAAGATTGCAAATCTGAAACCATCTCCGATGCAATTCAGTGTAGAGTGGATCGACAGCATCCTTCTTCTATCACATATAACGTACGGCTCTGAGATGACGAGTCGCCAGAGGACGAGGGTGATTAGTTCAGCGTACACATGACCCCAAAGCAATAAGGAACAAGATGGCAGGGATTCGACCCCGCAAAGGATTCTTCCATGAGCCGTTCCCAGGACGGGCGGTTATGGCTGGCGAGCAAAATTCGCAGGATGAGGTCAAAATGCCCGGTACCTCACGTTCGCGAGCACTTCGTTCATGCGCTTGTTGGTCTCCGGTTGACCATTCTTAGCGTTGAGTGACTAGTTCTGGACATCTTCACGCTGCACTGCAAGGCGGCCCTTTGAACGGCTTACTTGTCAACGATGTCATTGCTTCGCACGTATACCCGCGGAACCTGTTGGGCTTGACAAGAAAACAAGAAATTGAGGAATTCCGCTGGAGGATTGGAAACCATGTGAAGGTGTTGGTGAAAAAGTAGCGGGTCTCGGAAGCCCCGAGCAGCCTCATTCGTCCATCTTGCCTTGTCATCATGTTCACCAAGGCAAGACATGCTGAACGTCACACCCGGGCGCTTAGACACGTTCGCCCACGCCGGTTGCACAACACTAATGCGGGGACCTTTGGAGTGACTTAGCTTCGGCCACACTATGTTTTTTAAATCAACTGTCCATTGGTCTATTTGCTGTTTGCTTAGCTTTCTAATTATCCCTTAGCAGCCCTAAGCTTATATATAAAGTTACAAATGGCTTAATATATATCTTTATTCCCTTCTTTTAAAGGAATATTATAGTATTTCTTTTATCCTTATTTTTTACTTTCTTTTAATCCTTTTAAAAATAATTTATTATTAAGAATAAAATAATAATTTTATAAAGTATAATATTATTATGTTTTATGTATTTATTTATTTTATTATAAACATTTTAATTTATTTTCTCGAAAAGTTTTATAATACTTTTATAAAAGATATTTAAGTATTTTAAAATAAAGTATTTCTTTATTTTAATTTTTATTAAAGTTAATAGCTTTAAGGTTAAGTATTAACTATAATAATACTTATTTAATAAGTGTCTTTTTCGGAGGTTATGTAAGATGTATATTAATATAGATGGAAAGAGATTAAGTTTTTAATTAGGATTGCATTTATAGGATTTATTTTATAGAAACTATTCTGGTCTTCGCCGTATGATCAATTGCTTGACTTTTTAAAGAGATTAAATGCATATTGCTTAAGAAGCATATGTGTACAGATTAAAAACGAGACCACTTTGGAGTGACTTGTCTCAACCATTCTACATGTGGGAAATGACCAGCCTCTGTGCAACACTGGAAGTAGAGTTGAAGAATGCTTTTCTTGATGAATTTTCACAAGGTATTTTAAAAATTCGTTGGAGAGCATTTGATGCGCTCTAAAACGATCTTCCTCGTGGATTCATCTGTCACAGCAACCTGCGCAACGCACGCAATGGAGATGAGACCAATGACGGCTTGGTGTGAGCCAGATCTGCATCCCCAACCTCGTTTATTTAACTCAGCGCGTGAAAGTCGAGTTTGATGGATGTTTGCCCAGCTTTCGCGTAGCCCAAGCCTCATCCGGCAGTCCTCGGTTGAGCCAGGCAGGTATTGGATGCCAAATGTTCTTGGACGATATTCAATACTCGAGACTGATGCGGAAAGCCAACAGACAAATCCGTTTCTGGTTGGCTCCGAAATCGCGCCACACTAGCCTCTTGGCTGCCGGAGTTGTGCTCTACGGGTGGTTATCTTCGCGCTTGTTGTGAGCATCCTTTGTCTAGCCTTATCCGGTACGCACCCAACAGCCTCGTTGGGCACCGTTCAGACTGAGCCCATTAATGGCCTTTGCAGTATGTCTCATTGGCATCACTGATATACCAGAAGTCTGCCAGTAGCCTGCTAGGCCGCCAACTCAAGTGCTACACGTGCCGGGCCTAGCGAGGCTCCGCGCCTGCCGACCAATTGCAGGTGTTGGACGAGACGGGACGCTGGTGCGTGGCTTCGATGTGTCATGAGCAAAATACGAAGTGTGGCTTCGGCCCGCTCGCGCACTTTCATTCGACACCAGCTCCGCGGTTGCATGTTCGCGCTAGCCTGAAGCTTATCTCTCCGCGTCGCTTGCGAAAGGTGGTGCAGATGTTGGAATCTTGGCGCGTTGTGACGACCTCGGTCCTTTTGCAATGTGGAGGGAGTGCATGTATAGTGAGTGGTCTTGGTAGGCACTGCCTAGAGAAATTGAAATGGTCCAGACCTGACCAAGACGTGCCGAGTTTCTTCTGCGCGCGCCGTGTGCGCCGGTCGATGCTTGTTAGCGACCAAGCATGTGGTGAGCGAGGGGGCAAAGCTTACCGTTATCTTGACTCGGCCCTGACGTGAGATCCCCCTCCTAGGGTCTTGTCTCATGAGCACATGAGCTCATGAAATTATTCGACCGCGATCCCGGGATGATTTTAGCCCGATGTCTCCGAAAACAGCGAACCTTGGAAGCACAAGTCATGTTTCCGGGTACGCGCGGATGCGAAGGAATTACCTGTGTGACCCCATGGGGAACTCTTACTGTGTCCTGCAGCTTCCAGCCTAGGCCGCATTGCGGAGAAGATCTGCAGATCACTTCGAACGCAAGCGGGCAGAGATTACATTTAAGGCTGGCCACGCTCTACCGACTTTTCCCCTCGGTTATCTAGTTTGCAACCGTCTTGAAGAGCTTTGCCGTTGCGTCTCCCAGCTGCAGGTCAAAATGTCGGAAAAAACACCCCATGAAGTCGACGATGTCGGGGAGAAGACACACCATGAAGTCAACCATGTCGGGGACAACAGCGGCCGTCGCAAGTCCGTTGCTATGAACATTGTCGAAAACCCGCTGAAGCGGCACTCCGCCGAACAGACCGTCGAGAATGCTCGTGTCTTTGCGGAGACCCACGGGATGAGTGAGCATGCCGCATTGTTCGGTCGAGCCGCCCTCGTTGCCCGCGACCCAGACAGGTTCGACTCGGTCTCAGAGCTCGACGAGGCGGAGCGCACGGCGCTTGCTTATGAGAAAGCCCACAAATGGCACGGCCCAAAGATGCTGTGGTACTCGATCGGCCTTTGCGCGGTCGGAGCTGCTACTCAGGGATGGGACCAGACTGGCTCCAACGGCGCCAACTTGTCTTTCCCTGAGGAGTTTGGGATCCACGGGAAGGGCCGGGACGAGTGGATTGTGGGTGTGATCAACGCCATCATCTTCCTGACGGCGGGTCTCATGTAAGTTCTCATGAATACTGATTGTAGACCATGACCACTCACGTCCTCAATAGCGGTGCTTTCATTGTCGACCCTCTAAACCACTACTTTGGCCGTCGAGGCGAGATCTTCATCACTGCTGCCTGTCTGACCGCCACTCCAATTGGATCCGGATTCGCGAAATCATGGCAAGGACTATTCGCTGCGCGGTTTGTCATGGGCATTGGCATTGGTGCCAAGAACGCCACTGTTCCGATATACTCTGCAGAGATGGCCCCGGCTCGCGTCCGTGGAGCTCTTGTCATGTTCTGGCAGCTCTGGGTCGTAGCAGGTGAGATCTCTAAAGGTTTCCCATTTTTACCAGTCACTTCATGTGGTACTGATCTGAGGATATACTAGGCATATTTTTGGGATTCTGCGCCAACGTTATCGTCAAGGACACCGGTGCTATCGCGTGGCGCCTGCAACTCGGATCCGCCTTTATTCCATCTTTGATCCTCGGGATTGGAATTTTCTTCTGCCCCGAATCCCCTCGCTGGCTTATGAAGCATGGTAGGCACGCTGAGGCATTCAAATCAATGTTGCGACTCAGAGCCCATCCGATCATCGCCGCCAGGGACTTCTACTACTCCTATGTCATCTATGAGGAGGAATTAAAGGAGGCTGCCGGCTCTACCTATTTCTCCCGTCTTTGGGACTGCTTTGCAGTGCCTAGGATCAGGCGAGCCAACTACGGCGCATCAACTGTCATGTTAGCTCAGCAGATGTGTGGCATAAACAGTTAGTCAGGCACTCCCTATCTCCTGGATCACTTGGTTAATTCTTCACAGTCATCTCATTTTACAGCTCGACGATCTTTCAGGACGTCGGCTACTCTGCAACACAGGCTTTATATGCGTCTCTGGGCTACGGCGCCATACAAGTTGTTTTCACGATTCCTACACTCTTCTTGATTGACACTAAAGGACGACGTACCTTAACCTTGATCGTACGTCCTCGCTCTTGCCAACATTTCTGAGGCGCAACTAACCATGAGACAGACTTTCCCTCTCATGTGTATATTCTTATTGGCCGCAGGCCTGTCTCTCTTAAAGACTACAGGCAGTAGAGGGGAACAGTTGGGACCTGTTGTTCTGTAAGTGTTGAAAGCTCTAGTACAACAGGGTGTGGCTGACCGACCATGTCCAGATTCATTTATCTGTTCACCATCTGCTACTCCCTTGGTGAGGGTCCTGTAGCTTTTCAGTATTCTGCCGAAGTTTTCCCGACCATCCAGCGAGAGCAGGGTATGGCATGGGCTGTGTGCATCAACAACACCTTTGGTAAGAGTTCTTGTGCATCTCGATGAACTTAGCTGACTGAATTTTGCAGCCGGAATTTTGAGTCTCACGTTTCCTCGAATGAAAACAGTGATGACACCAACAGGTGCCTGTAAGTCTTGCAAGATAACGACATCTGATCGGGCCGTTTCTAACATTGCACGCAGTTGGCTTCTATGCCGGTCTAAATCTGATCGCCTGGTTCATGATTTTCTGCTTTGTCAGAGAGACCAAGCAGCTTACTCTGGAGGAAATAGACCGTAAGCAAGACTACATGCGTTTTCACACGTTGCAACTAACTTCCTGCAGAGGTCTTTTCGGTCCCCACAAAGGACTTCATCTCGTATGAGCTCACCATTTGGCTTCCATACTTCATCAAGCGACACATATTCCGCCAAAAGATCGCCAAGCCTCCGGCGATTATCGAGAAAGAAGCCAAGGTTGAGTCTATCTTGGAGGCATAGATTAGGTAAGGGTGTCTTTATCACTCATACAGCCTCTTAAGCCTTACGCAGGCTGCTGTCTACATCAGACCAAGGCGATTAGATGGATGGCACGTATCTCTCATACAGTTGGACCTGAAGTATTAGAAACCACAGGACTAGAGACTACATATATATCATTACAGAGTCAGGGACGACAGAGTTGAAGGCCACAGGATGAAAGTAGATTTGTCAAGATGAATCTAGATGTGGGCCAAGGATATTTCGACTTCACGAGCTGCGGTCATGCTGTTTAATTTATACCTCTTACACATTACTTGCTGTCTTAAAGGGCTTACTGATGCCCCGTAGCAGCTGCACTATGCCTTCTTGGTTATGCTAGTTTTTGACCAGAGCATTTTCCCACCTGTGTGTTTGTCATGGTATAATTCCCACTGCGGCTCTTGATAGTGGTCAAGTACTTTGGTAAGCCCAAATAATTGCTGGCAGTGAGAGAAGGGACTTTCGCGTGTCAATAAAGATCAGCGAATCGTACGGGTTTGATTTCACAACTTAACAGCGTATTTGAAATCCATCCACTTACCAAATTTAAAACACAAATTGGTCATGGGCAAAGCATGCTAACGAGGTCTTCAGGGCGGCGGTCAGTGCAATAAGGCTGCCGGACAGCTTCTTGGGTAATATCTCTTGCCTTGGTTCCTACGAAAAGCACACAGGCTCTCTTTTCCCTGAACCCCTAAGTGGAAAGCTAACCGGTTCAAATAGTACGTATCAAAAGGAGGGTGCCGCAGCCACAGGTGGCCAAACTGCCGCTCCTTCTGCGAGTGGATCTCCTCAGGGCCTCGACGCGCTCTTAGGTGGACTCCTTGGAAGTGGCGCGCCAAAACAGGCGTCCGGTGCACCGCCAGCTGCCACTACGAAGAGACCGTAGAGAGCAACACTTTACTAGTAGCCAAACTCTGGCCCACTCATGAAGAGATTATTAGGTGGTCTCGTTTTTAATCTGTACACATATGCTTCTTAAGCAATATGCATCCAATCCCTTTATATAATAATAAACGCTTAAAAACTTAGCTTAAAAAAATAATACAATATTAATAATAATAAGTTTTAAATATAATTATAACTTATAGCTAAGAAAATAATAATAGCTTTATAATAACTATATAAATTAAGCTAGTAAAAACTGCTTTTAACGGCTTTATAAACTATTAATATAAATAATGTAAAATTAATAATTAAAAAATTAATAACATAATAAAAATTAAATTAATTTCTTTATAAAATAAATCTTATAAATATAATCTTAATTAAAAATTTAATTGTTTTCCATTTATATTAATATATATCTTCTTAAAGGATTTTTAAAAAATTATAAAAATAAAGTTTTAAGAAAATTTAATTAAATAAATTAATATTATAATTAATACTTAACTTTAAAGCTGTTAATTTTAATAAAAGTTAAAATAAAAAATACTTTCCTTAATAATTATTTATAATTATTTTATAAAGTTATTATTATAACGGTACGGCGCTTATATATTGCTAGGTATTGTGATGGGCTTGGGCTGTTGCCCAAGCCTTATATAGTGTGGCTAGATAATCCAAGGGAGCTTGGATTATTACGTACCTTTTGGCGCAAATGGTTGCTGCTTTGCAGCTTATGGAAGAAGGCGCTAGCCAGCCTGCAGCCCCTCTGGGGCCAGCCCATAACAGGTATTTCTATTAAACCTAATTAATAATAAATATATTGTAGTTAAATAGTTTTATGGTAAATTCCCGGTGAATTTGTTAAGGAATGGCAATTTGCTATAAATTTATAATTATAATTACAATAAATGCTTAAGGCATTAAAATTATTAGTAAAAAACCAGCCCTCGTTATAAATTAACTTTAAATGAAATAAAAATTAAGTAATTATTATATTTATTATTAAGATTAATTATATTTATAAGGATTTTATAATATAATGTATATAAAATTTAATAATTAAGAGTTTTATTATCTTATATTATAATAAAATAATAATAAAACTTAATTATAAAACTTAAAATACCTTTTTAATTAAATTAAAAGAGTAAAATAATTAAAATTATAAATTTAACCTTTAAATTAAAATTTATAAACTTAAATATTATATTTATAATTAACTTAAACTTTTTTTAAAGCTATAAAAACTTAATATTTACTTATAAAAGTATATTAAAATAATTATAATTATTTAAAGTACTAAGTTTTAAATAATTAATAATTATAATATTAAATTAAATAATTTTAAAATTATTTAAGAAAAATAATAAGGCTAATAATTATTATTTAAATTTATTAAAGTTAATTTTAAAATATATAATTTTAATTTATAAGGATATAAATTAAAAGAATTAAAGTATATTAAGAAATAAACCGTTATTTAAAAGTTATATAAATAAATGCTATAAATAATTACCTTTAATTATAAATTAAATTATTATTTATTTAAAGTATTACTTTAATAATAATATTTAAATTTATAATAAAGATATAAATTATTATTAATAAAAGCTTTATATAAAAATACTTTAAAATTATTAAATTATTTAAAAGAAATCTTAATATAAATTAATAAATAAAATATTATAATATTTAAAGTTATTTAATAAGGAATTATAAAAGTAAAATAAATAATTATATAAGTTTTAAATTTATTATAAGCTATATAAAGTATAATATTAATTATAATTATATTTTAATAAATAAGAAAATAAAAAATAATAAATAAAACTTTTAAGTTTTAAAAAGTTAAAAACTTTCTTTATAAAAAGTTATAAGCTTTAAGCATATAATATAAACTTATAAAGATTATAAAAGGAGTATAAATAATTATTATAATAACTTAAAAAACTATAATAATAAAAGAAATATTAATATTATAAAAAAAATAAAATTATATTAAAAAAGCTTAATTAAACTTAATTTATTATATAAGTTTTAAAAAGATTATAAGAAATGTAATTTATTTTAAAAGAAAATCTTAATAATATATATAAGATTTATAATAAGAGCTATATCTTTATTAATTACTTTTATATATTTTTAAAAATAATGCTAATCTTTAAGCTTAAATTTAAGCTATTTAAAGCTTAAAATTAAAATTAAAATTTAAAATTTTAAAATTAATAAAGGAAAATATAAGAATAATACATATAGGCATAACGTGCTCATGCAATAAGTGCGCATACATAATGCATAAATTTAAAGGTATATGGTTTAAACTAATCTTATTAATAATAGCTGCCAGCTAACGCTAGCTAGCTGCTAGCTAACGGTTATATATAATAATATATAATTACCTTAACTAACTTATAATTAAATAAATATAAGTTATAACTTTATTATAACTTATATTTAATTATTATTAATTATATAAAAGCTAAATTAATATTAATTAATATTTACTTAATAAATATAAATAATTAAATATTAAAGAAATAAATTATTCTTTTTATATTTATTTATATTAAGTTTAATAAAAAGATTTATATTAATAATAAAGTAATAATAATAATTTTATCTTTCTTAAGCTTTAAATTAATTTATAGCTTTTACTTAATATTTAATTATTTAATAATAATAATTTTATTATTTTTAAGCTTTATTAATTTATAATAATGCTTAACTTTTAATTATATTTTATTAATATAAATTACCTTAATAATAATAATAATATTATTAATAATAATTAATAAGCTTTAAGTTAATTTATAGCTTTTACTTAACTTTTAATAGCAGTAATTAACATTAATTAAAACGCTTTCATTAATTAAGTTTTAAAAACCTTACATTAAAAGCCTTTCTTATAATACTCTTAAGCCCTTATAACTTTCTTTAATTTAATGCAATTATATAAAACCCTTGCATACTTATAAAAAACCCTTATAAAGCCTTATAAAGCACCTTTAATTAATAATATCTTTGCTTATAACTAATATATTAAAAAGCCCTCCTTATAATACCTTAAAAAAAGTCTTTTAAGAAGCACCCTTAATTATTAACGCCCTTGCTTATAACTAGCATAAAAAGCCCTTAATTAACACCTTTAAAAAGCCCTTATTTATAATTAACGCCCTTTAAAGCACTTAAATAACACCTTAAGCCTTATAACCTTTAAAAAACCCTTTAAATATATAATAAAATAAGATATTAATATATAAATATTACATTTTTATATATATTAAGATAGGGGAGGTAAGCCATAAGCTTCTTAATAAAGCAATTTAAGTAATTTCATAAATTAAAAGAATAAATAACTTACCTTTATACTTTCCTTATAAGAAAGCATTAAAGAACTTATAAGTTATATATAAAATAATTATTTAATGCTTATTAATAAGCCCTTACCTTATTAAATAAACCTTAATAAATATATATATAATAATTACCTTAAATAAAAAATAATAATATTTATAAGTTTATTATATTTAAATATAATATATATAATTATTAAAGCAAGCTTATTAATAATTATATTATATTATTTTAAGCTTAATATAATATATATAAATAATAATAATAATTTACTTTAATTATAAAGCAATTTCTAAATAAAGTTATTATATTATTATATATTTTATTACTTTTATAAGCGTTTATTTATAAGGTTTATTTACTTTAAATATTATATTAACTTAATTAATTTAACTTATAATATAAATAAAATAATTAAAGTAATATAATAATTATTAAACTTAATATAAAATACTTATTATTCTTTATATATAAGGTTTTTATTATTAATATTAATTAAGTTTTATTTATATATATTTATAATATATAAAATATTATTTTTATTTCTTTCTTAAAAACTTTTAAAATTACTTTTCTATTCAAGGCTTTTAAAATTATAATTAAGCTTAAGTAATAAAATTAATGCTGAATATATATTGCTTATTTAATGCTTATATAATTTGCTTTAAAGGCTATATAAGTTTTCCTTTATAAAGAACTTATTAACTTAACTATATATATTATTATTGCTTTAATTT